GCTGCCATCTTGTCACGAAGCGCGCCCTCAACGGCGATCCTAAACTTTTTTGCCAATCCGAGCAAAAACTGTCATGCCCTCACTGCAGATGCAGATCACAAAAATTATATTTTTCATTCATCTTCACTGTGTTAGCTGCAAATTCCAAACCCAAAAGCTTTGTTTTTTATTGTCATTTTTCTATCAATACAAAGAACAGTTCGAGCGAAATATCTGCCAAACTTAGTCATTGGATTTGAAAAAAAAAAATGTGCGGTCCGACAATAATTCTTCCAAGGGGGCGGAGGCGACGCAAAAGCACCAAAAATAAACGCAAAATTAAAGGTGGTTTCACACGCCGAGAATGAAACGCGAAAAGTTATGCTTTCTTCGTCGAAATAGAAACAGAATGAATTCAAAATTTGTTTTAGTCAGAGAAATGGGATCGAATTTGAAAGAGAAATGATAGAGCAACTGATATTTTCAGATGCGAGAAAACCCTTTCCCCAAATGTTTGCAATGATTTGGATGCCAACATCAATAGCATTAATTGCCTATAAATAAGGTGTGTCATTCGATATACTTAATGTAACTCTGGAAAGGCATATTTAGGGAGGGTTTTAATACGTTGCCACCCTCCCTTGTTTTTTTCGTAAAAAGTCACATCCCTCATGACAGAACATGCACACACTTACTGAAATTTGTATCCTTGTGGAGACATTTCTTTGTTCTCGTGTAGTAAAGTTTTCGAGTTTGAAAGTGTAGTTTCAAAATGCTCTTATTTTAACCAGAATTAATTTCCTTGGACTATAAATATCCCTTTTCTAAAACTCTACCATTTGCGACGGATCAACATACCTTGGAAATTCCTAGTTTTGGAGTAAAATCCATATTAATATTTCGTGAAAACCTTGTGGAGACGTAGTCATCTATAGAAATTGCCATATGGAGACGTATACAATCTTTTGTTCCCTATTGTGTGCATGTCTCCAGAGGGCACGGTGTATCAGATCAACATGCAAATACATGAACACAAAATGTAATTCAATGCAACTAAGCCTAAATGATTTAGTATACACACAAATAAACTCACGGTACAATCACGAAATCATTTCTGTTTTTATTTTCAACTGGAAAGTGATCCAGTGGAGAGCTGTCAATCTAGTGAAGTAAATGCAATTGTTTAGCTTTGGATTATTTTATACTGACAGTAAAGAGTAAATATGATTTTTTTTTCCCTCTAATTTTTAACAGGCTTAAGTTTTGGCCTCTTTACTGTTCTATGTTTGAATTGAGAAACATTTTCACAATCAAGATATATCACTAGACACATTTATTTAGGATAACAGTAGTCAATTTCTGACTTGTGGAGATGTATTTCACATAAAAATTACACATAAAAATTACAATGACATTTCTATTATTTCAGGGTGTTGACATTGAAAAAGGTTACGACAATCTTCAATTTATAAATCACATTTGGTGACACTGCTTTTGCTTTTATTCTTCTTCTTCTTATTTTTGTATTTAATCATACATATAAAAACAGTAAAACAAAAACCAAACTTTGGTTAAATGATTTAAACATGAACAACTGACATTTTATGTTTTTTTTTTTAACAAAACAATGTACATGTGCACAAGTGTCAATCATTTCTGCCAATCAACAAAGTACAACTCCATGACTGAGAATGCATAATTCTTTTGAACTACTCAAACTTTCTTAAAATTAGTTTTTTTAAATGTCTTGTGTGGAATTTTTCACTACTTAAATATGCAAGTGCTTATTGTAAATATAAAATAATGCAGAATTGTACTAAATTTAAAAAAAAATGACTGCTGAAATTTTGGAGTTTTGTTGAGTTCTAACTGGAACAAAATTAAACTCAGACATAGATTAAATTTTAATTGCAACAATTAAAATGCTCTCTTTGATAAAATGTCTGAAGACACTCAACTTTGATGGATTTTTTTTTAATTGCAAAGACCACTTTTTCATCTGCGTGATTATCCCATTTTCTTTGAATGATAAACAATGAATGCAAACATATTCATGACCCGCTCCACTTAAAAGGGTATTAAGTCACGCTGTTCATTATTGCGTAATGGCCCACTCAACGTTGAGAGCGTGAAAATTCCATCAAAATGCGATTTTCATTTTTTTGTCATGAATGACATCTTGATTACTTAAAGTTTCAGGGTTCATTCACAGCAATGTTGATTTCGATTAATAGTGGGGAAAAAAACCGACAATTTCGAGTGCATCGTGCCCGAATCTACAACAGACCCAGCTATTTCAAAGCCTGTTTTCTCAGTTGTGTAATTCAACTCCAAGGAAGTAATTCATATGCAAATAAGTCATATCTCCAGAACAGGAGGGGCTATGGAGCTCTATTACATACCAAATGAAAGCTTACATTGTGGGCTTTCCAATCATGTAATTCAATTTCAATTCAAATTCAATTTTTGGCGACAGAATGCCTTTTTTTGTGGAGTGGGTTACATTAAGAGAAACAGACAAAACCATTTTGTTTCTCCATTGCAAAATTACTTTGATTATAGACACATTAAACAAAAAACGGAGGAGGTTTATCCAACGAAGAATATTGCACTGCAGCATTTAATACACAAGATTATATCAAATTTGAGTTAGAAGTTAAATGCAAAGAGTTATGATAATGCATGTAATGAATGCTGTACACTCTATATGTGTTCTAATGGATGCACTACATTGTATACAGTCATAAAGGTACACATGATGCAAAGTTAAGTACCGTAATTTTCGGAATATAAGCCGCGGCTTATACGTTGATTTTGCCCATGAAAATGTTTACTGTGGCTTATACACAGCGCGGCTTATACGCCGAGCCTTGAAGAATAAAAATAAGATTCAAATGTGTATTTAATCATGGAACTATAAACTCCATGATTTAATGCACTGGAATAAGAAAATATCTGTTGCTGAATTGAATAATCAATCGTTACCTGAGGTTAGTCTTTTTTACGCCGGTGCGGCTAAAACGCCGGTGCGGTTAATACGCCGACCTCACATTTTAATTTGCAGATTTTTTGCGTGCTGCGGCTTATACTCCGCACGGCTTATATTCCGAAAATTACGGTAAGTTTTTCCAAGCGAATATCAAAAATTGTTCACAACTAATTTGATTGATGGTAGTGTCTGATCGAGTGGTGAGAGAAATTGGACATTTCAAAATCCGGTTATTCTAATTTTTTTTTTTTTTTTTTTTTTAATCGAATAACGGTTATCTGATTCACCGCTAGTTCCCATTCAGCTCACAGTCATGCCTAAGCACCGTTGATATCAGATTTTTAAATAATTGATATATCGTAAATCCAATATCGAGAATATTTGATATATCGATTATCTCATGTAAAAGTTCGGCCATGTTTTTATTTTGAGTCACAAGCACAAGTTGCTGCCAAGTTTCATTTCATTATACAGCAAGCATAAAACACAAAGTAAAAGCAGAAACAGGAGATTCATTTTGATGATAATCTGAGGCATTTGGATATTTTCAATATGATTCCTCATTATCCAAAATTTTGATATTTTGATATTAAAAATTGCTATCAATAGCGATATCAAAGTAATATCGGATAATTGAGTAGTATCGATATATCAACGGTGCTTACTATGGAACAAATTGGGGGATGATCCAGTTGTTTTCTTGAGCTTAGTGTCACAAAACAATGGAAGGCCCAACTTTTTGTATGGTTGGTTTTGAATATCCGGTTTCCAAAATAGACAACCGAATAGTGGAATTTAATCCCAGTTTTTTAAAAATCTGGATTTTAATCGCAACACTAGTCTGATCTCAGGCAGATTTCCATGCAGGCAGATTTCCGTTTATTTTTGTGCTAAATTCAATGCATATTTCGTTTGATTGAAAGAACAAAGTGTGCCAGTGGCCTGAGCTACCTGATAATAATGGGTGGTTACAATTTTCAGCCGAAAAGAATGGACTGGCACTAGTCTGTTCCATGCTCATCTAATTAGAAGCCTTTCCCATGATTTTAGAGATTTGATGAACAAAGCATTATTCTTATCTTTTCAGGCATTTTCGACAGTACGACTACAGCACAGACACACTTCTATGTACACTAGCACGTTTGTCTATTGTGTAAATCGAGGATTTTCTATTGTTCCTCTTCCCTTTCCCTTCCTTTATACTTAATTGTTTCGCAACAGCTCTCAGTGGTTTTGTACACGTTTTCTAACCGAGGTCGTACTCGATTTGGTTCCTGTCCTCTATTCATGGATGATGTTGCACGTGTGTATCCTCGATTTACACCATAAACAAACGCATGTTTGTACTTATATGTATATAATATACAAAAGTAGTTGAATTACCACTTAATATCCACATTTGCTATAAATTGAAAAAAAAAAAAACCCAGGATGTCCAGGTTGCCTTTAAATTCATATGAATATAGATTAACCAAAAAGTCCCAATATGTTTCTAACATCCTCTTGACTGAAACCCAGGTGCAAGGTCAAACTCCTCTCAATTAGAGACACTGAAGACGGCATTAAGGGGCTTTGCTACAGTGCGTATGGGAGAGACCAAACCCACCCCAAGTAATTGTGTTTGCCAACAAAATTGTGTCTGTTGGCATAATGTGCAACCCAAAAAGCGCCACCTATTGTCTAACAGTGTGTAGTACTGACTGCTTATAACAGTGCCCCCATTAGTCAGAAAGTGTCCAGTCGCCCCACCCCTTTTCAGAACTGCTTGGAACCATTGGTCAGATTGGCGAACAAGAGAAAATATTCTTGGGTAATTTCCAGCACGGAACGGTTTATCAGCAATTATGTTTTAACACAACACCCCCATTAAAATTGGACTGGCAATGCCCCTATGCATCTCGGCACAATCTTTCAGTATACTCATCCTCCTCCTCATCATCTTGCCCCGCCTCATCTACTTCTCTAGCTGCTCCTCATGTGGTCCCCCTAGAAACAAACTCCCCCCATCCCTCCCCCCCCCCCCCAACCCTGGGCAACCCACTAAACCCACCCTGGCTTCATCTCAGCGCAAATCTCCGCCATACTCATCCTCCTCGTCCTCATCTTGCCCCGCCTCATCCACTCCTCCTGCTGCTCCTTCCGCTGCCTGCTTGGCCCTCCCTCCATTGCCCCCGGCTCCTGGTACACGCAACGTCCTGGCAAGCTTGACATACTAGGGTCAAAATCAGAGTGAAACAAAAGTCTGTCCTGAGCCAACACAAAATGTTTTCCAATTGAACACAATGTGTATGCAATTTGTGTGCATTATTTTTTTTCGCCTGAAGCAACACAATTATCAAAATCTAAGTAGGTCAGCTCAAATTAATACACTTTGGCCCCCCCCCAACCCCCATTTTTTTGTGGGGGGGGGGCCTCTAACTAGACTCTGTCGCAGACGCACGTAAAAAAAAAGTCTGCACACTATTTTAAAACCATCTTCAATATCAGTGTTCTTCCAAATATTAATATATAATGAGGAATAATGTCACACGTTAAATCAATATTAGGTTTTGACGTATAAACACTGTATACTCAGTGTGTTACCTCCCGAGTGAAAGTTGGAAAAAAATCCCTCGGGTGGGACTCGATCCCCCGGTCTCCTGCTTTCTAGTGCAGACGTCTTACCACTCGACCACCGAGCTTACGGGATCGGTGGGCTGGTTCGAATCTGATGTATGTATAGCAGCGGGTACCGCATTTAATTATTCAAAGTAAACAGTGTTTATACGTCGGTGAAGGGCAAAACCTAATATTGATTTACATCACCCCGACCGACGCAAATATGCCATCTTTTGAATGTCACAGGTTATTCGATTCCAGTCCTTTCATCTCTTTGAGTAAGCTTTCTGCCATTAATCAGGGTGAGAGCGATATTTTTTTTGAACGACCACTCACATCATTGTCCAGGTATGTGAAGTACGGAAGGAAGAGGACCTTGCTGGCGTTCTCCTGGTCCTGCTGATCGTATGCTTCCAAGAGCTGCTCTAAGATAGACGACGACTCATCCATGGCATAACCGTCATATCTGAGTAAAAAGAGAGATAAAAAAAGTGTCAATATTTTTTTTTTTTAATATCCTCTTCACGGTGAATTGTTTCTAGTGGTGGGATTGGCTTTTGCTGTAATTTTCAGAAATGAACTATTTGAGGGGTTAGTATAACAGATCAAATATTGTTACACTGACATGTTTGAAGGTTTGTGTTCGAAAATGCTGGAAAAACCAAGAAAAACAAAAAAGTTCAAGTAGTCTGGTTCCTTGACTCCACTAAAGATAAAATGGATCAATTTATAGATGCCGGAAAATTGTAAGGTAAGGGAACCAATCTAGCTGGCCTGCACCCGTTCATGAACATGTAACCAATAGCAAACAAAATTTGGAATGAAAAAAAGTGTAAAGTTGGAGCAGTAGTTGAAAAATAGTTAGGTTTTTCCAACGGTAGTTGGCCGACCACCGTTGGAAATGTATACAAAAATACAATTTTCTTGAAAATGACTTCACACCAGGTGCCATAGGATGCTTTAGACTGTTATTTACCAACATCCTAGTAAGGTATATCGTAAAAACTTGGTAGTTTTATTTTTCGATGTTTGCAAATGTTGTATATTCCCTTTAATCAATTTTTTTTTTAAATTCAGTTTGAATTCCACTATTTGATTTCAATTTTGGAAACCAGATACTAAAAAAACTTTAATAAAAAAAAAAATTAAGCCTTTCATTTTTTTTGTGACACAGGCTGAAAGAAAACAACTGGAACATTTCCCAAGTTGGTCATTGGTCTCTGATTCTAACTGCATTCACTTGCTAGTTGTCCTGTTGGTATATGAATAGCCTGCCCATTCGACTTTAATATCAGAGAGTTCCCACCAATTTTTTCAACATTACAGTACAGCTCTGGAGTGTTTTTGTAAAGGCCCAGTGGTCACTGAATCCCTCAAACTATACCCAGTCATTCCAGGATGTTGGAGTCTCTCCATTGGAGGATATCGGAGTATTCAGGCTGCTTCGAGACAGCCTAGGAAGTTAGGGTTAATGCAACTGTACCTCATAGCCATGTTGCAAACCTTGCTGGCGGCCACAAAGTCCCCCCGATGGAGATGGACCAGCACAGTCACTGCTACCAGCTGCAAATGAAGTAACAGGGTTAGGGTTAGCTTTCAATAAAGCTTACCAAGGTGCCGAAACAGCCAACAAGTGTGGAGCAATCTGACAATTGGAAAAAAAAACCTGATGAGGCGGCACTATGCTCACAGCTATGTCACTTAACCCTAACCCACCTCACTCCTCCAAAATCCTCCTGGCGGTTTTGGAGGATTCTAGAGGATTGAGGATGAATGGTGATTGAATCAAATGAGGATTCTGGAGGATTGAGGATGAATGGTGATTGAAGCACATGAGGATTCTGGAGGATTGAGGATGAATGGTGATTGAAGCACATGAGGATTTTGGAGGATTGAGGATGAATGGTGAATGAAGCACAAGAGGATTTTGGAGGATTGAGGATGAATGCATTTTGAGGCAGGACTGTCTGATGATTTTGAAGGATTTGGCGTTGGTTATCCTTCATTTAAACACGAGTGCAAAGTTTTGGGATGAGGAGGATTTTGGAGGATTGAGGATGGTTGTAAGCAACAAGGGCCTAGGGGGTTAGAGTTAATTGGGTTCTTAATTTTGAGGCACAGATGTCACTTTCAAACCCTATTGACGTACCACCTACATGTAAGTCAAGTCTGTCACAAGCCAATGTTGCCCCTAAGGCCAGCATTTATCTCCAGTTTCATTAGCATGAAATGACTGAGAATATTTCTACTCCCCCCGGATGGGATGCTAGTCCATCGAAGGTTACTCCCCAGCTAATGCCGGTACCCATTTATACTCCTGGGTGGAGGGTTGCAAGTGGGGGTGAAGTGGCTTGCCCAAGGACACAACATATATACACAGCAGCTGGATTCGAACCGCTGACCATCTGATCGTGAGTTACGAACCTCAACCACTTTACCACACTCCCCCCTGACCACCTACATTTGCCACCTCAGTTAATGCCTCCTAATTTTGGTCATCTGATAAGTCCGTATTACCTTGTACACGTAGCCCAGATTTTCCACTACATCGTACATATTCCTTGCTTTTTCGAGCAGCTCTAGAGCCTTGTCAAAGTCCCGGACTCGGACTGAGAGCCGTGCTGCTTTGCTGACTGAATCCACGGCTTGTCGTATTCTGTCTTCATTCTATGGATGGACGGAGGGAATGGTATAAAATAGGAGGGTTTCTTTAGTGTCAATTTGAGAGATTTGTAAACGAGTCGTCACAACTCTTCACATCATCACAAGTCAATTTCAATAAACTGTGACAAAGATATTCCTTCATCATGTATCTCTTTTTACTTGTGACGTGTCATATTTGACATTAAAGGCATTTAGGATCATTTGCTTTTATCGCAAAAGTAACCTACCCAAATTATTATGAAAAAGCTTACTTAGGCTAAAGATCACACTGGTACTAAATTATTCTGTCTGGCTTGCTGTCATTTAGAAGAAATCAAGAAATGTTGGTGATTTCCAACAACCAGTCAATTGCCTGATTTTTGGAATAAAGAGTTTTACTGATGAAATTGTGTTTCGCGATCAACAGGTTGTGCACAGTTTTCCACTGTTTTCTCAAAATGTGTAACATCAACTGAGCTGAAACTTCAACAGAATAGGTTTTGAACATTCTTCCTTGGAATCTGAGTGGTATTGTTATTGGAAATGGACAAAATGCATGAAAAGCAAATGATGCTGTATGCCTTTATGACAACTCTTCACCTTGGTAATTAGGATTCGGAAAGTAATGGTATTGATAAGAATCCTTTCTGTGCAGAAACTGCAAAGCCTAGCGGATGCCTGAAAAATATCTACAATTTTATACTGCAACACTAAAGAACTGACCTCAGCTATCTCAGCAGCTGTAAGGTACAAATCCACAGCTGATCTTGCATTAATGGTCTCCATTATACTGTGAGATAAGAAGTAGAAGCAAATACATCAATCATCAGTAGCTGATTAAAACATGAGAATTGTTTGGTGTGTCAATTTGTATAAAATTAACCAATTACTCAAGCTTTTGGAGATTTTCAAGTACACGGAAGTGTTTCTTAAATTAATCTGGTTTTTAGCAGCTGGAAAATAATCAATGCTTCCATTATCGAAGTCAAATGTCGCACACAAAATTGTCTCGCTCACAATCTTATAAGTGACTTAACAGCCAATTCACAAAAAAGGTAGCAGGATAAATAACAATGCACATACATGTGAGACATTTTGGCAGAAGATACAGAACTGAGCAGAGCTTGAAATGACGGTTCAAAGTTTTTCCGTTATTAGGGAGAGAATAAAATTCTCCTTACAATACTGTTTGTTGCACTTCAATCAGGTTTTCGTTGACAAGTAATTGCTGTTGAAAGTTTGAATTTATCGACATGACAAAGGAGTTATATACCGAGAAAAAGTTTTCTTTGACTGTTTTGGAGTTTTGAAAATGAAAGTGGCCAACTGTTTTTCTTGACAAACATTAATTCTAAATTATTGTACTCGATTATATTAATTACGCCATGGTATTTCCTTAAAAACGCTTTTATTCAATGATTTTTATACTATTTCTTGTATACATGTGTAGAAGATATCAAGGATTACAAAAATCAATAAATCTGAAAATCGAAAAAAAAATCACCCACATTCCTTTTTTTTTAATTTTTCACTGCGGCCTGTGCGCAGTTCTGTCTCATTTTACCAGAGCACCTCACATTTTTATATGAAGAAAAAAACATAAGTTTTACTACATGAAGCACATAATCTTCCAAACCTACCCGGCTGCTTTTTCCAACGAGATGGCGGCCGTGTCGCCGGTTCCATACTCTCTGAACATGTTGGCTGCTTTAGTGATATAATGGACAGCTTCGTCATACTCCTTCATATCCTGAGAAGACGATGATACAATAATGTAGTATCCTTCAGCACTAGTGTGATGTATAGACTCTTTTCACAAGTACCCCCTCAACGGTCACAAAGGGAGAGTTGAGGGCGACCACTGGGAGGGCAGGCAAGGATCCAGAGGGGGGTTTTGGGGGTCGAATCCCCAGTGTTGTAGGACTCGAGTCCAGGACTCGGACTCGAGTCGGACTCGAGTCACATTTTTCGACTTGAGTCACATTTTTCGACTTAAGTCACATTGGACTCGGACTCGAAGCTTGTGAATCAAGGCTCGGACTCGGCCTCGAGGCTTGTGACTCGAGAATCGGACTCGATGTTGGTTACTCAATTACAACACTGCAAATCCCCCCCCCCCAGTTCTGACTCAATTAAAAATAGGGCTTGTTTCTATGTTCTTATTAAGATGATGAAATAAGCTTTAATTTGATGTGTGTCTCAAACACCTTGGAGTGTTGTACTTTTCCTGAAGTTCGGAAGTGGGTGTAATCATTATTGGGGTCTATGGCAGTTTATTTACTAGTCTGCAACCATAGACCTCCAATATGGCGGGCTTATGGGTGACCACTGACCTATGACATCACGTGAAATTCCTCAATTGGTTTCTGTCTAATAATTAATAATAATTGTGCTCCTCTACCCTCACAGGTACCCATTCATACTCCTGGGTGGAGAGAGGCAATTGTAGTTAAGCGTCTTGCCCAAGGGCATAAACATCATGTTCCTGGCAGGGTTCGAACCAATGCACATTCGTACATGAGTCAAACATCGTTACCACTGGACCATGGCGTTCTACACAAAGACATCAGATGATAAGGATTTGTACAGTATCCCAGTGGTCGCAAGTTTTGTAAAAAGTGAGTCTACATGTATAAAACAATTTGTGGTTTGCTTGAAAACAAAAAAATTGTCCACAAAAATTGTCCACAAGTAATGCTAACTTTGAACATGTTCAAACCTTGGGTGTCAATAATTCAGGCAACGCATAACGAAGTATTTTCTAAAAGAACCCTAATTGTCCAAGATCTTCAAACATGGATAAGGGATGAGTGGGAAGTGTCGTTCAACTTACCTTCAGAATGAGTCCGGCTTGTTCGTATGCTTTGGCGGCATGGAAGAGACTGAGAATAGACTTCAGGAAGAATAACAACATCGTCAATCGCAAGATGATCGTAAAGAAGTTACGATCAATCGCATGTCACATTACAAATAGAGCAGGCACAATGACAAAGGAATGCTTGTGTCAAAGTAAAACCTAACCCCTAGGCTATTTTGGCTAGAAAACCCTGCTAAACGCAACAACATGCCACGCTTGTCAACTAGACTTTGATGCTCAGTGTAGCAAGATCCATCAGGTAAAAAAATCTCAAGGCCAAACTGCCTCAGAGTGAGTGGTCACCAACTGCAGCAGGCTACAGCTGTGGCACTGTTCAATGGGACTAGCTCTCATTGTTTCAGATTCGGCTGGTGTTGATGGCTTAATGCAGCAAGGTCCCACAGACTTTTACACCTGATGCACTGTGTTGCATCTGCTATGATTACAGCTAATATGAATAAGTTGAGACCTGATTTGAGATTGGATGACTTGTGATTGATTTGTGATGACGTTTGGCTGAGTGCATTTCAACTCGGACTTCCACAATTTTAAGGTTTGCTTGAACTTGTACAATTGAAAGGGAACATTTACTTTTGCTGTAATTTTCAGAAGTGGATGGATTTGGGGGGTTAGTATTTTATAGCAAATATTGTTACACTGACTTGTTTGAAGTTTTGAGTTCGTAGATGCTGAAAACACCAAGAAAAACAATTATGTTCCTGTAGTCTGGTTCACTGATCCCACTTTAGATGAAACAGAGCAATTTATAGACTTCGGGGAATTGTAAGGTCAGGGAACCAGTCTACCTGGCTTGTACCCATTCATAGGTGTGTAATTGGTTGCAAACAAAATGCGGACTTACTTAATATGGTCAATTGGGGGCAGTGTTTGGTAAAAAGCTGGGTTTTTTTCTAAACGCTGGTCGGCTGACCAACGTTGGAAATTGATACAAATTACCAGTTTTCTTGAAAATGACACCACACCAGGGGCCATGATTTTACAGGATGCTTTAGACTGTCATTCTCTAAGGTGTTTCATAATAACTTGGTAGTTTTTGTTTTTTCGGTGTTTGCAAATGTTATATATTCCCTTTAAAGGTTTGCTTGAACTTTAATGAAGGATACGCTTTGCACTGTGTGTGGCACTCTGCAGCCTTGATGTACATGGCCTTGGCTTTCTCCAGTGATTTGGCATGACGGTAGCACAGACCTGCGACGCAAAATAAAACAGGATTACAAAGGGTCGGTTAAGTTTGATGCATCTGAAAGCAAATTGGAATCCTCACGGTATCTTTGCATGGGTCCTGGCTAACAGGGGCCTAAAGTCTGTCTTACATGTATTTATCACTATGTCACTGTTTGTTATAGTGGCAATGAGTCCATAAATTGGATCGTTTTATCGTGTGCTTGTATACTGTAATTTCATTGGTCTAGGACGGCCAGGTGCCTGGACAATAAAAATGCATGTCACACACTGAGGATATCACACTGCACGCTATAGCTTTGCGCAATGAGAACTGCAACGTCAAACGCTCAGTCTCATGTCCGGCAGGACATCAAAACCTTCAGTTATCAAAGGCTACATCAGTGATTTAATTTATTTCTTACACAGTAAGTTACAATTATCTGATTGTGTTATTGGCACATTATAACAAAACAATTGTTGACTGCTGTGATGTGGGATAAGCCGTTTTTAACCCCCTTGGGGCGCATAGTTTGCCTTGGGTGCTGTGCGCACCTGGGGTGTTAAAAACGTCATATCCAACATCACAGCAGTCAATAATTATTAAATGGCTCGTGGTTAGTTAAATGTGAGTTTCTAGTTTTCAGTTCCAGCCTACCTGCTTTCTGATATGCATGGGCGGCACCGTCAAAGTCTGCTTTCCATTTCGTCCAAGAGGTTTTTAGGCTACCAAAGACAGAAAAAATTTAAATAAGATAAAAAAAAATCCCCACTTGCAGCACTGTTAATAATACAAGACAAGAAACACTACGACTGATAGATTTTTACAGGTCATTAACTTGACATTTGCAGTTATCTTAAATACAGCAATTGTGCAGTTAGTTACGGACCCCTCTTTAGTTTGGGTCAAGTTTGAGTCAAGAGTGATTTTTATCATTCCAAAATAACTTTTCCAACCAAAATCAGATTTTTGTCAATTCTAATGAGACTATGACGCTATCGTTCATAATTTTGAACAGTACCGTTCAGTAGATAATGAGATTATTAACATATTTTACAGTTGATGCCATGCATCTATATTTTCGTGAACATTGCATTTTGTTGTCTTCATCATCGTTTTACCCACAAATTTTCCTCAAAGAAATCAAACCCTGCCCTCAATCCATGGCACTTGGTTGTTATGTGGCTAACTAATAGTTTGGTAAGTCCAATAACATAAAAGTTGATTTTTGATCTCTTCAACATAGAAATAGGGCCTGTACATGTAACTACACACTTGCCTTAAATTTTGAAGTTTGGGTAATGAAAATATACTAGCAGTCATTAGAAAGAGCTTTGAAAATGAAATAAAATGACGTTATTAAGCAGCTCAGTGAGATGAACATTAATGAATTTTTGAATTCTTTAGGAATTAAATATTCGTGTCTACATGTATGCGTCCTAATTATTTTAAAGAAATACCCAAAACTGAAGTCTTTTAGGACTGATCTTTTCATAACTTGTTTTTAAAAAAAATGTTGAGGACCAAACAAAAAATAGTGTGAGAATATTGCCACTGGGCAAGGAAACCAAATATTAAGTCCGAAAAAGAAGCCACAAAAATCCATCGTTTTTAGCTGCCAATAGCAGCTCCACAAAAACTCATGTCTCTCTGTTAGTCCATAGGTCAGTTAGTTAGTAACAAACATTGACATTGTCTATTTTGCTCCTACATATTTTGACCAACATATTTTTGATTTCAACCAAACTTTGTCCAAGGTATCAGTAGCCCAGCCCCAACATTTGACCAAACTTGGGTCAAAGGTCATCATGGGGTGAAAGCCAAAATAACGTCAAATTTCAAATTAGCTCAAATAAGCTCAAATGACAACAGTAGCACTGTCAATGTGCTGGTCTTCGTCAATCATGAACAAATGTCCATGGTGACCTCTTTGTCCGGCCTACTGCTATGGGGTCAAAGCATTGCAAGGTCAACATACATGTAAGGTGACCACGCATTCGTTGGCCCTCAGCTTCCGAGATCCGATCGAGCTTATTGTAGCAAATACACAGCGGGCATAAAAAACATATTATGCCTATTCTAAAAGCACATCGTGCAACAATATTAAACTCGCCTCCTCTCCTGGCAATTTTCACTCGTGCAGTCGTGAAATGGACAAAAATAGTCCATTCGACGACAGATTTCCACCAAAATAGCAAAAACAATTGCCACAAATGTAAATCAACATCTGAAGTTTACAAATTTTAGACTTCCCGAAAATTTTCCTGACTCGACTCTCCGCAGACTTTATAAATATCGTCAGACCCATTTAAAACTACGCGATCGTATTTCTACGCACTCAACTTTAAATCCCGTTTCACAACTCGCGCGCGTGCAATTCGATGTGCGCAGATCATTGTCATGATCGAGGAGCGGACCAAATTGGCACTAGCTGTTACTTGTTTGTGTTAGGATACTGCAAAAAAATGGCGTTGTGTAACTGCGTTTGACCCTTCCTCTTTTTCCTCTCCCTTATTTGGTCTCAAAATCCGTAATTTCCAGACATTTCATACCATTTTTCAGCCTCTCGAACGTGTCCATCTGCCTCCGCCGTCTTCTTTGCTTCCATTTTGCTATTGTGAATAGCGCCCTCATTCGATTATAAGCTATAAGTTTTTAAAATCATTTGTTACCATCACGTAAATGACTCATATGCAGCCACGTCACTGATAGGCCTAGCCACCTAGCGCTCTTTCCCCGAAGTCTCGCTGAAAGATATATTTTTAAAAAACATTTTGAACATTTGTCAGTTTTGCTAATTTTAGTCAACTCAAGAATTTTTTTTCTCTGACGGGAAAATAAAGTCCGAGAACCTGACTAGCATTAGCAACTATGGATGAAAAAAAAAACGATACAGGCGCGGATCCAGAGGGAAAATATTGGGGGTCGACTGGGAAACCTCCCCCCCCAGCTCTGACTCAAGAGGTTTTTTTTATAGAAATATATTAAAAATAATCTGAAACCCTCCCCCCCCCCCCCCCCCCCCACTGGCCTGCTGTGGCACCCACCACAATTATGACAATTATACCGGTAATAATGTCCGCCTGTGCATTTGAACCGAGGTAATATTAATTGTACAGAGTGACTTTTTGGTATTATTATAGTGTTAATTATATTCGGATTTGAACAGCGCCCCGATTGAAAGAATGGTACGAACACCCCCCGCCCCTCCCCCTATTGATTTATGGAGGCCAATTAATTGTCTAGAGAAGAAAAAAATCTGTCTACATCTCAGCATTGAGTGCTGATGGAACCCCCCCCCCCCCCCCCCGCTAGTCCGAGTAACTTGGACCCAACTTATCGCCTTTTTTTTAACATTTGGACATGGTCTGGCGCGATAGTAAGCCAGACCATGTCCAAATGTTTAAAAAAAGGCGATAAGTTGGGTCCAAGTTACTCGGACTAACCCCCCCCCCGCCAAAAATTCCAGGATCCGCCACTGCGATGTCAATCATTAAAATTAATAGCTCATTTTGTATAGAACAGAAAGCATTTGGCACAAACTCAATTGAATTTTTTTTTTTTTTTTTTTTTAGAGTGGTGGTTTTTTTTGCAGAGGAAAAAGAAAGGTGCTCTGGGCTGTTAGCGGGGGTTGGGGATTTTGAGGTCGAACCTTTATAGACCTCCTCCAACGACCCCCCCCCCCCAAAAAAAAACCCCAGTCCACTTCACGTCTATATACATTATAGGCCTACACGTCTTTATCTTTCGTGGTACGAAAGAAAAGCTTTTAATAGAGGTTAATTTTCCGCTTATTGAAAAAGGCTAGCTTTCATTAAAAAATAACCCATATCCAGTGGCTCTTCCAACATGGGGAAATGGGTAGCATTTTCAGTGGCTCTTTCAACATACGGGGGGGGGGACGGCAGGGCGGAATCCACTGGGAAACCATCTCTTTGATCGGTTGCAGACCCTGCATGCTCGGTTTATTATATTTAACGTTCATTTATCAATGTTTAAACATTTGTTTATTTAGGGGGATCGAGGTAGGGTAGGGAATTCATGCCTGATATATGCCCCATATATCAGATATGATTTGCCCATCCCTTAATTTGTCTTCTCAAATACTCTTCTATTCCTTTTCTGTGTGTGTGTGTGTGGGGGGGGGGGGGGGGGGGCACCCAAAACACAAAAAGGGAAGAAAAAAATACTCTGAGGGGAGCACTTATTTCAGTTGTACAAGTCAAAAACAGGAGTACTTTTGACAAACACTGAATGAGATGTGGACAGACACTCGAGTGAATGGAAGTCGCATAAATCATACATTTCGAAAAAAGTAGATACTTTCAACTCCAATATAATATCATTGATAATACTATAAAACTTGCCAAAATAAGGGCAACAATAATTGTACGCATAATGACAAATCTAGAGTTGCTACACAAAAATATAAAATTCCACTTATTAGCCACACACCTTGAACTCGAACAATGTAATCATCATATAAATAAATGAAAAATCCTGTATCTTCCAAGCCACAACTGTAGCACCCACAACTTTTTGGATGGGGGAGCTGAAATATACTAAAACACCCCTACCCCCTGGCAAACACGTTCCAGCACCCCCTGGCAAAAAAAAAATGTTCCCAGTGGGCTTGGTTTCTTCAACACTGGACAAAATCATGAAATTCACTATATATGAGGCCTTGTAGTACCATAAAATTGACAAATTTATCTTTTAGTTTAAATCAAGAGCCAGAAAACATAATCATTTAGAAATAGATTGTTAAAATAGAACAAGAAAACAAGTACATAACATTTGAATTGCATATAAATAAAATTATCGGGCGCCACCTATCAGCAAAAGATTAGCACTTCGTGCTCAGAATTTAAAGAAAGGCCCTCCTTAATTTCACCAAATAAAAAAGCAAATTATTTGAGTAATTAATACAATTTGGTCATAATTATATTACTCATTAGATTTGACTGAATATCTACTTTTGTAAACTAACTTTTCAATATTTCATTACAAGATTTTATAAGGTGTGTAGCATATTAATTGAAACAAAGAAATGTAAGGAATAGATTTTTTTTAAATGTGATTACATTTTTGTTTGAAAGTCCAACAAGCCTAGAATAATGTAAATATTCCTGAGTAAAACGCTTGGGGAAACACATTTTAGGAATTCATAAAAACAGAATAAAATTAAAGGATACAAGAGAGAAAATGGACAGAAATATCACACTACATATGGATTTTGTAATGAATAAAAGCACCAACAGATGAATATAACCATGATATCTTAAACCCTAAAACCGAGGGCCGGGGAGGGGCGGATTTTGTCCCCTTGAATTTCTTGACAATATTTTTGCCAAATTTGTGTTTCTTGCCGTGAGCTTTGTAATGACAATGACATTCTAGCTTCAAGTTTGGCGCACGTTTCGATACCAAATTTATAAAAATTGACCCATCGCTGTAGAATCGCGTTTGAATCGCGTCAACGCAGTGAAATATTGTCCAATTACATGATATACAAATGGACGCAGAACACGCAAAATCTGAGACAAACAAAACTTAGTGTACAAAAATTCCATAGAGTTGTCTAAGGGGCGTGGCTAACTCGCAAATGGTGATAGGTCAACTGACGTTAGGTTCACCGCGTTACTTGGAGGCTGGGCCCCACAGAAATCGCATTTCCCCATATGGATAGTACAGCTTGCTGTAGTAACAGTGTACTCACTTGCAAATTCATAATGAGGCATTAATTAAAAAAAACGCTTTGTGTTATGAAAATCAAAGTTCTGTGAATATTTTCAGATTGAATTGCTCTACATGTGTGCCGAATTTCATTGCATTTCGTCGCTTCACGTCTGAGTTCTAAGGGGGGGGGGCGGAATCTGCCTCCCCCGGCTGTGAGATGGTCTTAAAAATCCTGGCCCCTTTAGGATTAGACGAAGTGTTAAATCTGACAAACTTTCCATGATTCTTGACAATGAAAAATCTTATCATTATAACACTAAATGTATGTCAGTAAATCTGGATAATTTTTTTTATTAAGATATTTCAGTCATAATGTAATTTTTCTCCTCCATCTTGAAATATCGATTCTAATGGTCTCTATTCTCCAGGAACTCTACGGTCATTCAAATGACTTAAACTCTCATTTATCTATAAACAAATACTAAATATATTAATACTTGAACAAAAGCATAAATACTTGTTACCAACATGCTATATGTTTGCATTGTTACTATGTAAGATAATGCCGTGCCCAAATGCCCATCGCATGCATATACGTGTGTTTAGTAAAGCCCTAAATGCATCACTAGATGAGTGCATCGCGTGGAATACTAAAATGAGCTTTACACTAACGGTGGATCTGGAAAGCCATCCCACTGAAGACAAAACAAATTCATGGGCAGCTCAGATTGGTCTATTGAGATCTCTGTTTCTTTGGCAAGTTCTAGCTACCAGAGGCAAATTTCATGGATCTGCTTAAAGTAAGTATGGAATCTTTGTTAGGAGATAAGCACCGTCGATATCAGAATTTTCAATAATCGATGTATCGGAAATCCAATATTGAGAATATTTTGATATATCGATTATCCCATGTAAAACTTAAAAACCATAAAGATGACACTTTGATTAAAAAAAAGAAAATTTAGGTCCCAATTTTCCATGGCTTTCTCTGGAGCATATTGCTCAAACTTTTTAAAACAAATTTCAGCACTGACAGTTTGTCCAGAACAGGCGGTTTCTTTTGAGGTTTTACAAATAGGGAGACTGCGAATTCCAGGGAACGTAGAGCACAAAGCGACACCGCTTGGTATTTCATGCTGTTTTTATTTTGCGTCACAAGCACATGTTGCCGCCGAGTTTTAGTTCATTATACAGCAAACGTTAAAAACAAAGCAAAAGCACAAATGGGAGATTTATTTTGAAGATAATCTGACGCATTTTCGATAGATTCGATATTATTCCTCAATATCAACAATTTCTATATTTCAATATGATTAAAAAATTGCCATCGGCGATATCGTTATCAAAATAATATTGAATAATCAAGTAATATGGCTATATCGACGGTGCTTACTAGGAGATCTCAGGTGCAAAATTCTGTTGGTTAACAGAGCTGCGCGATTGGGCCCAACAGACTGACCATGAAGCCGGCCCAGTATGGGCCCCTCCAATGCTGTAATGCATGTGCCAGCCATACGCATCATATGTCAGTGCACACGTCAAAATTTGGTTGCACACACATGTATACACAATCAAGGCTTTGATTTGTTGAATCATTTGGGGCCGAGACTTCACTCTTTGACTACTGAATTATTTCCCTCAATGAGATGGAAATTAAATTTGCTGTGACATTTAAGGCAATTTATCTGCTCGCTGTCTGCAGAAGGCACCATTTTAAATGGATAAATCAACTCTTCGTTTGCAAAGAGCCATATAATTCTGTTGACGCGTTTGTTTAAAGGTAGAGTAGATCATTTGTCATTTGTGCACTTGTTTCATTTGAAGCAACAAAAGTGCTCAAAATCTAAACACAGGTACCAAACAAACAATCTGATGATGTTTTAGCTCTACTGAATGCTGTATATTCCGAGAAAACAATATTCTAGGATCTCAATTTCAATTCAAAACTTCCCAAGTCATACATTGACTTGCACCCCAAATCAGCTTCCGGAACACCTTCTCATTCAGCCGATTGCAGCTACACGATGTAACGCACTGAACCGAAAGAATAATAGCAACCACGCGCACACGTGCATCGTGTCAATGCTTGTGCATACCCATTCACAGATTCGCCCAATTACAAACCAACTACAAACAGAAATTTCCAAAAAATATGTCACTTGACGAGCTTGGAAATGACCTTCTTTTACCATTTTCTTTACCATTACCATCTTTAAGCCAAGTAAGCTTTTTAACAATAACTTGGTCAGTTACTTTTTTTGGATGGCTGCAAATGATCTACCGTTCCTTTAATAAAATCGACCAAGTATGTGGCAACTCTGCCTTCACAGCTCTCTCCAAGGTGAGTTATCGTGACAGAGCCCTCCGTCTCGTTGGCAATGTTGTGGTCAAGGTCCTTGTGATGGATCACAAGGACATCACAAGTCCGGTCACAAGCCAATCATAAGTCCAGTCACAAGCCAGACATAAGTCCAGTCACAAGCCAATCATAAGTCCAGTCACAAGCCAATCATAAGTCCAGTCACAAGCCAATCATAAGTCCAGTCACAAGTACCAGTGGATGAACAATAAAAGTATTAATGGCTTTTGTCACATTTCATTTTGGATAGTTTGTGAGTTGACTTTGGCCTTGTGATGGACATGTAATGGACATGTGATGGACATGTGATGGACATGTGATGGACATGTGATGGACATGTAATGGACTTGTGATGGACATATGATGGACATGTAATGGACATGTGATGGACATGTAATGGACATGTGATGGACATGTGATGGACATGTGATCCATCGCAAGGACTTCCTGGTGACATAAAGAGCGCCTTCTATTTGGTGGGTAATTTGTGCACCTCTGGTATATCGGCCATCGGATCTTCCTCCCTGAGTCCCTCGCTCTTCCTTCCCTTGCCGATCAGCTCCAGGAGAGCCTGGGCCTCCGGGTCCTTGTCTAAGATGCTCTTCTTGGCATTCTCATCCTCTTCCTAACGTGGGATTGGAGAGAGAGAGAGAGAAGAGGGGGCGGAGTTAATCCAACCACAAAACGTTTAATTTTTGTTTGTTTGTAAGTACTTGGCAACTGGCCGGGATAACCCACGAAAGTCTCTCGACTTATTTCCAGTGGGGTCCTTTGGTAGAAGATGTGGAAGGAAATTACAGTTTTAGTGGTGGGAGGAAAGCCCCAGAATGATATTCTGGGGAAAACCCACGGAATCAGGTAGGGACTGAAAACCCAATTCACATATTGGCCCAGGCGGGATTCACAGCAGTGGAAGGCGAGGAAAACAAGTTTGTCACCAATGGAAATAGAATCATGGCAGATGCTGCAGTGTGCAGTTTCTGACCAGGGTTATATTATGGCCATGCATCACGGTGGGCCGAAAAGATTTTTCTCCCACTATGAACTCCCCAGATCATAGACAACAGTAGATGGAGATATGTTTGCATGCAGGGCACACCATATGGGATTCTATTGGCAAGCATTTGTCTGAAATTACGCATGGGCCACATGCAGGCACACGGCGGCAATGGTGTTTGAACAATCTATCCTTGCCATCAGTTGAGTACATGTGCAAAGAGCCCATGGCTGGTTGAAACTGCACTAATATTAAATGTATGGGTAGATGCTAACACTGGCCTATACACATGGAAATTTGTTGCATCATCATAATTGCAAGCAAATTTCCACCTTCCAAGTCAGCATGTGCTCTGCTGTGCTTGCAATTCATCGTAAGTGTACATTTGATCATTTACAAGTTATATTCAAATAATATGAAATTTCCCTTGAACATCCTTTAAGAGGTTGCATCAGCGTTTAAAGAGAAGATACAACATTTGCAAACATCAAGAAACAAAATGATCAAATTATCACGAAATATGTACTGATTGTTAGGGAATGAAAGTCTACAGCATCCTGTAAAATCGTGGCTCCTGGTGTGCTGACATTTTCAAGAAAACTTGTATTTTTCCAGCGCTGGTCAGCCGACTAGCGTTGGAGAAAACTGGCTTTTTTTTAAAAACTGCTCCTAATTTTTCACATTTAGTTATTCCGCATTTTCTTTGCAACAGATTACACACCTGTGAAGGGGTACAAGCCTGCTAGACTGAATCTCTGACCTTACAATTCCCCAAAGTCTATAAATTGCTCTGTTTCATCTTAAGTGGGTTCAGAGAACCAGACTACAAGAACATGGTTGTTTTCTTGGATTTCCCAGCATCTCCGAACCCAAAACGTGAAGCAACTCAGTTTAACAATATTTGCTACAACATACTAATCCTCCGAATCTGAAAATTGCAGCAAAGGCAAGTTGTACATTCCCTTTAAATCCTGTATTCAAATCTGGTCACCTGATTTTGTTCAACGAAAAAATGTGCAATGTGTTCCGCACATTTAAGCTCCCATGAGTGCCCTTCACACAGGTCCATAATGTAAAACATAAATGACCTTTAAATTTAAACACTGAAAACTATGAGTACAATTATTGGAAACTTACTTCTGTTTTCTTTGGTGGGGCACCGACTGCCCACACCTCCACCAAGTCAATGGTGAAGTCCTCCTTAGCTGAGAGCTGTGGGCTGTCGTAGGTCAGGCACTTGGGTCTGGCTCTGCTGTGGCCCTGGCCAAACTCTTGGTCTATCCAGAGTCCAAAATAGTCAAACTGGCCGCCCATTCCCTGTGGTAAATGATAATAATGTGGCGCTTATATAGTGCTTTATACCAAAGGTCTGAAAGCGCTTTATGATTATTACCCCAGTTCATCAGGCCATGAAACCATTAACCGTTAAATATGGTCTCTACCATTACAGCTACCCATTTATACTCCCGGATGGAGAGTAGCAGTTGTGGTAAAGTGTCTTGCCTAAGAACACGAGCACCATGTTGCCTGTCAGAGTTTGAACCAACGTACCACAGCAAGTGAGTTGAACACCATAACCACCGGACCATGGGGACCATATGGTAAAACACATTCAAGAATAGGGGGGGGGGGGGGGGGGGGGGGAGGGAACCAAATTGAAGAGATTCACAACAAGCATTTAACTTTTTAACGCCCAGTCCAGTACTTTTTGTGATGCCACACAAAAACACCCACAGTAAACAGTGTTGAAAATCCTTTTTTGTTATGAACAAAGAAATTTACTGGAGCAGGGTACGAACCCACAACCTCTAGAGTACCATACCACTGTAAAGTCGATATAAATCCCTCCCTTATCAAAATGGTTTTAATGACAAACAGAAAAAAAAATCAAAGAGCATGTGTATCCCGATAAATGTTGTAACCATTTGGTGCACAGATTATTTGGATTAAATGCACAGATTATAACAATTTTGGGCAGTCGCTGGCGACCGCTCCGTGCACGAAACCGTTAAATATTTTGACCCACCTTAACATGAATCATGTGTTGTATTGTCTGCAAACATTTTTTTTTTATGCCATGAAATTCTCATCTATTAAAAATTAAACCAGTCCCCATCCAGTTAAAAAAATTGTGGTTGGCTGGCTGGGAAAAATGTATTTTTTTCAAAGAGTCATTCAGTGAAGGGGCTATGGGCTCCGTGCGCCAACAAAAGAGGGCGCGTTTTTACCTCTTTTGAGAGCTCAGTGGATGGGACACACAGCGTGTGCGTACTGTCCTGTACTGGTTCGCGCTAGAAGTACGCACGACTTCCTGAATGTGCAAAAGCTATAGCCGCCGTAAGTGTCAGGCGTCGTCGGCACGCGAATACTTTCGAATTCAAGTTGCGATGGTCTCCGAGACTAATCCCCGCCTCCAATAACTTTGGATACATTCGAAATACGCAGTGGATGGATCGGGAACCAGTCTAGGTCACCCCCAACTCTCCTTTTCTGGCCGTTGATGGGGTACTTGTGCACGGATCCCAAAGCTATCCACAACAATTATGTTTGATAATTCAGACCGTATGAATTGACAATATGAGCTTACATGTTTTGCCTGACTAGATCAAACCGTTATTTCTTTTTATTTAAATATTGTGTTGGTAATGTTTGTTTGTGTGTTTTTTTTGGGGGGGGTGTTAAAAATAATCTAGCCATATCTCACCAATCCATTTGGTAGTGTTTGTTGGTCGATGTTCAGGTACATGTAGTGGTCATTCTGACCGCTGCTCTCGTAGATTCCTACTTTAGGGGACAGGCTGAATAAGAAACACCTACTAGATCCTGAAAATAAAAAAAGGAAACAAAATGCTCTCAATCACCCCTCACGGCTACCCATTTATTCTCCCATGTTGAGAATCAATTGTGGTATTAAGTGACTTTTGAAGTGATCTTGGGGGAGGGGGGAGTTATAGTTAACAAGTGAAACACTTGGCAAATGTTAGGTCCATTTCATACGTGGAAACAACCTGTCAAAAATCTTGTAAAATCCATGTTCACCAGGCCATGAGACCATTTGTCTGCAGCAGCTTGAGTCAACTTCTTGTTATGTTCAGGAGGGTTATCAATGATTCCAGAGGGTTGTTGTCGCTCCGTGGGCCGGCCAAAGATGCGCTGGGTGGACATCATCTGAAAATGGTCAGGGTGTGACACCACTGAAGTGAAAGCAGCAGCACTGGAAAGACGGGATGTGGTGGGAGCGGAGCCAGTGATGGGGCAAATGCCTATGTCTATTGAATGAATGATTATCAATGAATGTCATGACTTACCGACAAAACTAGGCCCTATCTCCCAGCTCTCTGAAGCAAAGCCCCCAAACAGATGCCCCTCCGTGTCTCGTACTAGCAGCACCGTTGGCCCCTTGTGGGTGATGTGAGATAAGAGCGTGGCAAAACTGGCACCGTGCAAGCCGGAGGAGTACAGAAACCTCCACTGGTCGCGTAGGTGGTGGGGGGCGTGGCGATTGAGGATGAGGAGGGTGGGAATGTCAAGCTGGGTGCGGTGTTTGCGCCAATTGGCGTCTACACAGCGGGGCAGGCTGGGTAGGTGATGGAGGACCGAGGTGTCTGTGTCTGCTGAGGCAGTCTGGAAAGAAAGTGACATTGCAGATACAGTAAACTCCGGCTAAACCGACATCGTACAACTCGTCAAATCGCTCAAGTCGGCCGGACGTCTGACTAAAGTCCCGATTGTCCGTAATGCATTTCCATTTCTAAGTCGGCTCAAGTCGTCCCCTTTCCATAAAAGGCATTACAAAATCCTTTGTGTAAGTCGGCATTCAACAAATCACGCATTGGCATCGACTTCCTGTACTGCGGTTGGCAAAGTGTCGAGTGAAAAGTGGTTTCGCACGGCTCTTGATTGCTGCATGCGAAAAAGGGTGTCCTACTGCATACATCGCGTATGCATCGTGAGCATATCAATATCAGTACCCCCTCTAGGCTGTACGCATGCGCTCTGTCCATTTTGGGGGTCGTCTTATTGAATGACTACTGCTGCATGCAGTCAGTGCGTGCGTGGTTTATACAGGACCACGCACGCATTTAATTCGTTACTGTGCACGTACATATGCACTTTATGTATCGTGGTCTCCACTATCAATACCCCAACCGTGATGATACAATTCGAGGATTAATTTGCTGGATTCAACTCAAGCATTAAGGAGATAATCCAGGGTAAATCAAAGCCAATTAGTGCAATGCATCATGTGTGCAAAAGACCATTCATGTAAGTTGGCAAAATGACCACTTACAGCAGATATCGGCATTCGCGTAAGCCGTCACAAATTCTCGGGTCCTGAGAGTGCCGGTTTAGCCGGAGTTTACTGTAGATGCATTATTTACGGCTTGTACATAATCCAAAGCAAATATAACATGGGATTTTGCCCTTCACAAATTTCACGAGCACTGCATACTTGGTGTTGTGTGGGAGCTTGCAAGAACAAAAATCCATCAGCTTATTAGGTTGGGACTCGAACCATCAACCTCCTGCTTACTAGTGCAGATGTCTTAACCACTGAACCATCGAGCTTGCCGAGGTTGGCTGGCTGGTTCAAATCTGATATACCAATAGGTACCGCAATCAATATCTCTTCTGCACCAGGGACGTGGGTTCGAACCCCTCCCGAGTATCCCAGTGAAGTTTTCTTCACAAGCTCTTGGACAGGACTGAGAGTTCAGTGTGTTTATGACACCACGTCAATGAAAAGCAAGACCCTCTCCGAGATACCAGGTAATCCAGAAATTACAATAAAGTGAGAACCACTAAGAAGTTAGCATGGACAAGCCACATTTCTAAAAAGTTGGCATTCATTCAGAGACATGGCAAACAAACCAAAAGGAGAGAGGAATGTCTTTCAATCAGTTCATTTGTGAGAACTTGCTTGTGATAACTTGATTACGACTCTGGTTAGATGGCTTATTTCAATACTTTAGGAATAGGTCTCTCTCAAATGACGTCATTTCCTACACACCAGCCACGTGCATCAGCATTTTAAGCGTCAACTTCCATAACGCGCATCGGCTGCGTCATATTTTGAACACCTTTCAAGCAACAAGCACGCGTGTTTGGAACATTTTCAACACTGCGCAATGCGTGCTTGATCGTGTAAAATACGCAGCTGCAGTTCTCCTAAAGAGATGGCCGTCTTTCAGAGAGACCTATTTACCGCCAAACCAATAGCCCGTTGGACCACAAAAGTACTTGTTGATGTTCTTAAATTCCAACTTCTTAAGACACTTACTGCTGCGGGTGATTTTGGAGCAGCTGTGAAGCACAGGTGGAACACGTCGGCGAAAATCTGCTGCACCAACGGAGTACGCTGCAGCCAACGCACAAAGTCCTCTCTGCTGACTTTGGTCTCTGCTGCTGGTTTGGTCCCATCTGTTAAGAAATGAACAAACGCTGACTTTCAAAAATGACAGGTTACGCTTTCAATTAATCAAACTGCTGATATTTGTTGTGTGTGCGCACCATTTTTTTTTACAATGAAAATCTACACAATGTATACGGTGTGTACTAAAACAAAGAGAGCATCGTTAACCCTCCCTCTCTCAGTGGCAATCTGTCGTGAGTAACCCTATGGATCAAAATCTATCAGGGTACCATTTTGAACAGGTCGTAAGCTGGCATCATATGTGACCTGTTCTGTCAAAAGCAGACGCTTCTGGGCAGAGGTTGAAATTGAGATAGGGCCAAAAAACGCTGTGGGGGTGATATTTATCGATTTTCAAATTTTTGCATATTTGTAATCCTGAACATGTCTAAAATATATTATAAAAGTTTGAAACCCTAATTTGAACTCTACATATACTATTTTTGATGATTTTGATAAGGTATATCAGTTAAAGAAATAACTGTTTTGTGACGTTCGTGACCATTTTCTCCGTTTTCTACTTTTCGACACAATGAACTTCAAAATAGCATAACTCTGCCCAGGAATGACCGGTTTCAAAAATTAAACCACCTATTAAAAGGAAAAAGAACATATGTTAACAATATGTAAAAATATCATTTTCGACCTTATGCCCAGAAAAGTCTGATTTTGACAGAACAGGTCACATATTGGTACAATTGACAGGTTAAAATGGCTGCTACACAACCTGTACCAGGATTAATGGTCAACCAATCTATCAAACCACTTAAACAGGCACTAGCAGTTATACGGTGTAATCCTGAGGGATTTGTGGTAGTTGGGGACCGGCCTGAGAGAAAGCTACCGAGAGAGGTGGGGGTCAGGTTTTTTTTTTATAGATTGTAATAGTTACATACAAGCATACGAGGGACAGAAGAAGTGTGAAAACACTGGTCCCTCAGTGTTGGCTTAATTGCGATGACCTCCCTCTTCTTTGTGGTCAAAGTTCGCCAAAACTAAATTTTTACAGATTTGGCACAGGGGTTCTAAATATGCATTTTGAAATCTATAAAAAATATAGTGGCTTTGTCATTCAATGACTTGGAGTAAAAGTAGAGAAGAAGTATGCACGGATGTGAAAAGAAAGAGAACAGTCGATGATGAATCTCAGTGAAAAAAAAAATGACTGCACCTGAGCTCAAGTGTTCCAAGACCAAGTCAATGAATTTCTGGTTGGCTTCCGGTGTACACGTCAGTTCCCAGCCGTTCATCCTATTGTAGGTTTTCAGAGCCTCCTCGTAGGATTTCAACATGGAACCTATCAGCTTTAGACGGAAAACAATATGAGGTATTAATATCAAGCTTTCATCTCAAAGGGATAATACAACATTTGCAAACATCGAAAAATAAAATGACCAAGTTTTTACGAAATACCTTACAGGATGTTGGTAAATGACAGTCTAAAGCATCCTGTAAAATTATGGCACCTGGTGTGAAGTCATTTTCAAGAAAATTATATTTTTGTTTACATTTCCAACGGTGGTCGGCCGACCACCGTAGGAAAAACCTAACTATTTTTCACTACTGCTCCAAATTTACCATTTTTTTCAGTCCAATTTTGTTTGCTAATTGGTTTTATGTTCATGAATGGGTGCAGGTCAGCTAGACTGGTTCCCTTAGCGTACAATTTTCCGGCATCTGTAAATTGATCCATTTCATCTTCAGTGGAGTCAGGGAACCAGACTACTTGAACATTTTTGTTTTTCTTGGTTTTTCCAGCATTTTCGAAAACAAAACTTCAAACATGTCAGGGTAACAATAATTTGATCTATTATACTAACCCCTCAAATAGTTCATTTCTGAAAATTAAAGCATAAGCCAATGATGTACATTCCCTTTAAGTCTCGAAAAAAGAGATTTCAGACATTTTGGGATTCCTGCTTGAATGTGTGTCGGTTTTCTTTTCTGACATTTCTGACTGGCTTGCAAGTTCAGGCAAAGGGTCCTTCGCGCCTCTCTCTTTTTCACCATTGAGGGTGCACTTGTGCACAAAATCCACACTGGGTGTTCATTTTTCAAACATAATTAACCACAAGAGCACCACCACCCCGAAAATATTGAACTTTGACCCTCACCTCTGACACTTGACCTATCGACATGGCAGCGGCCTCCTCGTCACTGACGAGCGCAAACAGCAACTTGCTCTGTTCCTCCAGCGTTCCCTTCATCAGGCACGCCATGGTGTCCACGAAGGTATTACGGGTTATCCCCGCCTCATCTTTGGCCTCAAGCTGCCTGTGCAGGCGGCTGACGATTGAGGCGGGGAGTTTCCCTCCGATGAAATTCTGTGTGGGCAAAACACAGACTTTTTAAAAATTAACCAGTTCGTGCCGTGATTATTTCGGCATGATCGGACACACCACTGTCCTCAAGGACACATGTACCGTGATAAATTTTATTTTATTACACTATTTCCAAGCCCAGCAAAACTACTCTTAAACCTGCAGGTGTATTTTGAAAGATCTGCAAAGGTTAGGGTTAATTCCCTCTTAACCATTTTACTCACTGTACCGCCCAAAAGCACCCCGCCTATTACTCACTCTATCGCCTGAATTAACCACCTGAGCGCTCAATGATTCTCCGGTGAATAAACACAATGTAATATAATGTAGGACAAGTGCTATAATGGGTTAAGGTTGCAGACAGTTATTAGGCCCAAAATCACGATTTTTCTACCGTCACTCTCTCTCTCTTATCAACAAGTGTTTTGAGTGCCTTCAACACCTCAGAGAGTGGTATTTTCTCAATTTTTGGAAGCATTGGTATTTATCCTCGGCCACAATGGCAATTTATTTACTGGTCTGCAACACTCCAGAATAATGATAGTTATAGTTACAGCTCAACTACCAGAGTTTGTTCATGTCACGTTAGAATGTTTGGGAATTATGTATACATATATAATTGATCACCTGGCACCCCGTTTTTATTTTCAATAAGAGTCCAATATAGTGTCACCACAATGTAGTAGCTGGAATGTGAAATTAAAAAAGCCGAAAAAGGACTTTCTCTCTTGTGTTTGTTTATTGTATAGTGCTCAAATATTTGTGACTCGAATTGACTCGAGCTAAATACTTGACTCGACTCGACTTGACTACACACTGTGACTCGACTTGACTCGAATCGACATTCTTGCCCTAATGACTCGACTCGAGTCATTTCTTTAAAAATGACTTGACTCGACTTGCGTCACAAAAATCAGTGACTCGTTACAACTCTGCCAACTACAGCAGCTGGCCCAACTATTAACCCTAACCGAACTCAACCCATCAAAGTTCAACAGCAGGTTTTGTTTAAATCTGTTGGGATAGGTACAGTACCCCTAAACTGATGGTCTTTTACACTGGGGTTGGCATACCTCCAGAAACTAAGTCCAACAGTGTGTGTGTACAATTTCCCATGTGGGTGTTGGAATTTGCCAGAATGGGTATGGTTCCTAGTAAATTAGGCTGGGGAGTTAGGTTTAATGGGACAGTCGCAACTGTATTGCCAGATGTAATTGGGACAGTCTCTATACAATTGGGATATGTAGCAATTTCACAACCGTACCTGTAGCTGCAGCAGACTAAACCCACTAGCCGTCTCCCCGTCCCCCTTGCCCAGTTTGCAGATTGTCTGGTACGTTTGGCCAATCTCCTCCAGCTCCATGTCGCTGAAGAGTCCCTGGTACTCGATGTTCTCACAGTTGTCGTCCCCTGCTAGCTCCTTTGTGCTGGATGACTGTCCCATGGCGACCCGAATGGACGACGTCTCTTCAGAAACTTCGTAAGTGCCTCTTGTTTACAAATCTTGGAGTTTTTTTTGTCACTCTAGTTAAGCTGTCAAGAAATTATTTGGATTGATAAGATCCATGTAGCATTTGAAGTTGTCTTTACAAAATGAGGAATAAGATTTTTTAATCTCTTTATATAGCTATGTTATTGTACGATGGAAACAAGAGTATTCATCGTTGTCATTTTCATTATTAGTCAGCAGTGACAGTGAGGTAAATTGCCACCAGATCATGTGATGCATGATATAGTACAGCAACAGGAAGTGGTCTTTCCTGTGCACCATGAATGAAAAGACATATGGCAGATAGGACAAATACAGTTTCTGAAATCAAAATATTCAATCAACTATTTCTCACAAATACCAAAATTGCAGGTTTCTTCAACTATCTTCAAAATAATCTTTGCCATCACATGCTTAGCAAATGTCATTGAGGAAAGATTTCCATATACGAAGTTCACTAATTTTCCTCTGTATTGACTAACAAGCCCCCAGATAGCAATTTCATGTCATCAAAGTCAATTTGAGCAGAGAGAAAATACAAGCATTTTCTTAGAAAACACTTAGAATTTTTCAGTCCAATCTCATAGGGTTTGTACACAGGGTGTTGAATGAACTTTGTATATGGAAATCTTTCCGTCATTGACAAGGCATGAGTTAGGCCTATACTGTAAAAAAAAAAAAAAAAAAACAGAGAAAATGGTATTAAAATTCTAGTTTTCACACAAATTACCACTAACAACCCCCCCCCCTCCATTTTCAGAAAAACATGGTTCTTTTTGCCCGCCGTGTTTCAGTTTTGGAAACCCTGTGCCAAGTGGCCATTGATGGGAATCATACAGTTACAGGCCCTTCTTTAGTTTCGATCAAATTAGAGTCAAGGGTGTTTTTTATCATTCAAAAAGTGACCTTTTCAACTATAGCCTATAGGCTGAAGCAGACTTCTCTCATATAAGGCCAAAAAAAAAAGGCTCCAGTTTCTGGTATGCGCACGCGTCGCCGTAGCCATGCGCGTCGGCAAAATGAAACAGTTTTTTTTTCAATGAAAGATGATGTCTCAAAACCGCCAAACTCACTGGTTTGACTGGAATCCTGCTGCTGCACAATTTTAACGTGTTTTTAGATTGGGTTATGGTCGAGAATAAGCTTTATGTGGCCTCTCTGGACTCCCATATATTTGCACTAAGTTTAGTCGGGCACCATTTGCAGTCATCAGCCGACATTTGAAGCAAAACAATCAGGTAAAAAAAAAAAAAAAAGCCGCGTCGCCGCACCACTTTTTGGGCAAGCTCCATACCAGAAACCGGAGACTTTTTTTTTGGGCCTAAATGACACCTTTTTAAAAAAAAATTGAACAGTTTCTTCGGGTGGCAATACTGATTTTGCAGTTTATGGTTGGTGAATGTGATTCAGCAAGCCTTGCGCGTTCACGGTACATCGCGGTGATTGCCATCTTTATAGTTTCGTGTTGCGTTTTGTCGTTGTCATCATCATTTTACCGCAAAATTTCCCTTAAAAATTCTCAATCCTGCACTCTATCTATGACACACCTGAATGTTCTTAATGTCGCCAACTAGTTTGGTACATGTAAGTCAATTGACCTATCGCGGTAGAATCACGTCAACACAGATAGTGAAATATCGTCTCATAACGCAACGTTACATGATAATTGATATACAAATTGACGGGGAACGTGCAACATCTGAGACAAACAAAACTCAGCGTGCACAAATTACTTAGGGCTGTCTATGGGGCATGGCCAACTCACAAACGGCGATAGGTCATTTAAATTAAGATAGTGGATATTTTGCCGGAGGTAATGACGGCAAACTAACGTTTACTAAAGGTTTGCCGCCGGCAATCCATATCAACAGAGGGCGCTGTACTCTTTAAGATAGGGCTGAATTATAAGACGTATTAAATTCCCACCAAAAGTTGTGTAGCACGTTTGGTGTAGTGGTTAAGCAAAGGCTCTAGTAAGCGGGATGACTCGAGTTCGATTCCGACCGCAGCACATTTTTTAGTTTTTTTTCTCATCCCCAAATAAATAAGAATATTCTTCTTTTATTATTTTAACATGTCTCAAACATTTTTTTGCAGAGTATTACTATACATTTTCTTTTTCAGATTTGTGGCTCTGGAGGATTTTTTTTAAAAGGGAAATAAAGTCCGAAATTATAAAATGGTCTGAATCCCATCTTGTGAATACGAGGTTACAACGATAATTTTGGCATGGAGCCAGACTAAAATTTGTCATCGGAAAATGTTTTAAGTACCAAAAAACAGTAACTGCGCATGTTCAGTGCATATCCGGCAAACTAACGTTTACTAAAGGTTTGCCGTCTCCGGCAAAATATACACTGCCTTAAATTAAAGGCAGTGTATATTTTGCCGGAGACGGCAAACCTTTAGTAATCGTTAGTTTGCCGTCATTACCTCCGGCAAAATATCCACTACCTAAATTAAAACTTTTGATTTTGCTCTCTCTAAATGTTATAAACCGAGCCCATACACGATCGCCCCATTGACTGCAGTTGAAAAGATCTCTTCATCAGTGGCCAGTAGCGTAATAACTTACAAAAAGTTACAGCTTTTTATGGCGGGGGGGGGGGGCATTATTGTATCCCCCCCCCCCGGCCCCCCAGCTGGACACGCCTGGTGTCAGTGAAATGATCATAATGGAAAATGAGGCCGAGGCCTCGCAAAATCTCCACACAAATTACACACCTTCTCACGAGCTGTTCACAAAGAATACAAAACTGCATGCAAGATCTATGACACAATGTCCACGTATCAAGTAAATGTAAACACAGACAGTTAATAAATAAAAGAAAAGCATTCACATTGCACTGCGTCACCTGATCCGTGTGATGATCACGCAAAACTCGCCTAGCATAGCCTGCAGGTTAATATCGACCAGAAAACTCTTGAGGGCGCGGTTTTTATGTGGACTTTAAACGTCTGGTATCCTATCAAATTCACACGATATGGAAATGAAACACCTGATTGAGAACCGACGATTGTTGACATGAGCAATGGTCCGACGGGTAGCATAAAATGGCACGACAGTAGAGCGCGTGATGAATATGCATGACTATGACGTCACTAGAAGCTCATGAGTAATATATCACGCACGTGCTGCATCCCACCGATGATATCACATTTAACAAGTCTCTTTCTACTGTCGCGCCGCCACCCTCTAGTGTCGAGGGTGGCGGCGCGACAGTAGAAAGAGGACTTGTTAAATGTGATATCATCGGTAAGTGGGACGACACTAGAGGGTAGCGGCGCGACAGTAGAAAGAGGACTTGTTAAATGTGATATCATCGGTAAGTGGGACGACACTAGAGGGTGGTGGCGCGACAGTAGAAAGAGAACTTGTTAAATGTGATATCATTGGTAAGTGGGACGACACTAGAGGGTGGCGGCGCGACAGTAGAAAGAGGACTTGTTAAATGTGATATCATCGGTGGGATGCAGCACATACAGTGTGCATCTACATGTACAATGTATATCTATCAGTACCGTGCGTGATATATTACTCATGAGCTTCTAGTGACGTCATAGTCATGCATATTCATCACGCGCTCTACTGTCGTGCCATTTTATGCTACCGGTCCGACGATTGATCGGATGATATTGACCTCAAGGCTCAAGGGCAAGGCTCAAGGCTCAAGTCAAGGCCAAATTGACAGTGTGCCTACATTAATTGTACAACACTTTTTTTTCAGGTTACTTTCGCTAGGTAGGCATGCTAGGTCGCCTGCAAATTAGGTCCTACTTTTGGAAAGAATGTTGCAAGCAACCTGACGCTACTTCCATGACTTCAGCGGTTGTGTACAAAGTCTATGGAGATTCAAGAAAATGTTGTCTGGAAAGATTCCCATATCTGGCCATCACAAATTTTTCCCCTCAGCATGCTCAGTGACCATGTGAAAGCCATCAGATTATTATGCCCTAAAAAAGTACAATTTAGCTGGGAAAATATTGCAGTTTTTACTCAGAAAACACTTGGACATTTTCAGACCAGTCCCATAGGGTTTGTGCGCAGGGTGACAAGTGATAGCCAGATATGGGAATCTTTCCGACCGACCTTCATTGAGATGATATATGAAGAAAAAAGCAGCGTCAGGTTGCAACATTCTTTCCTTATTTTTAATTGTATTTGTACTTGTACTAGGCCAGTGGCTATCGTAAATACGTGTGGCAGCCGTATCGCAATTTTCAATGGCTAGTGCTTTGGAGAATTTTTTTTGTAAATGGGAAATAAAGTCCGAGAGCCATTCGGTATCCAACATGGCTGTTGGCAACAGCCAAAGATACTGATGTTGAAAATTACTATAGGTCAGGGAACAAACTGCTGATTGCCATGGCCCATATGCCATAACGACAGCAGTTGAAAATCGTCTTATGGCTGCCATAATGATAGCCACTGCATTTTAAATTATCAGCTATAACTGTCTCACAGTATTGAGAGTCCCACGTTTTCGGATTTCTACTGTCTTGTAATTACCGTTCATCACAAATGGCAAAATTTTGTTACACGCAACTCCCTGGCAGCTTGCCTTATTGAATTCACTAATTTTTCTTTTTGGTCTTCTTGAGTTTGACCTGATTTGTAACTTTTAACTTTTAGAAATTATGGAGACTCCTGTGTCAGAAATGAGTGACAAAGACCTGGAGCCGAGCAAATTAACAAGCGCTGTGCTGGATCTGGAACGGATTGAAAAAAATTTATACAGGTAGGCATAAATTTGTAAATCTTTACTTGTAAATTGTTGTCCCTGAACTTTTACTCAATCTATGGCACAACCTGCGATTTCAAGACTTTGTATTTATCTATCTTCCCTCTATAATTGCAGATCCTCCGAGCACTGGACAGAGTTTCAATCCAAGCAGCTGTATGGAGGACTGGTGGTCTGTCAAGGGATGGTGGCTGCCAGCAAAACGGTCCGTCCAGAGCTACATATCAACTCGCTGCACTGTTACTTTGTACGCAGAGGTGGGTACAACCATTCAATGGACCAGTGGACCAATTCCAGTTATTGAAACGCTGGTCTGGTGCTTTTTGTATGATAGACCTCCATGATAGACCTGTTTAGCTCTAAGAATTAGGGCAAATCTGTTCAAAGTATTTGTCTGATGCAAGAAAAGAAATTTCCCCATTATAAAGTGGGATTACAAACAAAAAGAGTTGATATACCCTCTGTGCATGTCATATATAGTGCACAATGTTGCCCTGATTCGACTTTAGCATCGTCCCAACTATAGTTGGGAGGATACCAAGTGCATGTATAGTTTAGGATTGGCCCAGCTGTAGTTGGGACTTTTCCAACTCTGGGACTTTTCCAACTGTAGCTGGGACTGCCCCGACTACAATTGAGGCCATTGCTATAGTTGGGCATTAACAAGTACACCCTGTTAAAACAGGTTCTGATACCTGTGCTCCAGAAAACATATCTCCAGAGTATTGTCAGAATTCCAATTTCAGGATTTCAATGTTGAAGCTACAGTCCATCATTTGCAGCTATCCAAAAAGTAACTGACAAAATTATTGTGGAAAAACATACTTGGTTGAAAGATAGTAAGGGGAATAAACTCCCTGCGAAATTATTCTTTCTGGCAAGCTGTCATTTTGAAGAAATTAACGAAAGAAGGCCTTTCCAACTTTCATTTGCGTGCACGCGGTTGCTATAATTCATTGGATCAGTACCCGACATCGCGTAGCTGCAATTGGCTCAGTGAGAACGTGTCTCGGATGCTGAATTCAGGCCCAATTCAAAACATGCTTCAGCAACTTTTGATTTGAAATCGAGATCCTAGAATGCTGTGTTTCTCGGAATATACAGCTGAAGCTGATCTGAAACTTCATCAGGTTTAAGTTGTTCAGCACCCTAGCTTCTTTAGATTTTGAGCACGTTTGTTGCTTCAAATAAACAAAATGCACAAATTACAAATGATGGACTATACCTTTAAGGATTTTCATGATTTTTTTATCTCCTGGACAGGGAACTCAGAAATCCCAGTTGTGTACCAGGTGGAGAACCTGCGCGATGGTCGGAGCTTCTCCACGCGGACCGTCCACGCCATACAGAATGGCCAATCCATCCTCATCATGATAGTCTCGTTTCACATCAAGGAGGACTCCCCCTTCAATTACCAGCACACCATGCCGGATGTCCCGCCCCCTGAAAAGCTGCTCAGCATCAATGATATCATTGAGAAATATCTAAGGTAACTAGACTTATATGCTTGTGGACAAAAACAGGGCTGTTTCGGTAACTTTTTGTGACATATGTGACATGTAAAGTTTTAAGTATAAGTTCCATCCAGGAAGGATGTGTAGTTCTGTTTATAATAAATGGTGGCATATGGTTACATTCTCATAGGGCTTTGAATTATGATGACGTCATGATGACGTCACATCAATTTTCATCTGTTGATATAATTTTATGGTAAAGAGCAACTTAGCCAGAGCATACATCGTTGAAAGCAAGTTCACATCTTTTACCAATTTTAAATTACATGGCACTTCTGGTTTCAACCGGAAGGAAGGGTCACGTGATTTTGCACGTAATATTAAAAAATTAAGACATTAGATTATTCTATAAATTTCTGCAAAAATCATGTTCAGATCTCTCACGGTTGATTTTATATTGATTTTCAAAGATGAAATTTATTAATTTTTAACGTGACGTTACGTTATCCATGATGACGTCATCGTGACGTCACTTCATTTTTCATCTATAACACATCCGGGTCTAGGTACATACCAACTTTCAACCCAATCGAACCTAGATGTAGGCATTCAAAATATGCACTTTTAATGTGACGTCACGTGACCCGTGATGACGTCATGATGACGTCAATGTTCGGCGTCCATTTGCGGGTGGTGGTCTAAGTGTGTACCAGATATAAAGTCAACCGGATTAATTTTAGTGGCCAAAGTACCAGTAACAACAAAATGTGTACAAATGCTATGGGCCAAAATGACTGGGGAAAAAAAAAAGGAAAAAAAAAAACACTTTAACAAAAACTAAGGCTGTTTCGGCAGGTTGCCGAAACAGCCAAAAATTAAACATTAAATTTGTTCTTGAAGGAAATCGCCTGTAAGGCCAAGTAAAAAAAAAAATGTTCCAGTTTCTCGTTCTCGTCAGCTTCCTTTTTCCTCCCGTCTCCTTTAGAAATATTTTTTTTTTGGAAATTCATACAATTCATGCAATATATTTTGCAATTTTATCAATTTATTGTTTTATTTGTTTCCAACAAAATTATACAGCTATGTAGAAAGGAAACAATGTTGTGTCAGTAAAAGTGTTGAGAAAATAGAAGAATCCCTCCAGTATCTTGGAAAATCTGCCATTTCTACCAAAAAAAAAAAAACCGGACAAGAAATTCACTTTTTTTTTTACTCGGCCTAAAGTGGTTGAAAGACACTCAGGGTAATTTTTTTTGGTTTATCAAATACCTCTCATTGTTTGGTATCCGTAGTGGTGCAACCGAGAACGTCAAAAGCAAAATTCGTGAAGTTGAAGGCTCTGGGATCATGCTAGAGTACAGACACATCGATGTCGAGGTTCTCTTGAGGAAGCAAGCCAAAGAGCCACGCAGGTTACTCTGGGTTCGAGTCAGGGGATATTTAGGTGAGAAAAAGTCGACATGACTCGCAGATTTCTCATACAGAACAAAACACCCTAGCTCTTGATACTCTGCAATTTAGAAACTCCATGTAGAACTCCATGGTCCGGTGGTTGCGGTGTTTGACTCATGTACGAAGGTGCGTGGGTTCAAACCGTACCAGGAACATGGTGTTTGTGCCCTTGGGCAAGACACTTAACTACAATTGCCCCCCCCCCCAAGAGGTTGTCAATTTTTTTTTGTCCCACGATTTGACCTTGGTGGTATGTATGTGGCCTATTTTCGAGTAGTATAACAGGGGTGAAAGTGGCGCAATAGGGGTGTAGGTGGCGCCACCAATGTCAAAATGGCCCACCCCCCTCAAAAAAAACCCCCAATTTTCTTGAACAAAATTGTGAGGCCCTCACTCCCCCCCCCAACCAAATCCTTGGTGCGCCACTGCCTTGGCCAAGGCTGCATTTGATTCAGTGTGACTTTGGAACACCAGTCTATTAAAGATGATGGCTATTTGACGTGGAAATAAATTCTTTGCACAGGTGGGGATGAGAATGTTCACCGTTGCGCTGCTGCGTTCATATCGGACTCCTTCATAGCCTGGACGTCATACATGCCTCACCGACACATCCGACTCGGTCAGATTACCTCGCTGGACCACTCCATGTGGTTCCACGCACCGTTCCGTGCAGATGAGTGGATGTTGTATGAGCTGGATAGCCCAAAGACAGGTAAGTGTGGACGAACAGTGGATGGTGTTTTGTCACCACCAACAAGAGAACCAGTGGGAGGTAATGTTGGGTTGAAGACGTTGTTGTTGTACATTGGTAATCACAAAGAATCACTATCACCCACTATCACAACAACAAACTCTCCCCAATAAAACTGGGAGAGACTATTGCGTATACGGTCCATTTTTGGTCACACAGGTACTGCCGTGATCAGAGATGCCACTTTTCCGGTTTTAACCGGAATTCCGGTTTTTAAAAAAAATCTCACAAAATTCCGGTTTTTCCGGCCGTCAAATTAACCAGAAAAAGAGAAGAAAAACTGTGGAAATGCGTTGATTTTTACCTCGATTTAGTACATTTAGGCGCACGCATGGCACAACGTTGTTCGTTGAAGTAGTCTTAAAAACAGTCTTTGTGTATGTTGTTGCCGAGCCTGCATGCGATACAAACGGCCAACGTACTTAATTGCACGCAGTATACAACGGCGCCTCGCGCGTGCTTCACCGCGTGCGGGCGTGTTGTGTGCTAAGCACACGTAGCATTCAGCCTGGAAATCAAGTCTATCATTTCAGCTATCGGTGGTTTCCGATCGCAGTGATATATGTGAATACAAAAAATGCGGGTACCAACCATGTTTTCGTTGAGCGCATCGCGTAGTGCAAGGATCATGTACACCGACAGCAGTGTTGTGGAATCATGCATGTTTCGTGTCGAATATTACGTTGGAAATTCGGGTAGGCAGAATAAATATTAGGATGGAAAAAGTCAAAGTGATTGAACGAACCGACAGCTTTCAAGGCCATAGAAGCAAAATTAAAAAATAAACAGAACTTGGCTTGGCTACAAGATAAAGATGACAGCGGGGACTTTGTGTCGGACACGGAGTGGCTTTTTCACACACACAAAAGTCCGGTTTTTTCAAGCAGCCGTTCCGGTTTTTTTCAAGCAGACCCAGTTCCGTTTTTTTCAAGCAAACCCTGTGGCATCTCTGCGTGATGTTGCACAAACAGTCTGGTAGTATACAAATATTGAATGCTTCGAGTGGTGTAGTAAAACTAGGCTCCCGAGATGATCCATGGACATTCTATTTTCCCGAGGCGAAGCCGAGGGAAAATAGAATGGTCCATGGATCACCGAGGGAGGCTAGTTTTACTTCACCACGAGATAAAGCATTCAATATTTGTTTTATAACACTTCACCCACAGATTCTGCTTGATTTTAATATTTTACATGATTTAAATCTGAACACAGTTGAAATAAACTTCAATTTCAATACAAAATTGGTGGAAAATGTATTTCTCTCTTAAAAACTAACCCTTCACGAAATGTTTGAACCAAAGTCTGCGGCGCGCTCTCTTTGGAATAATACGCGCTATGCACAACGCGCAACGCGCACACCAGCATGCATTTGCACACAAATACCGCGCCGTGGAAATAGTACTTTGGTTGCTAATGGTATAGTACTTTGGTTGCTATGCGCATAGTACTTTTGGCCGTGCACCGAAAAATAGCAAAATTAGAAAGTAACATGTGACTCGCTCTCGGCCAATCAAGACACAGAATCTGTGGGTGAGGTGTTATAACATCTTATATGCTACTGGCTGAATTTTCCGAGTTTGGTTCAGAGCTAACAAATGCAAGGTACTGAATGCACACTGCATATATACATTAGGCAAAACAGACATGTTTTTGGTGGGGCCTTGAAAGTGTGGTGGGGGGGGGGATGAGGTGGTTGGAACAGAGCACCTGCAGAGCTAAAAGTCATCAGCTATTGAAAATTTGAAGGGGGGGGTGTGGACCTCATTTGACACTTAGGGCGGGGGCACTTTTATCTTGTTTTTATCTCTTTTTTTCTTCACGAACCTGTTATAGAGAAATGCATGAGTTCACTACAGCATCGATTTAAGAACATTGATTTTCAATACTGGTGTTCTTGTTTTATTATTTACTAATGAAATTCATACCTTTTGGGGCGTTTGAAAGGAGGCAAAGCCCCAAACAGCTTCATTAGTCAAAAGTGGGAGTGGCGGCAAAATCGCTCTTCCAAGGTTTTTTTTGGGGGGGGGGGCACCGGCCCCCAAGTTCCCTGCGGCCCTGATCAGTATACAATGGAGTTGAGTGGTATTTTTTCAGAAACATTAATAGTTATTCCTTTGTTTTGTAAGGTGGCCTTATTTGCCAACTTATGATTGGCAAAAAGTAAGACTGAGACACAGACTTATATCAGAAAAAAATGGACAGAGTTTTATTAGAATGGTGTGTCTGTTTCTTTTTACAGGTGCATCTCGTGGCATGAGCTTTGGCCGGCTGTGGACACAGGATGGGACGCTTGTCGCATCCATCTCGCAAGAGTGTCTTATGAGACCAAAATTGTGATCAGGTTACAGTACAGTGGTTAATGTATGACATACTGAATGTGAGACGCACAGATTTCTTAATCTTTATATTCCCATTTTTTGTTTAGCTTTTTAAGTAATTGAGACCCATCACAAGTCTGGTAACTTGCAAGCCCATTCGCAAGTAACAGTGAATGAACAATAACAAAGGAATGCCTTTTAAGTTGTCACAGTTTGTTTGAACAGGGTTCCCAGTCACTCTGGAACTCAGGGAAAACCTTGAAAAAAGGAGTTTCTATTTCATAAGATGGATTTGCGTCAGGGTGATGTAAATCAATATTAGGTTTTGCCCTTCACGGACGCAAGGGCGGATCCAGAACACAATTTTGGGGGGGCCCAAAAAAATTTTGGTCTCCGAAAAAAGTGGGTCCCAAAAAATACGGCGTGGGGTTCGGGGCCCGCTTAAGGGCCCCGAAATTTTTTTTGATTCTAGATGCTCTGTGGTGCGATCTGAGGCAATTTCTGACCACTTTAACCAATGTTTTTTTGAGGAAAAGATGTTGGTGTACTCATTGCCAGCCTTTATTGCGATGTCACATAAAAAAAAAAAAAAATTGGTTTCGTTTTGGGGGGGGGGGGGGGGGGGGCCATGGCCCCCTTTGCCCCCCCCCCCCCCCCCCCGGATCCGCCCTTGCACGGACGTATGAACACTGTATACTCGGTGAGTAACCTCCCGAGTGAACATTGGAAAAAAAAAATTTGGTCCCGCAAGCTTGGTGGTTGAGTGGTAAGACGTCTGCACTAGAAAGCAGGAGGTCGTGGGTTCGAGTCCCACCCGAGTGATTTTTCCCAATTTTTCACTTGGAAGGTAACACGCTGGGTATGCAGTGTTTATACATCGGTGAAGGGCAAAACCTGACACTGATTTTCCATTTGTCGAGTCAGGGAATCTCACAGAATTGGGGGAAAACACTCAAAATTTGGGAAAAGAGTTTGTCCGTCTTGTGCCACATGTCAAAGTTGTGTCCATGGACTGACAGGCCATAGTGGCTTTTTACTGTTAATGCAGTGTGAATATTACCTCACCAGGCAATTACAATTGGCTTTGCTACACCACCTCTTGACGTAAGTGAAAATATTTCGCATGGAATTTTGGATATTTCTCAGGGAAATTTCAAGGAATTTTGTTTTCATAAAGAGACGGGAACCCTGTTGAATAGCGTGTGACTTAACCTGGGAATGGATGACTTGTGATTGGCTTGCGTGGACTGGGATCAACTTGACAAATTAAGAATGTCGTAATCTCGATATCACTGATTGTAGATATTTCTTATTTAACTTTTTTAGTGAACTGAAATAATCTGATTAAAGTAAGCTGTAGAAAGCTTTCAATTTACCAAATAATATATTAAGTACATGTATATGTATGTTTTTACATGTTAAAGGTACAGTACATCATTTGTAATTTGTGCATAATGTTCGTTTGAGCAACAAAAGTGCTGAAAATCTTAAGAAGGGTGCTGAACAACTAACCCGATGAAGTTTCAGCTCATATTCTGAGAAAACAATATTCTAGGATCTTGATTTCAATTCAAAAGTTGTCAATCATGGTTTGAATTGCGCCCGAATTCAGTGTCCGGGACACGTTCTCATCCAACTGATTGCAACTACGCGATGTCGGGCACTGAACCGATGTTTGCTTTTCAACAGTAACTAAGTCAGTTACTTTTTGGATAACTGCAAAATAGTGCAAATTATGGGTTGAGCTTTCATAATATGGAACGTGCCAAGAATATACTAATTGAATTTCCATGGATATTTATTTGAATAAGCTTCCGGATTCATGGCATTTAGTTAGCTTATTTGGTTAGGCTTGTATGCATTCAAATTGTGTTGAGAATATCTGATTCATTTTTTTTTACAAATGCGATTCCACAGCCTAGTTTTAAAATGGTGATACAAATTAATAAATTTTGTACCCCTGTAAGAAATTGCTGGCTTTCTTACCATACAAATAATGATCAATTTAAATAATATGTCTTTTTTTGTCTCAGTGTGTTGTTACATGTCTAGGAATTTTCTGGGATTATTTACAAGGCTTCATTGTTTTGTTTAATTAATTTGGTGTAATTTAGGTAACACTTAAATAGTGATAAAAGAAAAGCAAAGGAAAGAAAACAAGGTGTTTGTTTTTGCAGTTCTGGGTTAATTATTTCGTATCAAAACAATATTCTGTAAACTTAAGCAACAATGAAACAGGAAATATAAAACCAAAGGTCTAAGTGTAAAGTCTATGCAATGTTAAGAAAGAAAACAAAGTTACCGATTTTTTTACCTGTAACAAATGAAAGTTGGCTTAAAAACACCAAAAGAAAATTTTAATGTACAACTAAAAAAAGCTATAATACAGCAATGTCTGAACAACAAATAGAGATAAAAAAAAAACCACCCAAGTAAATGTAAACAATTATGTTTGAAGTTGAAGTTTGCTAAACACTATTGAAGGGAAATCTTAATGTAAATCTAAATAACAGATTAAAGTCTAAACAAACATATGAACAAACAGCACAAAAACAAACCAAAATCAAAACAGACACCTGAAAGTGAATAATAACAATGGTTTGAATTTCCATGGAAAACGGCCAAGGAATATAACCAAGGAAAATTATCGTACAACTGTGGATATGATGGAAACCAGAAATTGGTAAATGTGGGGTAAACAAGATGTGCCCCAATTATACCTATTATCCCCAATAGCTATATTCCCCAATAGGCATACCTAATGTTCCGCAAAACCCTCAAGGTTAGGGTTATGATTGGGGAACATGGGTATCGGGGAACATAGGTATGCACCCATAAATGTGGCAGATGAACAAACATTGAAACGGTAATTACATCTATAGGTACACCAGATCAAAACTCCCCGTAATGGCAAGAACGGCAGGCCACAGCGGAGAATTTCATCGAGTGTTCCTTGCACACAAATCTGTTGCAGGTCTTGCACGACCTGGGGGTTCGCCTGCCTCCTTGGCGACGAGGAGGGCACTCGTGGCAGTCGCCCATCTTGGCTTGCTCAGCTCCGTCAGGCTTGGGTTGTTTGCTGTTGTATTGGACCGTGAAGTTCAGGATCGCCATGGCACTGGTGGTGGAGGCATGGAGTCCTCTGGGATTGGCTGCTCGCAGCTCAATCTGAGGCCTCACCAGATCCATGATGAGGCCGTGCAGGAAGTCGTGGCGGCTATTTTCGCGTTTAGCCCACGCCGGATTGAGGTGGCGCCACAATGCATAGGCGTTCAGTGCCGCCAGGTTCAACAAGTTGTAGAACACAGTCATTGGCCACCTTTTTGTCTTCCGCAAGCACGAATACACGCTGCACATCTGGTCGACCGTGTCTACCCCACCTTTGGTTTTATTGTAGAAATGGATAATGTCCGGTTTCTGGGTGTCGGGGTTGATTTTCTTGTCGTGATGCATCGATGACAGGAGCAGCACACTCCGGTTCTCTCTCGGGATGAAAGAGACGAGCGTCAGATCTTCATTGAAAAGGAAACGGGACGACTTGGCAGCCCTGGTCTTCACATTCTCTCGTCGAACTTCCTTGGGAACTTCTCGGCGACTTCCCCTGATTGTTCCCACCAAAGTGAGGTTTTTCTTGAGCAAGTCCTTGGCAAGAGCGGCACTTGTGAAATAATTGTCCGTCGTCACATTTCTCCCAATGTTGTACATAGGCTGCATTAGTTCTTTGACAACACTCGCACCCAGGTTGGTCCTCGTTCCCTCTGCTTCTTTCCCAAGGTAGGGGATGATGTTCAGCACGTAATGGCTGTCCACGTCCACACAAGCCCAAAACTTGATCCCGTACTTGGCCGGCTTTCTGGGCATGTACTGCCTGAAGGGACATCGACCTCTGAAGGCAACCAACTGTTCGTCAACCGTGACACATTCACCGGCGCTGTAGTAGCGACGGCAGGAGGAGGCAAATTCATCGAAGACGCTTCGAATTGGGGCGAACTTATCGTTCTTTCGTCTCGCCTCGCCTGTCGCCTTGCTGTCAAAACGCATCAAGGTGAGAATGTCCTGGAACCTCGTACCCGTCATGGTGGCCATGCAGAGCGGTCTCGCAAAAGGTCCCTGTCTCCAGAAGGAACGGACCTTCTCACGGCCGGACTTGGTAAGCCCCAAGAACAGCAGAAGACCGATGGCTGAAGTCAGCTCCATCATGGCGACGTCGCCACTCCAAGCCCGTCCCCGCTGTCTCAGACCTTCCTCGTTAGTGTGCATGAGGATGGCATTCATCATACCCGTGGTGATGAAGAGTTGAAACAACTGGAGCTTGCTCTTTGCGCCTTCAAGATTTTTTGGCCCGGCTGCCTCCATCATGACCTTTGCCTTTCGTCTTCTTGAAGTAGATGGGGCATCCGACGTCCAGGTGTCCCCCGACGGCGAGACGTACGCTGCACGTGATGGCTTCTCTTTCTGAAGCCGCCCATTTGGAGGGGTGGGCAACGGCCTTTTTTTGGGAGGCAGAATGGATGCAACATCGCCGTCCTCATTGCCATTGCTGTCAACGTCTTCGCCACTTTCCTCTGAACAAGACATTTCATCAGAGGTTTGGCTATCGGCCACCACACTGCCACTTTCTTCCGACATCAGAGATTCAACATCAGAATCTCGAATATCATCTTGCAAAGTGGGTGGAAGAGATTCTGGAATATCGGGATGTCTACTGGTTGAAGCCATGTTTAGAAATGGACACGTAACGTGTGGTTTTAGTACAGTACGTGTAGGCTACATGTACAAATTCCACTGGCAAACATCGCGCGGGGAATGCGGTGCAAAATGGTCCGGGTGCAACTACCGGTCGTGATCCAGGGTCGCTGCAACAAATGGGCTCCATCAATCTGAACCCGTAGAACTGTGTCGGCAGATATCTAAAGAATGTTCCATTTCGCCAGTAGGGGAGATCCCGCAGGGACGTCGACTTTGTATACGCATACGCAAGCATGTACTGTACATGTACATTTAGACTATGCACACAAACATGATGGGAGCCGACTATTTTTCCCGCCAATTCTGAGCAAGCCACTTAGCCCTGCCAAGTGACCTTCACCCACCCCTCTGGGGGTGTTATGTATACGGTCCATATGATCTGCGGATACATTTCCATCCATCGTGTTTACTATATGTGGCCGGACAATAACAATAAATGTGGAGGATTCTGGATGCCTCACCCGGCCACGTGTTAAGGGATTTATATAATAGGCCCTAGACAGACAGTCATTTTATTAAATAGTAGTTGACGGAGGGGAGGATCTGTATTTTTATAACTAGACATGATTTGAATATGCGATTTCTTAAAAATGTCATGCATAGTGGTACATGAGGGTGTGTTCCGTACGTGTTGCGTGACGATAAGTTTGTTGGAGCATGGAGGTAGGAAACACCACCATGGTTGGGTAGAGGAAAACATGTGACTGTGACAATTTCTAGACTAAACACGTACTCCTATGTGTACATGTGTAGCTTATTTCTTACTCTGAGAAAATCATTTAATAATCATCCACGTTTATCCCCGCCCGCAGCCGCCCCTAAGGCTTAATATTTAAGACACATTACTTTGAGGAAACTTGAAGGTAGCCGAATGACTGAGTATATTCATGGGTCCGTTGATCACCGATATCTGGGACCCAGGTTCGGGTCTCCACTGCGTCTTTGTGGTCTTCCGTGAATTTTCGCGTTCAGTAATTAACTTTAAGAAATTTAATTGTGAAAATTATTGCATGCAAACAGCAACTCGGCGTAATCGGTGAGACTTGTATTCGAGTCACCAAACATCGAGTACCGAGTCCAAGTCCCGAGTCATGCAGGTCAAGTCCGAGTCACGAGTCACTCAGGTCGAGTCCGAGTTACGGAAAATGGGACTCGAGTCGGACTCTAGTCCGAGTCACGAGTCATACAAGTCTGGTAAGCTAGCTGTACAGTTGGGACTGCATGTCCGTAACATTGTAAGTTATATAGCGTCCACAGGTATATACGGGAACCTTTTTTTGGCTGATCTCGGCAGCCGGGGGGGGGGGGGGTGCCACCTCGTTTCCTACCCGTTTTATAATTATGGCACTTAAAGTTGGTAAGCTATTTCAAATTGAGTTAATAATTTTCTTTCATTAATAATGAGCTTTCAAATGAGTCGTGGAACGCAAAAAAAAAATCGGCCCACGACAAGTAATCAATTAATAAAACTTTCGAATGGGGAGCGTCCCCGCTCTTAATTCAGTTCTAAAACCAGCAGTATGTTTATGCGCTTTTGCTAATTTCAACAGCTGTACAGACTAACTTTTCACGGATGTGTACACAGTGTCGTACCGTAAAACAAGACTTGGAAAAACCACGGCTTTGCGATCCAGTGAGAGGAAAAGAGGCAAAAGTAGCAGAGATTCTAGTGTGGCGTAGCCAGGCCGGCCAGGGTGCATGTAGGCCTACTTTGATCGCCGAGCGTGCCGCGAACCGACCCGGCGATTCATCGCGTATAGCTATCGGCGGACCAGGCGAATACAACACGCGTGATTCCAATAATAAACATGTACATAATGTATGAGCTGATACGTCGCAGACTATTATGAATATTTTATTTTGCTCAAAACTTTCAAAGTAAAAAAAAAACCACTGGAGCGCGCCATTTAAAACCACTGTTTAAAACTGTACATAATGGCCTGCACCGTATACCACCAAGTTCACGTAGTCTTAAGGGAATATCAAGCAATTCAAACATGTCTCCCCAAGTGTGAGAAATCTACGTCTGGAAAAGTGTAAACTTTTTCGGACCACCCTGTACAGCGGAATGTCGGGACCATTGTTTTGGTGAAATTTTGGATGTAGCCCTTTCAAAGTCTGCGATACGAAAGCCCAATTCATAGGCTTTCTTTTAGTACAGGAATCATTCAAATCACTCATGTTCTTTTTAAGTTACGGGATTTTAAACACAACCACCGTTTTTAAGTTCTGTCCACGGATCACAAGAAGGTAAGTGTTCTTTCATCAAAACGAAAACGAATCACATAGGGATGTGTGTGAATTGTTGTACTAAAAGAAAGCTTACGAGTTGGCCGGGCTTTCATAGCCTAGATTTTCAACGTGCTACATGCAAAACTTCACTAAAACAATGGTCGCGACATTTGGGTTTTGCTTTTTTTTACTCACCCTGTATATTAAAGTCACAAACTAAGCAGTCATGACTGTACAGACCTTGCCTTTATGAGTGCAGCAAAATGTATAACATAAAACTATTCAATCAAAGATAAAATATATTTTACAGTAACTCACTTACCATAAACATAACAACTAAACTACAAATGTTATACATAAAGTTATGGCAATCAAACGTTATCCCACATGAATTAAACAAACACAATTATGATTGAAAACTGATAAAAGAGACCCACATATTCATACGTTATTATTCAGTTCTGCCACTTTACATTATGTTAGAAGACGAGTGATGACTTCGCACTCGAAACAGCAACCTAATTAACTACAGATAATTATATCTCAGTTTTCACATCTACAGAAACGTTCGTTACGTCACAGTATTTTCCCATTTCTCATCATCAGCTAAACATTCGATGCATGCGACAGAAATAAACTTGCGCACCCGGCCGCCCGTACGTGATTTTTGTCCCCAAACGAGGTCGGACAATATCACAAGAGGGCACTCTCACTGCGTTATGCATATTCGTGGTGCCAAGGGCAATAATGGTTTTTAAATCACCGGCGATTGGCAGCTGATTCGTGGATTGGTTGGAAGTAGTCCCGCCTTCTAATCAAGTAATCCGAGTTCCAATCTCAGTGAGCGTTTTTCACTTCTTTCCATTTTACCTTTGAAATAACTAAAGTGAGGAAGGAACATTTCACAAGACGTAAAGCCTATCTTGGGTTGGTGTTGTGGTGATCGAGAACAATGCATTACATAATGCATGTAATAGACCAATCAGAGGATGGGAAGTGGATGTCGTTTGGGAACTTCGCCACCCGTACTGGAATTTATATCCTCGTGCAGTGTTCTCGTGTATTAAAATTTTAGAGTTTGAAAATCTAGTTTCAAAAGGCTCCTATAAAATACTTCAATTTTTCGACGGATCAATACACCTTGGAAATTCCTAGTTTGAATAAAATCCATATATCTAATCTGTAGCAAATTGCCCTGTGGAGAGGTATATACAATCTTCTGTTTCCTATAGTGCGCACACATGCGTGTCCATCAAACACGGTCATTCAGACTGCGGCTGATTTATAACAATTATATCCCAGTCCATATTCAGAAATATGGCACCACCACTTTCCCTCTCGGAGCAGTCACCCCTACCCAGGCACTCCATGACCGACCTCTGCATATCTTCGGGCGCCGTCTTCCTGAAGTTCACGACATGGGTGACAAAATCCAGCAACAAGCCACCTTCTTCGGAGGCTTGGTCGAAGCACTGGGTCACGTCTATGCGCACAGTTTGGGGGTACTGCGTGTACGGGATGCCCCGGCGGTCCAGGCAGCTGCGTATGTCCGCCGATGTCATGTTGTATGATGATGTATCGAGACTGGATTTAAGTTGACCTAGTAGACGGCTGAACTTGCACGTGTCTGAAAACAACGATAACAATTCAATAATCTTTTATCTTCACTTGCTCGTTCTGCCCGTAATGGGTTGAACAAGGACAAAGGAATATTTTTGTTACAGTTCATTTGAACAGCAACTTGACTTGAGAGTGATGGACTTATGATGGACTTACAGGGACTTGTGATGGAGTCGACTATATACAACACTGGCGTTTACTCTCTGGTTTCAGTGGCATGAAACGACTGAGAATATTTCTATTCCGGCTCCCGGATGGGATGCCAGTCCATCGCAGGTTTTGCCCCAGCTAATGCCGGTACCTATATTGATACTCCTGGGTGGAGAGAGGCACGTGCGGGTGAAGTGGCTTGCCAAAGGACACAACATTATGGCCAGCTGCTGGATTCGAAACCCTGACTCTCTGATCATGAATCACAAACCCTAACCACACACGGCAGGCCATACTAGGTTTTGCCAGGCTCCCGACCGTCCATGCTTGTGAGTCCCTATCCATGTTTGTTTCGTGTATACCTCTGTCATTTTGCCTCTGAAGCAGAACTTCTTAAGTTCGGAACTTGATACCACTCAAGGTTTTTCTAGAATTGTAAATCTCAGGTCAATCCAGTCAGAAAGCAGCATTTGTATTCATTTTCATGTTTTTTTTTTCACACCAAAAATGTCGTCGTTATAGGCGCTCAAAGATGGATTATTTTTTATTTATACGGTCGACTGTTTTTACCTGAATTGAGAATCACCAGCATCACTCCACCCGGTTCCAAACGGTTGTACAGATCCATCAAGCCGCTATCCACGTCGCCTGCTATGTAGTAGATGGAGTGCACTGCGCTGATGAAATGAAACTTGCTCGAATCTCCCGCCTTTTGGTATTGCCCGATCGTCTGCTGACGCCAGTCGCACTCAACGCCGTGCAGTTGGTGAGCCTTGGAGCTCACCAATGACTTGTACAGGTCTAGGAACTCTGCGAGGGGCTCAACTACACGATTGTTGATGCGTGAGAATTGCTTTAGGAGTCGCTCCAGCATGATGCAGTCCGTTACACCTTTCAAATATGCAAATCGATTTTTCCTAATGAATTTCGGTGGAACAGATAACGACAACTGATACAGTTATGAATGTGACATCACACAAAATGCGGAAACAAAGCATGTGGACCATTCGGGTAAATTAGAAAATAAATATCAACTGTTTTGGATATTCTCACCTGACCCACTGCCCACCCCTAGGATCCGTAGCTCTTCTTGTCTGTCCAGTGTGGCCTGGAGTTTACCGACCACCACCTCGCTAAACACACCGTCCACCCACACGGAGAACACGCTGACATCGGAACACCGATCACGGAAGACATTGAACGTCTTGACATAATGGCCTGGATTGTTTAACAGACTCCAGTTTGTGTCCATGTTGTCTTCTCTTCTAGATACTCCGATGTTTTGACAGCTAGACAACCTGCATGAGTGTGACTGAATTGGACCCTCAAAGCTAAGAGTGGGATGATTAGTTGGGCAGATAGGGGAATTATTTTGGGGGAATTGTGCCTTTGGAATTTGGCACACAGTCAGAGTATGTCTTATGAAAGATATTTGGCTATAGGGCCATGATATCGCAGATTTGTCCTTTGAACAAAATATAGGTAGAATAACAAGCAATTTTTTTTAAGTTTTCAAAATGGCTGCCATTGCCTGTTATTCTACCTTTAACTTAGAACCATCTGAACTTCTGAAACATCTTTTTAAAATGTTATGGCTGAAATTATTTTTTTTTAAAGGTACATGCAAAGATGTAACCCAATCGGACAAGTAATTGAGGAGATATTGGCCGGCAAAGAATGATTCGGTACACATCTTCAGATTGGCTTCTATAAGAGTACGTATGCCAAGTTGGATGTGGATCGGATTTCAAAAGTGCCAATGTGGGGTGTATACGATAACCGATGCATGAAAAAAACCCCGGAAATGTGAAGTAAAGTAGACTTCTCTGAAGCCTAATGACACCTGCTTTTGTAATTTGGAAACGTTTTTCAAGTTGGAAAATTCGATTTTCTACCGCGCGTTAATTACGTTTTGACCTGGTCAAAAACTAACCTAATCCCAATTCGCAATGCCGTATTTTTTTTTTTACCTATTATTAACCCCAGGCATGCCCCAGGCAAAAACACTGCAGGCTGTCTACGACATGGCTGTTTGTTCTGAATGTGGCACAACAAAAGTGCCCTAATTAAATTACTTCACAATCACCACAGAAGAACAAAAAATAAAGGCTGTAGGCACTATACTGTCAAATATAGGCCTATTTAGAGCATGGAGGAAGGAATAGCTTCGGAGAAAAACACACAAATCTGCGTGGAACCAGCATCTATACTACAATCACGAAAATGATTCGGGGGCGCTGCCATTTTCCCGACCGGTCTCCGACCGGTCTCCCGTCCCCATCGCGCCTGTTGGCTGCGGGGGATGCGGAACGGGGCCCGGCTATTTTCGCCACATATTTCCCAGAATTCCTTTCCCCATTGAGCCGGCCGCCATCTTGCGTACGGGCCGGTGTCACGTGAAAATTCAACTCCTATGAAAATCGGACCCCTATTTCCCTATTATTGGTTGATCCCTCGCACGTACGTGACAGGTCACTCTCCCAAAATGATCCTAAAAATAGCACAGTATCGTACTCACGCGTGCGCAGGACTACCAATGAGTCCACATTTCATGGAGTCGGATATTCACGCTACACCTGTCGTGCCACGTATACGTATACGTTCGTATAGAGGAGCATGCGCTGCAGCGCATGCAACGGTATTCCATGCAACATGCAAAGCTGAAGGCATGCTTGCCCCACATTTTCTCAGCACTACTAGCTTCGTTTGATGGTCGTTTGATGCATTGATTATGCTACAATTTTCTCTTTCAATGGTAAGTCCGGTTTGTGCTATGACACATTATAGATTATAGTTAGTAGTAATTCTTTCGAACACCTCTGGCAAAGGATTATAAGTATTCTTTCGAACACCACTGCTGGCAATGACAATTGTTGTTTGTGAAAAGTGTGACCCAATCGCGTGGGCCTCGGACATGGCGATCGTGTAGTATTTAGTAGAAGGGCCCGGTTCCTATAGGGAACAAAATGCACTTTAAAAAAGCCCGACCAAAATAGTTGGAGACATTCTCAATAAACAGGTATGTCATAGATAGAGGGCCAGGTTTTGATTTTTTTTTTAGAGAAATTTGGGGGGGGGGGGAAATTACGATGACAGCACAGCGAAAACACGCAACCCGAAAATAAAGATGGCGATTTCTGCGCGATGTGCTGTGAGCACGAATGTCGGACACTTCGCCCCATTTCCACGTCGCCCCATGTCACTTCGCCCCTAACCACTTCGCCCCATCCCCACTTCGCCCCATCCCCACATCGCCCCATCCCCACATCGCCCCATCCCCACTTCGCCCCATCCCCACTTCGCCCCATCCCCACTTCGCCCCATCCCCACTTCGCCCCATCCCCACTTCGCCCCAGCCGTTACATGTAAAAAAAAAAATCTCATCTATTTTTTTGGCTTAAAAAAAAACTATTTCAATAGATTCACTAATTGCTAACCAACGGAAAGAATTAGCCCATCACCAAATGAACAATTCATAACCAACCTCTCAAGCTAGGCTCTCCCCTACCGAGAAAAAAGCTTGAAGTAAAAGATCCAACTTTGTTCCCAACCCGGCTATACCAACCCGTCTCCCACTTATCTGAGAACGACAATACCTTTGACATCCTAATTTCACTCTTGGAGGAACCAATCTCATCAATGAAGTTGTAAGTCTCACATATCAGACAAATTTTGACGGAACATTTTCCTCAAGGCAGTGAGTTCCTTTGAACTCACTGACCCATACCTACGGGATTCTTTTGAATCCAGCGGCTGATGATTTTATTTAAGCCATCATTTCTCTCATCTGTGTCTCGAGCACCTCATCAGAGAGTTTGTATTTTTCCTGAGTTTCTAGAATTGGGAGCATTTATTATCTGGGGTCTTTGGCAGTTTATTTGGTCTGCACCCCTAGCCTTCCCTTTTTTATACTACATGGGGCGAAGTGGGGATGGGGCGAAGTGGGGATGGGGCGAAGCGGGGATGGGGCGAAGTGGGGATGGGGCGAAGCGGAGATGGGGCGATGTGGGGATGGGGCGAAGTGGGGATGGGGCGAAGTGGTTAGGGGCGAAGTGACATGGGGCGACGTGGAAATGGGGCGAAGCGTCCGACACCCGTGAGGACGCACGGCGCGCAGAATCGTAAGGCACAAACCGCGCAGGAACAATTTATTTGTAGCTATTGTTAGCCGATGTATTTTTTTACAAGTTTTCTTTGTTACTCCTTTACACAGGACTCCCGATGACACCCACATCACATGACCAGCTCCAACCATGCTCCAAGCATGCTCCAGTGCATGCTTCAACCAGTTCCCAAAGCAAGAATCTCGACTCAAGACGAAGACGTGACGTGCTTTTTCTCTTTACCCATTCAAAACACATTTTTCTTCTAGCCATAATTTTATTATTTAGAAGTCATGAAAATGAAATAGTGCAAAAATAATCACTCTTTTCTGCTGTTTTATGTCCATCCTTTTTTAAAGTTATATCCTTGGCTTAGTTGTATCCAAGAATAATTATGGAATGATTACCCGTCTCGCTTGAAAGTCTTTCATGGAATGTTTTTGCCTATGCTAAACAAGCCTGGACCGACGTCCCTTACGAAAATCGCTCCCAAAATTTGCTACAATTATATCCCCTGAGTTTTGTCAAAGTACTACCCTGTATTGAATGCAAATACATTATTACTAAAAAATTTGTGTGTGCATTGTACCTGATTTCATTTTCACAGTTTTGTACTAAATACATTTAACATGTGGTGCTTGACATAATTATGAAGTGCTCCAATATGTCCTTTCTTATAGTTTTACTCTCTTCTGCAAATAAACGTGTTACAATACTTTGCTCTACAACCCCATCACCATAATAAAAACACGAACTGTTATAATGACATTAACTACTACTTAATACATAAAAAACACCCCCTTCACCATAACGAATATAAATTGTTGCCCACTTCCCCGGAAATATAAGTGACCATTCACAGGTGTAACATAAGTAGGCATGGGCGTCGCAAGGGGGGGGGGGGGGGGCACTTGCCCCCCCCCCCCCGAAAGCAAAAAAAAAAGAAAAAAGAAGGGGAAAAAATGAGTTCAATTTTAAATTTAATGAGTTGGGGGGCTAAATGTCCCTGCCCTTCTCTAAAACTGATAAATGGAGAATGTGTTGAGAAAAACAGGCATTTTTTTGGCAAAAATATGTTTTGCCCCCTCTAGAAAACAAATCCTGGCGACGCCCATGTAAATAGGCCACACAATATCCAACCCCCATCCCCACTGGCTTCCCCCTCCTCTCCTCTGTAGTGAGAACTATGAATACGACGTTGTAAAGGTCAAGATCAAACCGCGTTTTATCTAAACTACCTAATTGTACAGTTGGTGTATACGTCCTTTATGGTTTGGCACCTTGAAAAATCAATGTTCAATTTGACTGGACAATATTCCAGCACAACATTAGTTATGAGCTTTATATACATGTAATGAGACATTGCATGAGACAATCGGTCGGCAATAAATACTTAATTTCATTCAACTGTTGACAGCAAGACCTTCCTAATCGGTGCGCAATTTAAAACAACATTTAAACGGTATGAATCCCAGCACAAACATAAACCTCCACAATATCAGCGATTTCAATATCACCATCTCCCCTCTATAACAAAAACCATTTCTCCCCATCCCCGGAAATATTTGTGACATGGTTGACGGGTTGTACGGAAATTGGGCGTTCCGACTAGCACCTTTCACCCTAACTAGCCCCTCCCCTATATTGACAATATGTCCTGGACCCTCGCACAATCTCCACAGGAAATGTTATGTGCGCGCACGTTGCTAAACGCAAATACAACTTAGGTGAGACTGATGGCGAGCCCAAATAGGCTCGCGTGCAGCAGAGCGTCTGATTCTTTATTTGACTTAACAGTTGTTTGGAGTTATTGGAGTTATTATCGAGATTTCACTGTATACAGTAATTATTACGAGACAGTCAACTCCACCCATCTAGCGGGTGCCGCGCGAAGCGCGGCATCCCGCTAGTGCATTACATGGACGGGTCATATCGTGAATCTGAATGAGATACGGGCATCGTAGCAAAGGCTCGATACGAGACTGCACTGAGAACGCGTTCTGAATGATCTGAGGCTATTGGGTATTATGGTACAACTTGACAAGTGGTATGGGAGCAATAATGTGGACATTAGTTAAAGACAGCCTAAGCTCGGAGTTCCATGATGTGCTTTACCTATTTGATGAATAGCACAAAACACACAGGGTTAAAAAAATTTAAGAAAGTTGTTGTTGAAAAATACCATGGAGCAATTTGGAATATTTTGAGAATTGATAGGAAACCTTAACCGTACATGGGAAAAACCCCATATAAAATTTCCCATGGCATGCATGGGGAAAAAGCCAATGGGAAAACTCACCGGCAAAATCCCTGGCCACATGGTGTCCAATTCACCATGCAATTCCCATGGGGTCCCATGGGAACTACATGGGAGATTTCTGTAAGGGAATATTATAGGCCTGTGGTTGGCAGTGACCTTCAGACTGTACATAGATAAACACTCACCCTAATGTGGCGGGAATAATGTTCCGTGTGTGTACGATGTGCTTGGCGCTTTGGCAATGGACTTCACACACTATAGTCGAGCGAATAGACGTGCTCAAAGTGCTTGTGTACAATGATCGGGTTGCTTAAAATGTATGGTGCTCCAAATCGGACAGGCTGAAGACGTCATTACAAAAAGTAAATGGTCATCCTCCATACAAACGATCAGCGTTGAAATACGCGCTGTATTCACACACAGATGGGTATATAGGCTAATGCATACACCCTCGACTTATTGAAACCATAACTCCTAAAAGAAACGGGTACTGAACATAGTAACTGTACCCAATGTAAATTTAGTTTGTCTGCTTATTGCTGTAGAAACCAAATATTTCTGCTTGTGGACAAATTTTATGCACGTACTTTTCGAATTCAAAACGACAGCAATTGCACTTCGGGCACACTGACTATGTCAGACATCCATCTATATATATAAGAGAGAGTTTAACTCGGCCTCCCAGACGATGTTTGCTCATGAAAGGATCCGAGACCGCGAGCTCCCGCGGCGCCAAAATCGCTCCACGTCCGTGGAAAAATGCGGAGGGTGTCTTCCGCCGGGTCGGACACTTCGGGTCGTCCTGATTTATACTGGTTGAAGCCATGTTCACAAATGGACACATAACGTTTGGTTTTAGTACAGTACGTGTAGGCTACATCATGGAGAAATGTTTTATTTCTCCATGGCTACATGTACAAATTCCACTGGCAAACATCGCGCGGGGAATGCGGTGCAAAATGGTCCGGGTGCAACTACCGGTCGTGATCCAGGGTCGCTGCAACAAATGGGCTCCATCAATCTGAACCCGTAGAACTGTGTCGGCAGATATCTAAAGAATGTTCCATTTCGCCAGTAGGGGAGATCCCGCAGGGACGTCGACTTTGTATACGCATACGCAAGCATGTACTGTACATGTACATTTAGACTATGCAGACTGTAAGGGAATATTATAGGCCTGTGGTTGGCAGCAGTGATGTAGTGCCTTGATGCTGGGCCTTGGCCTTTAGGCTGCCTTAAGGCTGGATTTTAGGGCCTTGGCCTTGGCCTCGAGGCTTGAGGGCAAAAGCCTTGGCCTTGGCCTTGGCCTTGAGGGTTCAGGGCCTTGCAATTTTGAGTCAAGGCTCTTCAAGGCCCATAGATTTTTGCATTTTCCAGATAAATCTGTTCGAAATTTTGCTGTTACCATTTTAATCGTATTACCATGGAGGAGGGAAGCACCCTATAGATTTGTGTGTTGGGCGCACTTCCACTTTTGTAGCATCACATTTTGTTACCATTGTAGTAGATTTGCTGCAAAAATATTCCGTACACCCTGTGGGGCTAATGAGATTATCACTTTAATTGCATATAATACTAATAATAGAGAACATTTATATAGCGCCAAAATCCGTCTAAAAAAGATGCTCAAGGCGCATATAACTATGGAATAGATCTGATTGGTTGTATAATTATGTCTCCCTGATAAGTGCTAAAGATTTGCTAAATCTGTTTTAGATAATGCTGATATTTCTGACCATGTTGGGCCAGCAAATAAAACAATTCCCAAATCAGTTTCTTGGATCCCCCTTTTGATACACTTGGGAGAATTGTGTGTCAATATAGAAGTAAATCATTATTTTGTCTAGTTAAACCATATTGAAGACCTGAACTTATACTTTAATAGATACAGTGCAGTCATAAAACTGTGTAGGCCTATGCGATCATGTTGATTGCAATTAAAGAAATATTGTTCTTCGTAACGAGCAATTTGTGATGATAAGGGCGGATCCAGGGGTGCCAAAAGGGGCCATGCCCCCCCCCCCCCCCAAAAAAAACGGGTTTTTTTTAATGTGACGTCGTAATAAAGGCAGGCAATGAGTACACCACCATCTTTTCCTCAAAAAAACATCGGTAAAAATGGTCAGAAATTGCCTCAAATCGCACCACAGAGCATATCTCGAGTACAAACATTTTTCGGGGCCCTTAAGCGGGCCCCTAAGCCCAAGCCGTAATTTTTTGACCCACTTTTTTGGGGGGGACCAACATTTCTTTGCCCCCCCCCCCCAAATTGTGTTCTGGATCTGCCCTTGCGTGATGACGTGTCACTCATGTGACTATAATTAGTTCTATATCAGTGGTCATTTCATAAAACAGGGCCTTGGCCTTGGCCTTGGCCTTGGCCTTGAGGGTAAAGCCTTGGCCTTGGCCTCGAGGCTTGAGGGTCAAAGCCTTGGCCTTGGCCTTGGCCTTGAGGGTCAAAGCCTTGGCCTTGGCCTTGGCCTTGAGGGTCAAAGCCTTTGCTCCAACACTGGTTGGCAGTGACCTTCAGACTGTACATAGATAAACACTCACCCTAATGTGGCGGGAATAATGTTCCGTGTGTGTACGATGTGCTTGGCGCTTTGGCAATGGACTTCACACACTATATTCGAGCGAATAGACGTGCTCAAAGTGCTTGTGTGTACAATGATCGGGTTGCTTAAAATGTATGGTGTTCCAAATCGGACAGGCTGAAGACGTCATTACAAAAAGTAAATGGTCATCCTCCATACAAACGATCAGCGTTAAAATACGCGCTGTATTCACACACAGATGGTATATAGGCTAATGCATACACCCTCGACTTATTGAAACCATAACTCCTAAAAGAAACGGGTACTGAACATAGTAACTGTACCCAATGTAAATTTAGTTTGTCTGCTTATTGCTGTAGAAACCAAATATTTCTACTTGTGGACAAATTTTATGCACGTACTTTTCGAATTCAAAACGACAGCAATTGCACTTCGGGCACACTGACTATGTCAGACATCCATCTATATACATAAGAGAGAGTTTAACTCGGCCTCCCAGACGATGTTTGCTCATGAAAGGATCCGAGACCGCGAGCTCCCGCGGCGCCAAAATCGCTCCACGTCCGTGGAAAAATGCGGAGGGTGTCTTCCGCCGGGTCGGACACTTCGGGTCGTCCTGATTTTCCCGTACGGACCGGCCATCCGTTTCGTCGATTTTTCGTGACTGCTTTTTGCGCAGGAATATGCCGTCGTGTGCGCTTTCACGTTGACTGCCTGTCCGCCCCCTGTGCTGGCTTTTTCTGCGTGTCTAGACTGTGCGAGGTCAGCGGCTTCGACGTAGGGGTTGCGTTTACGTGTTCTACTTGGCTGTTTAGCAAAAGTGTTCACCAAACGTTAGTATGGGGTGACCTCGGTAAAATATTTTTTGTCCATGGTGCGTGGCCACCAAGTGTCCCTATTCTTTCATATGCTTCGCTTGCCGCCCCTGTGCCGAGTGCAACGAATACTCAGAAGGACTACACATTAGTATGCCTAGCGCGGTCTGACCCAATCGAAAGTCTACACTGCGTGGTACTTCCCGGCTATGCGTAAAACCGTCACTGGCAACGCGTACTGCAGCCTGCTCCACACCCTGGAGACGAGGTTGAGTCTACGGTGCTCGCTATTTGAAGCACAAGCATGTGACATCGCGTGATAGAGTGCTGTTGCTTCCATAATGTGTTTACAGCTCCATGCTTCCACTATGCTTCCACCAAGGCTGAGCGTTGTGAGTTCGCTGTCCGCCACGTATAATTCAGTGTCGTGTTATAATTTCGGGGGCCTGTTTGGGGTCAACGAAGGATCGATGCATTCACACAAATATCGACGAAAAAGTGTCCGACCCGGCGGAAGACACCCACATTTTTCCACGGACGTGGAGCCATTTTGGTGTCGTGGGAGACCGCGGTCTCGGATCCTTTCAGGAGCAAACATTCCTTGGAGGCCGAGTAAAACTTGCTCTTATATAGATGGTTGAACCAACGAATCCGAACCAACTTCAATAAAAGTTACATCGACTTTTTCCTTGCAGACGGTCTCGCAAATTGTAAGAAGTTCAAGTTTACGTTTGTTGAAGAGTCCAATACTGAAACTTAATTATGACCTTCCTCCATGATTCAGACCGTTTGTAATTTTATGGTAACACTCAACATTTTCATTTCAAATGACACCTTTACGTTTTATTGCATTATGATTTATTGTCAAAACTGTACAATCAGCCTTCGCCTGTGTACTACGGTAACCTTTTCACTGCGTTTTCCAAATGCGACTGCCTCACAAAATGCCAATTTAACAGACCAACGGGAACATTTACAGACAAGTTGCCATGGTACATAATTATCATGTGCGTAAATCGACGGGGGACAGGGGGAACCCCCCCCCCATTTTAAAGCGGGGACATTGTTTGGTTCCCCCCCCCCACTTTTTCTTCCCCGAATAAAAATTGTAGCCTACAAGAATGATTCTATTGCTCAAAATACATGTAGCTGATTCAATTAATCCAAAGTCATAACTTTAAAAGATGATCTTTTGCTGAAATTTGTTTTAGTGGTCAGAAATTGCCTCAGATCACACCACAGAAATTGCTTTCCTTTAACTGTATGTCTCCTTAACTATATCCCCATTTACATTTAACTCCCCAAATTTTCATCCCCAACACTACGCCCTACCCGATCTATGATCGGGTAAATCAGCTTGTTAACAATACATGCGTTTTAGGTGGCCGATTCGCTCGGCCAGATGGCATACGGGGCAGTCTATTTGCCTGTCACTCACGAAGTTTATTCATAAAGTAACTGCACAGCTAGTTGCTGTCAACTCTAGTGAATATTCAAACCAAATTTGAAATTCACAAAAATGTTATGTACGTACTTTTCAATATTCATAACACCATTAATCAATCTGAAGTTGATCGACTGTATAATCGACCGATAACCCAATTTTGGCTTGTGTGTGCGCCGGGTGCGCGTGCGCGTGCAACCGCGCTGCGCGCGTGCAGCTTGTTCTTCACGCGCGGTACTGCATGCTGATTGGCTAATGGTCATTTGTTTACTACGTTTGCGCGCGGCTAAATCAGGTCACCGCGTATTCGCTAAATGTGTATTCATTACTTCCCAAACCAGTGCGCGCTGTAATTGGCTGTATGTAAATGAAATGATGATATCGGAGCTCATTAAAGTTTGTCACCTCGCCCGTGCGTACTTGTTGTAATGTCGTGGTTCAATATTTTCAAACGTCGTGTTTATTGTGAAATAACTCAATACTTTTTTGCGCAGTTACGCATTAATATTGCAAAACTGCATGAATTAGGCAAAATACAAATAAATATGTTTAGCGTCCCCGCCCGCTACCTTTTTGGAGGCCTCCTCCGGTTTTTTTAACGAAAAAAATAATACATTTTAAACAGTGACATAATTTTGCCCTTTATAATATAAAGCTGATATGTCATTGCCTGAGTCCAAGTAGCGGCCGTTTAAAAAAAGCTGGCGGCCATCTTGAAAAATAGCCCGGTCTGGCGGCCATTTTTGAGACTACGCGACACAAGGGGCGCAAGTGACTTGGCCAAATCTGGGTTGGGCTCGGTCCGAGTGTACCTAATTTAAAACGTTGATGCACGCATAGCGCTTACGTACGTATGTGTCATGTACATGTTATTTTCATGTGATGCAGCAATCCATTGCGAACGTTTTGAAATCACATGTATGCACATGCTCTGCACATGTAAACACACAAATGTTTGTTTTACATACGCTATGTGGACATTCCTTTGTTTTCGTATAGTTATAGAAAACTCGGTACAAAAAATAACTTTACTTAAAAACTGTGAAAACTCTTTCAACCCCTAATTTGTTTTTTGATTTCCTTGAATGTTTCTCTTCATTCTGCGACGGGTAACCCTAACCCCCAAATGCCTCTAAACCTGTTATCCAGAGAGGGCGAAACGTTATGTGGACAAGGCTTAGTCCACATAACGTCAACACAACCTGCATTATGTGGACATTTTTTGTTCACATGTCCACATATAGTGACTGTAAGACAAACTCACAATGTTTTAGCCCAGGTTGGAAAACGTCTTCATAATATAATGCACAACGGAGCCCAACCTGGGCTAACAATGTTCGTACATTATACGCGTGGTTTACACAGTGTGTACGAGCATTGAAGTGAATGGAACGCGTATTAGTGCTTGTCGCGCTTCTGGAAAGGTGTGAAAAAATTTTGAGATGCCGATTTCAAGCAACTCCGACTTAAGTCAAGTCTTTATGGTGTTCATGATGCAAATTTACATGAATGTAAACGTGAGAGCTTATAATCTTAACCTCACTTCAAAACGGTGCATTTAAATCTTTTCTACTTTTTGTTCTCCATTTTTTCCCCAGTACTGTTGGAAAGTTAGAAAATAACCTTAAAATATATTATAACCTTACTGTGATCATTTTGTTTTGCTTCTATCACAGGATACAACTCAATCATCTTGGAAGTCCCAGAGAGAACATCAATATTTTCTTTTCCACTGGCAAAGAAAACATTGACATTTGTATGGTGTACTATATCGTCGTGCTCACAAACACGACGGACCTCTCCACAAACACGACGGACCTCCTCACAGGCACGACGGAGCTCGCCACACGCACGACGCACTGCTCACAAACACGATGGAGCGATCCACACGCACGACGATAACAGATAAGTGTAGCGGGGGGGGGGGGGGGGGGTGATAATTGGGATGAAAATCAAAATTTTGAAATATGATTGCGCCCACTTCAGAGGTGATGCATTGGGTCATTTTGGGGATATTTTGTATATGAAGTGGGCATCTAGCATGAAAAAAATCCCCACCCCACCCAAAAAACTAAATCTGCACTGCACGCACAGTGGACAGTGAGTATTATTGCGAAATGAACGCCTTTTTGCCCATTTTAATCGCTTTGACATAGTTTATATTGAACACACCACTGAAGTCGGTAAGACTTTCAAAGATGAGCACATAACTGACAATTTAATATATTAAGTAAGAATATTATTAATGCACTTATAGATCACTAAATACATGTATCACAGACAGTCGGGGCATAGATATACATAATTATAAATGATTGTATAAAACTGATATCAACCTACATGTAGGGGTCTTTCCACATACAAACGGTAACAAAAATGTGACATTTAGAGGGAACCATAGACAGAAGTCGATACATGAAGTACTCTGTCATGTTTTTTTCTCTTTCTACATCCCATGTCCTAGTAAGAACATTGTCCACCAACAAGTTTGATATTTTTTTTAGGATTCCAGAAATTACAGAGGATTATCTTCAAGATTTAACGTTCATAACATGGACAGACATTTCATTTTTAAGTGTTGGGAAGCAGTAAATGAAATGCATGAATTATCCTAAATTTGTTCCTAAAGTAAAGCTATCCGTTGAGGGATTGCCACTGGCCAATCTTACATTAAACCTCTACCAGTAGGTATTTTTAAACTACAGGGATGTACATCTTCAAGACCTCATACATTTTCATAACAGGGACAGAAATTTATCACAAATTTGTGTCCTTGTTATGAACATGTATCAAGTCGCATTTCAATTTCATCAATAAAATAGGTTGCTTTAGTGTTGAATGATACCAATTCTACATTGAATAAGTAATTATAAATGGAACAAGAGCTGGATTAATCATAAGAATGAAAGTAGTATGATTCAAGAATGTCCATCCATGTCCGTCTTTTCATCTTAAAGATGGCATAGTAATTTCATGCATATCCATTGAATCAGCTGTTGTGCCTGAATGTTTCCAATTTGAAATAATAAGTCTTTAATCATCATTACTACAACGTGACTATTCAGGGTATGAACAGCAGAATACTCAAATAGCCAGAAAAAAAACATTTTGGGGTTAATTTTGAATTTGAAGGGGTGGGGGTTATTTAAGAGATACAGCATTAGGTTTGGTGTCAAAAGTCTTGTATTGATGGTGTTAACTATTTCCCAGATGGGCGTCTCCACATTTTGACAGTGGACTTTACCAACCCCCCCCCCCCCCTCTAATGAGTGTCCTTTATAGAACACCATACATTTGACAATCATGGAGTCCAAGTTACGCAGTCTGTTCCACGACCCGGAGTACTACACCAAGTCCTTCCACTGCTACGCTGCTCTGTCGGCGAAGTTCAGCGTGCTTGCCAACTGGGGAGAGACTGTGTTTGGTGAAGCTGTCGTTGACAAAATCAAGGTCACGCTGGGCGAGAATGAAGAGCTACGGGTCCTGGGAATAGGAAGCGGGTCAGGTATGCATAATATAAAGTTCGCCGAGAACAGAAACATTTCTGAATTGAACGGGGAAAAGTATGACTGCTGTTGGTTTTGTGGCTCTTGTTGTGTACATTATAATATATTTTAAATTATAACAAAGGACTGTCTCAAACACCTGTTATATAGCAGTTCAAAGCGATTCTGGACATTCAGGCAGGGGCGGGCCTGAATACAGACACACATTACGAACGCTCTCAATAATGTATGTGTTGTCAATCTTAATGGAGCAAAATGGACTGGTGATACATTAATGGCCTTTGTTTCAAAACTACAGGGCCAAATCCAACAAAAATTTCACCCAGTCCTGTAATTGGCGGTTTTTTTCTGCTGTTGGATGTGGATAATAAATAAGAAAGAAAAATGTTTGGACTCCTCATTTCTTTGTGAATTCGATTTTTTTTTCTCTCATAAATTACGAGAATTCTGTACACCTTCCAGAGGAACATTTTTGGGACACACTGAGTAGTCCGAATACTGCTCCAGCATTGAATGAATGCTTGCAATTATACAAACGCAAGTTGCAGTACATTGTGGCCTGCTGAGTCCGCCATCTTCGTTCTTGACTTTTCGCGAACACGGCCGTTCGCGTGTTGGTTCCCGTCATTTCGAAGCACCGTTCTCGTGTTCATTCAAAACGAGAACGGGGTTTCGAATACGCCCTAGGTGCACTTCGTGCAGTGATTGCATCGAAACTCCGGTTTCTCTGAGAGACTTTATTACAACCGATTCAGTAATACCAGACGGGTAACGTATATCACCAACCGATAATGTAACAGTTGGACTGATACTGTATCACCACTAACTGATATATTACAAAAATTGCCCGGATGTGCTTACACTATAAGTCAGTTATCGGTCCTGGCCGATAATGTAACAGAAATTGACTAATAGTAACCTTTACGACACTTCAGTCAAGTTTAATTATTACATATCGGTTAGTGATACAGTTTGTCAGTTCTTATTATTGTTACATTATCGGTTGGTGATCCGTTGGTCACTATCAGTTGTTACATGTTGTCAAAGAAGGAAATATTGATATGATCGCGTGGCATACTATACGCCAACTTTCTAGCATTGGTATATATATATACCGACAGACTGGTAATGACTCGAATCAATGGCTCGACTCGAGTCCGACTCGACTCGACTTGAGTCGAGTCACTTCCTTAAAACGACTCGACTCGACTCGCCAAAATTCAGTGACTCGTTAAAACTCTGACTACCGACCGGTTGGGCGACCTGCATATACGAGAAAGTTATTTGTAACTCATGACTTGTTGGAACATCGATCAATAAAAGAGTGTGTTTGGTTCGTAATTAATTATATAATATACAGGGTGAGTAAAAAAAAAAAACCCAAATGTCGGGACTATAGTTTTAGTGAAGTTCTGCATTGCATGTAGCACTTTCAAAATCTAGTGTATAAAAGCCCAATTCATAAGCTTTCTTTTAGTACAAGAATCATTCAAACCACTTAATATGTACTTTTCAAGTTACGGAATTGTAAACACAACCACCGTTTTAAAGTTCTGTCCACGGATCACAAAAAAAGGTGTGCGTTCTTTCAGCAAAACGACACACATCCCTATGTGATATGTTTTTCGTTTTGCTGAAAGATCACTATGACTCTTTTGTGACCCGTGGCCAATTTGATTGATTCTTGTACTAAAAGAAAGCTAATGAATTGGGCTATCATATCCTAGAATTTGAAAGTGCTACATGCAGAACTTCACTAAAACCAAACTTCACAGTAATCCCTATACATTTGGATTTCGTTATTGTTTTACTCACCCTGTTTACTTGTACAGCGTAATAACGTTTGCAGTTGTATTTTATATTCTTCAGGTGAGATGGACATGCAGATGCTGACCAAACTCCTGCGACGCTTTCCACTCATCAACAACCGTGTAGTTGAGCCTGCCTTGGACCAGCTTGTCAAGTACAAGGCCTTAGCGCAATCCGAGGCACACGACCTACACGGAGTATTAACTTGCGACTGGCGTCAGCAGACGATCGATCAATACGAAAAGGCGGGAGATTCGAGGCAGTTCCATTTCATCAGCTCGATTCACTCCATCTATTACGTGGACGATGTTGACCGTTCCCTGATGTATCTTTACGACCGGTTGGACCCTGGAGGAATCTTGCTAGTGGTAACAGTCTCAGGTAGGCCTATCTATGACTCTTCCAAAAAAGAGAGTAAAGTTTCCAAAGCGCAAGGCTCGCTGAATCGCACTGCACCAACCGTAACTCGCGTGCAAAAATTGTAATTTCTACCCTCAGAAACTGTTCGAAATTACAAAAAAGGTATCATTTGAATTGAGAAAAATCTGCTTTAGATTCAAAAGGTCAATTTCTGATGATAAAAAACACCATTGATTCAAATTTGATCGAAACTAAGGAGGGGACCGTAACTACACGATCGCCCAGATTTCTTCAAGCACTTGGTAGGCGAAAAGAGACCTCGAAATTTCTTTATGTTTTGTTCATTGGGTATGTGCTTGTTGGAGGTCAGTAAGAAAAATGCACACCTATAGGTCTCTTTAACTTACACTCTCATAATGTCTTTTACCAGACGACAGTGGGTTCTGGCGTTTATGGAATCACTTCCCAAGTTTTCAAGACAGTCTGATGACCTTCACAAACTCGTCCCACATACGCGGCTCCTTGGAGCGCCGAGGCATCCCGTGCACGCAGTACCACCAACGCTCCCGTGTCGAGATCACCCAGTGTTTCGACGAGGCGTCGGAGGAGGGCGCCCTGGTGGTGGATTTCCTGACCCACGTGGTCAAGTTGAAGGAGACGGCGCCTGCGCAGTTGTACAAGGAGGTCATTGAATATCTCGGGAGTGACCATTGCTCCGAGAAGAGCGCAGACGATGTTCTCTTCAACAACGACTGGGATGCAGTTGTCGTGTGCAAGCCAGTGGACTAGGGTCCGAGGTTTGGGTCTGTTTTCTTGGGGGTTTGATTAGCATTGTAGGCCCACTTTTTTATGGATTGCCAGGGGCGTCACCAGACCAATTTGAATAAAGTGGGGGCATTCCAACTGCGCACGTGCACATCAAGATTCGACGATTTAATTTTGGGATGAACAATTCGCCGTATTCGTGCAAAATCATAGTGGGTACCTGCAAAATTAAATGTGGGCCCCATCTAATGCAGGCCTTAGGCCTGAGGGCTACAGTGTTTAAGTACACTTTTGTTTACGCTGGCCGGTTTGAAATTTTATATTGTTCTTGTTTTCCGTCCCTCTATCTCCTCTCCCCTGTCAAACTGTCCACCCTCCCTTCCCTCCCCCCCCCTCCAACCCATTCCTACTCGCATCAGTCTTCAGTCTTGTCTGGTCATACTTTTCAATTTCCATTTTTTGTTTACTTTCTGATATATATTTGCTTTGTCATTGTACTTTTGTTCATTTGTTGGCCGAATAAATAATAATAATAATAATAATCTGGGAATGCTATACCTACATGTTATCTTGTAATTGTATGAGGAATACACTGATATATAGATAGTCGTCAGCATAGTAATTGTTTTATTGGATAGTTTGATTGTATGCTCGTTCGTTTCAAGCTAGAGGACCGTTCCTCCTTCCTTCCCCTTAATTGGGTCTGTCCATTACACATGCCTAACCAGAACACAATCTGAAATATAACGCCGGTGCCTCTAAAATTTGGTGGTGATTTTCTGTTTAGTTCAAGTTAGAGTGTGATCATAGACTAGTACAGTTTGAACTAGGCTAAACTGCAATTAAAAAAAAGCTACCTATGCAGTGATGCTGACAGCTGCACATCTTTAAATGTCAATAAATGTTTACAGTATAATTATACGCCTTAGCGAATTTTAATTTCCGGTTCTGAATAATAATTAAAAGTTCGTATTAAACACCTGTCATCGTTGTCGTGGCGTCATTGTTCAATATAACCTAGGCTTTACAATCCAATTATTTGGGTAGACCCTTGGAATATTTTGGAATGCAAATTTGTGATTCTCAAAAATCAAAGTTGTTGGGTGCTGTAATGCTGCCGCACAGTGCACCGCATTCTGCGGACGTGCGAGAAACAACATGTGTGTATTGATGACGTGTGTTTGTAACACTCGCGCAATGTGTATCGTACATTGTTGGACACGGCTGGGAATACGTATGCGTAAGCATATGCCGCAAAATGTCCCCCCGTCCGATGTAAACACCGGTGGTTTTCTTTTTCTCCGGGAACGGTAATTATAGGTTAGCTTCCTTTCAACCATGCAGACATTTTGAAATAATATAAGTAAACAATCCAAAACATATAATTTTCGGGGATTTCAGGCCGTAATGAATTACGGCCTGAAATCCCCGGAAATTTAACCGGACCACAAATGTGGAAGTTGGAAATGTAAAAGTGTACTTTAGGACCCCCAGGCCTTCAGTGTATTTTAGGACCCCTAATAGCGAACTTTAGGAACCCTCTATTTCGTTCGTTTAAAAACATTTCTTCGGCCCTATTGGTCAAAAACTACTTTTGCAAGGCCGGCTCAAGCGAAGGCTTCCTTTCGTCTTTTTAAATGGTCACCCCTGCCCTCTGTCCATGGCATTCCTTTCATTATCGTCAGGTAAACATGATTGTGGTGCGTACAATAAATAAAAGTGGATTTAGTTGTCTTAGATACACTAAAGGGGTCCCTAGCACCCTCCCCCCCCCCCCCCCCCCCTCGCGACGCCCATACCAAAGAACTGTAAACTTCACCAGTGGATCCGGAGCATGCTAATTTTTACTCTCTGCATATAACAATTCACGAGGGTGTCCTTTTAATTCTTAAAGGGATATTACGTCCTGGAATGCGCCCGATTTGGCTACAAAACTTGTTTTCATCGAAATGATGTAAATTGGAAAGATTTTTTGAGAGTAGGATATAAACATCCACACATGCAGCCATCCTTTAAAAATTGGGCGTTCTGTGGGGGGGGGGGGGGTGGGTGCAAAATGTTGACTCTCAAAAATCGAGTTGTTAGGTGCTAGTCGTGAATCCTGCTGCACATGTTTCACCAGTGCATCACAATTTGTGGAAGTACGAGAAACAACATTAGATTGTGTCATACACACAACGAGTACCGTACATTGAATAGACACGGCTGGAACTACGTATGCGTATGCCCCAAACAAATATTTCTCGGGAATCGGGAATGGTAAGTAGACAATTAACAATTGTTGACTGCTGTGATATATGATATGACGTTTTGAACGCCCGAGGGGGGGGGGGAATGTTGCAACCTGACGCTCCTTTCGAAACAGAAAAAAAGCCATTTTGTTTTGCTTATCTTGTACCTCAGAGATTGTACTCTATGTGAGAACTGTAAGGAATATGTTGATAAAGTCTTTAAGAGAGATTTGTAGGCGAATGTGTCGCCAACTTAGTGAATTCGTACATCATGTACATGTCACGCGTCGGTTGAGGGCTTCAACACGTGCCGACATGTAAAAATTCATTAAGTTGGCTACACATTCGCATACTTTGTCAACATATTCCTTACAGTTCTCACATGAAAGTATACTCTCTGAGGTACAATGTAAGCCAATTTTTTTTCTGTTTCGAAAGTAGCGTCAGGATGCAACAGTATTCCCTTGAAGGACGCAAAGCACCCGAGGCGACTGAGGCCAAGGGCGAAATGTGCCCCGAGGGTATTCAAAACGTCATATTCCACATCACGTGTAGTCGACAATTGTTTTGTTATACCTCTGTCTTGGATTCTTGTGATTTCGATGTAAAAATCACGAAAATAAACAGCAGTAAACACAGCAATCATGACAATCGAACGTCAACTTGCGTGCATGTCGCGTGCTCGAAACAGCCGATCGTCTGCTAGTTCACTGCTCCCGCTCATGTGTAAAAACATGGTGACAATAGTGTGGGTACCAAAGATACAAGCGTTTCACACCGTACGTACGTACGCACATTTCATAGCACACTCCACAGGTTGTGGGCCATGACTTTTTACAAACTCAACAAGTGATCGTTCTAGCTAGGCCAATAAAAATACAGTATTCAAGACAGTGGCGTAACAATTTAGGCTTACTTCGATTCGATCAGACATTTGATAATTGGATAAAGTAACAATCCCAAACATAACATTTTGGGGATTTCAGGTCGTTATAATATCCGAGTCTTATATAGCCATGGGGGGGGGGGGCACTTGTCCCCCCCCCCCTGGAAAAGCCAAAAAAAAAAAAAAAGCCAAAAAAAAAGAAAGAAAAGAAAAGAAAAAGAGGCGCGAAGACAAAGTGGTGTAAATTTAATGAGGGGGTGGGGGGGGGGGGGGGGGGCCAAATGTCCCTGCCCCCCTTTAAAACTGATAAATCGAGAATGTGTTGAAAAATACAAGCATTTTTTGACAAAAAAATTTGTTGCCCTCCTCTAGAAAAAATCCTGGCGACGCCCATGTATATAGCTTAATGTCCTTTCCATTAATGCCGGACAAGTTGTCCGACTCTGGACAAAAATGTGTACTTACTACATCAGTGAAACTAGGTTACAGGGAGTCTACCAAAATGAGGCTTATTGAAAAGTTATTAAAACGTCATGTTATTTAAATGCAAATTTGGATGATAAGACCCCGTTATTTACAACTGGCTGATACGCGCTGTACGTATCCGAAATCAAACAAAAATAATTAACTCAGGATTAGTTAATGACCGTACGCTGTATTTCTCATGGTGATGTTTTGATATTAAATGTATTAAATGATCCCGAAAAAAATCTAAATTAATTTGCTCAGTCTGTATTATAATTTGTATGCTCTCTTTCAGCCCCAATAATTTTATGTACACAATACATTGAATAGTATGCAATTTGTTCTGTTATTTCAGGGGAAGGTCTACCTCTCGAGTTAGTGCTCGTGTTTGTACTTGTGCGGTGATCCAGTGCTCGAATCCTTTAAACCCACCTGCCCAGCTAACACATCACGTCGCCACAACGTTGGGCAAAGTTGTGAAAATGTTGTCATTTAGTAACTGTCACGAAGTTGAACATGCCGACGCCTGGAAACGCTCATTTAGTGCCACGTACATTGTGTGTACAGCAAAGGGCGATGATTGCGTATAAAAGGGAAAATCCCGAAAAAACAGTGTGCTGCGATTGCGTACAAAAGGGAATTCCCGTGCTCGCTTCTGGACTGACTGTCTGGTTTTACGGCTGTTGTATGTTAATCATTGAGCTACATGCAACGGCTGTTTGATGGACCAATGTATTTTAAGTGTTTACCAGTGTTTTGTACACGTTTACATGACAACTTCAACGCAAGCACATTTTTGACTTCTGATGACGTGATATGATACTTAAAAATTGGGCTAAAAACATGACCTCGTGTTTGTATGGCCAGCCGCGCCGCACAAACGTCATAAACTATGATGCATATTCATTATCTTACCCAAGCACGCCTGCATAATGCATACATTACAACGCAGCCGCCATTTTGAAATCGCCTGGAGGGCATTTTCAGGACGATATTTGTGGAAGATGATGACTGAAAGTCGTCTTTTGGCCAGATGGATGAAAATATTGAGACCAAAGAACGTTTTTTTCGAAAAGGTATGAGTTGCTCTACAACTAAGAACCTTAACTTTGGCAATTTTTTTCCTGGATGAAAAGATAATCTCGATCGAAATCTGTAGCAAAATCGCTACATCAGCGGCCAAAAAAATTCAGTCTCTGTGGAAGCATTGGGCGTCTAGCCGTACTACAGAGCTTGCGATAGTACTGTATGGCCAGACGCAGTCGGGCTAACTTTGAAGTAACTTTCCACAGTTTTGAGGTAACTTTTCCGGCCCAGTTTAAACAAATAACTTTTCGGAAATGTCATATTTGTATAGTGGCTTGATTATTTTTGATAAAATTAATTGAATTCTTGTTGCTTAATTATTACTACTGCATCCCAGCCAATGGTCAGCAGTATGGCGTCATTTTTCCTCTCGGATAAGTCGCTGCTTGCAAGATACTCCATCATGGATCTCTGTACGTCTTCGGCCGCCGCCTCCTTGAAGTGAACGGTTTGAGTCAGGAAATCCACCAGCAGGCTGCCTTCCTCAGAAGCTTCGTCGAAGCACTTGGTGATGTCGCAGCTCGTGGGTTGGTGGTGCTGCGTGTACGGGATGCCACGGCGGTCCAATAAATTGAGTAAATCCCTCGAAGTTACTTGTAGGTCACAACAGGCCCGACCATAAAGGTGAGGAAAGCGGTCCAGAAATCGCTGCCATCCGCTGCTTTCTGAACAGAAACGTACACCAAAAAATGTCAACTTATACCCACCTTTTGTGTTGACGCCAATAATAGCGGTTCTTCATGACTGACTTTAGGAGCTACAGTGCGAACAAATTGGCCTTAACTTAACACTTTTCTTTTGGGGTGAGGGGGGAGGGTTGACGTCGGTCAACAATATTCCTCGTGTGCCTGACCTATATGCGCATTATGGCGATAACCTTCCCAGGATGCTTGAGTTCCATTCAGAATATTCTGTATAAACCACTGCCAGCGCCTTTGCATAGAACGAAACTCGTTGGGAGCTGATGCTGTACGTGCTACGCCAAAATATAAGATTTAGCACTTTGCATAAAATACTGACCTGGCTTTAGGATCACAAGCAATGCTCCTCCTGGGATCAGTAGGTCGTACAGATACATCACGGAGCTATCAAAGTTGTCCACGTAGTACATGGAGTGAACTGCGCTGATGAAATGGAACTTGGTACCATCTCCCGCCTCTTGGTATTGCTCAATAGTCTGCTGCCGAAAGTCAAACTTAACACCGTGTAGCTGGTGAGCCTTCGTTTGAGCAAAAGCCTTGTATTGGACTAGCAACTTCTGAGAAGGGTCAACTACACGATTATTGATGAGTGGGAAACGCTTTTTGAGCTGCTCCAACATCAAACAATCAATCTCACCTATATAATGGACATAATAAAATAAAAATTATTATAGGCAATGACAATTAGTGTCAATAAATAGTCTTGCAAGAAGACGGGTCTTGAGCTGTTCGAATCATGTCAGATGTCGGGCTGCAATAATGAGAGTATATCGTCCGTTAGCCGGCCTGTAGTCTTGGTCCAATCAAGATGGGATTTGGATTTGACTTCTTAAACTGCCTTCTGGTCGACCTCGTGACGATACCAACGGTACGTAGCGATTGACATTTCAGGATCAACTGTCCGGAACACAAAATCACCGATATTTTGCGACCTGAGTGCACGGCAAGCTTCGACGATAATAAGGCGATCGACATCAGTCGGCCCTCAAAAAAATAGACAGTCGCAAAAATAGGAGAAAAAACGTCTATAGCTTTTCCATTTGTGAACGGTATTCTTACCTGACCCACTGCCTACTCCCATGACCCGTAGCTCTTCTTCTCCGTCCAGTGTGACCTGGAGCCTACCAACCACCGCCTCGCTAAACACACCGTCCACCCAGTCACAGTACGTCTTGAATTTGGCAGTCCGAGCGCAGAAGACTTTGTAAGCCTTATCATAGTGGTCCTGGTTGTTGAACAGACTCGGCAGTGATTTCGTTTCCATGTTCTCTTCCCTTCTGGATTTAGTTTCAGCGTGACAACCTGCATGAGCGAGACAGGTGTGGAGGCCAATGTCGAAAATTGTCAGATCTGGATCCACCGTGCTTGCCCCCCAAAAATATTGGTTCTAGAACCGCGCCTGCAGCTTGCCAGAAAGAATAATTTCACAGGGAGTTTAGTCCCCTTACTGTCTTTCAACCAAGTATGTTTTTCAACAATAATTACGCCAGTTACTTTTCGGATGGCTGCAAATGTCGTGTCATTGAGCAAGCATAATGTTCCGTTTCCTCTCGTGTCATTGAGCAAGCATAATGTTCCGTTTCTTCTCGCGTCATTGAGCAAGCATAATGTTCCGTTTCTTCTCGTGTCATTGAGCAAGCATAATGTTCCGTTTCTTCTCGTGTCATTGAGCAAGCATAATGTTCCGTTTCTTCTCGTGTCATTGAGCAAGCATAATGTTCCGTTTCTTCTCGCGTCATTGAGCAAGCATAATGTTCCGTTTCTTCTCGTGTCACTGAGCAAGCATAATGTTCCGTTTCTTCTCGTGTCATTGAGCAAGCATAATGTTCCGTTTCTTCTCGTGTCATTGAGCAAGCATAATGTTCCGTTTCTTCTCGTGTCATTGAGCAAGCATAATGTTCCGTTTCTTCTCGTGTCATTGAGCAAGCATAATGTTCCGTTTCTTCTCGCGTCATTGAGCAAGCATAATGTTCCGTTTCTTCTCGCGTCATTGAGCAAGCATAATGTTCCGTTTCTTCTCGTGTCATTGAGCAAGCATAATGTTCTGTTTCTTCTCGTGTCATTGAGCAAGCATAATGTTCCGTTTCTTCTCGTGTCATTGAGCAAGCATAATGTTCTGTTTCTTCTCGTGTCATTGAGCAAGCATAATGTTCCGTTTCCTCTCGCGTCATTGAGCAAGCATAATGTTCCGTTTCTTCTCGCGTCATTGAGCAAGCATAATGTTCCGTTTCTTCTCGCGTCATTGAGCAAGCATAATCTTCCGTTTCTTCTCGCGTCATTGAGCAAGCATAATCTTCGGTTTCTTCTCGCGTCATTGAGCAAGCATAATGTTCCGTTTCTTCTCGTTTCATTGAGCAAGCATAATCTTCTGTTTGTTCTCGTGTCATTGAGCAAGCATAATGTTCCGTTTCTTCTCGTGTCATTGAGCAAGCATAATGTTCCGTTTCCTCTCGCGTCATTGAGCAAGCATAATGTTCCGTTCTCCCCCATCATGAAGCAAGCCTAATGGTCTATTTTCCAATCAAGTAAGCATCTTTCCACTTTATGATTTCCTCTTCTGTTATCCCCCCCCCCGCTTTTGTTTTAGCCATCACCTTGAATGGCCCGTTTTGGGCCTTGCGGTTGGCGATTTACCAATTAAAAGCCTAATGTTCCGTGTCCTCTCGTCTTATTAAGCAAGCATAATGTTCCTTTTCCCGTCTTCTCACTATTAACGTATACGCTTGGAACGTTCCAAAAGGGAACAGCGCCTGTTCCAATTGGAAACATGTGCCTCGTTCCCACTGGAACAGCCCAGGAACGCCAGGTGATCCCGCATGGTGGGAACGTTGGTCAACATCAAAACACGTTTTCATACTCGGGAATGAGTGACCTGTTCCAGCTGTGAACACGCATGGAAAACAGCGCGTCATCCCGATGGGAATACACAGTGTTTCTAAGGAATGTTTTCTGCGGAACGGGAATTTTTCGGCTTGTTAGACGTTCCCTAAGCAAGCATATAACACCTTTTAGCACATAGTAGATAAAAGTCCTTATATACTCTGCAAACACTTACCGTAAGCGTCCTGCAAGCGCAGTAGTTCAACAGTTTTCACGTACATGTACATCTGGTAAACAAACAAATTGACCCTTGACACTGAACATGCATTATAGACCTTTCTGCGCTTGGTTGGCAAACTGCATTTTGGCCAACCACGGCCTGCAAAACTATGGAAGGCCCAACGCTGCAAAAATGAAGAAGAGTTATTACAGATCACCAAAATATTATTTGATACTTGAAAATACAACATTTTCAACAAAGCTACAAAATAATTCCTACATATGCCTTTTTACTATGTGTTGATGGCGTTATGAGGACTTTTTTGGAAAAATATGTTGCCAACCACGGCTTCAATTTATGAGCTTACGGCAGCCCATACAAAATGGCGCCAATGTTTACAAACAAAAGAAAGGCCTATAGTCGTGTTCCCTAACGTGGCGCACTTCGAAGCTTACCCAACTTTCCTCGTGTAGTGTTGCCAAACCTCTTTGTTGATAAACCTCAAATTCATGCAGTAAAATACTGGTACTTTTACCTTTTTAATTTTTGCTATTTAACCTCTGTGAACAATTTCGGTTTCATAAAATTTAATCCGAAATGCAAAAACGGTCGCGTCCGGAAATTGGGCACAAATTGGCGGAGTGTTTCCTAACGTGGCGCACTTGAATAAATCTCGGAAAATTCCAAATTAACATTTAAGAATTTCTGTAAACTTGATACGGAGGGTACCGAAGTTCCAGCGCTCTACCTTGGCTTAACGCCTACCGAAATGTTTCTATTATTTTTTCTTTATAAAGAGAAACCCAGGAGATGGTTTATGCTAACTTACTGCACAACTGGCCGATTGACCTTCATATCAAACAAAGAACTTCAACAAAGCCAAAACCACCAGCTGCAGGACCGAGCCGGACGAAAATGGAGAACTTCACGGAGGGATGGAATCGACTGTATCATCCACTGAGTGGAACATGCGATGTGATAGGCATCTGAGCGTTTGACTTAAATCAATTTTTACGATGTGGATCGAACTGTTAACATTGATTGATTTTGGTTTTGGAAAGAAGTTGTGGAGTTCAACGCAAGTATTTTTATGAGCTCCCAAGATGACTGTCACATTATTGACAGTTTGTATGGTGAAGAAGGCAATGAGTACTTTTACGGTTTGAAATTATGTTGTGTACGCCGTTATATATATTACTAGCTATAGCCATATACACCGTCATATTCGCTCACAAAAACCGATTCCCAATAAACTTACAAGTAATTATATTTATTTTCAGAAGTATAGCTAAACATTTAATTTTAAACAAGACCGTGCGTAGCTTGAATTATTCTTTGACAAAATTAGTATAGTACTATTTATTTTGGTTTGTGATTCATCTCCTTTCACATAATATCACAAGAGGTGAACGATGTCATTCCCTGATCAATCTCGGGACGGGAAGACGTTTTTACTGATTACTTTGTAAAATTAAGGTTTGTTTACCTTTTAGATTGTAATTGGTGTATGTTCAGGTTTTTGAATAAATATATCAATCATTTGAATGAATCTCCATACAATTACTCGTGTTAGTGTTCAGTTAAAAAAATACGATGTCATTTTAGCATATTATTAATACAATTATTCATTTCGTTGATGGAGTAATTCAGTGTGCTCTAATGACCAATGTGCCAAAAATGAAATGACAATTTTATCATTTTTGGGAGTATGGAGATCAATGGTCATGACCCATCACCTGGCTTCGTGTTTTTGTAGTATGCAAATGAGCGCGCGCTGTTATGTGCAAATAAGGCAAAGAGGTGTGATGGCCAATTAAGACGTGTATTGGTGTTAATGAGCGCGCTGAAATGCAAATAAGACAGATGAAAGTGCAAGGGCCAATTAAAAAGTTTGTTGCGCGTACGTAAGGACGCTATTTCTCGGCGGACGGGATGTCTGGTTAAGGTTTTGTTCATTCTGCCACAGTCATCCGAAGGAGGCGGGGGGTTTTGTCAATTTACATCTATATTTCAGCAAATAATTTCGCCCACCGGCACCCCAGACTCCTCCTTTGGTAATTGGTTATATTGTCACTTCAACGTTGTATACGACTTCCTTTGGCATTCTATCCGGGCAGACAGCCAGTAAACCCCGTTTCGCCATTAAAATATTGAAAAATATGAATGGTGCTGCGAACATTGAGGATTTTTAATTGTGGAATTAACCGTGGCAAATACACAATTTAATGTACATGTACAGTGCAGTAGTCATAGTGCTTCATTTTTCAAAAGGCTATATATGCTCCTGACCAAATGTGCACCATTGGTGGGAACACATCTGCACCGACTTGTGTTCATTGTATGCTTTCTTCGATCACAAGTGCATTTCATCTAAGCTTTCAACTTTGTCTGTTATGCATGTACATGTACATGTACATGTATAACTCGGGTCTGGCCGGGTCAGGACGTGTACCCGCTGGGTTGGGTGGAGGTCGGTCTGTGGTACCCACTTGGTTTTGGGTCAGGTGTACCCACTTATTTGATGCAGTGTCCAGCTTTGCCAGTTTATTCGGTATCCAGCACATTTGATAATAAAGTTTTTGACTGTGGCACATACACATAAAATCAGTTGTCGTGTTTCAAATCTCTTTGTGCGTCTGAGTATAATGTTCCGTTTTCCCCTCGTCTCATTAACCATAATCCTCCCAAATCCTCTTTGCAAAACGGAGGACTTTTGCAGGATTGAAGCTACATGGCTAAAGTGTGTTGCTGATTTCGGAGGATGCACTGTGTCAAAGTCTTGGGCCGGACCTTGTGTAGCCTTTAGTCAAGGCCCACGCGTCTTGATCCGGACACGTAGGCCTAACGCACCCCGAACGCTGGCGCCGCTCGCTGGATAGTCTTTTTACGTGCCAGTGTTCGGGGCGCGTTACGTGTCCGGATCAAGACGCGTGGGCCTTGACTAAAGGCTAGACATTGACTAAAGGCTAGACCTTGTGTTATTTATGCTCAGCCTTGCTTACATTTGGGACTAGATCGTACTTGAAATCCTCCGCACGGCTCCAGGATGTCACTGGCTCTGCCTCAAGATATTGACAACACTGCCGGAGGATTTTGCAGGATGGAGGCAGTGCCATGGTCACTCCTCCAAGAACCATATTAAAGAAACAACGGAGGTTTTTGCAGGATTGAGGCTGTGTGCAATTTTTTACATGGAGGCAGTTGGAGGATTTTGCAGGATTGAGGTTACATCCTAGCAAAAAAAGCCTGGGGATTTAAGGTTAAATAAGCCATACAGTGTTCCGTTTCCTCCTCGTTGTTTTCCCTTAAAAACAAAATAAATTGTATTCCTTTTCAATTTGATTTAAATAACAATGAATAAAAGTATTAAATTGTTAAATACATAATACATTCTCAATAATCAAACTCAGCATATCAACAATCTATGCATGTAACTTTTTTTTTTTACTGTGAATTGTTACTAAAAAATAGAACAATCTTTTGATTTCCAAAAAGTGAAACTGGGCCAGACGATTTAGATTGATTATCACTTTTATTAAATTTTAGGAAAAATATAATAATCTAGTTCAACTGATTTTTTAGGTAAAGTCATACTTACCTTACTTTTCTTGTGCAATTCATTTGGTTTATACAAAAAAATAGAACTTTGATTATAAAAAGGGAATCAATGTGTGTTGGAGAGGTATTATGACACTCTGTTCAAGACCGGTTGGGGTCTGGATGGGTAATTATCAGCACTACAGACCCAAACCGGTCTTAAACACAGTGTTTAATACCGACCAAACACATATTTATTCACATTCATAAATATCTTTTCGATCACAAACAAAATCATTTCAGTCCAAAAATCAAAACAAGTAAAAAAACTAGACGTTGCCAACCATTTTGTTCAACAAGTTTACTTCATGTTTTATGAAATACCCCTCTGACTATAATATGGAATGTCCCTCTACAACTCCTTATCTTATAAGGAGATTGACATGCGCTTCGCGCGTACAGCGCGATGTCGCGCAAAACGCACCTGGGCTGGTGCAGTGTGAATTTCGGACCATGAAATACTGACTCACAGGTAGTATTGGGCATGCATACGTGAGGAATGTGAACGTTCAACCAATGAAACGTTAAAAGGCACTGGATTTCATGGGAGTCCAAATTTCAGGTGATACTGGAAAAGTGTTTAAGACCAGCCAGCCATGTCTTTATCATCCCTTTAAGACCGGCCACGTGATGGGCTCTCGACCAATAGGAATGGGTAAACTGTATTAGGTATTTATGAATTGCATTTAAATGTAGTTATAATACTTTCATTCGAGTCTGGGAACCATTTAAACAAACACAAATACCATAAAGCAAATGCCGAAAGTGGTGGTTAATGTATTGCAAATGCACAAAGTAAAAACAACAAAGAACTCATAAATTCCAAATATGATTATAAAGTCTATTACATCAGACCAAACAAAAAGAGGTGGAATATCTCAGTTTCTTCAGTTTGACAAAACCCCAAAAAATACTGAGGTATGGCACAAAATGAAACTGGTCAGTGATTATAAAACCAAGTGTTTTAACCAAGCCATTTTTAATTAAACAGGCAAGCAACTGGGAATTTAGAGGGAAAACTCGAGGAAATTCCAAACCACACAAGACTTTGTACAGTGTTTTCCAATTTGTAATGGCATTCCTGAGAAGTAAAAAACGAGGAAATCAGCGGATCAGAGGAAAAGTGACATGCCTGATTAAAAGGAAAAAAAGAACGATTCTTATACAGGGCGAGTCAGAAAGATGGGTACCCTGTAAAAAGGCGGGGTTTTTTTTTCAAGCAATATAAAGATGAGTCTTGTACAATTTAAAGAAAGAAACACAATCTCAAGATTTTAGCAATCACCTAAAATTGTTTCATCAATTTTGCTTTTTTGGTTCTTCCCAAAATTCATAAAAATCAACTTTGTCCAAGGATCTTTGAATCGGGCTAAAACACACCCATGCACTTTATTAAACCTTGCGCATATCGGGTTTTGTTTCACAATGTTTCTGGTTATTGCCGAGCTGATAGACTACAAACGTTTGACCTGAATACAGTTTTCTGAAACCATTTCCGTCTCATTTTATGCCTTTCACATGACTGAGAATGATTGAGGATTCCATTCTTTGTGTGTATGTCATTCACGCCTAGCCAGTAGTAAAACCGAGACGTCTTCGCATACTTGGTATTCTGTGGACAACTCCGTGTTTCCCCTATTTTTTCGAAACATCGTAAGTTTCAGAAATGTTGTCCTATCGTGTTGCCCGTTTCACCAGATGACAGCTAACTAACAGGGATTTCCAATGATGTACTATTTTTAACCCCCTGTCTTCACAAAATATTTTGAATATTAAAGATTTTCCCGGCCAATTTCCTAACATGTTCATTCACTTCTGAAAATCGGTCATTCGTTTCCGTCTGAATTTAAATGCACATCTTTAATCCCACTTCAATTCAACGAATGTTCAATCATTTTCATTGTCCGTGCATTCGGTTTTGAGAAAGAGACGGCCAATTACGTTACCTGTGCATTCATTGACGCAAGCATTACCTTTTCTAAATTGACTTCAGGTACAGCTAATTTGATTGACGGTTAATGAAAAACAAACTTCTTATTGTATCTGGTGCTGATGGCATTAAAGTAAAATCGAAATAGAATGGTGAATGTTTGAAATCGCCTACTCAAAGCGAGAAAGAAGTCTTGTAAACGAATCTGAATGGACATAAACGAAAGGTGCTGCTCAATCACTTAATTGATTGACCTAAAATGGAATCGAATGCTCTGGTAGCGAAAATGAAATGCGTGTTCAGAGTGATACTCAAACTCAGACGAAAATGAATGACCGATTTTCAGAAGTGAATGAACATTTTAGGAAATTGTCCGGGAAAACCTATATTTTTGAAATCGAGTAAACAACCCATCTTTTTGGACTCGCCCTGTGTATGTACAGAGAATTAATTAACATGGTGAAAACATAATCCTGGCTGTAGTTACAAGTTTTGGTACCACTGTTTTAATTTCATTTTCTTTCATGATTCTACTGAGGAACATACGTCGCGATCCACAAAGAGGGCAGCCATTTTGAACTGCTGTGCTGCATTTGCGAAACAACGGTGTAGCAAACATCAGCTCCGGTTCACTGAACATTATGCAATCAGGGACACCAAAATTCTAGGATGTCAAACCTTGAAAGTGAAAAAAAAAAAATTACACAAAAATTTGCAAATCTGCGATGGCCGTCCTTGTTCAACAATCCACTGTACCACCGGATATCACCCCAAAGTCCACCATCAAGGCCGCAGTGACGCTCTCCCCAAACATGAAAGTCCCCAAGGCCGCGAAGACGACCCCTAACACAATCTGGAATCGTCGCTTGGATTTACTGCTGTCAGCAGAGGCCGAGTTCAGAGCGAGCTGGATTAAACACAGTCCTGGAAGACATAACAGACAAAAATGATGAATGAAATGCTTGAGAAAATATGCTTCGTAACATTTGCTTTCCAATGAATACACAGCTTGAGCAAGGCACTTTACCATCATTGCTTCCTCCTTCGGATGGGGCGTAAAGCCGTAGGTCCCGTGTGCTGTGTAATGCACGTTAAAGAACCCAGTAACACTTGTCGCTAAGAGAAGGGGTTTGCCCCGGTGTTTCTGGCAGTGGCAGCAATATGCGCCGCAGCACCTAGCAAAAAGGTGCTACATAATGGGTCTCATATGTTCATATACTTCATTACCTGTCTTTCGTTGCATTCTCCCCCAGCACTTTGTATCCTTTGGAAAAGGCGCTATATAAATACGGTTATTATTAAAGCTAGTTCAGGTTTTCTCCAGAAGGGTTCAACTTCATGGAGGTGGGTCATGCAATGAATTAAAGGGACACTGCATGACAACTTTAACCAAAATACCACATACATACATACATACTGTATGCATGTGATCTGTTACACGGTACCCTCTGGAGACGTGTGCACAATAGGGAACAAAAGATTGTATACGTCTCCACGGGGCAATTTCTATAGATGAATACGTCTCCATAAGGTTATCACGAAATAGATATATGGGTTTTACTCAAAAACTAGGAATTTCCTAGGTTGTGTTGATCCGTCGCAAATTGAATTATTTTATGTAAGTCCAAATTGCAGCCCAGGAAATTCATTCTGGATAAAACAGAAGCATTTTGAAAGTACACTTTCAAACTCGAAAAACTTTAGTACACGAGAACAAAGATATGACTCTACAAGGATACAAATTCCAGTATGGGTGTACACACACGTTTGTTTATGGTGTAAATCGAGGATTTTCTTTTGTTCCTCTTCCCTTTTCCTTTTTCTTTGCAACAGCTCTCATTGGTTTTGTACACGATTTCTAATCGAGGTCGTCCACGATTTCTAATCGATGTCGTCCTCGATTTGGTTCCTGTCCTCAATTCATCGATGATGTTGCACGCGTGTGTCCTCAATTTACACCATAAACAAACGCATACATACACACACACACGAACAGCCATAGTGATTGCATAGTCTCTTTCCTGAACAAAGTTCAGGCGAGACGAAAATGCAGATTTTCAGGTCATTTTCAACAGCCCAAATATATTAAACAGCACCAGTCAGAGGCTCACCCTTTGGGTCAAGAAAAAAACAATAATGTTTCACTCACCGGGGAACACGAGGATGAAGACAGCAGCCAGCCCACCGATGACCGAGATAACGCTCCCGATTGTGGGCACAAACAGGGCCAGGATCAGGGACAGGACAAACCATGATAGAGTCTCCACGATTCGCCGTCTAGTCTGAGTTAACTCGGCGGCAGCTGGGGGCAGTTTTCTTGCTGTTACGTAGATCGTCTCGATGGCTAACCTGTATAAAAGTAAGCACATGTGATGCGATCAAGCTAATTTTTTGTTAAAGATATTTGAAAAGAGCACAGTCTCAGCATTACTGTTGTGAGAACTGCATGCTAATACCATCATTAGTAGAAAAATTATGGAAGTCAGAACACTAAGATATGTGATGAAGTGATGTGATGAAGTGGCCTTATTTTGGCCTGAATCTCCAAATGAAAGTTCCTGACAAATGGCTCATTTTGATCGCATCACAAATTGTTACGAAAAAAAATCTCCCATTACCAGTCAATTACAACACTTTGTACACTGTGCGCCCATAGCATCTCATAGCTGAGGTATTTAAACTCGGTCTTTAAAATTTCAAAGTCGAAAAGTCATGCAGCAAACTTGTATGTAGTTCTCTATGCATAAAAAAACCTGTATGATCAATTTTTTTGTGTTGGTAATAAAACAAGCTTGATCGGTTCTCAGAAGCTGCGGGCCAAAGAATGAGTGTTCATGCAACATTTGGACAGTACAGGGTGAGTAAAAAAAACCAAAACCCAAATGTCGGGACTATTGTTTTATTGAAGTTCTGCATGTAGCACTTTCAACATCTAGGATATGAAAGCCCAATTCATAAGCTTTCTTTTAGTACAAGAATCATTCAAATCACTCATGTACTTTTCAAGTTACCAAATTTTAAACACAACCGCCATTTTAAAGTTCTGTCCACGGATCACAAAAAAGGTGTGCGTTCTTTCAGCAAAACAAAAACAATTCACACACATCCCTATGTGATTTGTTTTCGTTTTGCTGAAAGAACACTGAACATTTTGTGATCCGTGGACAGAACCTTAAAACAGTGGTTGTGTTTAAAATTATGTAACTTAAAAAGTACTTAGTACTTGATTTGAATGATTTTTGCACTATAAAAAGAAAGCTTATGAATTGGGCTTTCATATCCTAGATTTTGAAAGCGCTACATGCAGAACTTCACTAAAACAATGGTCCCAACATTTGGGTTTTTTTTGTTTTACTCGCCCTGTATGCACTGCCCGTCAGGAGACTGAAGGGATGCCAACTGTTAAGGGGTGTTGTGTAGTGAGACTGGAAGCTTTGCTCGTACTCATGGAAAAGTATCCGTACTCGTGGAAATGTAGGAAGCATACTCGTACAAAATGGGTGAAAACATACAAACAACATGAAAACGTGACAAGGAATATAAATTTTCAGTTCCGTTCCAAACACAATCCAGATGTGTTACTTACCGGCCGCAGAAGTGTAGAATGGGGTAGGAGGTCAGCATGTTGCCTAAAATCATCACCCGGGCAACCGTTACCGTGACGTTCCCTGAATCGTAGGACAGCAACACATCCGAGCACACCCGGTCACCGAACGTGAGGGATCCATAGATACCCGTCAGGACGTAGGTTACCGTGGCGATGAGCAGGGCACCGGTGATTACCCAGGCAAACTGGCCGACCGTTCGCTGCTTGAGACTGGCGTACACTGGCACGGCGCTTATGTGGCACTGTATATGCGATATAAGGAAGAAACGTTAAAGCAAGTTTGATTAATAACTATGGGTTGGGAATCCACAGTAACGGACTGCAAATCCATTATGAGGCTGTATCGTATGATGTCAAAGAACCACGTGACCATTCGGTTTCCCAGTGATCGGCCACCATTGCAGTAGGCAAGTGTTTGGTTGACAACTATGTTATACAAATAATTTCATGAGGTGACAGATGAATTGTTCCATTCCATGAGGCGAAGCCGAGTGGAATGGAACATTTCATCCGTCACCGAATGAAATTATTCTTTCCATTGCACGAACGTGAAACATTCATTATTTGTTTTATATAACACCTGGATAAATCCTTGTCATCTGATTGGTTGACTTTTAATAGCCAATTTATTCAGGTTAAAAACTGTTTAAAAGTTCGACAAGTTCATCATATTTATATTTATGCAAACTGTTCAACAGGTTGAGAACAATCATATTCAATTTATCTCGATTTAAAACAGCGCCACCACCAGCAGCAGTGACAGCGTGCAATGGAAGTTCTATTCACAGTGCAATAGAACTTCCATTGCACTGTGCGCTGCGCACAACGCGCACGCCGTGCATTGGTACGAATAATTCAATGACATGTGATCAACGATCCACCAATCAGATGACAGGGATTTATTCAGGTGTTGTATAATGTGCATGGTTAACTAGGCAGCAGGGCTTATTTTCATACCAAATATAACCACACTTTTTATATCAAATGGCATAATGGTCATATCTGTGCCATGTACGGTTGTCATAATTGTGCCGACCCAGCAACAGGTGTAGTCCGAGTATCACCTGTTGTCCACGGAACCCTCTCTGTCTCTGGTCCAATGTCTGATATATCGAAGAATGCGAATTTATGCGACCCTGCGCGCAAGCCAACCGGAGTCGACTTTACTAAATCGTGACGCCATTTCATTCCGAAACCTGGACTAAGTCGTTGATTGGTCAATTCGCACACAGTGTTTTTGTTATCCAATAACAGGCACAGAGATCTAAAACACCTAGACACGACATTGGCTCTCAAAACAGTGGCACGATCGAGAATCGCAAGAGGGCATTCGCAACACGCGCATTATTTAAAATATGATGTGATGATCTTTCGAGGCCTTAAGGCTTGGCGCATCGCGTAACATATCGTTACTGAGCGCAAGACCACAGCCCTTGTTTGCTCAATTCACAACGTAAAAGAACAATAGATGTTGTGCCTTACTTTTATTTTTAGATGTCTATGACACGACAATTGGTATATAACCGAAGACCCGATATATAGAAAGCGCCTGCTGAATGGTCAGAATCTCGAGGTCAAGATGCAGTCTGTTTTGCATAATGAATCTGCTCGCATATTTTAAACTAATAATAATAATATTAATAATAACGGAGTCTTATATAGCACACGTATCTACCACCAATTAGGTACTCAAGGCTCTGGAGAACATGTCTGTTATTAAAGAAAGGTATTAAATGAAGCTTATGAGAAATATGAGACCCATTATGTAGCACCTTATAATGGTTTACAAGGTGCTGCGGCGCATATTGCAGCCACTGCCAGAAACACCGGGGCAAACCCCTTCTCTTTAGTGATAAGTGTTACTGGGTTCTTTAACGTGCATTACACAACACACGGGACCTACGGCTTTACGTCCCATCCGAAGGACGAAGCAATAATGGTAAAGTGCCTTGCTTAAAGGGAAAATACAACATTTGCAAACATCAAAAAATAAAACTACACATGTACCAAATCATTTTGAAATACCTTGCTGGACTGTTAGTGAATGACATTGTAAAGCATCATTTAAAATCATGGCACCTGGTATACTGTCATTTTCAAGAAAAGTGGTAATTTTGTATCAATTTCCAACGCTGGTCAGCCAACCAGTGTTGGAAAAAACTGGCTTTTTTTCAAATACTGGCCCCAATTGACCATCGCACTTGTTTGCAATCGATTACACACCTATGAAAGGGTACAAGCCAGCTAGACTGGTTCCCTGACCTTACAATTCCCCAATGTATGTAAACTGCTGTTTCTTCTTATATGGAGTCAGGGAACCAGACTACAGGAAAATGATTGTTTTTCTTGGTTTTTATAGCATTTTCGAACCCAAAACCTCAAAAAAGTCAGTGTAACTATATTTGCTATATATTTCCAACCCCCCAATTCCATCCATTTCTGAAAATTACAGCAAAAGCAAATGATGTATATTCCCTTTAAGAGCACAAGCACCATGTTCCCACAGTCAGGTTTCGAACCCATGTACATGTACCACGGCACACGAGTCGAACACCGTAACCATTGGACCACAGCACCCCACACTGGGTTTGGCTCCGAGTTTTTCTCACAGTTTTTGCCTTTCATCACACCTCTGAAGGCTTGCCTACTACCCACAACGTTATATGATCTTTGCCCACTACAATGGCGACGCTGACTTTTCGGTACCCGGATGAGGCTGGGTCGCATGGGTCAGTCAGAAAGCCATATAAGAACTTCTGTTCAAAGGCAGCAATGGGAGCCGAAACCTACCTGGAAGCCGAAACATATCGTAGGCACGGCAGCAAACACATCAGTCCACGACGTAGGCCTCGTTACGATGTGCGTGGCTGCGTTGGTCGGGAGAAGGTAGTAGTTGATTATTATCACCACGGCAACATAGATGGTGCCGATAACACCTACAGAACTGTGCAGGATTGATAGAGAAAAAACAACAACTGTGAAATGCGTTGTGTTCTTTCATGGCAGAAGGAGCCTTTTTAAAAAAAATAAAAGTCGACATAACAGAGGGGTTTTTTTGGTTTGGGAAAACACTAAAGAGTTTTCCTAAAACCAAATAGATCTGATTCACCGTGCCCTCTGGAGACATGCACACAATAGGGAACAAAAGATTGTATACGTCTCCACAGGGCAATTTTTATAGATGAATACGTCTCTACAAGGTTTTCACGAAAAAGATGTATGGATTTTACTCAAAAACTAGGAATTTCCAAGGTATGTTGATCCGTCGCAAATGGTAGAGTTTTAGAAAAGGGATATTAAGTCCCCATTTCAGCCAAGGAAATTAATTCGGGTTGAAATAAGAGCATTTTTAAACTGTATTTTCAAACTCGAAAACTTTAGTACACGAGACAAAGAAATGTCTCCACAAGGATACAATTTCAGTATAATAGCGCCTTTATGCCACATATTCTTTTTACCTTGGCCACTTCAAGATGCTGATGTTCTTTGGCAGACACAGAGGTAGGACAATGCAAACAGCCAGGACGGTGATGGTGAACTTGCGGTCCGTGTACCAGTACTTGGTTTGGTCGTTATGAGTGGCTAAGGCTAAGACTAGGTTGCACATACGATGAAACAGGAACAAAGAGAACTTTGTGAAAACCTAGAGCTGACACTAATGACAGTTCCAAGGTGTTGGACGCAAGGCCAAAAAAAAAAAATACTCGGTCTCTGGTCAGCGCGCGCGTCGATTTTAATCATGCGCGTCAACCTTTTTTCTTTTTTTTCAAATTAACACGAAAGCTACAACAGCACCCTCTATTGCCGCGCCTCCTCAAATTTTTGTACCAAGGAGCACCAAGGAATGGGGAAATTGCACCAAGACAAATGATAAAGGGCACCAAGGCAAATTATGGAGGACACCAATGTATAATGAGGACACAAAAAAGCAAAATAGTACCCACCTTGTCTGTACAATACAAGCTTGAAAAAAAAAGCCACCAAAAAAAAAAAAACCCACGTCGCCGCATCAATTCCGGAACTTCGGTCTGACCAGAGACCAACTATTTTTTTTTTTGGGCCTAACCTTCAGACAATTCAAATACAAGTTATAATGATAAAGTGGATTACAATTCTGATAAAACGTATCCATTAGTTTACACAATGATTTACAAAGGAAAATCATCGAAATTGTTTTGCTGTAGAAGAAACCGGCTCAAAACACCATGTTCATTTTGTACGTACTCAGACATATTGATTTACTTATTCGATCAGTTAAAAGCTGTTGAAGCTGTTGAACATCATTATTCCTGTTTTGTTGTATTTGTGGCATATGGATAAATTAAAAAAAAATCATCAACGTTTCTAGGAGTAAATCTGCGGAATCGCTCACAAGACAGTCAAGACAATCTCCCAGTCTCAAATCGTGTGACAATTTAAGCTTCTCAAATCAGGGCTCAAGACAGTATTAATAAACTTTGGGTCACATTTGTGACCTTTTCTGTCAAAAGCAGACGCTTCTGGGCAGAGGTTGAAATTAAGATAGGGCCAACAAATGCTGTGGGGGTGATTTTTTTCGATTTTCAAATTTTTGCATATTTGTAATCCTGAACATGTCTAAAATATACTATTAAGGTTTGAAACCCTAATTTGAACTCTAAATATCGTATTTTTGATGATTTCTTAAGGTATATCAGCTAAAGAAATTACTGTTTTGTGACGTTCGTGGCCATTTTCTCCGTTTTCTACTTTTCGACACAATGAACTTCAAAATAGCTCTACTCTGCCCAGGAATGACCGAATTCAAAAATTAAACCACCTATTAAAAAGAAAAAGAACAAGTTTTAACAATATGCAAAAATCTCATTTTTGACCTTTCGCCCAGAAAAGTCTGATTTTGACAGAACAGGTCACATTTGGCCAAAGAGTACATGTAACTGACGAAATTAATGTTGAAAGCTTACTTGGTTAAAAATAGTAATGGCAATAAAATCCCTGGGAAATTATTCTTTCTGGCACGCCGTCATGAAAATTTCCGTTAGTAATTCGTTTTTATAATTCGGCGAAGCCGTGAATGGTTGCGTGCATGCGTTGACATGACGCACACGCGTGCACACGCGGTTGCTATAATTCATCGGTCTATAATGCGTGACATTGGCTTAATGATAACATGTCTCGGACGGTAATTTCGGGCGCTGGGTATTTCCTGGGACTCTCAATAGCAGAGCACTGAGAGTCGCTAATTTTTTAATTAACCTACTGCTATCGAGCTGGTCCCCCATGATGATGAAGAACGTCACGCAGGTCCCGAAGCAGTAGATGATGACACACACCGCGCAGGCTATGTTGCCGGCCGTCCCACACATGGACTGCATCATGTCCTGGTATGAGTTGGAGTTCCGTACGTCCGAACAGACGGCTAGGACTAGCAGGGAGCTGAAGATCAGGAACAAGAAAAGCTGGAGTACGTATGTAAGAAGAAATAAAAAAAAAAAAAAAACAACTGAAAGAAGTACAGTTGATGCTTTTAGTAGAAAGTCATTTCGAATTAAGATTTGATTTGTCGTTTTGGAGAAACACATAGGAATACGGCCAGACATACATTTACATAGAATTGTGCCAAATATCCCCAAAATTGCAATGTTCGATCACCACCCGTATATCTGACTAGATTTTAAAAAATTTCTTTAAATATTTGAAAAATATGAGCTGTACGTCTCTTGAGATGATGAAAAACATACCAAGTTTTGTGGTTTTATTGTTTGTGAAATGCCACACTTTTTGCTCAAAGCCATTATTGCGCATGGTCTGAAAGCTTCAACAGGGAACATTAGCTCAAATTTCTTCTTCAAAATCGGTCACATATCAGCGACCGCTACCTGTTCTTTACATTATCTCAATTGGCTTTTTTTTGGTCAATTTTCAACAAGCAAATCCAGATCAGTGGCCAGTTTAGTCTGGTGCAAACTTTACTTGATCAGTGCGCATTTCAAAATCGAATCTTCGAATATTTGATCAAGTCCAAATTGGCATAATCGAATACTGAATGACTCGGAAATGCACAGCTCTAGATTATACTTGAAGTAAATCAGAAAGTTGTTTTGTTGAGCCGGTTTCTACAGCAGACACTTTAAAAAATATCTTCAAACCAATGGATGGATTTTTTTCTTACATTTTTTTGAGGTTTGACATGTATGTCCTGGGCAAGGAGTTGCCTCAAGCATTGGATAAATGTTTAAAGATCTAAACAGCCATTCCATGTAAGGGTCATCACCAAACTCAAAATTGAAGTGAAAGGAATAAATTTTTGTCAGTTATATTTGATAAGAGGAATATTGAAACCATCTAAATCTCAAAAGATTTTTAAAAATAAATCATTTGAATTAAAATTTCAGCCTCCTGAACATGGTTGAATTTTGTGGGCGAAACGGAGGGTCAGGGGTATAAATCACAAACTGAGGAAGTAATTGAAGCTCATTCATAAGATTGTGCTTTATCTGCATACATTTGGTAGCTATTCCAGTCTATTTGATAAAACATTGAGAATTTTTCGAAATGTCTTCAGTATTTTCCCACTATTTCATCGTGAAAACACCCTCAAAAATATGTCACGCGAGTCACAAAAAAGGACTTTTTTAAAGATTACTTAATAACTAGAGAGGGATTCAGCTAGTGTTTGATATTTGTAAATGAAATAGTGGTGGTCTATCAATAAAAGTATGAATATTCTTATATCTCAAGAATGTCACGCGAGTCACACATGATGTATGTCACGCGAGTCACCAGGGGTGGATCCAGGAATTTTCGCAGGGGGGGGGGGGGGGTTTCATCAGCCAAAAAATTTGAAAATGTACACACGTTTTTTTCTCTGGACACTCGCTTCCGTAAAATAAAAAACTGGGGGGGGGGGGGGGACGGGGGACGGGGGGTGGGGGGGGGGGGGCTGGTACCGATTTCAATCGGGGGTGCTGTTCAAATTCGACGATTATTAACACATTACAGAATGGTGTACCGTATTTTGAACAGGCGGACATTAGACCAGTATAATGTTTTTGGGGGTGTCACGCGGGGGGGGGGGAGGGGGGGGGGGGTTGACCCCCTTTTTTTGACAGATCTGGTGGGGGGGGGGGGGGTTGACCCCCCCAAAAAACCTCTGGATCCGCGCCTGGTCACAAGCCAGGAATGTTTCATTTACATGTAATACAAAGAAACAATGCCATAGGCCCTATTAAATTATAGAATTCGAATTAAGTCTTTAAAAGCATTAGTTATGTAACAAGAAATTGAATCAGTTTTTTACAAATGTATATACAGTCGAGTCTCGTTAATACAAACTCGTTCGGACCTAGCCAAATTGTTTGTTATATCAGAATTTTGTACTAAGAGGAACATCAGTCCCATTCATTGTGCACATAAATGCACAGTCGGGACTAAGGCTTTATGTTTGTTATAACCAGAATTTTGTATTAATGAGATTCGACTGTACTGTATACATTCCGATACAACTGCATCATTAATTGCAGCTCGATCTTACCATTTAAGGAAACTGTGACTCTACATGACCAAGAATTACAACTGTTTTCCTGAAATAATCACCCGTGGATTGATGACATCACTTCGTAACTAAAATTCCAAAACATTTTTTTCTCTCTATGTCATTGTTAAGGATATTGTGTTTAAACCAGATTTCCACCCCCAACATTTGCCAAAGTAAAGGGATAAATAGCAGTTTTCACACTCTTTCATAAGGTATTCACAGGTAAATCATTTTTATTAATATAATATTATGATTTGATTCGTTATACTAAAATTACAGTTATAATGTGAAAGTGAAAAGCTACTGTGTCACGCGAGTCACGCATTTGTGTCACGCGAGTCACATTTTCTTCAGGCCATTTCTTACAACAAGGGATATTTGGCACAATACAACTTATGCATGTACTGGGTGAGGGTATTAAGTTCTAAGTTCTGTAAGAATAATTTTTAGAACACTGGTAGATCCATAGGAAAAGCTATTTGAATCAAGGGATGTCAAAAATCCCTTTTTCTATCCTGTCATGCGAGTCACGTCAAAGAAACTGTGATACATGAAAAAATAGCGATTTTAAAGTAATCATATAAATACTAAACCATAAATTCACAATGCCCTGACTCAAATACATGCTGATTTGAGTTGAATAAATGCCAGGTTAACAACAGTAATGCATTAAAACTTTACATTTTGTTCAAATGTCACGCGAGTCACCATGGAATGGCTGTATAGTCCATCATTTGTAATTTGTGCATTTTGTTCGTTTGAAGCAACAGAAGTGCTCAAAATCTAAAGAAGGGTACTGAACAACTAACCTGATGAAGTTTCAGCTCAGCTTCAGCTGTATATTCCGAGAAAAACGGCATTCTAAGATCTCAATTTCAATAAAAAGTTGCTGAATCATGTTTTGAATTGGGCCTGAATTCAGTGTCCGAGACACGTTCTCACTGAGCCGATTGCAGCTACGCGATGTCGCGCACTGATCCGACGAATTATAGCAACCGCGCGCGCGTGTGCGTCGTGTCAACGCTTGCGCGCGCTTCGCCGGATAAAAAAAACACGAACTACTAACGGAAATTTCCAACCGTGCGTCTTAAGACGCACCGTTGGAAAGGCCTTCTTTCGTTGATTATTTCAAAATGACAGCTTGCCAGAAAGAATAATTTCACAGGGAGTTTAGTCCCCTTACTATCTTTCAACCAAGTATGTTTTTCAACAATAAGTACGCCAGTTACTTTTCGGATAGCTGCAAATGATGGACTATAGCTTTAACCCTCCTACTGATAATACATTGTAACTGTCACAAACCGGCTGGTTACCTACTGCTGGAATCTTTCAAAACCTGTTGAAGGGGTTTGATAGGTAGGGTGGCCATAAATACTGCTACAGCTTGTGTAGCAGCCATTTTAAAGGGTGATGCCTTTGTTTGGCTGGATTGGCTGCATGATTGAACTTTTTGTGCCTTCATTGGTTCTGAACTACCGTAAATCCATCATTGACAGGCACTCACCAGTGCTGATCAGCCACATTTAACAATGTCGAATCAAGGCATGGTACATGTGAACTACCACAGCCTGTCAATTGTGCCACTACCACAGCCTGTCAATTGTGGGGCGCTGTGGTCCAATGGTTACGGTGTTCGACTCGTGTGCCGTGGTACACGGGTTCGAATCCTGACCGTGGGAACATGGTGCTTGTGCTCTTGAGCAAGGCACTTTACCATTATTGCTTCGTCCTTCGGATGGGACGTAAAGCCGTAGGTCCCGTGTGTTGTGTAATGCACGTTAAAGAACCCAGTAACACTTGTCGCTAAGAGAAGGGGTTTGCCCCGGTGTTTCTGGCAGTGGCAGCAATTATGCGCCGCAGCACCTAGCAAAAAGGTGCTTCATAATGGGTCTCATATGTTCATATACTTCATTTACCTGGCTTTGGTTGTATCCTCTGGCAAAAAGCGCTATATAAATACAGTTATTATTATTATTATTATTACCAATATGAGGCCAGTTTTCAAAACCTGTCACCTGATAGATTTTGACGTACATGTACAGCGTTGTAGTTGAGTGCTTTTTTTCAGAGTACCGAGTACTGCCGGTACTTAGGCTACCAAGTACGAGTACTAGTACATGTACTACCGAGTACAAGTACAGGTCTCCGAGTATGAGTATGAGTACCTGAACTTCCGAATACGAGTACGAGTATTCCAAGTACGAGTAAGAGTATTCTGAGTACGAGTACAAGCATTCCGAGTACGAGTACGAGTATTCCGAGTAAGATGTATTCTGAATATGAGTACGAGTACTTGTAATTCTGAATACGGCCACATCGCAAATGGGTCATTGTGCGTAATTGGCCCAGGCCCAGTCAGACCGATATATACAGACCCACTCATGGCTAGCTGTTTGATGTGTTTGTCCTGACGTGCACAGAGGAAAATCAGGAAACTTTGATTTCTCCGCTAGCCAATCAACCATTTCAAACTGAAAATATTGCTAAAAAAAAGGCCATGGTAAAGTCAAGCTCTACCAATATTTTCCCCTGAGTACTGCTATTCGAGTAGGAGTACTTTGCTGCACGAGTACGAGTACTGTCGTTTCGAGTACGAGTACTTTGACATTCGAGTACAAGTGCGAGAACACTAAAAAAAGTACTCAAGCAGTACTCGAGTATGAGTACTACAACACTGCACATGTATAGGGTATCTCACTCCAGATTGTCGCCGAGAATGGGAGGAATAAACATTTAAATGGGGCCTGAAACTGTAGCTTAACGCTTGCCTAATGAAATATGGATTCCCCTCCTTACATACCACTTGCATAATGGTTCCCACCGCGACACCGCCGGCTGCCTGATACGCCGAGGGGAAGTTCAGCAACCCCGCTCCTATGCAGGCATTAACGACGATGAACACAGCTCCGAAGGTTGATGTTTTCCCCGACGTCGATTCCTCGCTCGGCGAAACCACTGCGACGTTTCCACCAATCAGAGGGGAGGATTCGTCCGATGTGTAGCCGGTTGTGGGACTGTTCTTGCCTGGGCCACCGTGAAAGAAGTCCGCTTTCAGTTTGGTTGCATTTGCCTGTTTGACTTCCATGTTTATTGCAAGATCTTCAAGCAAAGTTTGTCTAGTGGAGTCTCCCTGAGGTTTGTCAATACAATAGTTGTTTTACTCGGCTTGAAACGTCAACATGAGTGAGGTAGATTATCTATCAGCTCATTTCTAAACACTGAATTCTTTCCAAGACCTTGAATTCACTGAATTCTCTCCATCAAGAATGAAGGCGTCACCAACAGCAAATACTGATACAGTTCATACATGTAAGTTCACGTCTCCTTCAGCACAATCTTGGGTTATTGAAGATCGGATACCCTGTCCAACCATCATAGTCCTGGAAGGAGAGACAGAAATTTAGGACTTCATTAGTAAAATGTATTCCTACGACTGTTTCTATGGTCCCAGTATGGTCCTCATACAGAATAGCTTACCACATGCAGATGCCACATTTGGCCTTTTCTCAATGACATCTGAGTGTTGGACCCGGGCTAAACCCAGAGATTTTTTAGCAACCCGTTCCACGACTGTTTCTATGATCCCAGTATATGGTCCTCAAACGGAACCGTTTGCCACATGTTCAAGTAGATGTCACATTTGGACTTTTGTCATTGATCTCTCTGTACTGGTCTGTGTTCGATCCAGGTCAAACCCAGCGATTTTAGCAAGTCATTTCACGACTGTTTCTATGATCCCAGTATGGTTCTGGCACGGAACAGTTTGGCACATTAAGATGCCAGATTTGGCCTTTTCTCACTGATATCTCCGTGCTGGACCCAGGTCAAGCCCAGAGATTTTAGCAACCCGTTTTAAACTAGCAAGAACCAAACACAGCTTTTACAAGCACGGCATGGGTCCAATGCTCTACACTGGTAAAGTTCAGCCCTTTTTAGGACCAGGCTTGAGAGGCTCTATCCGGTTGGAAAACACAAAACAATATTCTAAGGCCAACCCCATTAACATGATGAAAGACACTTTCAATATCTTATCAAGCTACGAGGTTGGCTGGGCTTAATTCGGCCAAGAAATAAATCACACCCATGTTTCCGGTTACTCCATCCAACCTAGAAAATCGTGCAGAACCTAAATCTTTTTATTCGCTGTTCTTGCTGTTCCGGTGCTCTACCAACCATTGCCAACTGAGCTATCCAGCCCTATGTCGGCACTTCCTCAATGTGTAAATGTCCTTGTTCAAGGGGCACTAGTCAGAAGCCATAAACCAGTACAGGGTGAGTCCAAAAAAGCAAAACCCACATGTCGAGACTATTGTTTTGGTGAAGTTCTGCATGCAACACTTTCAAAATCTAGGATATGATAGCCCAATTCATAAGCTTTCTTTTAGTACAAGAATCATTCAAATCGCTCATGTACTTTTCAAGTTACGGAATTTTAAACACAACCACCGTTTTAGAGTTCTGTCCATAGATCACAAAAAATGTGCGTTCTTTCAGCGAAACAAATACAATTCACACACATCCCTATGTGATTTGTTTTCGTTTTGCCGAAAGAACTTCACTAAAACAATGGTCCCGACATTTGGGGTTTTTTTTTTTTACTCACCCTGTATATGCCATGTGGCCAGGGATCACACGCAAAGTCACGATGCTAGCAGAATTTATTTTTCTAGTTGTAAAAATCTAGAGCAAAAAAAAAGGAATAGATTTTTTTTTAGATCGTCAATACATTATCAATACATTATCATGAGAAATACGACATATGGTCGTGCCTCAAGTTAATTATTTCTTTATTTCAGATACGTGGTACTGAACATACTGTATGGCTGAAAATATGGCGATCATGTAGTGGGCCCAGTTCCTTATAAGAGAACAAAATCCCCTTAAATTTATTTGACTTACCAAACTAGTATGCGACATTAATAACATGCAAGTGAGGAACAAATGTATGTATGTCATAGATAGAGGCCGTTTTTTTAAATTTTTGAGAAAAATTTGGGGGTAAAATGACGATCACAACGACAAAACGCAACATCAAAATAAAGATGGCGATTACCGTAAATTCACAAAATGCACCGAATCGCACGGCACCACCCATGCCAACCGTAAATCGAAAATCATAATTTCTACCCCAAGAAACTAATCAAAACTACACACAAATAGGGTGTCATTAGAATTGAGAGAAGACTGCATTAGGTTAAAAGGGTCATTTTGAATGATAAAAAAACATCCTTGACTTTAATTTGATCAAAACTAAAGAGGGGCCCGTAACTATACTGCACGGTCTGATGGGTTGCCAACATTTTCATTTGAATAAACTGGTGTGCTACTAGTTTTAGTAACTTTTCAATTATCCCAGTTGCATAACACCGTTTAGTCTACAAATCGACAACTTCAAATTTAATTTGTTCAAATTTAAAAAGTAACAGTTAGGGCACAATTGCAGAATACCCCGCCACTCGATCTATCCACCTCGTAGCCGGCTACGAGGTCACGGTTGATTGACCTCAATAAACATTCTCAACGCTACTTGTATGTACTACTATGCGTCATGCTCTATTGCACTCCCATTTCGTGACCGCATAGCCGCCAACAGGGTAGTTGGTTTGGACTTAGAATTTTTTTCAGCAACTCCCATTCCTTTTGTGTTGCTTCGTTCTCAAGCATATTCAAGGGGACTCCCACTCCGTAGCCTCGTAGCCACCAACACAGGCGCGGTTCTACGGGGGGGGGGGGGGGGGGGGGGGGGGGGGGGGGGGGGGGCTGGGGGGGGGGGCTAGGGGGGCCCTAGGGGGGGCTGTAGCCCCCCCAAATTTTGTCTAGCCCCACCAAAATAAATTCTGTAAAAAAAAATTGCATTAGCAAAAAGAAGGATTGTGATGTACATGCAAACGGTCTCCCCCTAAAGAAGAAATAGCCGTGACAAGGGTGCATTAGTTAATATAGTGTAATATTTGTAGGATTTTATTGCCGCTCCCCATTGAAAATATGGCATGAGCCCCCCCCCCCCCCCCAAAATATTGGTTCTAGAACCGCGCCTGCACCAACAGGGTGGTTGGTTTGGACTTAGAATTTTTTTCAGGAACTCCCATTCATTTTGTGTTGCTTCGTTCTCAAATAATGGACCCCCACTCAGTATCCGCGTAGCTGGCAATGGACTTGAATTGTTTCTTTTGCAGTGATTCCAACCTCGTAGCCAGTGATTTTAGGGGTGTATTTCCGAGTGGCGGGGTATTCTGAAATTACTCCACAGTTAGGTCCACACTTGTTATATTAATAGTGAGTAAAGTGAGCACTTTTTCACTTGTAAAACTGTTCTTTGGGACCCCTTTCCTGTATTTAAAACATTCTAAATCCACTTTTTTATATTGGAAAATTAAATAATACTTTATCAGAAAATGTGTTTGATTTGGGGTGGTTCTGGCTGAAAAATAGATTTTCTCGCGTTATTTTCTTTTTCACACGTATCAGTTTTTGATAGATCCGGAACTGATTGAACCGATCCGGAACTAGGAAAAGTGGCATCGGTACTTTTGACGTTGTAAAGTCACAATAATTAAAGGCAGTGTATATTTTGCCGGAGACGGCAAACCTTTAGTAAACGTTAGTTTGCCGGATATGTACTGAACATGCGCAGTTACTGTTTTTTTTTTACTCTAACAATTTCCGGTGACAAGTTTTAGTCTGGCTCCATGCCAAAATTATCGTTGTTACCTCGTATTCACAAGATGGGATTCAGACCATTTTATAATTTGGACTTTATTTCCCTTTTAAAAAAAATCCTCCAGAGCCACAAATCTGAAAAAGAAAATGTAATACTCTGCAAAAAATGTTTGAGACATGTTAAAATAATAAAAGAAGAATATTCTTATTTATTTGGGGATGAGAAAAAAAACTTAAAAATGTGGTGTGGTCGGACTCGAACTCGAGTCATCCGGCTTACTAAAGCCTTAGCTTAACACACCAAACGTGCTACACAACTTTTGGTGGGAATTTAATACATCTTATAATTCAGCCCTATTTTAAAGAGTACAGCGCCCTCTGTTGATATGGATTGCCGCCGGCAAACCTTTAGTAATCGTTAGTTTGCCGTCATTACCTCCGGCAAAATATCCACCATCTAAAGAGAGCTTAAATTTTGAAAATTATTTTTTTGTACATGGTCATGGTGGAAGTTATGGCCTTTATTTACGGAGGTAGTCCAGTAAATTGGCCACATTTATGGAGCTAGGCTGCGGAATGAGTTTCTTACCAAAAATGACGGGTTAACTTGCCAAATCTGGAACAGTGGAATTCCGGAAGCGAGTCACGAGCTCGAGCGTTGCACATATGCAGTCTGTCAATCAGCAGGGTGACCGTAAGGTCGTGGCCAAATTCTGCTAAATGGACTTCAAAAATCTGTCAGAATGATCAAAAATCCGCCAAATTCCCAAGAATTACTCGAAATACACTATAAGCACTTAAAATCACATGCAGATGTTGTAGTATTGCCTTAGTTCCCAGTGAACCTCGGCACCTAAACCAGCCAAGCTGTCCCATTATGCAAGGGTTTGTTTGAAAAGATTTAAGCTTTTTTAAACAAATGTACCATTTTTTTTCAAATTTGCTATGTTTTTCTGTCAAATAACCATTTTTGCAGGATTCTGCCAGAAATCTGCCAAAAAAATCCATTCTGTCAAATTTTCTGTCAAACTCGTTTTTTAACAAAAAATCTGTCAAAGTTAGCCGAAAATCGGCTAAAACGGTCACCATGTCAATCAGCCTGTGTGCAATTGTGGATTTTAAAAACAAGAGGTGCTGGGGGACCAGACTCGGCCGGAGAACCAGACTATTGGGGGGGGGGGCGGGGGCGGAAGCGATATTTGTATACCATACCGCACAGTCGGGTTCTCGGACTCCCTTGAAAAAAGAATCCTCCAAATTCACAAATTAGCAAAAGAAAAATGTTCCAAATGACTAAAAAATACTTTTTAAGAAAAAAGAACTAATTAACTTACGTCCCCGCCCGCCGCGCGAGAAAAAAACTTAGGTCGACACTGAGAAAAGAGGCTTAGTTGACAAAATAAAATGTACAGGTAAAAATGCCCTTGTAAAATAGTGAAACAAAGGAACTTCCAATTCAGTAAAATAATTATTAAGTTTTGTACAGATGGGACTTTGCTAAACTTTATCCGCAATCCAGTTGGCCCTTTTTTATCTTGTTCTTATCCGTTGTGTTCTTGGTTTTTTGTGCTTGTTTGTTTGTTTGTTTATCTTGCTTGGGGCTCAGTGTTTGTATATATGCTTGTTCGGTCGTTGCTTGTTTCTTGGGTCGTTTCTTCGTTAGTACGTTGGGGTGTTTGGTTGTTTGTCTTCCGTCTGTCTGTCTGCTGGGTGGGCGGACTGTTTGCTGGTCCGTTTGTTTGTTTGTTGTTCTCCCCCTTGTTATTGTTTTTGTCTTGTATGTTTTGCTTTGTTCTTGCTTCTTGTCTGTTTCCTTTCGGAGGTTGTGTTTTTCTGTCTGTGGGGTCATTTGTTTCTTTGTTGGATTGTCTCTTTAATTGGAGGTGTTTTTTTTGTCTGTTTGTCGGTCGTTTGATTTTTTTGTCTGTCTTCCAAGGTCTCGTTTTTTAAGTTTTTTTTTTAGATCTTAAGTTATCTAGGGGGTGTTTTTCTTGCTTTTTCTTGTTAATACGGTGCAATATAAAAAACAAATTCCAGGGATTTGTGCAATTTTACTGAAAGGGTTTTTCTTTTTGCCCATGGGATTATGTGTTATAGTGTAAGACTGTTCTAATGTTTGTGTTTTTGCAAAAAAAAGGGTTTTTAGTCATGCTATGGGGAGAGCTACTCGACAGTGATTTCGTTCACTTTTTAGCAATCCCGCAGGGGCGTGCAATTATCTTGGTGTAAGGGTCTTATTTTTTTTTTTATTTAATGTATGGTTTAATGTGTATTTTTTTAAAAACTTATCATGTCTTTTTTATGTCTATACTGTCTGTAATATTATTATTGGGTTTTTTCCCATTGTAAATTTGACCTGCGAAATAAAAAATGAAATGAAATGAAATGAAATTCTCTCCCTTTGCAAGATTATACGTGTTGCTTTTGTTCCATGAAAAGCGCGTTTTTTATTTGGATTGTATTTTTCGAGTTTAAAACACTGTAAGTATTGTTTCGATCATTTTGTTTTTGAAATGTTTGACGGTTTCTCACGAAATTGATCGAAATTCCAAATATTACACATCCAGAACAATCACTGCACATAATTCCTATTCATACAACTGGTATTTTGCACACACAAAACGAGTATGTTATCGGTTTGTTTTTTTTCATGAACGTTGACTTCCATTTGGACGGTATTTTTTACATGTAACGCACTCAATTGTTTCGGTTACATTATTTTTCTTGTTTGACGAGTTCTCATGAAAATATATTTTTCCCAATGTGACACATCATGAACAATTACTGGACGAAAATTTCAATATAATACATTTGATAATTTCTTGACGTTATTGCCAGAAACAAGGAGTGTTTTTTGTCACAGTGAGGCATCCTTGCTGACGCTCCACCAGGTAACCACAATGACTAGCCAAATCCATCGCGTACCCCAAGGTGTAACCATTCCAAAAAAATACCCACCAAATTGGTCATTCCCCCCCCCCCCAAAAAAAATGACCCCTGGCTCCCGCTCTAATTAATCGCCGAATCAGCTCTCTTATCATAAACCCTTGCTAGACTACCGGTAGGTCTGATTTTGGTACAGTCGATGAAATATTATTTTATATCAATGCGCAAAATGTATCCATCGCGCATGCAGTAAACGCAAAATTTTAAAACAGATACATTCACCTATTCTAGGGGCCTAGCTACCCAAATAATTGGATTATAAAGGCTAGGATAACAATGGAGCCACGACAACGATGACAGATGTGTTATACGACCTTTTTATTATAATTCAAAACCGGAAACTCAAATTCCATTCAAATGTCATCGATCACTACTGCGTACCTACATTGAAAACCAAACCGTATCTCCTTGACATTTCAAGATGTCATCAGCTGTCTGCATCACAACACCAAGTATTTTTTTTTCCATAGCAGATCGGGTGGCTCATTACTTCAAACTGTACAACAGCACACTTTTACGTATTATGTTGAAGAAAAAAGACTTCAAGGCTGAACATGTAAAATCATTTACATGCATTAATAATAAAGTATCAACAAGCAAAATTCCCTTCACCACTAATTACGCATAGAGAAATGTTATATTTCAGATTGTGTTTTATTTACATTATGAGCGGGTGAGTCGAGCACGTTAATTGGCCTATATTATTCCTTTATCCCTCGCAAATTTTTCTTTTCTTTGGTGATTCTTTGTTGTGTCGGTACATGGCAGTAAGCCAATGAGCAAACGTTTCTCACACAATATTTTTAACTTTTTGGTTCACAATTTTGAACAGGAAACCCCTAAACTGAACAGTGTTTTCCTGAGTTGAAATCACAGCAACATCGCTCTCAGGTGTCTGGAAAAGCATGGAAGGTTTTTAATGTTTATAGAAGTGCACTTTTCAATCAAATTAACAAAAAAGAGGTCGTGAAATAAAATTGTCAGTGACATAGGTACAGATACTAGTGCTCACAAGTGAAGTCTATGGGGACGTGGTAACCCAACCCGCATTATGCAATTTTAATGCAATGGAAAGTTTCGTTCGAACCGTAAGTTGGGGCATGCAAAACACCTTAAAACACTTTAGTATCTGAACATTTTGAAAACTGTGTGCTAATATTTCAGAACAAGACAATATTTCTTTACTTTTCTGGTACCCGCTATGATTTTGCATGAATACGGCGAATTGTTTACCCCGGTGTCAAATGAAATTCCGACTCCTGTGAAAATTGAACTCCTTTTCCCTATTATTGGTTAATCCCTCTCATGTGACCCGTCGCTCTCCTAATCATATACGTACGCATGCGCAATACTACCAATGGGTCCACATTTCATGGATATGCTACACCCAACCTCGTCCCCAGGGTGTCGAGCAGTACGCGCCCACCACTACCTGCTCTCTCACCCTGGTATGGATCATTTGCATGTGCAAGATTTTTGAACACGTATGCAAATAAAGAGTAGTCTGATGCCTGCCTGTGCGTTACATTTGCAATTTTATTGCTTTTGTATGCGGTGTCTGGGGTAAAAACAGAATCAATTCGTCGCAGCGCGAGCATGGCGTGAGTTACGAAAACATGATTTCATTTTAATTAAACTGTTACGATCTTAACGAGACAACATGCAGTATCACATTTCATATTAATATTACTGGAAAGGAAATGAATATTTTCGAGAAGGCGTGGACGAATGATCGCGAAAACACGTACTGCACGTTGTGAATAACAACACCAAGTACACGATATAAATCCATTTCTAGCCAATTGCGGTATCGAATCAGGATGTAGGAAGGAAGTTTCCTATCCAGGGTTTACTATTGGAAACAACGTTGGAAATAAAGTAAGCACTGAGGACGAGGTTGATGCTACACCGGAACTAAAATGCATCATATCGTGATGTGAACATGCGCAGCGCAGTAACGATGGAATACCGAACTGGCTCTAATATCATTGCCCCCCCCCTGCTCCATTTAAACTGGTCTGATTACGCCCCCAGTTATCCATAAAGCATCACCTCGGACCCTAGTCCACTGGCTTGCATACGACAACTGCATCCCAGTAGTTGTTGAAGAGAACATCGTCTCCGCTCTTCTCGGAGCAATGGTCACTCCCGAGATATTCAATGACCTCCTTGTACAACTGCGCAGGCGCCGTCTCCTTCAACTTGATCACGTGGGTCAGGAAATCCACCAACAGGGCGCCCTCCTCCGACGCCTCATCGAAACACTGGGTGATCTCGAAACGGGAGCGCTGGTGGTACAGCGTGCACGGGATGCCTCGGCGCTCCAAGGAGCCGCGTATGAGGGACGAGTTTGTGAAGGTCACCAGACTGTCTTGAAAACTTGGGAAGTGATTCCTGAAACGCCACCACCCACTGTCGTCTGGTAAAAAACCCCAACAATGACAACATTATGAGGGCGTAAATTAAGAAGACCTATACAGGTGTGCACTTAACCTCCTGCCAGCACGTATACTATTACATAATGAACAAAACATGAAGAACACTCGAGGTCTCTTTTTTGCCTACCACGTACTTGAAGAAATCTGGGCGATCGTGTAGTTACAGTCCCCTGCTTTGTTTCTATCAAATTAGAGTCAATGGTGTTTTTTAATCATTAAAAAAAAACCTTTTCAACCTAAAGCAGACTTCTCTCAATTCAAATTACACCTTTTTTTTTGCAATTTTGAACAGTTTCTTGGGATAGAAATTACGATTTTTGTACGCGATTTATGGTTGGCGCAGTGCGATACGTCCACGGTACATCGCGGTTATTGCCATCTTTATTGTCGTGTTGCGTTTTGTGATTATGGCGTTTTGTGATCATAGTCATTTTTACACCCAAATTTCCCTCAAAGATTCAAAACCCTTTATTAATGTCGCCAACCATAGTTTGGTAAGTCAACTAAATTAAAAGTGGATGTTGTTCTCTTTTTCTTTTATAGGGAACCGGGCCCGTAAGTAACTTTACATGATTGCTGAAATCTGTTAATGTGACCCATGCTGTTAAAAATGTTAAAAATACACAGATTATGCACACAAACGGCCAAGATATGGTGCTTTTCACGGCGATACATGTGCGCAATTCAGAAAAAGCCACCCAAAATGGCACATGCCACAAAAAGGGCACCACTTCTTTTAAAAAAAAGGGCAATTCTTAAAAAAAGGCACTATTTACAAATTATTGCGGTTGGGTAAGCCCGTCGAAAAAAGGGCATTTGAATGGAAAAAGGCAATCTTACAAAATTTAGGGGGGGGGGTAACACCCCCCCCCCCCCTGCATACGCCTATACAGATTTACCAAAAATACATTTTTTTGTTTCAGACAGTCCAATTATATCAATTTAGAACTAAGAGTTCAGCGCGACTCTTGAAGCCTGTCTGAAACAGCTTAAGTGCGGATTCGTAATTCCGAATCCACACTTTACTAAAGATTTGTCGCTCCGAATCCACACTTTGTGACCAGTGTAAGAGATTCGTAGATTCGAATCCACACTTTTAACAATAGTGTGACGTCATAGCAATGGTTTAATAGATAGGCCTACCTGAGTAAGTTATCACTAGCAAGACTCCTCCGGGCTCCAATCGGTCGTACAGATACATCATGCAACGGTCAACATCGCCCACGTAATAGATGGAGTGAATTGAGCTGATGAAATGGAACTTTTTCGAATCTCCCGCCTTTTCGTATTGAGCGATCGTCTGCTGACGCCAGTCGCAAGTTACTCCGTGTAGGTCGTTTGCCTTGGATTGTGCTAAGGCCTTGTACTTGACAAGCTGGTCCATGGCAGGCTCAACTACACGGTTGTTGATGAGTGGAAAGCGTCGCAGGAGTTTGGTCAGCATCTGCACGTCCATCTCACCTGAAGAATATTAAAAACAACATAATGCTAAAGTTATTACAATGTACGTATAATTATTTACGAGCCAAAACTCGCTTCTTTTATTGGCCAATGTTCCAACCAATTAGGTAAGTACAGGTGTAGTACCACGTGATCAGCGCAGATTAATATTTCTTCTTTGAAAACGTCTCTCAGTTTCGATGGCATCATCCACTGCACTACAATTAGGTTCTCCGACTCTTCTTTTCCCTTACATTAAAATTTTCTTAACTTCAAAAGAACAAGCTCGAAATGATCTCGGAATCTCCGGCCCAACCGTAGACCTGCTGTTGCCTATAAGTCATGTACATGATGTAAAAGTTTGTTCTTATAATGCACAACTACTCACGTCATGACTGTCAAAAAAAGTTTCCCATTATTTTGTTGAACGTCAGTTGGTGCATGAAGCGTTTCATATCCGCTCCGTTCACAAGTACCCCCTCACCGGCAAAGAAAGTACACTCGGGGGTGACCAACCGACGCCAACTTGCCTGACTGCAATTTTGCCGCGACGCGCGGCCGTACCACTGCATGTACATAGTACAAATCCGCTGGTGTATGTGCGTCACACGTAAGGAACAGTGCGCGTCAACCAGCTAAATGTCCCGCCCATGAGACGTCGTTGCTAGGTAAAAGGGCGTCCTCTTTTTTGGCGCACGGAGCCCATAGCTTGTCGAACCCTCAACTCGGCCCCAATGCGAAATGAGTGACCTCGTTACCCAATTTTCCAGGATTGCAATAAATCGGTATAGCTCTGGTCAGTGGAAACCTGAAGCACATGTTGGTGCGAGGGCCTAAGGGGCAAGGTGATTGATTGCCAAATCAGACAACCAACCAACCAACCAACCAACCAACCAACCAACTAACCAACCAACGGAGAGACATGCATGAGTACAATGTAGTTGTAGAGCTGCTTTCCCGCTGCTAAAATAGTAGATGAAAAATGGGCATTGGTGGATTCAAACCAGGGGAATTCTGACTCGATTCGTAACTCATCTCACTATCCACTATAAAGGCTACTGTGGCAGCTCGACAACAGCCGTTCTACAAAATGCTTTTATATACAATAGCTACATGTATAGTTGACTAAGTAATATAATAACAATGGTGTGACGTCAGTTCTCTTATAAAGATAACTTTCCCATCGAAACTGAACACGGGTTCTCTGAGAGACGTTCTCAGAGAAGGGAATATTGATCTGCGCGATCGGAGCTCTTAGACTCCGATAATGCTATGCAAAAGTATAGCAATCGCATCATGCGGCTGGGGTGCCCTACACTACACAAACCTTCATAATTTCCCCTAGCCCGACTGCGTCTGGCCGTACAGTACTATCGCAAGCTCTGTAGTACGGCCAGACGCCCGATGCTTCCACAGAGACTGAATTTTGTTGGCCGCCGATGTAGCGATTTTGCTACATCTTTCGATCGCGATTGTCTTTTCATCCAGGACACAAATTTCCAAAGTTAAGGTTCGTAGTCGTAGAGCAACTCATACCTTTTCGAAAAAACATTGTTTGGTCTCAATATTTTCATCCATCTGGCCACAAGACGAATTTCAGTCATCAGATTCCACAAATATCGTCCCCCATGCGATCCCCCATGCGATTTCAAAATGGCGGCCGCGCTGTAATGTATGCAATATGCAGGCGCGCCCGCGCAAACTCATGAATATGCATAAACAGTCTGTGACGTATGACCTCGTGTTTTTGGAAGTACGGCCCCGCCGCACGCACGTCCAAAAACACGAGGTCATACGTCACAGACTGTTTATGCATATTCATGAGTTTGCGCGGGCGCGCCTGCATATTGCATACATTACAGCGCGGCCGCCATTTTGAAATCGCATGGGGGATCGCATGGGGGACGATATTTGTGGAATCTGATGACTGAAATTCGTCTTGTGGCCAGATGGATGAAAATATTGAGACCAAATAACGTTTTTTTTCGAAAAGGTATGAGTTGCTCTACGACTACAAACCTTAACTTTGGAAATTTGTGTCCTGGATGAAAAGACAATCGCGATCGAAAGATGTAGCAAAATCGCTACATCGGCGGCCAACAAAATTCAGTCTCTGTGGAAGCATCGGGCGTCTGGCCGTACTACAGAGCTTGCGATAGTACTGTACGGCCAGACGCAGTCGGGCTAAATTTCCCCCATTAAATTCAGAAATATTTATTGCTTTCGGCGTTTATATCCGTACCTGATCCACTTCCTACTCCAAGTACACGTAGCTCTTCGTTATCGCCCAGTGTGATCTTGATTTTGTCAACGACAGCTTCACCAAACACAGTCTCTCCCCAGTTCGCAAGCTCGCTGAACTTCGCCGACAGAGCAGCGAAGCAGTCGAAGGACTTGGTGTAGTACTCTGGGTCGTGGAACAGACTGCGTAACTTGGACTCCATGCTTTTCGGTGATTTTAATCTCAGTGGAAAAGGAAGAATTTAGGCCTATGTTCTCGCTGGGACTTCCAGACGACTGTACTGTATCCTGTGATAGAAGCAAATCAATGATCACATATTTCATAAGGTAAGAAAAATAAAAATAGGGACTATTTTTACGATTGTTCCACCATTTGATACATAATACACTTGTCCAAGATCTTCTGCGCGTGTTTATGGTGTAAATCGAGGAGACACACACACAATTATGTCGAATCGAGGACAGAAACCGAATCAAGGACGACCTCGATTAAAAAACGTGTACAAAACCAACGAGAGCTGTTGAGAAAAAGTTAGTGTACAAACAAAGGAAAAGGGAAGAGGAACACAAAAAAATCCTCGATTTACACCAAAACAAAATAATGTGTCCCGGTGTTTGTACATGTATATGGATCCCACTGGATATATACCGCCACGTATTTTGATCTATAGAAATTCATCGAAAAACCCAAATCTTCTTAAAAATCTTCGAAATTTCAATTCGAAATTAAATAAACCTTGTGGCTAACTAATTCACCGGTGCAACCCTATAGGCATAGTGACCGTAAGATAGCGACCGTGGCTTCAACAAGTAATGCGGGTGGGTTTAAAGGATTCGAACACTGGATGGTAGACCATCCTCCGAAATAACAGAAACAAATTGCATACTAATCAATGTATTGTGTACATAAAATTATTGGGGCTGAAAGATAGCATTAAAAAAAAATTATAATACAGGCTGAGCAAATAAGTTCTGTTTTTGTTTTTCGGGATCATTAATACATTATCAAAACACTACCATGAGAAATACAGCATATGGTCATTATCTAAGGCCAAAAAAAAAAGTCTCCGGTTTCTGGTATGGAGCTTGCCCAAAAAGTGGTGCGGCGACGCGGCTTTTTTTTTTTTTTACCTGTTTTTTTTAAATTCAAATGTCGACTGATGACTGCAAATGGTGCCCGACTAAACTTAGTGCAAATATATGGGGGTCCAGAGAGGCTACATAAAGCTTATTCTTGATCATAACCCCATCTAAAAATACGTTAAAATTGTGCAGCAGCAGGATTCCAGTCAAACCAGTGAGTTTGGCGGTTTTGAGACATCATCTTTCATTGAAAAAAAAACTTTTTGATTTTGCCGAAGCGCATGGCTACGGCGACGCGCGCGCATACCAGAAACCGGAGACTTTTTTGGAGGCCTAATCCCGAGTTTTTGTTGTAAAGCCAGTTGTAAATAACGGGGTCTTATCATCCAAATTCACATATAAATAACATTTATAATAATAACTTTTCAATAAGTCTCATTTGGGTAGATTCTCAGTTAAACCTAGTTTTACTGATGTAGTAATGTGGTGGTCTACCCTATATACTGTTATTCTAGGGTTGGGGTCCGTCCATATACTGAAATTCGGATGAAGCTGGAGTCTGACACCAATCAGTCACTTCTCATTGTTTATTATGATGCTAGGTCATATATATATTCCATATATTCTGGTTAAATTGCCAAACAAAATCTCACAACTGGGTTATTCACAACAACCACCCAAACAGTGAGCACAAATATATACACATGAGCGGGAGCAGTGAACTAGCAGACGATCGGCTGTTTCGAGCACGCGACATGCACGTGAGTTGACGTTCGATTGTCATGATTGCTGTGTTTACTGCTGTTTATTTTCGTGATTTTTACATCGAAATCACAAGAATCCAAGACAGAGGTATAACAAAACAACTGTCGACTACATGTGATGTGGAATATGACGTTTTGAACACCCTCGGGGTACATAATAGCACCCTTGGCCTCAGTCGCCTCGGGTGCTTTGCTTCCCTCGGGGGAAAGAATGTTGCATCCTGACGCTACTTTCGAAACAGAAAAGTTGGCTTACATTGTACCTCAGAGAGTATACTTTCATGTAAGAACTGTAAGGAATATGTTGACAAAGTATGCGAATGTGTGGCCAACTTGATGAATTTTTACATGTCACTGCATGTTGAGGCCCTCAACCGACGCGTGACATGTACAAATTCACTAAGTTGGCTACACATCCGCCTACAAATCTCTCTTAAAGACTTTATCAACATATTCCTTACTGTTCTCACATGAAAGTATACTCTCTGAGGTACAAGATAAGCAAAACAAAATGTCTTTTTTTTTCCTGTTTCGAAAGGAGCGTCAAGTTGCAACATTTCTTCCCCCTCGGGTGTTCAAAACAGCATATCCCATATCACAGCAGTCAACAATTGTTAATTGTCTTCTTACCATTCCCGATTCCCGAGAAATATTTGTTTGGGGCATACGCATACGTAGTTGCAGCCATCATGTTTATTCAATGTACGGTACTCGTTGAGTGTATGACACAATCTAATGTTGTTTCTCGTACTTCCACAAATTGTGATGCAGTGGTGGAATATGTGCGGCAGGATTCACGACTAGCTTCTAAAAGCTCGTTTTTTAGTCAAAATGTTGCCCCCCCCCCCGAAATTCGTTCTTGCAAGAATAACACAAAACGCCCAGTTTTTAAAGGACGGCTTCATGTGTGGATGTTTATCTCCTACTCTTAAATAATATTTCCAATTACATCATTTCGTTGAAAAAAAGTTTTGTAGCCACATCGGGCGCATTCCAGGACCTAATATCCCTTTAAGAATTAAAAGGACACCCTTAATAATTGTTATATGCAGAGGATATTAAAAATGTGCATGCTCCGGCTCCATGAGTTTACATGTTCTTTGGCATGGACGTCGCGGGGGGGGGGGCGCTTGGGACCCCTTTAGTGTATCTAAGACAACTAAATCCACTTTTATATTACTGTACGCACCACACATCATGTATATCTGACGATATTGAAAAGAATGCCATGGACAGAGGGCAGGGGTGACCATTTAAAAAGAGGAAAGGAAGTCTTTGCTTGAGCCTTGCAAAAGTCGTTTTTGACCACTTTTTTTTTACAAACATTTCTTCGGCCCTATTATAATAGGGCCGAAGAAATGTTTTTAAAAATAAAAAAAAATAAAGGGGGTCCTAAAGTACGCTATTAGGGGTCCTAAAATACACCATAGGCAGCCTGGAAGTCCTAAAGTACACTTTTACATTTCCAACTTCCACAACTTCTGTATTGAATTTTAATAACTTTCTATATCTCTCTTCTTAGTGAAGTACAGGTATTGTGATTTTTGTGTAATATTATTTATTATTTGTAATTTTGTAAGTGTTCATTAATGTGTTTAAATGTAAAAGGCCAATGGACTTTCCCGTCAGGGATAATAAAGTCAAATTGAATTGAATTGAATTTGTGGTCCGGTTGAATTTTCGGGGATTTCAGGCCGTAATTCATTACGGCCTGAAATCCCCGAACATTATATGTTTTGGATTGTTTACTTATATTATTTCAAAATGTCTGCATGGTTGAAAGGAAATTAACCTATAGTTACCGTTCCCGAGAAAACGGGACATTTTGCGGCATAATGCTTACGCATAATGTCCAACAATGTACGATACACATTGCGTGAGTGTTACAAACACACATCACCAATACTCACATGTTGTATCTCGCACGTCCGCTGTGTGCAGTGCACTGTGCGGCAGCATTACAGCACCCAACAACTTTGATTTTTGAGAATCACAAATTTGCATTCCAAAATATTCCAAGGGTCTACCCAAATAATAAGATTACAAAGGCTAGGCTATATTGAACAATGACGCCACGACAACGACGACAGGTGTTTAATACGAACTTTTAATTGTTATTCAGAACCTGAAATTAAAATTCCATTAAAAAGACATCGCTAAGGCGTATAACTATACTGTAAAAATGTATTGACATTTAAAGATGTGCAGCTGTCAGCATCACTGCATAGGTAGCTTTTTTTAATTGCAGTTTAGCCTAGTTCAAACTGTACTAGTCTATGATCACACTCTAACTTGAACTAAACAGAAAATCACCACCAAATTTTACAGGCACCGGCGTTATATTTCAGATTGTGTTCTGGTTATGCATGTGTAATGGACAGACCCAATTAAGGGGAAGGAAGGAGGAACGGGTCCTCTAGCTTGAAACGAACGAGCATTCAATCAAAATATCCAATAAAACATTTACTATGCTGACGACTATCCATATTTCAGTGTATTCCTCATACAAGATAGCATGCAGGTAGCATTCCCAGATGGGGCCCATATTTAATTTTGCAGGTACCCGCTATGATTTTGCACGAATACGGCGAATTGTTCATCCCAAAACTAAATCGTCGAATCTTGATGTGCACATGCGCAGTTGGAATACCCCCACTTTATTCAAATTGGTCTGGTGACGCCCCTGGGTATCCATAAAAAAGTGGGCCTACAATGCTAATCAAACCCCCAAGAAAAGCCAGACCCACACCTCGGACCCTAGTCCACTGGCTTGCACACGACAACTGCATCCCAGTCGTTGTTGAAGAGAACATCGCCTGCGCTCTTCTCGGAGCAATGGTCACTCCCGAGATATTCAATGACCTCCTTGTACAACTGCGCAGGCGCAGTCTCCTTCAACTTGATCACGTGGGTCAGGAAATCCACCACCAGGGCGCCCTCCTCCGACGCCTCGTCGAAACACTGGGTGATCTCGACACGGGAGCGTTGGTGGTACTGCGTGCACGGGATGCCTCGGCGCTCCAAGGAGCCGCGTATGTGGGACGAGTTTGTGAAGGTCATCAGACTGTCTTGAAAACTTGGGAAGTGATTCCATAAACGCCAGTACCCACTGTCGTCTGGTAAAAAAACATTATGAGAGTGTAAGTTAAAAAGACCTATAGGTGTGCATTTTTCTTACTGACCTCCTGCAAGCACATACCCAATGAACAAAACATGAAGAAATTTTGAGGTCTCTTTTTGCCTACCAAGAACTTGAAGAAATCTGGGCGATCGTGTAGTTACGGTCCCCTCCTTAGTTTCGATCAAATTTGACTCAATGGTGTTTTTTATCATCAGAAATTGACCTTTTGAACCTAAAGCCAAAAAAAAAAAGTCTCCGGTTTCTGGTATGGAGCTTGCCCAAAAAGTGGTACGGCGACGCGGCTTTTTTTTTTTTTACCCGATTTTTTTTCTTCAAATGTCGGCTGATGACTGCAAATGGTGCCCGACTAAACTTAGTGCAAATAAATGGGAGTCCAGAGAGGCCACATAAAGCTTATTCTCGATCATAACCCCCTCTAAAAACACGTTAAAATTGTGCAGCACCAGGATTCCAGTCAAACCAGTGAGTTTGGCGGTTTTGAGACATCATCTTTCATTGAAAAAAAACTTTTTCATTTTGCCGACGCGCATGGCTACGGCGACGCGCGCGCATACCAGAAACCGGAGACTTTTTTTTTTTGGCCTAAAGCAGATTTCTCTCAATTCAAATGATACCTTTTTTGTAATTTCGAACAGTTTCTTAGGGTAGAAATTACGATTTTTGCAAACGAGTTACGGTTGGTGCAGTGCGATTCAGCGAGCCTTGCGCTTTGGAAACTTTACTCTCTTTTTGGAAGAATCATAGATAGGCCTACCTGAGACTGTTACCACTAGCAAGATTCCTCCGGGCTCCAACCGGTCGTAAAGATACATCAGGGAACGGTAAACATCGTCCGCGTAATAGATGGAGTGAATCGAGCTGATGAAATGGAACTGCCTCGAATCTCCCGCCTTTTCGTATTGATCGATCGTCTGCTGACGCCAGTCGCAAATTACTCCGTGTAGGTCGTGTGCCTTGGATTGTGCTAAGGCCTTGTACTTGACAAGCTGGTCCATGGCAGGCTCAACTACACGGTTGTTGATGAGTGGAAAGCGTCGCAGGAGTTTGGTCAGCATCTTCATGTCCATCTCACCTGAAGAATATAAAATACAACTGCAAACGTTATTACGCTGTACAAGTAAACAGGGTGAGTAAAAAAATAACGAAATCCAAATGTAGGGATTACTGTTTTAGTGAAGATCTGCATGTAGCACTTTCAAATTCTAGGATATGATAGCCCGATTCATAAGCTTTCTTTTAGTACAAGAATCATTCAAATTGGCCACGGGTCACATAAGCGGTATAGTGTTCTTTCAGCAAAACGAAAAACAAATCACATAGGGATGTGTGTCGTTTTGCTGAAAGAACGCCCACCTTTTTATTGTGATCCGTGGACAGAACTTTAAAACGGTGGTTGTGTTTAAAATTCCGTAACTTGAAAGGTATCATAAGTGGTTTGAATGATTCTTGTACTAAAAGAAAGCTTATGAATTGGGCTTTTATATACTAGATTTTGAAAGTGCTACATGCAATGCAGAACTTCACTAAAACAATAGTCCCGAAATTTGGGTTTCGGTGGTTTTTTTTACTCACCCTGTATATTATATAATTAATTACGACCCAAACACGCTCTTTTATTGATCGATGTTCCAACAAGTCATGAGTTAGAAATAACTTTCTCGTATATACAGGTCGCCCAACCGGTCGGTAGTCAGAGTTTTAACGAGTCACTGAATTTTGGCGAGTCGAGTCGAGTCGTTTTAAGGAAGTGACTCGACTCTAGTCGAGTCGAGTCGGACTCGAGTTGAGCCATTGACTCGAGTCATTACCAGTCTGTCGGTATATATATATACCAATGCTAGGAAGTTGGCGTATAGTATGCCTTGCGATCATATCAATATTTCCTTCTTTGACATGTTACAACTGATAGTGATCAACGGATCACCAACCGATAATGTAACAATAATAAGAACTGACATACCGTATCACTAACCGATATGTAATAAACTTGACCGAAGTGTCGTAAAGGTTACTATTAGTCAATTTCTGTTACATTATCGGCCAGGATCGATAACTGACTGATAGTGTAAGCACATCCGGGCAATTTTTGTAATATATCAGTTAGTGGTGATACAGTATCGGTCCAACTGTTACATTATCGGTTGGTGATATACGTTATCCGTCTGGTATTACCAATCAGTTGTAATAAAGTCTCTCAGAGAAACCGGAGTTTCGATGCAATCACTGCACGGAGTGCACCTAGGGCGTATTCGAAACCCCGTTCTCGTTTTGAATGAACACGAGAACGGTGTTTCGAAATGACGGGAACACACGCGAACGGCCGTGTTCGCGAAAAGTCAAGAACGAAGATGGCGGACTCATTTTGTGATTGGACAATTAACGACGTTGAAGTACATGTACGCAAGTACGACGTTCGGTACTATGTACACGTATGGGCGCCGCATATGTACATGTTCATCGTACAAGACCAGATTCTGCAGGTTTTTCTGTGACACATTTCGTTCACCGTGATACAGAAAGGGGGAAAGGAAATACTTTATCATTTCACAAAACCCTACTGTGTATATATCTCGATATTTAAATGAGCATTGCAAGCTATCTGCAATGATTCATTGGACATTAATTTTGTGCATAAACTTTGGGAATGGAAGAATTACTTCTATCTTTAAAAAAACGTATTTTACGAAAAAAATAATTTACGAATGTAAATTTATTAATTTTATGTACATATTATGCGTATTAAATTGATCCCTGCTTTTTTTTCAATCATTGTTTTAATTTTAAAATAGTTAAAAAGTTTTTTTTTTAAATACCTCCCTAATATAAGTAAAAAGGACTGATGATGCGACCGGAAGAACTAATTACTTAACACTTCAATTCCGTATTCACTTTCATGCATTTATGGGGGTGTGTCTAAACGATCTCAAGATGTAATTATAGATCATTTGGGAAATTGGAAATCTATTTTCTTTATGATGTTCATTTATGAAAAACAGACCGTCACTAAAATGATTCTGAAAGTATTGCATGCTGAGTGCGGATCCCAGGTGCGCAAGCAGCGCTACTTGCGACCGCGCTTGCAGCATAGCTACTTGCACTGGAGATATGAAGACACCATCAAACGAATGTCGTTCATCGTCCAATCACAACATGGTAACAAGGCTACGACTATTGCGCAGTGTAGGACTGGCCACAATGTACTGCAACTCAGTGCGTTTGTATAATTGCAAGCATTCATTCAATGCTGGAGCAGTATTCGGACTACTCAGGGTGTCCCAAAAATGTTCCTCTGGAAGGTGTACAGAATTCTCGTAATTTATGAGAAAAAAAAATCTAATTCACATAGAAATGATGAGTCCAAACATTTTTCTTTCTTATTTATTATCCACACCCAACAGCAGAAAAAAAACGCCAATTACAGGACTGGGTGAAATTTTTTGTTGGATTTGGCCCTGTAGTTTTGAAACAAAGGCCATTAATGTAACACCAGTCCATTTTGCTCCATTAAGTTTGACAACACATTCATTATTGAGAGCGTTCGTAACGTGTGTCTGTTTTTAGGCCCGCCCCTGCCTGAATGTCCATCAGAATCACTTTGAACTGCTATATAACAGGTGTTTGAGACAGTCCTTTGTTATAATTTAAAATATATTATAATGTACACAACAAGAGCCACAAAACCAACAGCATTCATACTTTCCCCCGTTCAATTCGGAAATGTTTCTGTTCTCGGCGAACTTTACATTATGCATACCTGACCCGCTCCCCATTCCCAGGACCCGTAGCTCTTCGTTCTCGCCCAGCGTGACCTTGATTTTGTCAACGACAGCTTCACCAAACACAGTCTCTCCCCAGTTGGCAAGCACGCTGAACTTCGCCGACAGAGCAGCGTAGCAGTGGAAGGCCTTGGTGTAGTACTCCGGGTCGTGGAACAGACTGCGTAACTTGAACTCCATGATGGTTTTTCAGTGTTTTCTTTTCCAGTGGAAAAGAAAGAATTGATGTTCTTTCTCGCGACTTCCAAGACGATTGAGTTATATCCTGTGATAGAATTAGCAAACAAAAAGATCATAGTAAGGTATAAATATACACCAAAGTAGGACCAAACAATGATTAATTCCAAAACAAGTGTACACCAGTCCTGTCCGACATCTCCATGGTTTGTGCATTGATCCCACTCGATCTGGCCCTTACCAAAATTTCCAATTCATTGCCAATTCAAAATTTCAATTGGAACCAATTGGATATTTTACCAATTGAGTTTTGGCACTCCTCAATTGGAACCAATTGGACTTTTTCCAATTGGTATTTTCCCAATTGAAAAAAAAATACCAATTGGAAAAAAAAAACAATTGGAAAAAAACCCAATTGGAAAAAAAGAACCTATTGGAAAAAACCAATTGGAAAAAAAACCCAATTGGAAAAAAAAACCAATTGGAAAACAATTGGAAAATATTAAATTCGTCACAGAAATAACTCACACATTCAATATGATTGATTTGAACCAGTACTTTATTTTTTTATCACCATATCATACAGTCTGCAGTTGCAATCAAATTAAAACCACACGGCCAATACAATTAAAACAAAGTGATCCGCGGAATACACAATGTCGCCTTTTTTTCACGATTATCACTACATTTACTTGTTTGTGTTTTTATTGCTGTAGCTATTCATATTCAGTTTAGTGCATCTGCATTAGTAACAAAAGTGCTCTAAATGTGCAAGACGGCTGCTGAACAACTAACCTGATGAAATTTTAGCTCAGTGGATGTAGATGATATTACGGCCGACAAAACAAAAGGATCTCGATCGGTTTCAAGTCAAAAGTTGAACAGTTATATTTTGAAAGCGTCTGTGACCAGTTTCAGCCGACTGCAGCAAAATGGGAGCCCAAAGCAAGAACATACCAATTATCTATCAGTTTTGGCCAAACGTGGTCCATATAGCGAACAGCACCATAGGTATGGCAGTAGAATTAGCCCTAGGTGACCTGTTTACATGTAAAATGTGCCTTTCAAGATCTGTTGAGCAGATGGTTGTCGAAATTGTCTCGTACACGTAGTCGAGTCGTAGGGCTGTACACCATTTGGACGTTGGAAGCCCTAGTAGCAGTTGAAAGTCATTGCAAAACAGTATAGCCAGCTAGCTGTCACCACGGTCTGCTGGTAGTGGAGAGAGGTCCTGCATATATGAAAAAAAAAAGATTTTTCTAAAGTAAATGCCATTATTTTTACATATATTTGGCCGAATCAAAATGATTTTAATGACAATGTGTTGATCATGTTTATTAGGAAAGGGCGAAATCATACATGTCCCCACATGTTAAGTTTAATGGAATGGCGTTTGGCCGCCACCATGCATTTTAGTTTGTCCTCGGACTTGTGCTTTCTTTAAAAGAAGTGATTTCTAGCTGAGAAAATAATAAGTTACATATACATGTAGTTCAAATTGATGTTCTCTTGCAACTTTGCCTTTGCGAATCTTTTTTTTTCTCGCGTACAGCGTGTTCTATTCTGCAACATTCTAAACACTTGATTTTAATGAAGTCAACTCTACTCAGATCACCATCTATTTTCATCCTCCAAGTCCAAGGCCTTCATGTCCAATGTTAAATTGTAGCCACAGCACAGCCACAGCTACACGTACATGATGTACATGTACATGTACATGATGTATGAAGGAACACAATCTGCACACACAGTAACCATCTCCATCAAATGTGTTTTGCATGAACAGCAATTAAGTCCTGAAAGATTCCTGCCAATATTTATGATTTGGGCAATTAAAGTTCATGTTCTACTACAACAGGTACAAGCTTTTGTTCTCTTGAACTAATTGCAAGCCCACCACGATCCTGTAATCCAACTAACTGAATTCAAATTTGCCACATAAGCAGTTTCTGCACTGACTGGTATGCAAGGTTGTGTTCATGTCATGCATGGAGCGTACATTTGTATAACACACGTTGGGTGAGACTGGTTACCAGCGAATGGCAAGACAGCACAGCAGGGGGTCAATGCCATGCTGGCCCAAGCACTATGTATGTAATTTGATTATGTGCATGTGACTTGTGAGGCCTTGGTCCTAGCTCTATGGATGATATGTGCTCCATGTGCTGGCCCAAGCTGCATGCAACTTTTAGAGGGGTATCCTGGCAAATGAATTGCTCTGAAAATTATTTACTGCCGGGGCCTGGGTGTAGACATGGAGGTATAAGTACATGTATACATGATATATGTACATGTAATTGTCACTTTTGAATGATTTTTTTTGCAATAAAAATGCAGCTGGAAATTTATTTGTCATTCACACTCTCATCGAATGAAACGAGTGGACTGCATGGATTCCAATTGGGAATGATAGACAGCGCTTGAGGATTCCAATTGGGAATGAAATGTATGATAGACGGAATTCCAATTGGAAATGAAATGATTGGACGGGATTCCAATTGGAAATGAAACGATTGGACTGGATTCCAATTGGGAATGAAAAGATTTGACAGGATTCCAATTGGGAATGGAACGTTAAATGGGATTCCAATTGGGAATGACATTATTAGATAGGATTCCAATTGGGAAAACCCAATTCCAATAGTTTCCAACTGAAACCAATTGAACCCCAATTAAAGCTATAGTCCATCATTTGTAGCCATCAGAAAAGTAACTGGCGTAATTATTGTTGAAAAACAAACTTGGTTGAAAGATAGTAAGGGAACTAAACTCCCTGTGAAATTATTCTTTCTGGGAAGCTGTCATTTTGAAGTAATCAACGAAAGAAGGCATTTCCAACGGTGATTCTTAAGAAGCACCGTAGGAAAATTTAAATTAGTAGTTCGTTTTGTTATTCAGCGCAGCGCGCACAAGTATTGGAACGACGCACACGCGCGCGCGGTTGTTATAATTCGCCGGATCAGTGCGCTACGTCGAGTATAGCTGCAATTCAGAACAATTCAAAACATGATTCAGTAACTTTTGATTTGAAATTGAGATCTTAGAATGCTGTTTTTCTCGGAATGTACAGCTGAAGCTGAGCTGAAACTTCATCAGGTTAGTTGCTCAGTATCCTTCATTAGATTTTGAACTCTTTTGTTGCTTCAAACGAACAAAATGCACAAATTACAAATGATGGACTGTAGCTTTAAGACCATATCGTACATCAGTTGGGTTTTCAGACGAATTGAGTTGGTCCATGACGTTTTTTTCCAATTGGGAACGAGCACTCCAACTAAAACCAACTAAAACCAACTCAATACCAATTAAACCCAATTCGTTCCAATTGGATTTCCAATTGGAATGAACTGGACATTTTGGTAAGGGGGTGTAGCTGTAGGCCTACCTGATCAAGATCAATCAATGTCAAGAACCATCAAAGCAGATCGGATATGTTTTGATCCGCGAAAACATCTCTATGGCCATTCAACAACCAAAAAATAAAATCTCCGTTACAAAAATTCGAAGTATCGATGCAGAAACGGACTATGTGGTCGTTGAAAAGAAATAATAAACCTTTTACCCGACTGCATGCACCGATGTGCATGCATGTGTAAATGGTCCGTGGTGCATGCAACCCAGGGCCTGGTGACCGTAAGATCAGCGGGGGGAGCTCACTGCGTTCTCCTCGCGGCCTCGCGCTAATTCCTGCTCGTACCGTCGCGTCGCCAGATTGGGCCCTAGCCAGCGGCATCGACCGGATCGCTGTATTGCTGCACAAACAACGCAAGCACGGCGGCCAGAAATTGTGCTTCTTAATTCTTGATCAGTCACAAAGCCATGACGAAGCTATGAGAACTAACAGAGCTGCATCTCAACAGTACCGATCGACCAGTGTGTCGGACTGTTCACAGAGCAAGGAACAGGTAGTTATGAATATGTGTTCGCCGTTTCTGTTCCGACATAGAGACCCAGCATGAGGGGAATATACTTTCGGACCACCTGCAGATATATAACTGAAAAAATAACAAATTCTACAACAACTGACCCCTCCCTCCCCCGAAAAAGGGAGAGTAAATTAAGGAACAGTTTCAGGCTTACCTTAAAAACCGGCACAACAGCTCTAGCTCTATGGACGATTATTATGAGCCGTATGCGTGGCACACGTTGCGGCTTTTGTTTGGTATGTTTTGAATGAAGAGGATCGATAATTTGTTCATGTAGTGCCACTGTATTGCCTGTGTAGGCATACATAAAGACGTGCTACTTTGGCCACGGGCTCCATAACCATTAACAACGGGCACGTATATCCCGTGGAATGGGGGTGTCCCCCCCCCCCCCAACACACACTTTTTGACCGGAGCACTGAACAATTGCAATTAACAAAAATTCCAACCCAAACAATTATTGGTTATAGAACAATTAACCCAATTTTGGGTACGGGTAGTTGCAGTTTTCACCCTTTCTTGGGCAAAATTAACCCAGGCAAGTTTCAGTGAGGGATGGGCCATTGGACCAAACCACCCCTCCCCCTTCAGAATTTTGTAGCAACAGTACCGGGGAAAAAATGGAGAACAAAATGTAGAAAAGATTTAAATGCACCGTTTTGAAGTGAGGTTAAGATTATAAGCTCTCACGTTTACATTAACAATCATGTACATGTACATTTGCACCATGAACACCATATAGACTTGACTTAGGTCAGAATTGCTTGAAAACGGCATCTTAAAAATTAAAAAAAAAACCCTAGAGGTTGTAGGAACAAACACACGGTGTTGGGCCATTGTTGATGTTGATTGTTGATTGTTGATTGTTGATGTTGATGTTGATGTTGAGGGTTGAGGGTTGAAAAATAGCGCGTGTACAAAGGATAGTTAAAAAGAGTCAGGTGACGATCTGCACGCGCGTATGCTGCTGTACTGTAAACTTATCAAGTACAATAATTGTAACAAAAACCCATTAAATAGCTCATATCTCTCAAAGTAAAGGTCGCACACCATTGGCGCAATACAAAATATTGCTCGCCTTACCCTTTTTACTCCAATGCGCATGTTTTTTTTAGAAAAAAACGCCCAATTTTAAAAATAATTGGGCGCTTTTGCTAGCCCAATTTTTAAGTATCATCAGAAGTCAAAAATGTGCTTGCGTTTAAAAAGAAGTTGTCATGTAAACGTGTAAAAAACACTGGTTAACACTAATACATTGGTCTATCAAACAGCTAGCCGTTACATGTAGCTCAATAGTTGATACAACAGTCGTAAAACCAGACACTCAAGAAGCGAGCACGGGGAATTCGCTTTTGTACGCAATCACAGCCCACTGTTTTTCGGGATTTTCCCTTTTATACGCAATCATCGCCCTTTGCTGTACACACAATGTACGTGGCATTAAATATGGGAATAAAATGTGTGCTCGAGAGGTTTTAATCACTCTGTTTAAGACCGCTTAGAGTCTGGGTGCTGATAATTACACGAGCCGGAGAGGGTAGTTATCAGCACCCAGACTCTAAGCGGTCTTAAAACAGGGTGATTAATACCAACCGAGCACATTCCCATTCATTAATACCTTTTCGGTCAAAAAAATACAATATTTCGGTCGAAAAATCCCGATTTTGTGCAACAAGTTCACTTCATACTTTTTGAAACATCCCTCTAGCTAAATAATGGAGTGTTCAGCTGGCGATTAAGATGTAAACAACCCTTTTTATGGAGATTGACGCGACGTGCGCGATGTCGCGCAGAACGCACCTGGGGCAGCCTCGACCATAGATATAGAACTTAAAAAACTAGATCGGACGCGCGTATAATACGCACGTTTTGACAGGACGCTGCCATTGGTCACGTGAATGGGGTCAAAAATTTAAACGCGCATTTCTTCGGCGTGAAGATCACTTGCACTTCTCCATCGATGCTTGCCGTGGTAGGCTAGGAGGAAAGGACTTGATAATGGTGGCAAACTGTGCAGCAGCAAAGTGCAACTAAGACGGAGAAAGGGTCCCAGAGGACAGTCTCTCAAGAAGTTAACATCATGTGTGAGTAACTTAATACATAGAATTTATCTCTTGTGACTGTATTTCGAACAAGACAGCTTTTATAAAAATTAACTCACATGACTAATTATAGGCTACGTTACGCAAGGCCAATGGACATAAATCACAAGAGTGGGTGTGTAGAAAAATCCCCCATGTGTGATCCAAAGGATCCTCCGAATTTTGTAATAACCGCGCAGGGCCTGCTTGAAATCTTGACAGTACATTGTTTTAAGATTTAAGATGGTACTCCTTGCCTGAACATCGACTAACAATTATTTCTGGCCTAACGTCACCCCTCCCCTCTCGTGATTTGCAATAATAGTCCGCTGGGAACAAGGATTGGGAGTCACTTTTTGTTGTAGGATGTGGGTGATTGAAGAAAATGCACCATTCTCCCAGTTTGAACACATCAATGACGTTTGCACTGGAAACAATTTTAAGGCGTAGGCCTATGTGATGATCCGTCAATTTTTCTTTTAATTTGTCCATTGTTAAGAAAGACTTGCCACAAATCTGTTCACTAACTATGTGTTCTAAACAACACGAACAAAATATCAAAAAAATCCACAACATTTGCTATTTCGGGTAGACTTCAGGAGTGTTGATTTACGGTAAAGATATGAGGCTGTTTGATCTGTAGTGTATAGTGTATCTAGGCAACTCCCATCTCCTTTTCATTTTTTTTTAAGAACACGGATTGTATATCTTGAAGGATAAAGTCCTACAAAAATGTGTGCATTTTGCCAAAACTACCACAAAAAAAAAATCAATCTAGGCTTATTAATTTTACTTCCCAGGTTCCCCCATGGCGATCGAAAGAGATTAAAAGTTAGGCTTCAGCGGATTAGGAGAAACATTCCAAATGGCAGCAAATGGAATCCAACAAAGCACGATCGTCTTTGCAGCGACTATTTCCCTGCAGAGTGATTCAAGGTGGAATGGGGGAAACCCCGTCTGCGTGACGATGCCGTACCGTCCAACTTTGAAGACTATACCCGACTCATTTGAAGCCTGTAAGTATTACAATGAGACTTGGGGCCAGGATAGGCTATCAATAATTATTGTCATGTATTTAAAGGCCTATCATGTGCTTTATTTGTTTTATTTCGTAGAAAGACTACAGTCTCGTGTATAGACTTCAGCACGAGAGCTGCCAACGACAAGGAAAGAACCGACCCAACCCCCGTCGAAGATATTGCTTCAGTGCATGGCTGTATCGGCAAATCAAACCAGCGATAGAGCATGCATACAGTCTACCACCAGAAATGACAGTAAGGCTATATGTCCAAGCTTGAACAGGAAAACAGACAACTCCGGCAGGAAAATCGACGATCATGTCGAAAAAGATCTTATCCGTCAGAGAGGTGGTAAAAGGCCTGAAAGAGGAGCAACTTCTTACTCCAAAGACGGCCGACCAGATGGAAACACAGTTTCCTATTCTGCAATTGGAAGTCACTTTTCTGGAGCTAGGAAAACTGCGCCTTGCTCAACGAATCACAATCATAGTGAACAGATGAAGAAGTTCGCACTGCTTGACGAAAGTGTACATCTTCGTCAGAAAGAAGATTGCACTGCCGACTGTGCGTACAGTGAGGATATAGCTGGCCACGCATAACTGTGCCTCATGCGTGGACCATAGCTAAAATTTAACAAGTTTCGCTCAGTATTTCGTTATCATCTTATTGTTGCTCCTCAGAAATTGAAAGATTGAATAGCCGTCTGTTTGCGTTCATGCATATGAGGAAGATATATTGAAATTACTTATTCTGGTTAATAAATAATGGGAAGCAATACTCAACCGCTGGTAGTTGCATAGGCTAAACTTTCACATAATTATGCGGATGGTGACAACCAAATGTATTTTTTTCATGAGCAATGATACTCTTGACATCTTGATTAATGGCTATGGATATGGAACTGCCGTTTCATCAGTGTATTTATTAGCTAGCGAGTAAGTTTTCATTGTATATAAATTGTTTATTATCTAAAAGTTATTCAAGTATCAGTGTGTTCAGTAATCACAACAGATGACCAGAGATGGTTTTTGTAGTCATCCATTCATTTCAAATTTAATGTTCCTATTGAGGCTAGCAGTATTAAAGCAACGTATTATTTCGAGTGCGTGTTTTTATTGTTGCTCATTTTACAAAATGATTTTCTGTTATTTCATTTTGATGTTCGTAAAATGAAAAGTTTATGTTTTGTCTGATGGGCAAGTAACGGTTGATATTTATTGCACATTTTGAAAAAGGAGGGGGAAATCTCATTAAACAGGTTGACATTTTAACTACGCTTTTGACATTTGCCTTTGTAAAGATATAAGAACACAATGTGGTTACTTCTCGGTACAAATTAGTATTCTTGGCTGAAAATCAATTACCTTCAACACAGTCGCCATCTTGGCCCCAAATACGGCACAGATGCAAACCCATGTGTAACTTTTCGAAGGAATGTGAAATGTCAAAAATCGTATTTAAAATTGTCAACCTGTTGTTAAGAACTTCAACGCATTGCTGAATTCAGGTGGGGGTGTTGGCGATATTTTTCCGTCCAGCATTCACCAGCTGCCCTTGGCGCGTGGCCCTATTCACGAGTCTTTGCAGCGCGTCCATGAAGAACCCAAAAGTTTTGTGCACAGTGAATGGCGCGTTCGAACGCGCGTCCGATCTAGTTTTTTAAGTTCTATATCTATGGCCTCGACTCCATACAGGCCTGCATCTTTACGTTTTATTACCTTATCAAATGATTTCACATCAATAGACAAGCATTCAGAGGAGATGTCTGAGTACTCTGAACAGCATATTCGAAATTTGATCACGCTAATGTAGGTGTTTGCCTAGCAACAGCATCCTCCTTAGCAACCACTGCAGCTGGAACAAACTTTTGCCAGGGGGTGCTGGAATTTTTAAAGGACGGAAAAAATTAATACGAAAGCGGAGCGCAAAGCCCTTACGTTGTGGCTTAATTTGGAATATAGATGCTTAGTGGTGCAATCTGAGGCGATTCCTGGCCACTTTCAATTGACTCTTTTAGCACAAGTTTTTTGAGATTTTAAAGAATTTTGTTTCGAATAAACTGTTGCTCTTAAAGTGGAGAACCCTGTATTTTTATCTCCATTTTTGGTTCCATTTAATTCTGGAAAAAGAATTTTATCATTATGCATGACATCGCAGGTAAATATTATTGTTACAAGGCTGCTTTCTTACATTTAGTAAATTCCGGCGTGTATGTTTTGTTTTATTTTCCGAGCCCTTACGGCGTGGGGCCACCGGGCCAGGGGCCCGCTTTAAGGCCCCGGAAAATGTTGGATTCTGGATGCACTGTGAAGAAATATACTGAAGTATACTGAAACTTATAAAACCCGAAAGGATGTTTTTGGGTTCAAGTTTATACAAATGGTTCCACTGGAAGTGGATAAATTTCTGTTCATAAAAATATTCACATATTCTAACTCACCAAACGATGTTGATCTCAATATATTTCCAGTGTTATGTTTGTTACATGGAATGGCAAATATAAAAGACTAAAATACCAAATGCATTTTTATATTTATGATCAGTAGATGGTAAGTTTGGAGCTAGGCAAGGATTTATCAGTCTGCTGAGTTTTTATGAGGGAAAACTTACAAAGGATAAAACATGAATAGATTTTTTATTAAAACGAAACTACACTGGAATTGGCGTAAAGGATGACTAGTTTCAATGAAAGCCCGTCCCACTCCTATTGGGTTGGGGATGAGTGTGAACCATGTTATTTGTTAATGCTGAGTACAGAAAATGCTAGCAACGTCAATGAAACTTTTAAATGAAAAGAAAAACCTTCAGGGAAAAGGTATGAACTTGTGCCCCTATTGAAAGATCGAATGAAAAAAATCCTGGCAAGCATAATCAACTTTGCCACCATTGTCATGGCCGAGGTTATTGCTTTCGGGTCAAAACTTCCATCATGGCGGAAATATCATAGACATGTCATGTTTTTAGATACATATACCTTGAGAGAAATATCGATTCTGCACTGCCTGAAGATTTAGAAAATACCTCCTCTTGATATTTTACAAGTGTATGTGCTAGACTTTCGAAGCGCCGCGCTTAGCCGCGGCAAAACTAGAAACGAACAAAACGAAGGAGATTTTGTAGAGCAAGCATAATGTATAGCGTAGCGGCGCAAATTCATCGTCGTAGAACACTGCTGGCTGGAACACATTTTTGCCCGGTATGGGGGTGCTGTAGTATATTCCAGCACCCCAATCCAAAAAGTTGGGGGTGCTGCAGTACCCACAGCATCCCTCCCCCCCCCCCCCCGTTCCCGCGGGCTTGTTAGCAACAAACCTTTAGAGCCCAAATAATTTACATAAATCTACAATACGAATCTATAGTAGAAATACATTAAGTTGAGTACGACATCCAACAGCCGCCGGGTCAGTAATACGTACATTCTGCGTACACAGTCCATTTGATTGACCCGACGGCTGTTGCATGTCTTAATCACTGCTTATGTGACGTCACTTATCTGCTCCTGGTATCCAGGTCCACCGCCAGGTAACCGTAAGACTATTCAATTCGAATTTCCCAATGTGTAAACTTTCCAAAAATACCCACCAAACACTTGGTCATTTCCAAAAAATAAATTACCCCTGGCTCTTGGACTAAAATAGGAATGGCTAAACCGTCTGAGGTATTTATGAATGAGCGGTTCAAGGCGTCGGCATGTTCAACTCAAGGGTGGATCCAGGGGGGGGGGGGGGCCAAAGGGGGCCATGCCCCCCCCCCAAACGAAACCAATTTTTTAATTGTTTTTATGTACCATCGCAATAAAGGCAGGCAATGAGTACACCACCATCTTTTCCTCAAAAAAACATTGGTTAAAGTGGTCATAAATTGCCTCAGATCGCACCACAGAGCATCTAGAATCCAATAAAAATTCGGGGCCCGCTTAAGGGCCCCGAACCCCACGCCGTAATGTTTTTGAACCACTTTTTGGGGGGACCAACGTTGTGGCAACGTGATGTTTTAGCTGGGCAGGTGGGTTTAAAGGATTTGAGCACTGGATCACCACACAAGTACAAACGCGAGCACAAACTCGAGAGGTAGACCATCCTCCGAAATAACAGAACAAATTGCATACTAATCAATGTATTGTGTACATAAAATTATTGGGGCTGAAAGATAGCATAAAAAAATTATAATACAGACTGAGCAAATTGATTTAGATTTTTTTCGGGATCATTAATACATTATCAAAACATCACCATGAGAAATACAGCATACGGTCATTATATAACTAATCCTGAAACTGTGTACGTGACACGGCTACTGACTGATTACTCTTGCTGACAAATACAACGCCAATGCCATTATACAACGCGTTGCCAGTCAGTAGCCGTGTCACGCGCACACAGCCCTGTTTAACCCCAGTTTCTCGTCCCGAGGTCAAGCACGCATGGCCCAAAAGCGCACGCGAGATTTTACGCGGTTTATTCGAGACTACAGAAAAACACAAAAAGGGCCTCGATACATGCACTGTTTGGCCCAGATGGCTAAATAAGTGAAAAGTTGAAATCGTGTGCTTTATTTTGATAACAAAAATAACTGCTTTTGACAAATATAAAGTGTTGTTCAGTGGCCTGTCAAACAAAATCATATTTTTATCAACAAAATCGAGGGCCGATAGTTTTTAGGTGTACATTCGATTCTTAAAAAAGGCCGAAACAAATGGCAAGGCTTAGTAGATAGAGGAAAGTATACGCTTCATTTTCATGTGAAACACGTGCAGGAGACTTCTAATGTTTGGTCCAAATCGCCGGTTGAAAAATGAAGACTTTTGCGAGATTTCATGATTTGCAATCACAATGTACGCGAGTAAACGTACGCCGACGTACGTTGGCCTGAAAACATTGTGAATAGCACGCGCTATTCGCGCAATGAATGACTTATGAATATTAAGCAGGCCATACTCGAGCGCGAGCTCGACCAATCAGTGGGCGTATGGGTCACAAGGTCACACCGTGTTTGGGTTCCTTGCTCTATGCTTTACAATGGCGACGATCTTTTCGCTTTGTGAAAAATGGAAGTTGTTGGAAACATTAGTATTCTTAAAATATTAACGACATCACGTTCACGAGGTTTTTTGTAGATGAAGGTTCACTCTTGCGTTTGATTACCTCAACATTTTTCGTCGTTTTCGAAAAACCCGGAAATTTCATGACCTAATTTTTAGTCGATTTGTCCGTGAAATAATATCGTCAAAATGCACCGAAAGCCTTTTTTTGGAGAAAAAAATACCTTGATAGATGTATGAAGTAGGTCTTTAACTACCTAAAATAACTTTGTTTGTTTGCATCGGTTGTGGTTTGCCATGAAAATTGCGAATTTTCTGAAGCCCTTTTTACGGCCATCGTTCGCTGGCCTCGCGTTGCTGTCAGTTTTGTGGACGAGAAAATAGAGCAGCTACGAGTGACACGGCAACTGACTGTAATACAATGTAGAACGAAAGGATGATGATGTAAACAAAAAAAAAGGAACCACGTTATTTTCGTCCATCTTCCTTGGAAAAGCTGCTCTTAAGGCAAAGTGTTTTCGAGTTTGTAAGTATGCTCGTGTCGTATTTTACATTGGCCGCGCACGATGGTCAAACCGAACTAGCCCGAAAATTATAGTAGGCCTATGCGAACGAAGGTCGAGTCTTTGTCATGTCGATCAGTACTTTTGTAGTCGTGCCGCACCCCAACAAATACACAATTACCCTCCGAACGACCTCGCCACTATAACTAGTACAGTCTCTCTTTTTTGCGAAACTGAGGGAAAATAAACTGTCCCCGTATAATATATTATGTCATTCTGGTTCATAGCTCATTGTTGATTCCGCGCAGATGATTTGTCTGCGAGGATCTATATATTAATATTTTGGGAATTTCCCCGATTTTCAATGACGAAGAGACTTTTTAAGCCAATCCGTACCCTTTATTTTGTGTCAAATTCACTCCACTCTGCAGGTTGTATACAGCCGGTAAAATACTAGAGTATCGAGAATACAAGAGAATTATGGAATCGACATTGCTGCCGAGTCTGTACAACAATCCGGGCCACTATGATAAGGCGTTCAAAGTCTTCTGCACTCGGTCTGCCCAGATCAGGACGCACTCTGATTTGGTGGACAGTGTGTTTAGCGAGGTGGTGGTCGGGAAACTCCAGGCCACACTGGACGGACAAGAAGAGCTACGGGTCCTGGGAGTGGGCAGTGGGTCAGGTAAGAATACTGTTCACAAATGGCAGGATCAATATTTGAATAAAGTTTTGCCTGTAGCCTTTTCAAAATCTAGGATATGAAAGCCCAATCAATGAGCTGTCTTTAAGTACAAGAATCGTTCAAATCACTGATAAACATGTACTTTTCAAGTAACGGAATTTTAAACATAACTTGGCACCGTTTTAAAGTTCTGTCCACCGGGATCACAGTGTTCTTTCAGCAGAACGAAAACAGTTTACATGCATCCCTATGAGAATTGTTTTCGTTTTGCTGAAAGAACTCGTATAGGTCTACTGTTTGGTGATCCGTGGATAGTACGTTAAAACGGTGTTCAAAATTCCGTAACTCGAAAAGTACATCAGTGATTTGAATGATTTTTGTATTAAAAGAAAGCTTAATGGCTGGGTTTCCATAATCCCAGATTTTGAAAGTGCTACAGGCAAAACTTCGATCAAAAATTTGTCCTACCATTTGGATTTCGTTGGGTTTTTTTCAACTCACCACCTTTCTGTATGATCGTCACGAGGTCGACCTGAGGGCAGTTTGAGAAGTCAAATCCAAATCCCATCTTGATTGGACCAAGACTACAGGCCGGCTAACGGACGATATACTGTTAAGATGATGTATAATTAATATTTATTCCAGAGTTGTACTAGTGTATTATTTATTGGTGGCATGTAAAACCGTATTACATAATATCGACTTTCTTGTTAAAGAAAATAGTGGCTGGAACGATGTCTTAAACCTTTTTAACTATTCAAGGGGCGAGCAGTTGAACCCAATTGGGGCGAGCAGTTTAGATATGCAAATTAGAATGAACAATCGTTAAAAATTCGGAGAGCGGAAAGTTAGAATTTACGGTATGCATCGGGTGTGCCTGGAATGTTCGTCCCCGTATAAAATGGATCGTCGAACTTTGGGGTGTGCCTTTCATCCCATACCATCGGACGGAGAGGACCGTGAGTTTCACGACTGTGCCCACTGCCGGCTGTTGGGGAGTTTTCCCCGGGGCACACGCCTGAAGACCAAGACCGGGAGTCTGCTGTCTGATGATCTCCCCCTGGATGTCGCTCGTCGACTGGACAGCAGATTGGAGCTTCAAGCAAGTTTGGAGTTTGCCCCGCTAGGGTGCTGCCTGGTTTGGGTTTGGCGACTTCGTCGGACAAGAGACTTGGGTCTGAGTTACCGGACCCTGACGTCACTTCACGGGGGTACTGATCCGACGTGCGTGAATTCACGAGTACGGCGTACTGACCGTACTAGCTGCCTAACGGGAGGACCCGTTAGAGGAACCCCTTTCCCCCTTTTCCTGCTGCTCATCACCGGAGTCATCATAGAGCACCCACCAAGACAAGAACTATGAACTTGTTGTTATACCCCCTGCTCGCCCCACCACTCACTCTCTGGTAATCTATCATGGTATATTGGTATTTTCTTAAATTGAATTTGTGTGTAAAGTGTTTTGTATTGGTTCTGTTGAAATAATAATATTAATTGTTAATTAAGGTGTGAACTGGTTTGCCTTTGCTTTATTCATGTCCAGTTTGTTTTGGTTCCGTTTCGGGGGAGTAAATTTCGGGGTTGGGTTTACTCTTTGGTTTGGGGATCATAACAATACTCTCATTATTGCAGCCCGACATCTGACGTGATTCGAACAGCTCAAGACATGTCTTCTTGCAAGACTATTTATTGACACTAATTGTCATTGCCTATAATATTTTTTTAATTTTATTATGGCCATTATGTAGGTGAGATGGATTGTTTGATGTTGGAGCAGCTCAAAAAGCGTTTCCCGCTCATCAATAATCGTGTAGTTGAGCCTTCTCTGAAGATGCTAGTCCAGTACAAGGCATTTGCTCAAGCGAAGGCTCACCAGCTACACGGTGTTAAGTTTGACTTTCGGCAGCAGACTATTGAGCAATACCAAGAGGCGGGAGATGGTACCAAGTTCCATTTCATCAGCGCAGTTCACTCCATGTACTACGTGGACAACTTTGATAGCTCCGTGATGTATCTGTACGACTTACTGATCCCAGGAGGAGCATTACTTGTGATCCTAAAGCCAGGTCAGTATTTTATGCAAAGTGCTAAATCTTATTATTTTGGCGTAGCACGTACAGCATCAGCTCCCAACGGGTTTCGTTCTATGCAAGGGCGCTGGCAATGGTTTAAACAGAATATTCTAAAGGAAACTCAAAGCATCCTGGGAAAGTTATCGCCATAATGCGCATATAGGTCGGGCACACGAGGAATATTGTTGACCGACGTCAACCCTCCCCCCTCACCCCGATAGAAAAGAAAAGTGTTAAGTTAAGGCTAATTTGTTCAGCACTGTAGCTCCCAAAGTCAGTCTTGAAGAACCACTTTTATTGGCGTTATAAACGGTGGGGATAAGTTGAGATTTTTTGGTGTACTTTTCTGTTCAGAAAACACCGGATGGCAGCGATTTCTGGACCGCTTTCCTCAACTTTATGGTCGGGCCGGTTGTGACCTACAAGTAACTTCGAGGGATTTACTCAATTTATTGGACCGCCGTGGCATCCCGTACACGCAGCACCACCAACCCACGAGCTGCGACATCACCAAGTGCTTCGACGAAGCTTCTGAGGAAGGCAGCCTGCTGGTGGATTTCCTGACCCAAACCGTTAACTTCAAGGAGACGGCGGCCGAAGACGAACAGAGATCCATGATGGAGTATCTTGCAAGCAGCGACTGCTCCGAGAGGAAAAATGACGCCATACTGCTGATCATTGGCTGGGATGCAGTAGTAATAATTAAGCAACAAGAATTCAATTAATTTTATCAAAAACAATCAAGCCACTATACAAATACAAACTGTCCGAAAAGTTGTTTGTTTAAACTGGGCCGGAAAAGTTACCTAAAACCTGTGGAAAGTTACTTCAAAGTGAACTCATTGCGTCCAAGCTTGTGCAGATCACACTTACCGCCGAGAGCCACGTGCTGAGCAAAAAGTCAGTCGAGGCCGTTTGCTCACAAAATGTTCCCTTTTGTGCGGTACATTTTTTTGGCTGAGTTTTCTGCCCCGCGAGGTCGTGAAGCAAATGTTTATCCTGCTTGATTTTTTTGTTCGCCTCGCAATCCAAAAAAAACTCACCGTCTACGGATGTCACTCGTCTCCGTAGTTTGATTTAACTAATCCTTATGTAACAAAAAAATGTTAACTTGAAGTTGTTTTAGTTGAGTGAGCCTAGTCGGAGCAATTATTGGCAAAATATCATGTGGCAATTAATTATATTAATTAATTATACATCAATTAGAAACTTGTAAAAATATTTAAACACACCTCAACACGATTGTTCTTGATTGATTATTTGTTTGGACAAAATGTTTCCGATTAAAATTGTGATACCCGGGTGAGATTTCTTTGGTAATTCAGTGTGCTTATGACATTGATAATCAAGATAGTTTATCTAATTTCATATCCTCCTTTGATGTGTATTTAAAGGATGCACCTTAAGGTTAGCTATTCTTTGTGTTTATAGCATTGCAGCGAACCGCTACTATATATATACGTACGCTAACCACTACCGTGCTAAACGCTAGTACAACGCCACAAAGCTACGAATACGCTACGCTACGCTATGCTAATTGTTTTAATGCAGTTCATAAAAATACACCTTTCTGTCCTATTAACCTTATTGTCAATTTTTGTTTTGCCATTTTCAGCGTATTTTGGTGCCTTTTTTTATTGATGTGCTAATGCAAATGTACATATTTATGAGCAAAAGTGTGATGTCATTTCAGGCAGAAACCTCAATGATGTTACAGCTATTTCAAAAGCTGCCAGAATTTTGGATATTACATTTTTTATGTCATACATTTTGTTTTCTTTGGTGATTCGTTGTTGTGTCAGTACATGACAGTTTTAAAGCCAGCGAGAAAACTTTTCTCACAAATGTTTTCAATGAGCAAATTTTTGGATTCAAAATTTGAACAGAAACTGAACAGGGTCTCCTTGAAATGACATCACAGAAACAGCGCCCTCTGTTGTCCGCAAAAAACATGGACAATTAATTTTGAAGTGTTTATTAAAGAAGTGAACTTTTGAATAAAAGTAACCAAACCATTGAAAAGGGGTTGTCAAAAAGCTGTCACACATTTTAAGAGTACAAAGTTGCAACAAAATATGTTCCTAAGAAAAATTCATGTCATGGCCCTTAGGCTAGATGTTGTAAGCCTGGCCAAGATATAAGCTACAATCCCGGGCAAAATGGTTGGGACACTTCTTGAGCCTGCCACGGTCACCCACTCCCCCGCTCCCCCGGTCAATGTTGTTCTCTCCAGCTGATGGATGGAGCACACACCGCGCAATGAGAGACAACATTGAACGGGGGCCGGGGGCTTGGGGGCCCAGCGAGATTTGCCCAGGATTGTAGTACGTTTTAATCTACGCTGGACTCTACCCTATGTCATTGTGAGAGTGATAGAGAAGAATAAAACATTTAGCATGTTCACCCTCCGGATTCTTGTCAATTCCTGTGTACCGACGGTAAACCTACACATGAAAAACAAAATCACATCCGAGTTAGTCTAACGATCCGGGACAAAGTCAATTAGGCGTTCAAAACCAAGATCTGGGGGCACGTGCCCCCCCCCCCCAATTCCCAGTGTCCCCCACAAATTCCCAGTGTTCCCCCTTCCCATTTTTTTTTTTAAATCCATGTCTTTGCCTCGGTCTATTATGCGCAAAACAGATTTGCTGATTAATTAGGCAAGACCCCGCCTCTTGACTTCCTAGATTTTGACCAATCAGCAGGCGCTTTCTATAGGTCTATCGGGTCTTCGGTCATTCACCCGTTGCGCGTCATAGACATGGATTTAAAAAAAATGTCACGGCGCGCGGCGCTCGGTATCATGTTACGCGAATGCGCTCCCGGCTGTTGTTGTATTACAAAACGCTGCATTCGAATTGACCAATCACAGCGTTAGTCCTGATTTTGGGATGAAATGACGTCACGATTTAGTAAAGTCGACTCCGATTGGCTGGCGCGCGGCTTGCATAAATCTGCATGCTTTGGCATATCAGACGTTAGACAGGAGATGGCTCCGTGGATAACGGGTGATACTCAGACTACTAGTCTATGACGCGCAACGGGTGCAGCGGCGGCGGAACGGGTTTGAAACTGGGGGAGCATCACCAAAAAGGGGCACTTGCAAACCCGTGCTGAAATGACGACACGTTTTTTTCACCGGACACCCTTGGCCTCCGTCCGTAAAATCAAATAGTGTGTGTGTGTGTGTGTGTGTGTGTGTGTGTGTGTGGGGGGGGGGGGGGGTCCCGATAGACCTATAGAAAGCGCCTGCTGATTGGTCAAAATCTAGGAAGTCAAGAGGCGGGGTCTTGCCTAATTAATCAGCAAATCTGTTTGCGCATAATAGACCACGGCATTCGCCGTGGTCTATTACATATACTTCCTTGCCTGACTTCGGTCGAAATCCATAACACGGGTACGTACGCACCCAACCTCGAGTCCCATGCATGCAGTGCTTACTTTATTTCCAACCGCGTTTCCAATAGTTAGCCCTTTGATAGCAAACTTTCTTCCTGTATCCTGATTCGATGCTACGATCGGCTTGTAATGGATTTATACCGTGTACTTGGTCTTGTTATTTTCAACGTGCAGTACGTGTTTTCACAATAATTGTAATTAAAAACGTCCACGCCTTCTCAAAAATACTCCTTTCCTTTCCAATTTGCTCATATTAATATGAAATGTGATATTGCATAATTGGCGGGATAAGATTGTAACATTTTAACTCAGAAAACAATCGTGTTTTCGTAACTCACGGCGCGAATTGGTTCTGTTTTTACCCAAGACACTGCATACAAAAACAAACGCTAATGTAACGCACAGTCAGGCACCAGACTATTCCTCATTGCGTACGTGTTCAAATATCTTGCACATGCAAATGATCCAATTGCAGGGTGAGAGAGCTGATGGCACAAAGTCCGATCGGATCACATGAATGCAACGCATACCTTACCATGGAACTCGCAACCTGCTTGAGCAAAGTCTAACAACATCAACGACGCGACGACGCACATACTAGACTTGGCCAAGTCTGGGTTGCGCTCGGTCTGTGCCTATATCTGTATATTAAATCCACTCACAGCGCATATCGCATACTTACAGTACATAACGCGCGCCCTCATGCGTCGAATCCGGACCATCATGTTAAAAACGTACATGTACATGTTATTTTCAAGTGATGCAGCAACCCATGTATGCACATGCTCTGAAATACATGCACACACATGTACGTATAGTACGCGTGTTGTACAATGTACATGTACATACAAGTGTGTGCGCATTGTTATACGGCACTGAAGTGGAACGCGCGCTGAAGTGTACCTTGTCACTGCTTGTCGGGCTTCTGGAGAGACGTAAACTAAGTGATTTTTGCTACTTTTTTTTAAAAATTAAGATACCGACTTAAAGCAATTGCGACTTGAGTCAAGTCTACGCACATACATGTACCATGAACTTGTAACCTTGAATGGCTGTGTCGACGACGTGTACACTACTAACAAGAACATGTAAGTACGAAACGCAATGTGTATTGGCCTTGACGTTGTACTTGGTGGTTATCCTCTTCAGAACTCCTCGAGGAAGTCTAACTAAGAGGCTTGGAAAGTGGCATATTCAACTAAATCAAGGATTTGAATTGATTGTGTTTAGGGCATTGATGACAGGTAATTTGTTCCATTTTTTGACAGTTCAAAGGATTGCATGTATTGCATATTGCATGTATGGTTCTTGCGGTGATTTCATTGCATTGGCAGTTGTTCCCCTCCTTTGTCTGTTACTTTTCGGTTGCAGTGCATCTGGTTGAATGTTTACTGTGTTGTTGATGACCTTGTACAAAAATACTAGTTGGTTTGATTCCCTCCTCTCTTCAAGTGATGTCCAGCCCAAGGAAGCCAACATCTGAGTTACGCTGCTTCTTCTTGAAAAATCCTTGCAGACGAAACTAGCAGCTCGCCTCTGCGGGACTCTTTCAAGCGAAGAGATATGTTTTTGGTGGCATACGGGTTCCATAAATGTGGCCAATTTACTGGACTACCTTCGTAAAAAAGGGCCACACTTCCACCATGTACAAAAACATGTCGAACTTTGTCAAATTTTGATTTTCACATTTAGGCTTAGTTTGTAGTGAGTTTTTTTTGCTTTAGAAGCATACTCACCCACTTTATATGCTAATCAGAAAGTGCTGCCTTTTTCAAATGTCTATTTTTCCCCCAGTTTTTACCATTTTTGGCGGCCATATTGGCCGCCATCTTGGATATCTCCTTCGCATCGGATTTTTTTTCTGTTAACATCCAAAATGTGACATCCAAAACGTGTTTTAGGACCCCCAAAAATTGGTGAAAATTAGTTCGGGGGGGGGGGGGGGGGTTCACGGGGTTCCCCCATACATACTCCCCTATATGTCATTCTTATTCATAGCTCCTTGTTGATCCCAAGCAGTTTTTTTCTCCGAAGGTCTATATTAATTTTTTAAAAATTGGGGAATTTCTTAAAATTTCAATCAAGAAATAATTGAGACTTTTCAGTCAACCAATTAATTTCTTTGGATTCAAATTCAGTCCATTCTGCAGGTTGTCTACAGCTGTCAAATATCGAGAAGAGAAGAGAAGACATGGACACAAAATTAATGCCGACTCTTTTCAACGATCCGGGCCACTATGTCAAGGCCCTCCACTATTGTAGTACAGTTTCATGATCACATGATCCACTCCGTCTGCTCCAAAACTATGGAAATAATATATTTGAGTCAAATATTCAGGGCAAGCAGCATGTAATATTCTTAAAACAAGCAACACGATTTTAAAAACACTTCTAGACCTTATTGGAAGCCAGTGAAGATAAATAAAAACAGGTGTGATATGACAGTACTTGTAGGCCTACATGTTGCACATAAGCCTGGCACATGCATTAATTTTGATCACGCCGAAGACGGTCTAAATGCACATAAAGTATCCCATAGAGGAAGCTGTTACGGTAATCCAAAAGTTGGAAGTAATATATGCATGGACAAGTGTTTCAGTACAAGCACGTCTTAAAAAAGTCCACGAAGATAATAAAATGCTGAACTGCACGTTCTAACAACATGATCTTTCATAGAGTTTAACATCAAAACCACGCTCCCAAGTTCCGGGCAAGCGTCACGGGGCTGACAACTGATCCCCAACCTGTATCCCGTCTATCTTAACCTTTGCCAATTGCTGACGAGTACCAGTAACCAAGAATTCAGATTAGTTATCTGTTAAGAATAACCCACTTGCGGGCATCCAAGTACGTAAATCCTTAATACATGATTCCATAACAGAGAAAGCTGACTCTTGAGTCAGATGATTTGGCTTATATTCAAGTCACTTTGCGAATACGGTACAGCGGCCGCTTGTCAAGTACACAGTAACAAACAACGCGTCACAGACTCCCACCTTGTGGTTCTGGAACGCACAAAAATACTATCCCGGAACCGGACATAAAACACATTTTCCAATTCGTGGTTTCATCATTGGCTTTGGGCGATTTCTGATTAACATCTTGGATTTGAACGTCGGCTAAATGTATGCCCTCATTTTAAAAACTAAAAAGATACATGCCCACTTTTAAATAATCAGAAACAGTTTTGTATAATGCAATTTGGTTTTGATGTTGTCAGCGATCAGCGAACAAAATTATGAACCCGAAAGCCAAACCAGATAGCCTATTATAAGACCGAAGTTTCACTTCTTTTTAAATGTTAGTGATAAATGACTCTCTCTCTCTTGTCATTATTTGTTATGATTATAGTGTTCAAACATTCGTCACTCGATTTGACTCGTGCTAAATATTGCACTCGACTCGGCAGATCGACTCGACTACACACTGTGACTCTACTCGACTCGACTCGACCTTCTTGACCTAATGACTCGACTCGACTAGTCACAAAAATCAGTGACTCGTTACAACTCTGCTCACTACAGCGTGTCCCAATATAAACATTGTGCATGAAGAAATCGCTGATTTTCTCAAAAGTTGGTCAGACTAGCTAATCAGATTGCATAGCATTTTCAAGCCTATGGTCTTGCTTATAATTGGTAAAAAATAAAGAATATCCAACGATGCAAAACAGAGACCTTATTTGGTAAGGCTAATAGGCTATGTATTTTTCGACCCTAACAGGAACCTTGTGGAACACCCCACACAAGGTCGTGCTCATAAGTTATCAGACATTATACCGTTGACCACATCTTCCAAACAAATATGACCTGAACCATCGACTCCGAATTTTATTATTCAAGTGTACAAAAGGATAAGGATATTAATGTGAACAGGTGTGTCAAAAGCAGAGCTAATAGGTCGAGCAAAACCAGCAAGGTAACCTGTTTGTTGTTTCCTGGCCAGTAAGGGATTTTTTTTCCCCACTCTCAATCAGAGTTGTAACGAGTCACTGATTTGTGTGACTCGAGTCGAGTCGAGTCGAGTCATTTTAAAGAAGTGACTCGAGTCGAGTCGAGTCATTTTAAAGAAGTGACTCGAGTCGAGTCGAGTCATTTTAAAGAAGTGACTCGAGTCGAGTCGAGTCGAGTCGAGTCAAATATTTAGCTCGAGTCAATTCGAGTCACGAATATTTGAACACTATATACCAACATTTATAAAAGGAGGCCATAAGTTTAGCAAGCGTTCGAATCCAAGAGCTTTATAAGAATTCGCCTAAAGCCAATGGTGAAACAGCGAAAAATCTATTCTAAGATGGAATTTTGCGTCGGGTGATATAAATCAAATTAGGTTTGCCCTTCTTGCGTTTATATGTCGGTGAAGGGCAAACGAATTTGATTTATATCACCCCGACGCAAAATTCCATCTAACAATAGTTTATGCGGTACCCACTGCTATGTACATCAGATTCGAACCAGCCAACCGATCCCGTTAACTCGGTCGAGTGGTAAGACATCTGCACTAGAAAGCAGGAGGTCGTGGGTTCGAGTCCAACCCGAGTGATTTTTTCCAACTTTCACTCGGGAGGTAACACACTGAGTAAACAATGTTTATACGTCGGTGAAGGGCAAACCTAATTTGATGAAGCGAAAAATCTGGTTCCTGGATAGTATTTTGTGCGTTCTAGAACCATGAGGTGGGAGTCTGTGACACGTTGTATATTTATACATGACTAATTCGCAAAGCGAAGTGAGCATACATTTTGCACCGTAAGTCATTGCAAATACTTTTTGCAAAGTTGTGCTTTTATTTTTGGGACTCGAGTCTTATTAGCCTTCGTTCGATTCGAGTCGAGTCTTCCGACGAAGGACTCGAGTCGACTCGAGTCATTTGCTCGCAGTGACTCGAGTCGAGTCGAGTCATTTATCCTTAGGGACTCGAGTCGAGTCGAGTCACCAAAAATTGTGACTCGAGTCGGACCCGAGTCGAGTCATTGACTCGAGTCATTACAACTCTGCAGTCTCAATAATGTGCCGTTTCAGTACTGTGGCACATTACGATACGCTGTCGATGTCTGAAATGTAGGGAGAAGATTATGAAAAGTAAGGTGTAATCGTAACTGGTCGCAAAAAGTTTTTTCGTGCATCGTCGAAATGAACTGTAAATTGTTGACTGGGCGATAATTTTTGACATTGGCCTCCACACCTGTCTCGCTCATGCAGGTTGTCACGCTGAAACTACATCCAGAAGGGAAGAGAACATGGAAACGAAATCACTGCCGAGTCTGTTCAACAATCAGGACCACTTTGATAAGGCGTACAAAGTCTTCTGCGCTCGGTCTGCCAAATTCAAGACGTACTGTGACTGGGTGGACGGTGTGTTTAGCGAGGCGGTGGTTGGTAGGCTCCAGGTCACACTGGACGGAGAAGAAGAGCTACGGGTCATGGGAGTAGGCAGTGGGTCAGGTAAGAATACCGTTCACAAATGGAAAAGTTACAAACAATATTTTTTCTCCTATTTTTGCGACTGTCTATTTTTTTTGAGCGCCGACTGATGTCGATCGCCTTATTATCATCGAAGCTTGCACTCAGGTCGCAAAATATCGGTGATTTTGTGTGCCAAACAGTTGATCCTGAAATGTCAATCGCCACGTACCGTTCTGTATCGTCACGAGATCGACCTAGCTGAGGCCAGTTTGAGAAGTCAAATCCAAATCCCATCTTGATTGGACCAAGACTACAGGCCGGCTAACGGACGATATACTCTCATTATTGCAGCCCGACATCTGACATGATTTGAACAGCTCAAGACATGTCTTCTTGCAAGACTATTTATTGACACTAATTGTCATTGCCTATAATATTTTTTTAATGTTATTATGGCCATTATGTAGGTGAGATGGATTGTTTGATGTTGGAGCAGCTCAAAAGGCGTTTCCCGCTCATCAATAATCGTGTAGTTGACCCTTCTCAGAAGTTGCTGGTCCAATACAAGGCATTTGCTCAAACGAAGGCTCACCAGCTACACGGTGTTAAGTTTGACTTTCGGCAGCAGACTATTGAGCAATACCAAGAGGCGGGATATGTGACCAAGTTCCATTTCATCAGCGCAGTTCACTCCATGTACTTCGTTGACAACTTTGATAGCTCCGTGATGTATCTGTACGACTTACTGATCCCAGGAGGAGCATTACTTGTGATCCTAAGGCAAGGTCAGTATTTTATGCAAAGTGCTAAATCTTATTATTTTGGCGTAGCACGTATCGGCTCCCAACGGATTTTATTCTATGCAAGGGCGCTGGCAATGGTTTATACAGAATATTCTAAAGGAAACTCAAAGCATCCTGGGAAAGTTATCGCCATAATGCGCATATAGGTCAGGCACACGAGGAATATTGTTGACCGACGTCACCCCTCCCCCCTCACCCCGAAAGAAAAGTGTTAAGTTAAGGCCAATTTGTTTAGCACTGTAGCTCCCAAAGTCAGTCTTGAAGAACCATTTTTATTGGCGTTAACACAAAAGGTGGGGATAAGTTGAGATTTTTTGGTGTACGTTTCTGTTCAGAAAACAACGGATGGCAGCGATTTCTGGACCGCTTTCCTCAACTTTATGGTCGGGCCTGTTGTCACCTACAAGTAACTTCGAGGGATTTACTCAATTTATTGGACCGCCGTGGTATCCCGTACACGCAGTACCACCAACCCACGAGCTGCGACATCACCAAGTGCTTCGACGAAGCTTCCGAGGAAGGCAGCCTGCTGGTGGATTTCCTGACCCAAACAGTTCACTTCAAGGAGGCGGCGGCCGAAGACGAACAGAGATCAATGATGGAGTATCTTGCAAGCAGCGACTGCTCCGAGAGGAAAAATGAGGCCATACTGCTGAACATTCCCCGGGATGCAGTAGTAATAATTAAGCAACAAGAATTCAATTAATTTTATCAACAATAATCAAGCCACTATACAAATACAAAATTTCCGAAAAGTTATTTCTTTAAACTGGGCCGGAAAAGTTACCTCAAACCTGTGGAAAGTTACTTCAAAGTGAACTCATTGCGTCCAAGCTTGTGCAGATCACACCATAGAGCAAGGACCCAAGGAGTCAGAACTCTTGGGCGATTTACATTTCGACCATTAACATACCAATCTCTCGGGAATGTCTATAGCTACAGCACTGTGACCGCAAGCCTCGACCATTCAAAGCGTGAATGCCAGCGGCCTTTGAACACGATGATCGTCGCCGCCTTTTTAGTTGGTAACCATATGCTGCATAATAAGTCATGTCACGTCGCTGCTCTTTTTTGAAAAATATATTTTACGACAAGATAGGTTTTTACAACTGCGCAGTTGTTAGATGTGAGTTATGAACTCAAGTTAGCAATGTGCAGTTGTTGGTGCTTAAAAGCGTTATCTGTCCCTGTAATTTGGAGATAAATTGGATTTCTTTCAGATAAGTTTTCATGTATTTTCAGACATTTTAATTGGCAATATATCATTGTTGAAATGTGTTTTTTTTGGAAAATTTCACAAGTTTTCACACTAAAAGTATAGAGCATTTTGTTCTTCATGAAATGATTGTTTCAGTGATGTTGACCACATTGTTAGCCAGTTTTAGCCAACTCCGAACAAACACTTCAAATTCATTCATTTTTAGCGATGTATGACAACTGCGCATGCGTATTTACCATGGTACTGTCTACGAAGCCATGCAAACTCCTTTTTTTTGGCATTAGTGAGCGCGGATCTCTGTTGTGTCGAGATTAGCGTAGTGAGCAACTGAGCAAGCTGGCGCCAGGTGCTTTCTATTGTAGCTTTCGAGCGCGGCGACGATCGTTTTACTTTTGAAGTCTTGGAGTACGAACTCCTTGGGTCCTTGCTCTTATGGAACGCCAAACGTACCAATTGATGATGTTACCGGGTAAACGTAATTTGATGATGTCGTCAATGCATTATGTGATGTAGTCAATGCATTATGTGATGTAGTCAATCCTTTATGTGATGTCGTCAATCTATTATGTGATGTCGTCAATCCATTATGTGATGTAGTCAATCTATTATGTGATGTAGTCAATCCATTATGTGATGTAGTCAATCCATTATGTGATGTCGTCAATCCATTATGTGATGTAGTCAATCCATTATGTGATGTAGTCAATCCATTATGTGATGTAGTCAATCCTTTATGTGATGTCGTCAATCCATTATGTGATGTCGTCAATCTATTTTGTGATGTCGTCAATCCATTATGTGATGTCGTCAATCTTTTATGTGATGTAGTCAATCCATTATGTGATGTAGTCAATTCATTTTGTGATGTAGTCAATTCATTATGTGATGTAGTCAATTCATTATGTGATGTAGTCAATCTATTATGTGATGTAGTCAATCCATTATGTGATGTCGTCAATCCATTATGTGATGTAGTCAATCCATTATGTGATGTAGTCAATCCATTATGTGATGTAGTCAATCCTTTATGTGATGTCGTCAATCCATTATGTGATGTCGTCAATCTATTTTGTGATGTCGTCAATCCATTATGTGATGTCGTCATTCTATTTTGTGATGTAGTCAATCCATTATGTGATGTAGTCAATCCATTATGTGATGTAGTCAATCCATTATGTGATGTAGTCAATCCATTATGTGATGTAGTCAGTCCATTATATGATGTCGTCAACCCATTTACGTGGAGTTACTGCGTAATGGATTGACAACACCGCATAATAGATTCACTACATCACATAATTCGGGAGCCAGGGTGACCGTTTTAGCTGAATTTCGGCTAAATTTGGCAGAATTTTTCGGGACAAAAACTAGTGAGACAGAACGTTTAGCAGATCGATTTCGTTAAGGAGCAAGCAGATTTTGTAAAATTGGTAATTTGACGGAAAAATATGGCAGATTTGAAAATATAGCCGATTAGTTTTGAAAAAGCTTCAATTTGAAGCTGCCTGACTGTAAAATACTTATGCCAGTATAGACACGTGCAGTAAAAAAAATCAATTATTTTTTTTAAAGGAAATTGTATATTTCTTTTGTTTAAGGAAATTATATACTGCATGTGAGCATAAGTGTTTATAATGAATTCCGTGTAATGATAGGTGATTTAGTAGATTTTTGTTAAATCTAGCAGATTTTGAAAGTACATCTAGCAGAATGCTGCCAGTACCTTACGGTCACCCTGGCAGGAACTATATAAAGGGATAGCTCACAGCGTATTGCATTGACAATACTCACGTGGAAGCGGCATGCAGGCGTGTGCTGCGTTAAAGTTGTGAACATGTGACTCTCGATATCAGACGTAATGTTATCCTAATTACCAGACACATATTACCATGAAGACTTTGTCTGTTTTTATGACACTTCGGACATTGTTATTGATTACAATAATGGAACACAGAACATGTTTAAATTATCCCTTGAGCCCAATGAAAAGTACCAAGCACATTTTGCTAAAATTAATTTCATCATCGGCGACGTCAAATTATATAAATGTCGTGTCTAGTCAGGTTTTATTATACGGCAATAAATACGGTCAGCGCTCTTTGAAGACGCGCCTTCGGAGCCCTGTGGTTAATTTCGTTATCATAAATTCACGATGCACCGGCATGCTTCAATTTTGGAATGATTCGTTTTCATCAAGAAAATGAGCCGTCTTGCTGTACGATGGAGAATGGGTGGTTGGACATTTTTAACAGTTTTACCAGATCCAGATGGACCTTGCTGAGGATGTGCTAGCTATCATAGCATCGCTGTTTGAGACAGGCATGCGAAAAAAAAATATCAAGTGAGTTGTTATGCAATTGAGCAGAAGAGGGAATTAAAGGGAAAATACAACATTTGCAAACATCAAAAAATAAAACTACCAAATCATTTTGAAATACCTTGCTGGACTGCTAGTGAATGACAGTGTAAAGCATCCTGTAAAATCATGGCACCTGGTACACTGTCATTTTCAAGAAAAGTGGTATTTTTGTATCAATTTCCAACGCTGATCGGCCGATCAGCGTTGGAAACAACTGGCTTTTTTTTCAAATACTGGCCCCGTGACCATCGCACTTGTTTGCAATCGATTACCAACCTATGAACGGGTTCGAGCCAGCAAGACTGGTTTCCTGACCTTACAATTCCCCAATGTATGTAAACTGCTCTGTTTCTTCTTATATGGAGTCAGGGAACCAGACTACAGGAAAATGATCGTTTTTCTTGGTTTTTATAGCATTTTCGAACCCAAAACCCGCTCAAAAAAGTCAGTGTAAGTATATTTGCTATATATTTCCAACCCCCCATTCCATCCATTTCTGAAAATTACAGCAAAAGCAAATGATGTGTATTCCCTTTAAGAAAACAATGGTGGAAGGAGAATAAGCTTGTTGATAGATTTATATGAACCAGTTTATCTGTTGGAGACAGAGATCCAAGGGCAGGCTAATTAGGTTCACGCGCTCAAAACAACCGAGCAGAAGGGCGGATGGCGGATCCAGGCATTTTTGCAGGGGGGAGGGGAGTCGGAGGTCAGGGCCGTCAGGTTTTTTTTTATGTCCAATTGTTGTGGACAGGCGGTTATAAAAACTAAAACCTTACTGCCTGCAAGCTATCAGAGGGGGAAGGGGGGGGGGGTAGGGACATACGCTTTAGAACGGCACAGATCATTACAGACTTAAATTTTCCATGTGCCGCGAAAGACAACGAATTATTTCAGGAATGACCGGTGGGTGGCAAAGTGGGATGGGATTACGAATTAGTGGAACAAGAAAAGTACTAACAGGTAGTGTGGTTATAGATCAGTGATCATGTATAATCCTACAAGACAAATTGAAAGTGCTGAATATGTCAACTTCTGTAATTAACTGGTTATGTCCCACCTTAGTGGTCGTAGTAAGTATTGAGGCCTTTTAAAATCAGATTGTCTTGACTAATAGTAATATACCTATGAATCCGCTAACCGTGTAACTGGTCATAAACTTGTCGTTCTATGAAAGATTCTTAATACCAATTAACAAATTGAGATACATTCTGTATATATATTTATCTTTTCGATTAGAACTTTCATAAAAATAGAAGTATATTATTCAGATTAAAGAAAGAAAGAAAAAGCGCCTGGAAATTTAGTGGGGCTTAAATCATCTATTATTAAACGATATCCATTTATAAACACTGATAATCACATGCAGTTTATAATTTTCTTTAACAAAAGAAATATAAAATTTGTTTTAAAAAAATTAATTGATTTTTTTTACTGCACGTGTCTATCCTGGCATAAGTGCTTTACAGTCAGGCAGCTTCAAATTGAATCTCTTTCAAAACTAATCGGCTATATTTTCAAATCAGCCATATTTTTCTGTCAAAATACTTATTTTACAAAATTCTGCTTGCTCCTTAACGAAATCGATCTGCTAAACTTTCTGTTTTACTCGTTTTGGCCCGAAATATTCTGTCAAATTTAGCCGAAATTCAGCTAAAACGGTCACCCTGGCTCCCGAATTATGTGATGTAGTGAATCTATTATGCGGTGTTGTCAATCCATTACGCAGTAACTCCACGTAAATGGGTTGACGACATCATATAATGGACTGACTACATCACATAATGGATTGACTACATCACATAATGGATTGACTACATCACAAAATGCATTGACTACATCACATAATGGATTGACTACATCGCAAAATAGATTGACGGCATCACATAATGGATTGACGACATCACATAATGCATTAACTACATCACATAATGGATTGACTACATCACATAATGGATTGACTACATCACATAATGGATTGACTACATCACAAAATGGATTGACGACATCACATAATGGATTGACTACATCACATAATGCATTGACTACATCACATAATGCATTGACTACATCACATAATGGATTGACTACATCACAAAATGGATTGACTACATCACATAATGGATTGACGACATCACATAATGGATTGACTACATCACATAATGGATTGACTACATCACATAATGAATTGACTACATCACATAATGAATTGACGACATCACATAATGGATTGACGACATCACATAATGGATTGACGACATCACATAATGGATTGACGACATCACATAATGCATGGACTACATCACATAATAAATTGACGACATCACATAATGGATTGACGACATCACATAATAGATTGACGACATCATATAATGGAATGACTACATCACATAATGGATTGACGACATCACATAATGGATTGACTACATCACATAATGGATTTACGACATCACATAATAGATTAACGACATCGCATAATGGATTGACGACATCACATAATGGATTGAGAACATCCCATAATGGGTTGACGACATCACATAATAGATTGACTACATCACATAATGGATTGACGACATCACATAATGGATTGACGACATCACATAATGGATTGACGACATCACAAAATAGATTGACTACATCACATAATAGATTGACGACATCACATAATAGATTGACGACATCATCATATTACGTTTACCTGGTAACATCATAAATTGGTACGTTTGGCGTTCCATATGCTCTATGATCACACTTACCGCCGAGAGCAACGTGCTGAGCAAAAAGTCATTCGAGGCCGTTTGCTCACAAATTGTTCCCTTTGTGCGGTACATTTTTTGGCTGACCCAACCTCTACTGAAAAAAATCCTGGCTATGCCACTGCGCGCGGCTGGGTTGACGGTCATGGGCGTCGAGAGGGGGGGGGGGGGGGCAAGCACATGGTTTTCCCCAAATCCCTATACTTGTCTAGAGTTGTAACTAGTCACTGATTTTTGTGACTCGAGTCGAGTCGAGTCATTTTAAAGAAGTGACTCGAGTCGAGTCGAGTCATTAGGTCAAGACGGTCGAGTCGAGTCAAGTTGAGTCACAGTGTGTAGTCGAGTCGAGTCGAGTCAAGTATTTAGCTCGAGTCAATTCGAGTCACAAATATTTGAGCACTATACAATAAATAAACACAAGAGAGAAAGTTATTTTTTGGCTTTTTAATTTTTACATTAGGGCTTCTGCATGTGGCGACACTACATTTGCCTCTTAATGTAAATAAAAAGGGGGTGCCAGCTGATCGTCATTCAACTAATGGGGACACTGATCAAACCATTATGTATACATTATTCGCAAACATTCTTACGAGACGTGAACAAAAACAGGCACCGGCGTAAGTCATTGCAAATATTTTCGCAAAGTGTTGCTTTTATTTTTGGGAATCGAGTCTCATTAGCCTTCCTCGAGTCGAGTCGAGTCATTCTGATGAGGGATTCGAGTCGAGTCGAGTCATTTGCTCGCAGTGACTCGAGTCGAGTCGAGTCATTTGCCCTTAGGGACTCAAGTCGAGTCGAGTCACCAAAAATTGTGAGTCGGACTCGAGTCGAGTCATTGACTCGAGTCATTACAACTCTGTACTTGTCCAGCATATTGTAGATTTATCTTCTTTTTTTTGGAGGGTGGGCAGGGACATTCCCCCCAACCCATTAAATTAACAGCAATATGACTTGTTTCCCCCTTTTTTTTTTTTTTTTTTTGGCTGTCCGGGGGCGCGCGCTTCCTTGCCTAACTTCGGTCGAAATCCATAACACGTACACACCCAACCTCGTCCCCAGTGCTTACTTTATTTCCAACCGCGTTTCCAATAGTTAGAGAGAGCAGGTAGTGGTGGGCGCGTACTGCTCGACACCCTGGGGACGAGGTTGCGTACGCACCGTCGTCACAAATGCTGATTGCACAAAGTCCGATCGGATCACATGAATGCAGCGCATACCTTACCATGGAACTCGCAACCTGCTTGAGCATATGAATTCCTTTGGGGAACTAACCCACCGGGCCGGTTGTTATGTGCAACCTCTATGAGAGAACGCAGCGAAAAAATCATTAAAAACAGGCCTTTTTCACATCTGTTGCCACCACTTCATTATTCAACAGGGTATACCTTAGATCTCACTACAGTGTGACCCTAACAATATACTCTTTCAGAAAATGAAAGAAAAACTTAATGAAACACTGAGTTTCACTCGCGAATTGATGTTAAACATTGTATTTTTAGTCAAAAATCTCCCTGTTTTGTGTGTAAACCACGCGTTCAGCCAAGAACTGGTCCATTAACATCATCATAACGTTAAATAGCCCCACCTGGGAGCTTAGATCTCTCGAGTCATTTTTCTTCGTCTCGTCAGCTTTCCAACAATATAACCCTTATTGTGATTGGTTAAGGTTTAGGCTCGCGTGTATTCGATTACTAAAGAATTGTACATCTAAACTCCAATAAAATTTGCCGTTGCTCAATGGCTCAGCGCGTAGGGTCTGTTTATTGTACACGTGCTAGGCAGCGCTACTGTATATACACAGAGCCCGAGAGCTCTTATCTCTATGTGTCCAAGGTCATCTGGCTGTGCGCTTTGGCCACTTTACAAGGGGTCCTTTTGACCACAAAGGATTTGATATGCAAAGTCTAACCACATCAACGACGACGCCCATGAACTTGTAACCTTGAATGGCTGTGTCGACGACGTGTACACTAACAAGAACATGTAAGTACGCATCGGAATGTGTATTGGCCTTGACGTTGTACTTGGTATAAACTTGGTGGTTATCCTCTTCAGAACTCCTCGAGGAAGTCTAACAAAGAGGCTTGGGAGAGTGGCATACATGTATTCAACTAAATGAAGGATTTGAATTGATTGTGTTTTGGGGGCATTGATGACATCTTGGGGTAATTCGTTCCATATTTTCTGACAGATCTTGGTAGGAACGATTGCATGTACTGTAGACATTGGTTCTTGCGGTGATTTCATTGCATTGGCAGTTGTTCCCCACCCTTGTCCGGTGTTACTATTTACCGGAAAATACCGGAAAATAACGGAAAATACCGTAAAATACAGGAAAATACCGGAAAACTACCGGAAAACACCGGAAAACTACCGGTAGTTTTCCAGAGTTTTCCGGTGTTTCCCCCCTCCTTTGTCTGTTACTTTTCGGTTGCAGTGCATCTGGTTGAATGTTTACTGTGTTGTTGATGACCTTGTACAAAAATACTAATTGGTTTGATTCCCTCCTCTCTTCAAGTGATGTCCAACCCAAGGTAGCCAACATCTGAGTTACGCTGCTTCTTCTTGAAAAATTCTTGCAGACGAAACGTGCAGCTCGCCTCTGGACTCTTTCAAGCGAAGAGATATTTTTGGTGGCATACGGGTTCAATAAATGTAGCCAATTTACTGGACTTCCTCCGTAAAAAAAGGCCAGACTTCCACCATGTACAAAAACATGTCGAACTTGGTCAAATTTTGATTTTCACATTTAGGCTTAGTTTGTAGGGTTTTTTTTGCTTTAGAAGCATACCCACCCTCTATACAGGCTAATCAGAAAGTGCTGCCTTTTTTAGATATCTATTTTCCCCAGTTTTTACCATTTTTGGCGGCCATATTGGCCGCCATCTTGGATATCTCCTTCGCATCGGTTTTCTTTTTCCTGTTAACATCCAAAACGTGTTTTAGGACCCTAAAAGGCACCCCCAAAGATTGGTGAAAATTAGTTCGGGGGGAAGGGGGGGAGGCGCACGGGGGTCCCCCATACATACTCCCCTATATGTAATTCTAATTCATAGCTCCTTGTTGATTCCAAGCAGGTTTTTTTCTCCGAAGGTCTATATTAATTTAATTTTTGGGGGGGGGAATTTCCTCGAATTTCAATCAAGAAATAATTGAGACTTTTTAAGTCAACCAATTAATTTCTTTGGGATTCAAATTCAGTCCATTCTGCAGGTTGTCTACAACTGTCAAATATCGAGAAGAGAAGAGAACACATGGACACAAAATTAATGCCGACTCTTTTCAACGATCCGGGCCACTATGTCAAGGCCCTCCACTATTGTAGTACAGTTTCATGATCACATGATCCACTCCGTCTGCTCCAAAACTATGGAAATAATATTTGAGTCAAATATTCAGGGCAAGCAGCATGTAATATTTTTAAAACAAGCAACACGATTTAAAAAACACTTCTTGACCTAATTGGAAGCCAGTGAAGATAAATAAAAACAGGTGTGATATGACAGTACTTGTAGGCCTACATGTTGCACATAAGCCTGGCACATGCATTAATTTTGATCACGCCGAAGACGGTCTAAATGCACATAAAGTATCCCATAGAGGAAGCTGTTATGGTAATCCAAAAGTTGGAAGTAATAAATGCATGGACAAGTGTTTCAGTACTAGCACGTCTTAAAAAAGTCCATGAAGATAAAAAATGCTGAACTGCACGTTCTAACAACATGATCTTTCATAGAGTTTAACATCAAAACCACGCTCCCAAGTTCCGGGCAAGCGTCACGGGGCTGACAACTGATCCCCAACCTGTATCCCGTCTATCTTAACCTTTGCCAATTGCTGACGAGTACCAGTAACCAAGAATTCAGATTAGTTATCTGTTAAGAATAACCCACTTGCGGGCATCCAAGTACGTAAATCCTTAATACATGATTCCATAACAGAGAAAGCCGACTCTTGAGTCAGATGATTTGGCTTATATTCAAGTCACTTTGCGAATACGGTACAGCGGCCGCTTGTCAAGTACACAGTAACAAACAACGCGTCACAGCCTCCCACCTTGTGGTTCTGGAACGCACAAAAATACTATCCCGGAACCGGACATAAAACACATTTTCCAATTCGTGGTTTCATCATTGGCTTTGGGCGATTTCTGATTCACTTCTTGGATTTGAACGCCGGCTAAATGTATGCCCTCATTTTAAAAACTAAATAGATACATGCCCACTTTTAAATAATCAGAAACAGTTTTGTATAATGCAATTTTGTTTTGATGTTGTCAGCGATCAGCGAACAAAATTATGAACCCGAAAGCCAAACCAGATAGCCTATTATAAGACCGAAGTTTCACTTCTTTTTAAATGTTAGTGATAAATGACTCTCTCTCTCTTGTCATTATTTGTTATGATTATAGTGTTCAAACATTCGTCACTCGATTTGACTCGAGCTAAATATTGCACTCGACTCGGCAGATCGACTCGACTACACACTGTGACTCTACTCGACTCGACTCGACCTTCTTGACCTAATGACTCGACTCGACTAGTCACAAAAATCAGTGACTCGTTACAACTCTGCTCACTACAGCGTGTCCCAATAAACATTGTGCATGAAGAAATCGCTGATTTTCTCAAAAGTTGGTCAGACTAGCTAATCAGATTGCATAGCATTTTCAAGCCTATGGTCTTGCTTATAATTGGTGAAAAATCAAGAATATCCAACGATGCAAAACAGAGACCTAATTTGGTAAGGCTAATAGGCTATGTATTTTTCGACCTGCACAGGCGCGTACGCAGGGGGGGGGGAGGTGTTTTGGCTGTTAAACAACCCCCTTTGCCATGTAAAAATATGGAGGGAAAAGAGAGTTATGTGACCGAGCGCGGAACAATTACAAATTATGTGCATGCTCTCAACTTTAAGCTTTGAATACAGATAACACTTCATAGCAGCAAGAGTATATAGGCCTATATGTATTTGAAACAAATGAAACAAAATATCCCCTCATAATTTTAAAAACTTCTGCTAAAAAAACCAGGGGAAAGTGGCCAGGAAACGCCTCAGATTGCACCACAGAGCATCTACGATCCAAAATTTCCCGGGGCCCTTAAGCGGGCCCCGGACCCCACGCCGTAAGTGCTTCGCGCTCCGCGCTCGCATTGGTCCTCCGGCCAAATTCCTTCTATGCTGTAATTTCACCCTAGCGGTGCCCCCACCATTTTGTACCTTCAGCAGTGAACGGCTCTACAAGTGGCCTAAATCCCTTTCCAAAATAGAAAATTGTGAAAAATACGGATATGAACATGGTTCTCAACTTTGAGTACATAAACTTTATAAACAACAACAAAAAATTAAAAATTTCAATGGAATTTTCGATGTTTTAAACGTTTTCTAAACGGTGGAAGTGGCCAGGAATCGCCTCAGATTGCACCACAGAGCATCTAAAATCCCAATTTTTTCGGGGCCCTTAAGCGGGCCTTGGACCCCTCGCCGTAAGGGCTTCGCAGGTCCTGGACCCTTCATTATAATAATTCTAGGCCCCCCGGCAAATGGCAGTCTGAATCCGCTCCTGTGACCAGAGCGCATATGTATCCTGTATCTGAAGTTTGGCCTTAGGGGTGGGGGCGGTTTACACAAAGATTCCCAACGGATGAGAATCATGAGATCCAGGGGACGAAGCTGAGTAATTTTAGCCAATTACAAGAACAGATCCTAGCACTTCCGCAGCCCGTGTCACTTTTTTTCTTGACTTTCTTCTTTTGTTTTTGTTTAAATGCTGTTGAGGGGGGAGGGACTGCCCACATTGACTCCTTTACTCATATGTTCATCATATACTCTAAAGACACAGAACATTTTTTTCCCGATTTACTATGCTTTAGCTCAAAAAGATAACTGATGGTCGTGGGTTCCCGGCCCTTCGAGTTTAACCCGTCCAAATATACCCTCTTTTATTTCTGGCGCCAACACAAACTCCTGACTTTTATTTTAGCGTTAAGTTTAGCCCACTGATACTATCTTTTATTTCTGGCGCCAACACTATTTACCATCTTCACTTCTAGCGTCATAAATGACGACATCCAATTTTGAAACACCCCCCTTGAAAAAATCCTGCGTACGCCACTGGACCTGCACAATGTAATTTCCACACTTAAATAATGGACCCTAACAGGAACCTTGTGGAACACCCCACACAAGGTCGTGCTCATAAGTTATCAGACATTATACCGTTGACCACATCTTCCAAACAAATATGACCTGAACCATCGACTCCGAATTGTATTATTCAAGTGTCCAAAAGGATAAGGATATTAATGTGAACAAGTGTGTCAAAAGCAGAGCTAATAGGTCGAGCAAAACCAGCAAGGTAACCTGTTTGTTGTTTCCTGGCCAGTAAGGGATTTTTTTTCCACTCTCAATCAGAGTTGTAACGAGTCACTGATTTTTGTGACTCGAGTCGAGTCGAGTCGAGTCATTTTAAAGAAGTGACTCGAGTCGAGTCGAGTCATTAGCTCGAAAGGTCGAGTCGAGTCGAGTCGAGTCAAATATTTAGCTCGAGTCAATTCGAGTCACGAATATTTGAACACTATATACCAACATTTATAAAAGGAAGCCATAAGTTTAGCAAGCGTTCGAATCCAAGAGCTTTATAAGAATTCGCCTAAAGCCAATGGTGAAAGAGCGAAAAATCTATTCTAAGATGGAATTTTTCGTCGGGTGATATAAATCAAATTAGGTTTGCCCTTCTTGCGTTTATATGTCGGTGAAGGGCAAACGAATTTGATTTATATCACCCCGACGCAAAATTCCATCTTACAATAGTTTATGCGGTACCCGCTGCTATGTACATCAGATTCGAACCAGCCAACCGATCCCGTTAGCTCTGTGGTCAAGTGGTAAGACATCTGCACTAGAAAGCAGGAGGTCGTGGGTTCGAGTCCAACCCGAGTGATTTTTTCCAACTTTCACTCGGGAGTTAACACACTGAGTAAACAATGTTTATACGTCGGTGAAAGGCAAACCTAATTTGATGAAGCGAAAAATCTGGTTCCTGGATAGTATTTTGTGCGTTCTAGAACCATGAGGTGGGAGTCTGTGACACGTTGTATATTTATACATGACTAATTCGCAAAGCGAAGTGAGCATAAATTTTGCACCGTAAGTCATTGCAAATACTTTTCGCAAAGTTGTGCTTTTATTTTTGAGACTCGAGTCTTATTAGCCTTCGTTCGATTCGAGTCGAGTCTTCAGACGAAGGACTCGAGTCGACTCGAGTCATTTGCTCGCAGTGACTCGAGTCGAGTCGAGTCATTTATCCTTAGGGACTCGAGTCGAGTCGAGTCACCAAAAATTGTGACTCGAGTCGAACTCGAGTCGAGTCATTGACTCGAGTCATTACAACTCTGCAGTCTCAATAATGTGCCGTTTCAGTACTGTGGCACATTACGATACGCTGTCTGAAATGTAGGAAGAAGATTATGAAAAGTAAGGTGTGATTGTAACTGGTCGCAAACAGTTTTTTCGTGCATCGTCGAAATGAACTGTAAATTGTTGACTGGGCGATAATTTTTGACATTGGCCTCCACACCTGTCTCGCTCATGCAGGTTGTCACGCTGAAACTAAATCCAGAAGGGAAGAGAACATGGAAACGAAATCACTGCCGAGTCTGTTCAACAATCAGGACCACTATGATAAGGCTTTCAAAGTCTTCTGCGCTCGGTCTGCCAAATTCAAGGCGTACTGTGACTGGGTGGACGGTGTGTTTAGCGAGGCGGTGGTTGGTAGGCTCCAGGTCACACTGGACGGAGAAGAAGAGCTACGGGTCATGGGAGTAGGCAGTGGGTCAGGTAAGAATACCGTTCACAAATGGAAAAGTTACAAACAATATTTTTTTCTCCTATTTTTGCGACTGTCTATTTTTTTTTGAGCGCCGACTGATGTCGATCGCCTTATTATCATCGAAGCTTGCACTCAGGTCGCAAAATATCGGTGATTTTGTGTGCCAAACAGTTGATCCTGAAATGTCAATCGCCACGTACCGTTCTGTATCGTCACGAGATCGACCTAGCTGAGGCCAGTTTGAGAAGTCAAATCCAAATCCCATCTTGATTGGACCAAGACTACAGGCTGGCTAACGGACGATATACTCTCATTATTGCAGCCCGACATCTGACATGATTTGAACAGCTCAAGACATGTCTTCTTGCAAGACTATTGACACTAATTGTCATTGCCTATAATATTTTTTAAATTTTATTATGGCCATTATGTAGGTGAGATGGATTGTTTGATGTTGGAGCAGCTCAAAAAGCGTTTCCCGCTCATCAATAATCGTGTAGTTGACCCTTCTCAGAAGTTGCTGGTCCAATACAAGGCATTTGCTCAAACGAAGGCTCACCAGCTACACGGTGTTAAGTTTGACTTTCGGCAGCAGACTATTGAGCAATACCAAGAGGCGGGATATGTGACCAAGTTCCATTTCATCAGCGCAGTTCACTCCATGTACTACGTGGACAACTTTGATAGCTCCGTGATGTATCTGTACGACTTACTGATCCCAGGAGGAGCATTACTTGTGATCCTAAGGCAAGGTCAGTATTTTATGCAAAGTGCTAAATCTTATTATTTTGGCGTAGCACGTACAGCATCAGCTCCCAACGGGTTTCGTTCTATGCAAGGGCGCTGGCAATGGTTTATACAGAATATTCTAAAGGAAACTCAAAGCATCCTGGGAAAGTTATCGCCATAATGCGCATATAGGTCAGGCACACGAGGAATATTGTTGACCGACGTCACCCCTCCCCCCTCACCCCGATAGAAAAGAAAAGTGTTAAGTTAAGGCTAATTTGTTCAGCACTGTAGCTCCCAAAGTCAGTCTTGAAGAACCACTTTTATTGGCGTTATAAACGGTGGGGATAAGTTGAGATTTTTTGGTGTACTTTTCTGTTCAGAAAACACCGGATGGCAGCGATTTCTGGACCGCTTTCCTCAACTTTATGGTCGGGCCGGTTGTGACCTACAAGTAACTTCGAGGGATTTACTCAATTTATTGGACCGCCGTGGCATCCCGTACACGCAGTACCACCAACCCACGAGCTGCGACATCACCAAGTGCTTCGACGAAGCTTCTGAGGAAGGCAGCCTGCTGGTGGATTTCCTGACCCAAACCGTTCACTTCAAGGAGGCGGCGGCCGAAGACGAACAGAGATCCATGATGGAGTATCTTGCAAGCAGCGACTGCTCCGAGAGGAAAAATGAGGCCATACTGCTGAACATTCCCCTGGATGCAGTAGTAATAATTAAGCAACAAGAATTCAATTAATTTTATCAAAAATAATCAAGCCACTATACAAATACAAAATTTCCGAAAAGTTATTTCTTTAAACTGCGCCGGAAAAGTTACCTCAAACCTGTGGAAAGTTACTTCAAAGTGAACTCATTGCGTCCAAGCTTGTGCAGATCACACCATAGAGCAAGGACCCAAGGAGTCAGAACTCTTGGGCGATTTACATTTCGACCATTAACATACCAATCTCTCGGGAATGTCCATAGCTATAACACTGTGACCGCAAGCCTCGACCATTCAAAGCGTGAATGCCAGCGGCCTTTGAACACGATGATCGTCGCCGCCTTTTTAGTTGGTAACCATATGCTGCATAATAAGTCATGTCACGTCGCTGCTCTTTTTTGAAAAATATATTTTACGACAAGATAGGTTTTTACAACTGCGCAGTTGTTAGATGTGAGTTATGAACTCAAGTTAGCAATGTGCAGTTGTTGGTGCTTAAAAGCGTTATCTGTCCCTGTAATTTGGAGATAAATTGGATTTCTTTCAGATAAGTTTTCATGTATTTTCAGACATTTTAATTGGCAATATATCATTGATGAAATGTGTTTTTTTTTGGAAAATTTCACAAGTTTTCACACTAAAAGTACAGAGCATTTTGTTCTTCATGAAATGATTGTTTCAGTGATGTTGACCACATTGTTAGCCAGTTTTAGCCAACTCCGAACAAACACTTCAAAATCATTCATTTTTAGCGATGTATGACAACTGCGCATGCGTATTTACCATGGTACTGTCTACGAAGCCATGCAAACTCCTTTTTTGGCATTAGTGAGCGCGGATCTCTGTTGTGTCGAGATTAGCGTAGTGAGCAACTGAGCAAGCTGGCGCCAGGTGCTTTCTATTGTAGCTTTCGAGCGCGGCGACGATCGTTTTACTTTTGAAGTCTTGGAGCACGAACTCCTTGGGTCCTTGCTCTATGATCACACTTACCGCCGAGAGCCACGTGCTGAGCAAAAAGTCATTCGAGGCCGTTTGCTCACAAATTGTTCCCTTTGTGCGGTACATTTTTTGGCTGACCCAACCCCTACTGAAAAAAATCCTGGCTATGCCACTGCGCGCGGCTGGGTTGACGGTCATGGGCGTCGAGGGGGGGGGGGCAAGCACATGGTTTTCCCCAAATCCCTATACTTGTCTAGAGTTGTAACTAGTCACTGATTTTTGTGACTCGAGTCGAGTCGAGTCATTTTAAAGAAGTGACTCGAGTCGAGTCGAGTCATTAGGTCAAGACGGTCGAGTCGAGTCAAGTTGAGTCACAGTGTGTAGTCGAGTCGAGTCGAGTCAAGTATTTAGCTCGAGTCAATTCGAGTCACAAATATTTGAGCACTATACAATAAATAAACACAAGAGAGAAAGTTATTTTTTGGCTTTTTAATTTTTACATTAGGGCTACTGCATGTGGCGACACTACATTTGCCTCTTAATGTAAATAAAAAGGGGGTGCCAGCTGATCGTCATTCAACTAATGGGGACACTGATCAAACCATTATGTATACATTATTCGCGAACATTCTTACGTGACGTGAACAAAAACCGGCACCGGCGTAAGTCATTGCAAATATTTTCGCAAAGTTTTGCTTTTATTTTTGGGAATCGAGTCTCATTAGCCTTCCTCGAGTCGAGTCGAGTCATTCTGATGAGGGATTCGAGTCGAGTCGAGTCATTTGCTCGCAGTGACTCGAGTCGAGTCGAGTCATTTGCCCTTAGGGACTCAAGTCGAGTCGAATCACCAAAAATTGTGAGTCGGACTCGAGTCGAGTCATTGACTCGAGTCATTACAACTCTGTACTTGTCCAGCATATTGTAGATTTATCTTCTTTTTTTTTGGAGGGTGGGCAGGGACATTCCCCCCAACCCATTAAATTAGCAGCAATATGACTTGTTTCCCCTTTTTTTTTTTTTTTTTTGCTGTCCGGGGGCGCGCTTCCTTGCCTAACTTCGGTCGAAATCCATAACACGTACACACCCAACCTCGTCCCCAGTGCTTACTTTATTTCCAACCGCGTTTCCAATAGTTAGAGAGAGCAGGTAGTGGTGGGCGCGTACTGCTCGACACCCTGGGGACGAGGTTGCGTACGCACCGTCGTCACAAATGCTGATTGCACAAAGTCCGATCGGATCACATGAATGCAGCGCATACCTTACCATGGAACTCGCAACCTGCTTGAGCAAAGTCTAACCACATCAACGACGACGCCCATGAACTTGTAACCTTGAATGGCTGTGTCGACGACGTGTACACTAACAAGAACATGTAAGTACGCATCGGAATGTGTATTGGCCTTGACGTTGTACTTGGTATAAACTTGGTGGTTATCCTCTTCAGAACTCCTCGAGGAAGTCTAACAAAGAGGCTTGGGAGAGTGGCATACATGTATTCAACTAAATGAAGGATTTGAATTGATTGTGTTTTTGGGGCATTGATGACATCTTGGGGTAATTCGTTCCATATTTTCTGACAGATCTTGGTAGGAACGATTGCATGTACTGTAGACATTGGTTCTTGCGGTGATTTCATTGCATTGGCAGTTGTTCCCCACCCTTGTCCGGTGTTACTATTTACCGGAAAATACCGGAAAATAACGGAAAATACCGTAAAATACAGGAAAATACCGGAAAACTACCGGAAAACACCGGAAAACTACCGGTAGTTTTCCAGAGTTTTCCGGTGTTTCCCCCCTCCTTTGTCTGTTACTTTTCGGTTGCAGTGCATCTGGTTGAATGTTTACTGTGTTGTTGATGACCTTGTACAAAAATACTAATTGGTTTGATTCCCTCCTCTCTTCAAGTGATGTCCAACCCAAGGTAGCCAACATCTGAGTTACGCTGCTTCTTCTTGAAAAATCCTTGCAGACGAAACGTGCAGCTCGCCTCTGGACTCTTTCAAGCGAAGAGATATTTTTGGTGGCATACGGGTTCAATAAATGTAGCCAATTTACTGGACTTCCTCCGTAAAAAAAGGCCACACTTCCACCATGTACAAAAACATGTCGAACTTGGTCAAATTTTGATTTTCACATTTAGGCTTAGTTTGTAGGGTTTTTTTTGCTTTAGAAGCATACCCACCCTCTATACAGGCTAATCAGAAAGTGCTGCCTTTTTCAGATATCTATTTTTCCCCAGTTTTTACCATTTTTGGCGGCCATATTGGCCGCCATCTTGGATATCTCCTTCGCATCGGTTTTCTTTTTCCTGTTAACATCCAAAACGTGTTTTAGGACCCTAAAAGGCACCCCCAAAAATTGGTGAAAATTAGTTCGGGGGGAAGGGGGGGGGGGAGGCGCACGGGGGTCCCCCATATATACTCCCCTATATGTAATTCTAATTCATAGCTCCTTGTTGATTCCAAGCAGGTTTTTTTCTCCGAAGGTCTATATTAATTTAATTTTGGGGGGGGAATTTCCTCGAATTTCAATCAAGAAATAATTGAGACTTTTTAAGTCAATCAATTAATTTTTTTGGGATTCAAATTCAGTCCATTCTGCAGGTTGTCTACAACTGTCAAATATCGAGAAGAGAAGAGAACACATGGACACAAAATTAATGCCGACTCTTTTCAACGATCCGGGCCACTATGTCAAGGCCCTCCACTATTGTAGTACAGTTTCATGATCACATGATCCACTCCGTCTGCTCCAAAACTATGGAAATAATATTTGCGTCAAATATTCAGGGCAAGCAGCATGTAATATTCTTAAAACAAGCAACACGATTTTAAAAACACTTCTAGACCTTATTGGAAGTCAGTGAAGATAAATAAAAACAGGTGTGATATGACAGTACTTGTAGGCCTACATGTTGCACATAAGCCTGGCACATGCATTAATTTTGATCACGCCGAAGACGGTCTAAATGCACATAAAGTATCCCATAGAGGAAGCTGTTACGGTAATCCAAAAGTTGGAAGTAATATATGCATGGACAAGTGTTTCAGTACAAGCACGTCTTAAAAAAGTCCACGAAGATAATAAAATGCTGAACTGCACGTTCTAACAACATGATCTTTCATAGAGTTTAACATCAAAACCACGCTCCCAAGTTCCGGGCAAGCGTCACGGGGCTGACAACTGATCCCCAACCTGTATCCCGTCTATCTTAACCTTTGCCAATTGCTGACGAGTACCAGTAACCAAGAATTCAGATTAGTTATCTGTTAAGAATAACCCACTTGCGGGCATCCAAGTACGTAAATCCTTAATACATGATTCCATAACAGAGAAAGCTGACTCTTGAGTCAGATGATTTGGCTTATATTCAAGTCACTTTGCGAATACGGTACAGCGGCCGCTTGTCAAGTACACAGTAACAAACAACGCGTCACAGACTCCCACCTTGTGGTTCTGGAACGCACAAAAATACTATCCCGGAACCGGACATAAAACACATTTTCCAATTCGTGGTTTCATCATTGGCTTTGGGCGATTTCTGATTAACATCTTGGATTTGAACGTCGGCTAAATGTATGCCCTCATTTTAAAAACTAAAAAGATACATGCCCACTTTTAAATAATCAGAAACAGTTTTGTATAATGCAATTTGGTTTTGATGTTGTCAGCGATCAGCGAACAAAATTATGAACCCGAAAGCCAAACCAGATAGCCTATTATAAGACCGAAGTTTCACTTCTTTTTAAATGTTAGTGATAAATGACTCTCTCTCTCTTGTCATTATTTGTTATGATTATAGTGTTCAAACATTCGTCACTCGATTTGACTCGTGCTAAATATTGCACTCGACTCGGCAGATCGACTCGACTACACACTGTGACTCTACTCGACTCGACTCGACCTTCTTGACCTAATGACTCGACTCGACTAGTCACAAAAATCAGTGACTCGTTACAACTCTGCTCACTACAGCGTGTCCCAATATAAACATTGTGCATGAAGAAATCGCTGATTTTCTCAAAAGTTGGTCAGACTAGCTAATCAGATTGCATAGCATTTTCAAGCCTATGGTCTTGCTTATAATTGGTAAAAAATAAAGAATATCCAACGATGCAAAACAGAGACCTTATTTGGTAAGGCTAATAGGCTATGTATTTTTCGACCCTAACAGGAACCTTGTGGAACACCCCACACAAGGTCGTGCTCATAAGTTATCAGACATTATACCGTTGACAACATCTTCCAAACAAATATGACCTGAACCATCGACTCCGAATTTTATTATTCAAGTGTACAAAAGGATAAGGATATTAATGTGAACAGGTGTGTCAAAAGCAGAGCTAATAGGTCGAGCAAAACCAGCAAGGTAACCTGTTTGTTGTTTCCTGGCCAGTAAGGGATTTTTTTTCCCCACTCTCAATCAGAGTTGTAACGAGTCACTGATTTGTGTGACTCGAGTCGAGTCGAGTCGAGTCATTTTAAAGAAGTGACTCGAGTCGAGTCGAGTCATTTTAAAGAAGTGACTTGAGTCGAGTCGAGTCATTTTAAAGAAGTGACTCGAGTCGAGTCGAGTCGAGTCGAGTCAAATATTTAGCTCGAGTCAATTCGAGTCACGAATATTTGAACACTATATACCAACATTTATAAAAGGAGGCCATAAGTTTAGCAAGCGTTCGAATCCAAGAGCTTTATAAGAATTCGCCTAAAGCCAATGGTGAAACAGCGAAAAATCTATTCTAAGATGGAATTTTGCGTCGGGTGATATAAATCAAATTAGGTTTGCCCTTCTTGCGTTTATATGTCGGTGAAGGGCAAACGAATTTGATTTATATCACCCCGACGCAAAATTCCATCTAACAATAGTTTATGCGGTACCCACTGCTATGTACATCAGATTCGAACCAGCCAACCGATCCCGTTAGCTCGGTCGAGTGGTAAGACATCTGCACTAGAAAGCAGGAGGTCGTGGGTTCGAGTCCAACCCGAGTGATTTTTTCCAACTTTCACTCGGGAGGTAACACACTGAGTAAACAATGTTTATACGTCGGTGAAGGGCAAACCTAATTTGATGAAGCGAAAAATCTGGTTCCTGGATAGTATTTTGTGCGTTCTAGAACCATGAGGTGGGAGTCTGTGACACGTTGTATATTTATACATGACTAATTCGCAAAGCGAAGTGAGCATACATTTTGCACCGTAAGTCATTGCAAATACTTTTCGCAAAGTTGTGCTTTTATTTTTGGGACTCGAGTCTTATTAGCCTTCGTTCGATTCGAGTCGAGTCTTCCGACGAAGGACTCGAGTCGACTCGAGTCATTTGCTCGCAGTGACTCGAGTCGAGTCGAGTCATTTATCCTTAGGGACTCGAGTCGAGTCGAGTCACCAAAAATTGTGACTCGAGTCGGACCCGAGTCGAGTCATTGACTCGAGTCATTACAACTCTGCAGTCTCAATAATGTGCCGTTTCAGTACTGTGGCACATTACGATACGCTGTCGATGTCTGAAATGTAGGGAGAAGATTATGAAAAGTAAGGTGTAATCGTAACTGGTCGCAAAAAGTTTTTTCGTGCATCGTCGAAATGAACTGTAAATTGTTGACTGGGCGATAATTTTTGACATTGGCCTCCACACCTGTCTCGCTCATGCAGGTTGTCACGCTGAAACTACATCCAGAAGGGAAGAGAACATGGAAAGGAAATCACTGCCGAGTCTGTTCAACAATCAGGACCACTTTGATAAGGCGTACAAAGTCTTCTGCGCTCGGTCTGCCAAATTCAAGACGTACTGTGACTGGGTGGACGGTGTGTTTAGCGAGGCGGTGGTTGGTAGGCTCCAGGTCACACTGGACGGAGAAGAAGAGCTACGGGTCATGGGAGTAGGCAGTGGGTCAGGTAAGAATACCGTTCACAAATGGAAAAGTTACAAACAATATTTTTTCTCCTATTTTTGCGACTGTCTATTTTTTTTGAGCGCCGACTGATGTCGATCGCCTTATTATCATCGAAGCTTGCACTCAGGTCGCAAAATATCGGTGATTTTGTGTGCCAAACAGTTGATCCTGAAATGTCAATCGCCACGTACCGTTCTGTATCGTCACGAGATCGACCTAGCTGAGGCCAGTTTGAGAAGTCAAATCCCATCTTGATTGGACCAAGACTACAGGCCGGCTAACGGACGATATACTCTCATTATTGCAGCCCGACATCTGACATGATTTGAACAGCTCAAGACATGTCTTCTTGCAAGACTATTTATTGACACTAATTGTCATTGCCTATAATATTTTTTTAATGTTATTATGGCCATTATGTAGGTGAGATGGATTGTTTGATGTTGGAGCAGCTCAAAAAGCGTTTCCCGCTCATCAATAATCGTGTAGTTGACCCTTCTCAGAAGTTGCTGGTCCAATACAAGGCATTTGCTCAAACGAAGGCTCACCAGCTACACGGTGTTAAGTTTGACTTTCGGCAGCAGACTATTGAGCAATACCAAGAGGCGGGATATGTGACCAAGTTCCATTTCATCAGCGCAGTTCACTCCATGTACTTCGTTGACAACTTTGATAGCTCCGTGATGTATCTGTACGACTTACTGATCCCAGGAGGAGCATTACTTGTGATCCTAAGGCAAGGTCAGTATTTTATGCAAAGTGCTAAATCTTATTATTTTGGCGTAGCACGTATCGGCTCCCAACGGATTTTATTCTATGCAAGGGCGCTGGCAATGGTTTATACAGAATATTCTAAAGGAAACTCAAAGCATCCTGGGAAAGTTATCGCCATAATGCGCATATAGGTCAGGCACACGAGGAATATTGTTGACCGACGTCACCCCTCCCCCCTCACCCCGAAAGAAAAGTGTTAAGTTAAGGCCAATTTGTTTAGCACTGTAGCTCCCAAAGTCAGTCTTGAAGAACCACTTTTATTGGCGTTAACACAAAAGGTGGGGATAAGTTGAGATTTTTTGGTGTACGTTTCTGTTCAGAAAACAACGGATGGCAGCGATTTCTGGACCGCTTTCCTCAACTTTATGGTCGGGCCTGTTGTCACCTACAAGTAACTTCGAGGGATTTACTCAATTTATTGGACCGCCGTGGCATCCCGTACACGCAGTACCACCAACCCACGAGCTGCGACATCACCAAGTGCTTCGACGAAGCTTCCGAGGAAGGCAGCCTGCTGGTGGATTTCCTGACCCAAACAGTTCACTTCAAGGAGGCGGCGGCCGAAGACGAACAGAGATCAATGATGGAGTATCTTGCAAGCAGCGACTGCTCCGAGAGGAAAAATGAGGCCATACTGCTGAACATTCCCCGGGATGCAGTAGTAATAATTAAGCAACAAGAATTCAATTAATTTTATCAACAATAATCAAGCCACTATACAAATACAAAATTTCCGAAAAGTTATTTCTTTAAACTGGGCCGGAAAAGTTACCTCAAACCTGTGGAAAGTTACTTCAAAGTGAACTCATTGCGTCCAAGCTTGTGCAGATCACACCATAGAGCAAGGACCCAAGGAGTCAGAACTCTTGGGCGATTTACATTTCGACCATTAACATACCAATCTCTCGGGAATGTCTATAGCTACAGCACTGTGACCGCAAGCCTCGACCATTCAAAGCGTGAATGCCAGCGGCCTTTGAACACGATGATCGTCGCCGCCTTTTTAGTTGGTAACCATATGCTGCATAATAAGTCATGTCACGTCGCTGCTCTTTTTTGAAAAATATATTTTACGACAAGATAGGTTTTTACAACTGCGCAGTTGTTAGATGTGAGTTATGAACTCAAGTTAGCAATGTGCAGTTGTTGGTGCTTAAAAGCGTTATCTGTCCCTGTAATTTGGAGATAAATTGGATTTCTTTCAGATAAGTTTTCATGTATTTTCAGACATTTTAATTGGCAATATATCATTGTTGAAATGTGTTTTTTTTGGAAAATTTCACAAGTTTTCACACTAAAAGTATAGAGCATTTTGTTCTTCATGAAATGATTGTTTCAGTGATGTTGACCACATTGTTAGCCAGTTTTAGCCAACTCCGAACAAACACTTCAAATTCATTCATTTTTAGCGATGTATGACAACTGCGCATGCGTATTTACCATGGTACTGTCTACGAAGCCATGCAAACTCCTTTTTTGGCATTAGTGAGCGCGGATCTCTGTTGTGTCGAGATTAGCGTAGTGAGCAACTGAGCAAGCTGGCGCCAGGTGCTTTCTATTGTAGCTTTCGAGCGCGGCGACGATCGTTTTACTTTTGAAGTCTTGGAGTACGAACTCCTTGGGTCCTTGCTCTATGATCACACTTACCGCCGAGAGCAACGTGCTGAGCAAAAAGTCATTCGAGGCCGTTTGCTCACAAATTGTTCCCTTTGTGCGGTACATTTTTTGGCTGACCCAACCTCTACTGAAAAAAATCCTGGCTATGCCACTGCGCGCGGCTGGGTTGACGGTCATGGGCGTCGAGAGGGGGGGGGGGGGGCAAGCACATGGTTTTCCCCAAATCCCTATACTTGTCTAGAGTTGTAACTAGTCACTGATTTTTGTGACTCGAGTCGAGTCGAGTCATTTTAAAGAAGTGACTCGAGTCGAGTCGAGTCATTAGGTCAAGACGGTCGAGTCGAGTCAAGTTGAGTCACAGTGTGTAGTCGAGTCGAGTCGAGTCAAGTATTTAGCTCGAGTCAATTCGAGTCACAAATATTTGAGCACTATACAATAAATAAACACAAGAGAGAAAGTTATTTTTTGGCTTTTTAATTTTTACATTAGGGCTTCTGCATGTGGCGACACTACATTTGCCTCTTAATGTAAATAAAAAGGGGGTGCCAGCTGATCGTCATTCAACTAATGGGGACACTGATCAAACCATTATGTATACATTATTCGCAAACATTCTTACGAGACGTGAACAAAAACAGGCACCGGCGTAAGTCATTGCAAATATTTTCGCAAAGTGTTGCTTTTATTTTTGGGAATCGAGTCTCATTAGCCTTCCTCGAGTCGAGTCGAGTCATTCTGATGAGGGATTCGAGTCGAGTCGAGTCATTTGCTCGCAGTGACTCGAGTCGAGTCGAGTCATTTGCCCTTAGGGACTCAAGTCGAGTCGAGTCACCAAAAATTGTGAGTCGGACTCGAGTCGAGTCATTGACTCGAGTCATTACAACTCTGTACTTGTCCAGCATATTGTAGATTTATCTTCTTTTTTTTGGAGGGTGGGCAGGGACATTCCCCCCAACCCATTAAATTAACAGCAATATGACTTGTTTCCCCCTTTTTTTTTTTTTTTTTTGGCTGTCCGGGGGCGCGCGCTTCCTTGCCTAACTTCGGTCGAAATCCATAACACGTACACACCCAACCTCGTCCCCAGTGCTTACTTTATTTCCAACCGCGTTTCCAATAGTTAGAGAGAGCAGGTAGTGGTGGGCGCGTACTGCTCGACACCCTGGGGACGAGGTTGCGTACGCACCGTCGTCACAAATGCTGATTGCACAAAGTCCGATCGGATCACATGAATGCAGCGCATACCTTACCATGGAACTCGCAACCTGCTTGAGCATATGAATTCCTTTGGGGAACTAACCCACCGGGCCGGTTGTTATGTGCAACCTCTATGAGAGAACGCAGCGAAAAAATCATTAAAAACAGGCCTTTTTCACATCTGTTGCCACCACTTCATTATTCAACAGGGTATACCTTAGATCTCACTACAGTGTGACCCTAACAATATACTCTTTCAGAAAATGAAAGAAAAACTTAATGAAACACTGAGTTTCACTCGCGAATTGATGTTAAACATTGTATTTTTAGTCAAAAATCTCCCTGTTTTGTGTGTAAACCACGCGTTCAGCCAAGAACTGGTCCATTAACATCATCATAACGTTAAATAGCCCCACCTGGGAGCTTAGATCTCTCGAGTCATTTTTCTTCGTCTCGTCAGCTTTCCAACAATATAACCCTTATTGTGATTGGTTAAGGTTTAGGCTCGCGTGTATTCGATTACTAAAGAATTGTACATCTAAACTCCAATAAAATTTGCCGTTGCTCAATGGCTCAGCGCGTAGGGTCTGTTTATTGTACACGTGCTAGGCAGCGCTACTGTATATACACAGAGCCCGAGAGCTCTTATCTCTATGTGTCCAAGGTCATCTGGCTGTGCGCTTTGGCCACTTTACAAGGGGACCTTTTGACCACAAAGGATTTGATATGCAAAGTCTAACCACATCAACGACGACGCCCATGAACTTGTAACCTTGAATGGCTGTGTCGACGACGTGTACACTAACAAGAACATGTAAGTACGCATCGGAATGTGTATTGGCCTTGACGTTGTACTTGGTATAAACTTGGTGGTTATCCTCTTCAGAACTCCTCGAGGAAGTCTAACAAAGAGGCTTGGGAGAGTGGCATACATGTATTCAACTAAATGAAGGATTTGAATTGATTGTGTTTTGGGGGCATTGATGACATCTTGGGGTAATTCGTTCCATATTTTCTGACAGATCTTGGTAGGAACGATTGCATGTACTGTAGACATTGGTTCTTGCGGTGATTTCATTGCATTGGCAGTTGTTCCCCACCCTTGTCCGGTGTTACTATTTACCGGAAAATACCGGAAAATACCGGAAAATACCGTAAAATACAGGAAAATACCGGAAAACTACCGGAAAACACCGGAAAACTACCGGTAGTTTTCCAGAGTTTTCCGGTGTTTCCCCCCTCCTTTGTCTGTTACTTTTCGGTTGCAGTGCATCTGGTTGAATGTTTACTGTGTTGTTGATGACCTTGTACAAAAATACTAATTGGTTTGATTCCCTCCTCTCTTCAAGTGATGTCCAACCCAAGGTAGCCAACATCTGAGTTACGCTGCTTCTTCTTGAAAAATCCTTGCAGACGAAACGTGCAGCTCGCCTCTGGACTCTTTCAAGCGAAGAGATATTTTTGGTGGCATACGGGTTCAATAAATGTAGCCAATTTACTGGACTTCCTCCGTAAAAAAAGGCCAGACTTCCACCATGTACAAAAACATGTCGAACTTGGTCAAATTTTGATTTTCACATTTAGGCTTAGTTTGTAGGGTTTTTTTTTGCTTTAGAAGCATACCCACCCTCTATACAGGCTAATCAGAAAGTGCTGCCTTTTTTAGATATCTATTTTCCCCAGTTTTTACCATTTTTGGCGGCCATATTGGCCGCCATCTTGGATATCTCCTTCGCATCGGTTTTCTTTTTCCTGTTAACATCCAAAACGTGTTTTAGGACCCTAAAAGGCACCCCCAAAGATTGGTGAAAATTAGTTCGGGGGGAAGGGGGGGGGGGGGGGAGGCGCACGGGGGTCCCCCATACATACTCCCCTATATGTAATTCTAATTCATAGCTCCTTGTTGATTCCAAGCAGGTTTTTTTCTCCGAAGGTCTATATTAATTTAATTTTTGGGGGGGAATTTCCTCGAATTTCAATCAAGAAATAATTGAGACTTTTTAAGTCAACCAATTAATTTCTTTGGATTCAAATTCAGTCCATTCTGCAGGTTGTCTACAGCTGTCAAATATCGAGAAGAGAAGAGAAGACATGGACACAAAATTAATGCCGACTCTTTTCAACGATCCGGGCCACTATATGTCAAGGCCCTCCACTATTGTAGTACAGTTTCATGATCACATGATCCACTCCGTCTGCTCCAAAACTATGGAAATAATATATTTGAGTCAAATATTCAGGGCAAGCAGCATGTAATATTCTTAAAACAAGCAACACGATTTTAAAAACACTTCTAGACCTTATTGGAAGCCAGTGAAGATAAATAAAAACAGGTGTGATATGACAGTACTTGTACATGTTGCACATAAGCCTGGCACATGCATTAATTTTGATCACGCCGAAGACGGTCTAAATGCACATAAAGTATCCCATAGAGGAAGCTGTTACGGTAATCCAAAAGTTGGAAGTAATAAATGCATGGACAAGTGTTTCAGTACTAGCACGTCTTAAAAAAGTCCATGAAGATAATAAAATGCTGAACTGCACGTTCTAACAACATGATCTTTCATAGAGCTTAACATCAAAACCATGCTCCCAAGTTCCGGGCAAGAGTCACGGGGCTGACAACTGATCCCCAACCTGTATCCCGTCTATCTTAACCTTTGCCAATTGCTGACGAGTACCAATAACCAAGAATTCAGATTAGCTATCTGTTAAGAATAACCCACTTGCGGGCATCCAAGTACGTAAATCCTTAATACATGATTCCATAACAGAGAAAGCTGACTCTTGAGTCAGATGATTTGGCTTATATTCAAGTCACTTTGCGAATCCGGTACAGCGGCCGCTTGTCAAGTACAAAGTAACAAACAACGCGTCACAGACTCCCACCTTGTGGTTCTGGAACGCACAAAAATACTATCCCGGAACCGGACATAAAACACATTTTCCATTTCGTGGTTTCATCATTGGCTTTGGGCGATTTCTGATTTACTTCTTGGATTTGAACGCCGGCTAAATGTATGCCCTCATTTTAAAAACTAAATAGATACATGCCCACTTTTAAATAATCAGAAACAGTTTTGTATAATGCAATTTGGTTTTGATGTTGTCAGCGATCAGCGAACAAAATTATGAACCCGAAAGCCAAACCAGATAGCCTTTTATAAGACCGAAGTTTCACTTCTTTTTAAATGTTAGTGATAAATGACTCTCTCTCTCTTGTCATTATTTGTTATGATTATAGTGTTCAAACATTCGTCACTCGATTTGACTCGAGCTAAATATTGCACTCGACTCGGCAGATCGACTCGACTACACACTGTGACTCTACTCGACTCGACTCGACCTTCTTGACCTAATGACTCGACTCGACTAGTCACAAAAATCAGTGACTCGTTACAACTCTGCTCACTACAGCGTGTCCCAATAAACATTGTGCATGAAGAAATCGCTGATTTTCTCAAAAGTTGGTCAGACTAGCTAATCAGATTGCATAGCATTTTCAAGCCTATGGTCTTGCTTATAATTGGTGAAAAATCAAGAATATCCAACGATGCAAAACAGAGACCTAATTTGGTAAGGCTAATAGGCTATGTATTTTTCGACCTGCACAGGCGCGTACGCAGGGGGGGGGGGGGGGAGGTGTTTTGGCTGTTAAACAACCCCCTTTGCCATGTAAAAATATGGAGGGACTAGAGAGTTATGTCACCGAGCGCGGAACAATTACAAATTATGTGCATGCTCTCAACTTTAAGCTTTGAATACAGATAACACTTCATAGCAGCAAGAGTATATAGGCCTATATGTATTTGAAACAAATGAAACAAAATATCCCCTCATAATTTTAAAAACTTCTGCTAAAAAAACCAGGGGAAAGTGGCCAGGAAACGCCTCAGATTGCACCACAGAGCATCTACGATCCAAAATTTCCCGGGCCCCTTAAGCGGGCCCCGGACCCCACGCCGTAAGTGCTTCGCGCTCCGCGCTCGCATTGGTCCTCCGGCCAAATTCCTTCTATGCTGTAATTTCACCCTAGCGGTGCCCCCACCATTTTGTACCTTCAGCAGTGAACGGCTCTACAAGTGGCCTAAATCCCTTTCCAAAATAGAAAATTGTGAAAAATACGGATATGAACATGGTTCTCAACTTTGAGTACATAAACTTTATAAACAACAACAAAAAATTAAAAATTTCAATGGAATTTTCGATGTTTTAAACGTTTTCTAAACGGTGGAAGTGGCCAGGAATCGCCTCAGATTGCACCACAGAGCATCTAAAATCCCAATTTTTTCGGGGCCCTTAAGCGGGCCTTGGACCCCTCGCCGTAAGGGCTTCGCAGGTCCTGGACCCTTCATTATAATAATTCTAGGCCCCCCGGCAAATGGCAGTCTGAATCCGCTCCTGTGACCAGAGCGCATATGTATCCTGTATCTGAAGTTTGGCCTTAGGGGTGGGGGCGGTTTACACAAAGATTCCCAACGGATGAGAATCATGAGATCCAGGGGACGAAGCTGAGTAATTTTAGCCAATTACAAGAACAGATCCTAGCACTTCCGCAGCCCGTGTCACTTTTTTTCTTGAATTTCTTCTTTTGTTTTTGTTTAAATGCTGTTGAGGGGGGAGGGACTGCCCACATTGACTCCTTTACTCATATGTTCATCATATACTCTAAAGACACAGAACATTTTTTTCCCGATTTACTATGCTTTAGCTCAAAAAGATAACTGATGGTCGTGGGTTCCCGGCCCTTCGAGTTTAACCCGTCCAAATATACCCTCTTTTATTTCTGGCGCCAACACAAACTCCTGACTTTTATTTTAGCGTTAAGTTTAGCCCACTGATACTATCTTTTATTTCTGGCGCCAACACTATTTACCATCTTCACTTCTAGCGTCATAAATGACGACATCCAATTTTGAAACACCCCCCTTGAAAAAATCCTGCGTACGCCACTGGACCTGCACAATGTAATTTCCACACTTAAATAATGGACCCTAACAGGAACCTTGTGGAACACCCCACACAAGGTCGTGCTCATAAGTTATCAGACATTATACCGTTGACCACATCTTCCAAACAAATATGACCTGAACCATCGACTCCGAATTGTATTATTCAAGTGTCCAAAAGGATAAGGATATTAATGTGAACAAGTGTGTCAAAAGCAGAGCTAATAGGTCGAGCAAAACCAGCAAGGTAACCTGTTTGTTGTTTCCTGGCCAGTAAGGGATTTTTTTTCCACTCTCAATCAGAGTTGTAACGAGTCACTGATTTTTGTGACTCGAGTCGAGTCGAGTCGAGTCATTTTAAAGAAGTGACTCAAGTCGAGTCGAGTCATTTTAAAGAAGTGACTCGAGTCGAGTCGAGTCATTAGCTCGAAAGGTCGAGTCGAGTCGAGTCGAGTCAAATATTTAGCTCGAGTCAATTCGAGTCACGAATATTTGAACACTATATACCAACATTTATAAAAGGAGGCCATAAGTTTAGCAAGCGTTCGAATCCAAGAGCTTTATAAGAATTCGCCTAAAGCCAATGGTGAAACAGCGAAAAATCTATTCTAAGATGGAATTTTGCGTCGGGTGATATAAATCAAATTAGGTTTGCCCTTCTTGCGTTTATATGTCGGTGAAGGGCAAACGAATTTGATTTATATCACCCCGACGCAAAATTCCATCTTACAATAGTTTATGCGGTACCCGCTGCTATGTACATCAGATTCGAACCAGCCAACCGATCCCGTTAGCTCTGTGGTCAAGTGGTAAGACATCTGCACTAGAAAGCAGGAGGTCGTGGGTTCGAGTCCAACCCGAGTGATTTTTTCCAACTTTCACTCGGGAGTTAACACACTGAGTAAACAATGTTTATACGTCGGTGAAAGGCAAACCTAATTTGATGAAGCGAAAAATCTGGTTCCTGGATAGTATTTTGTGCGTTCTAGAACCATGACGTGGGAGTCTGTGACACGTTGTATATTTATACATGACTAATTCGCAAAGCGAAGTGAGCATAAATTTTGCACCGTAAGTCATTGCAAATACTTTTCGCAAAGTTGTGCTTTTATTTTTGAGACTCGAGTCTTATTAGCCTTCGTTCGATTCGAGTCGAGTCTTCTGACGAAGGACTCGAGTCGACTCGAGTCATTTGCTCGCAGTGACTCGAGTCGAGTCGAGTCATTTATCCTTAGGGACTCGAGTCGAGTCGAGTCACCAAAAATTGTGACTCGAGTCGAACTCGAGTCGAGTCATTGACTCGAGTCATTACAACTCTGCAGTCTCAATAATGTGCCGTTTCAGTACTGTGGCACATTACGATACGCTGTCTGAAATGTAGGAAGAAGATTATGAAAAGTAAGGTGTGATTGTAACTGGTCGCAAACAGTTTTTTCGTGCATCGTCGAAATGAACTGTAAATTGTTGACTGGGCGATAATTTTTGACATTGGCCTCCACACCTGTCTCGCTCATGCAGGTTGTCACGCTGAAACTAAATCCAGAAGGGAAGAGAACATGGAAACGAAATCACTGCCGAGTCTGTTCAACAATCAGGACCACTATGATAAGGCTTTCAAAGTCTTCTGCGCTCGGTCTGCCAAATTCAAGACGTACTGTGACTGGGTGGACGGTGTGTTTAGCGAGGCGGTGGTTGGTAGGCTCCAGGTCACACTGGACGGAGAAGAAGAGCTACGGGTCATGGGAGTAGGCAGTGGGTCAGGTAAGAATACCGTTCACAAATGGAAAAGTTACAAACAATATTTTTTTCTCCTATTTTTGCGACTGTCTATTTTTTTTGAGCGCCGACTGATGTCGATCGCCTTATTATCATCGAAGCTTGCACTCAGGTCGCAAAATATCGGTGATTTTGTGTGCCGAACAGTTGATCCTGAAATGTCAATCGCCACGTACCGTTCTGTATCGTCACGAGATCGACCTAGCTGAGGCCAGTTTGAGAAGTCAAATCCAAATCCCATCTTGATTGGACCAAGACTACAGGCCGGCTAACGGACGATATACTCTCATTATTGCAGCCCGACATCTGACATGATTTGAACAGCTCAAGACATGTCTTCTTGCAAGACTATTGACACTAATTGTCATTGCCTATAATATTTTTTTAATTTTATTATGGCCATTATGTAGGTGAGATGGATTGTTTGATGTTGGAGCAGCTCAAAAAGCGTTTCCCGCTCATCAATAATCGTGTAGTTGACCCTTCTCAGAAGTTGCTGGTCCAATACAAGGCATTTGCTCAAACGAAGGCTCACCAGCTACACGGTGTTAAGTTTGACTTTCGGCAGCAGACTATTGAGCAATACCAAGAGGCGGGATATGTGACCAAGTTCCATTTCATCAGCGCAGTTCACTCCATGTACTACGTGGACAACTTTGATAGCTCCGTGATGTATCTGTACGACTTACTGATCCCAGGAGGAGCATTACTTGTGATCCTAAGGCAAGGTCAGTATTTTATGCAAAGTGCTAAATCTTATTATTTTGGCGTAGCACGTACAGCATCAGCTCCCAACGGGTTTCGTTCTATGCAAGGGCGCTGGCAATGGTTTATACAGAATATTCTAAAGGAAACTCAAAGCATCCTGGGAAAGTTATCGCCATAATGCGCATATAGGTCAGGCACACGAGGAATATTGTTGACCGACGTCAACCCTCCCCCCTCACCCCGATAGAAAAGAAAAGTGTTAAGTTAAGGCTAATTTGTTCAGCACTGTAGCTCCCAAAATCAGTCTTGAAGAACCACTTTTATTGGCGTTATAAACGGTGGGGATAAGTTGAGATTTTTTGGTGTACTTTTCTGTTCAGAAAACACCGGATGGCAGCGATTTCTGGACCGCTTTCCTCAACTTTATGGTCGGGCCGGTTGTGACCTACAAGTAACTTCGAGGGATTTACTCAATTTATTGGACCGCCGTGGCATCCCGTACACGCAGTACCACCAACCCACGAGCTGCGACATCACCAAGTGCTTCGACGAAGCTTCTGAGGAAGGCAGCCTGCTGGTGGATTTCCTGACCCAAACCGTTCACTTCAAGGAGGCGGCGGCCGAAGACGAACAGAGATCCATGATGGAGTATCTTGCAAGCAGCGACTGCTCCGAGAGGAAAAATGAGGCCATACTGCTGAACATTCCCCTGGATGCAGTAGTAATAATTAAGCAACAAGAATTCAATTAATTTTATCAAAAATAATCAAGCCACTATACAAATACAAAATTTCCGAAAAGTTGTTTGTTTACACTGGGCCGGAAAAGTTACCTAAAACCTGTGGAAAGTTACTTCAAAGTGAACTCATTGCGTCCAAGCTTGTGCAGATCACACTTACCGCCGAAAGCCACGTGCTGAGCAAAAAGTCAGTCGAGGCCGTTTGCTCACAAAATGTTCCCTTTTGTGCGGTACATTTTTTGGCTGAGTTTTCTGCCCCGCGAGGTCGTGAAGCAGATGTTTATCCTGCTTGATTTTTTTGTTCGCCTCGCGATCCAAAAAAACTCACCGTCTACGGATGTCACTCGTCTCCGTAGTTTGATTTAACTAATCCTGATGTAACAAAAAAATGTGAACTTGAAGTTGTTTTAGTTGAGTGAGCCTAGTCGGAGCAATTATTGGCAAAATATCATGTGGCAATTAATTATATTAATTAATTATACATCAATTAGAAACTTGTACAAATATTTAAACACACCTCAACACGATTGTTCTTGATTGATTATTTGTTTGGACAAAGTGTTTCCGATCAAAATTGTGATACCCGGGTGAGATTTCTTTGGTAATTCAGTGTGCTTATGACATTGATAATCAAGATAGTTTATCTAATTTCATATCCTCCTTTGATGTGTATTTAAAGGATGCACCTTAAGGTTAGCTATTCTTTGTGTTTATAGCATTGCAGCGAACCGCTACTATATATACGTACGCTAACCACTACCGTGCTAAACGCTAGTACAACGCCACAAAGCTACGAATATGCTATGCTGTGCTATGCTATAATTGTTTAAATGCAGTTCATAAAAATACACCTTTCTGTCCTATTTAACCTTATTGTCAATTTTTGTTTTGCCATTTTCAGCGTATTTTGGTGCCTTTTTTTATTGATATAGTTCGGATGAAAAATAAATTCATACACTCAAATAATTTCTTGAAATACTTTTATAAATAAAGTTAAAATATGATAATGTAAGAACAATTACGCGGTCACGATCTCGTGGAAAACTAGACTCGCATTTTTTGTTTTTAAATTTTGTGCAAGCATCCGGGCGCGTCGACGCGTCCGGGTAGTAGCCACGCACGCACGAAAAGGCTGATGATTGGTTGGAACTTTACTACCCTTTTGGGGTAGCAAAAATCGAGATTATAAAGAAAAACGTAAGAATTTCTCGACAAGTTAGAAAAGGCCCTCGTGCCTTCGCCACTCGCATGTGTGGTCTCCATCTCCAGTCGCCTCTCGGTTTCGCCGCTTTGAATGCGGGCAATTTAAGCCACGATGGCCTTGGTGAAAGACTAACCTTACCTTGGAACTCGCAACCTACTTGGGCAAAGTCTAACAACATCAACGACGACGCACATACATGTATGTACCATGAACTTGTAACCTTGAATGGCTGTGTCGACGACGTCTACACTACTAACAAGAACATGTAAGTACGCAACAATGTGTATTGGCTTTGACGTTGTACTTGGTACTTGGTGGTTATCCTCTTCAGAACTCCTCAAGGAAGTCTAACTATAAGAGGCTTGGAGAGTGGCATATTCAACTAAATCAAGGATTTGAATTGATTGTGGTTTGGGGCATTGATGACATCTTGGGGTAATTTGTTCAATTTTTTGACAGTTCTTGGTAGGAAGGATTGCATGTAGACATTGGTTCTTGCGGTGATTTCATTGCATTGGCAGTTGTTCCCCCTCCTTTGTCTGTTACTTTTCGGTTGCAGTGCATCTGGTTGAATGTTTACTGTGTTGTCGATGACCTAGTACAAAAAATACTAGTTGGTTTGATTCCCTCCTCTCTTCAAGTGATGTCCAGCCCAAGGTAGCCAACATCTGAGTTACGCTGCTTCTTAATTCTTGAAAAATCCTTGTAGAAGAAACGTGCAGAAGAAACGTGCAGCTCGCCTCTGGACTCTTTCAAGCGAAGAGATGTTTTGGTGGCATACGGGTTCCAAGCAGTACTTTTTGTATTTTGTCAGCGAGAATAATGCAATGTAGAACATAAGAATGATGATGTAAAGAAACGAATCACGTGATTATCGTCCATCATTCTTGGAAAGAAGTTTTTTGAGATGACGCTCGTTTCATATTTTACATTAAACCGCTACCGAAATCTTCAAATTTTCATGCGATTGTGACCATACGTCGATGGTCAAACCAAACTAGTCCGTCCGCCAAAAATTAAAGTAGGTCTATCTATAGAAACGAAGGCCGATTCTTTGTCATGTTGATCAGGCAATTTTTTTTTTTTTTTTTTTTTTTTTTGCAGTGTAACTGCGGCCTCACCCCACAAAAATACACCATAACCCTCCGAACGACCTCGCCACTAGTACAGTCTTTTTGCTAAGAAACTAAAAAAAAACCACTCTGTCCCCGTATGTGTCTTTCTCATTCACAGGCTTGTTAATTGCATGCAGATGATTTTTCTCCGAGGTTCTATATGAATATTTTGGGAATTTCTTTGAATTTCAATCATGAAGAGACTTTTTAAGCCAATTAATCAACCCTTTCTTTTTGGGTCAAATTTAGTCCACTCTGCAGGTTGTCTATACAGCTGTTAAAAAAAAGGAGTATCGAGAAGACGAGAGAACATGGACACAAAATCACTACCGAGTCTGTTCAACGATCCGGGCCACTATGTCAAGGCTTTCAAAGTCTTCTGCGCTCGGTCTGCCAAGTTCAGGACGTACTCTGACTGGGTGGACGGTGTGTTTAGCGAGCCGGTGGTTGGTAAACTCCAGGCTACAGTGGACGGACGAGAAGAGCTACGGGTCCTGGGAGTGGGCAGTGGGTCAGGTACGTATAACGCAGTAGGCCCAATTATTGCGATACTTCACTGTGTGTAATTTTGGAAAAGTTGTAAGTTATAATGCACATTCACAGATATCCACATAAAGTTCGAAACGTGGAGTGGAGATCCCCCCGTTCCGAGGCAGCTTTCGACCAATCATCCTCTTGTAGGTGAATAAGTCACTCGGGATTTTGGCTGGCGCGGGCGTTGCACATGCTAAGGCCACGTCCGAAATCTCTTGGGTCGAGCTGTATGTCTTTGGCAATTATTGGATTACAATATACGCCATTTTTTGGTCTATCATGACTTCGTATAGGTGAAATGGATTGTGCGATGTTGGAGAAGCTGAAGAGGCGATTTCCACGCATCAACAATCGTGTAGTTGAGCCTTCTTGTGAGTTGCTAGGCCAGTACAAGGCATTGGCTCAATCCAAGGCTCACGAACTACAAGGTGTCGAGTGTGACTTTCGGCAGCAGAAGCTCGAGCAATACGAGAAGGCGGGAGATGCGACCAAGTTCCATTTCATCAGCGCAGTTCACTGCATGTACCACCTGGACGACTACGACAGCTCCCTGGAGTATCTGTACAACTGCCTGATCCCTGGTGGAGCAATACTTGTCATCCATTTGTCAGGTAGCCGGCCTACTTACTTATTTTAATAACGTGATCAAACTTGAGATTATGGCCAGCTTACAACTTGGCTAGTCCGAAATTTTGGGACTCTCAATACTAGTGTATGTATGAGAGTCCTAAAACGTTTTAGTCCTAAAAATTAATTTGGCCTGATTTCGTTTTGCATGCTTTTCAGCACTCAAGGTCCCAGTTTGCAACCTGAAGTTAATTGAAGCTTGTAGTGACCGCATCTCAAGGCGCTTTGTTTATAAGAAATGCCGAGTCAAGTTGTATCAAGTCAAGTCAAGACTTAATTGACTCGCAGTTACACGAGTCGAGTCATGTACCAGTAGTGACTCGAGTGGAGTCGGGTAGTATATGACTCAATTAGTCGAGTCGTCAATTCATTAAGCCATCATTGTGTGAGTACTCCACAGAACCAGAGATACTGGCCGGTCAAGTAATATCGAAAACCCTGCGTTGATTGAACTTGTAAAACTTTCATCTTGTCTTGTTTAGAAAACAGTGGACTGTGTCGGTATAGGGAGCGCTTTCCATGTTTTCAACCAAGTGACCATAACTACAGTACTTCGGCTGACATACGCAGCTCCTTAGACCGTCGGGGCATCCCGTACACGCAGCACCCCTACCCAGTGCGACTAGACATCACCAAGTGCTTCGACCAAGCTTCTGAGGAAGGCGGCTTGCTGGTGGATTTTCTCACCAATGTCTTGAACTATAGGAAGACAGCGCCTGAAGATATGCAGAGGACAGTCATGGAGTGCCTGGGTAGCAGCTTGTGCTCCGAGAGCAAAAATGATGGTATTTATCTTAACATGGACTGGGATGCAATTGTTATAAGCAAGCCACAACATTGACACTACGTCGACTTAGGCAAACGGCGCCGGCGTCGGGCACGATGATGGACGCTCCACTCCTAGATCCTCCCTTCCATCCCCCCCCCCCATCAGTGTGTTCATCTATAGCCACACCGCTGTCTTCTAGCAGAGTGTTGATCATAGTCTTGGGAGGGTGCATTCATCATCCCGTGCTTGGGCTCTTATGTTATGACTTGGCTGGCCGCACGGTAGCTCAGGGTGGCGTAAACAGTGCCCCGTTAGTTGCAGTCTTCTTGCCTTGATTTTAGTGGTAATTAGCTTCGCGCGGTAGGTCTCCACAGACCTCGACGTTCGTCATGTGCTGTTGTAGCCTTTTAGTCAAGTCCAATGCGCTTACCCGAACACGTGACGCACCCCGGATGCTGGCACGTAAAAAGACTAGCACGATCGGCGAAGCCCATAGAGCCAGCCTCGTACCCAGGGTGTCGCGCAGTACGCGCCCATCACTACCTGCTCTCTCACCCTGGTATTGGATCATTTGCATGTGCAAGATTTTTGAACACGTATGCAAATGAGGAATAGTCTGGTGCCTGCATGTGCGTTACATTAGCGTTTGTTTTTGTATGCGGTGTCTGGGGTAAAAACACAGTCAATTCGTATAGCAGCGCGAGCATGGCGTGAGTTACGAAAACACGATTTTTATTCAATTAAACTGTTACGATCTTAACGAAACAATATGCAGTATCACATTTCATATTAATATTAACAAACTGGAAAGGAAATTAATATTTTCGAGAAGGCGTGGACGAATGATCGCGAAAACACGTACTGCACGTTGTGAATAACAACACCAAGTACACGATAAAAATCCATTATTGGCCAATTGCGGTATCGAATCAGGATACAGGAAGAGAGTTTCCTATCCAGGGTTTACTATTGGAAACCGTGTTGGAAATAAAGTAAGCACTGGGGACGAGGTTGCCATAGAGCTAATATAGCTCTATGGCGAAGCCGCAGGCGCAGGCGCGTGGGACTTGACTAAAGGCTAGTGCTGTTGTCAACTGACGTCAAGAGCCATCCTGAGCATTCGTGTATGGCAACCATGTAGTGAGTATAGCATGGTCTTGGTGAGTGTCCACGTCTCACATCCGTACGTGAGAATGGACTCTATGGCACCTATGAATATTCTCTCTTTGAGCTCCGGGCTGGTCAGGTTCGACTACCAGATCTTCATGTCCTTCATAGCCCTCCACGCCAGCGCCTTCCGTACCTTTATGGCCTTCTGCGAGCTCATCAACATTAAAGAAACAAACGTAATATTGTGACCGACCACAGCGTAATGAAGAATAACCCCCATCCTTGACTTTCCAAGCTATAGGCCACATGCATCATGTTGAAGAGCAAATCATTACCTTTTTGATGATACCAAATTTATATCTGTAGCTTAATTTAATCCAAAGATATGCCGCAGGAACTTTGACAGTGTCCCGCCGCCGATCTAAGTTCGCTGACCTATAGCTCATTTCAAGAATAACAGCTTTGAACAAAAAAGAAAGATATCATACGCATTGCGTCGCCAACGGCAGTGAAAAACATTCTTCCGTTTTCCACTTTTTGGTTTTCCACTTTTTGGGGTATATTTTTGCCCCAATAAAAATGCGCAGTGTGAATCTGGGATACCTCAAAATTACAAATACCCAAAATTGAATTTTACATGATTTTTCACATATCCGACTTCAGGCGCCGATTACTCAAAAACAAGGGGTTCGGGGACATTCTTCATTTTGCCACATGACTGCGATTTTGTTTTCAGAATAATGCCCCAAATGACTGTTTCATTAAAATAACCCTTTTTATTGGATCGTATAAATTTGCATTATTGGACCGCATTAAAAAATGTTTCAGAACGTTGGGAGAATTTTTTTTTTATTTTTATTTTTATTTTTTTAGATATGGATGGGTCTGATGGGGGGGGGGGGGGTCATTTAGGTACGTGCTCAATTTAAGTTTTCCAACAAAGTTACACATAGTCTCAAGTTGAGTGTAACCTGTTGACATTTTGGCTCAGGGGCTTCTTTGAGAAAACAGAGAGTCCATTTTAAAATACACAATTATTTGTGGGGTGTCGTACCTGGATACGGATCCGTTGCTAACGTTATAACGCATGTAAAAAAAAAAAAAGGAGTGTGTCACGTCCGTAGACACCTTATTTTGAAACTACCTCCACTGCCTGAAATTTCAACTCAACTCAATTTCACAGTTTGATAAAAGTCCCTTTTTTGGAGGAGGGTTTTTAAACTGAAATCTGTAGGTACTTTTCTGGGTAATTATAAGTGATCTGCGTTGCTTGATTACCAAAGTACCAATGCAATGTCACACATAACAGCAACCTTTTTGTTTAGCTGTTGGCTTTCAGTTTTTAATCCTATTTTCTCCTTTTTTCGCCATTTTGGACTAGGAGTTATATGGGGTGAGATGGTTGTTTTTGTTTTCTCAAAAAGAAACTTCAAAAGTGGAACCTTCCTAATCCAGTCTTTGATTTTGACTACGGCTGGGCAATTTTTAGATTTCGATCACCCCCCCCCCCCGGTACAGTTTCACGCCACTGCAAATTTAGGATTGTTTTTGTGTGTGTGTGTGGGGGGGGGGGGGGGGGGGAGGGGCACCTGTGGGGCATTGGAAATGTATCTCCTCCCCCCCCCCCCCAGCCCCTGGGTTACACCACTGCAACCCAACAATCAAGCTATGCTGACTGTCTTAAACGTTGGAAGGAACCCGAAATGAACACGCCGGCGACATCCTATGTTCTAAGTAAAATATGTACCGCGATTCAACAAAATAATTTCTCGATTGGCATATTTCTAGACTTGTCAAAAGCTTTTGATACAGTCAATCATGATATTTTAATAAGTAAGTTGGAACACTATGGTGTGCGTGGAACAGCACTTGACTTATTTAAAAGTTTTTTGAGTAATAGAAAGCAGTACGTATCATATTCTGTAAATTCTCCCTATCGAGATATTACTTCTGGAGTACCGCACGGTTCTGTATTAGGCCCAATATTTTTTTATTAATGATATCATTAACACCTCTGACACTATTTCATTTTGTTTATTTGTCGATGACACTAGTTTATTATATACTCATAAAAATGTTGATACTGCTATTAGAAACCTTAATGTTGAATTAAAAACAATTAGTACGTGGCTCTTAGCTACATGTAACAAACTTTGCATTAATCTGTTCAGTGAAATCGAACTATATTATTTTTTTGTGCCCATCAGTATAAATACACTCAATCTGTTCCCTTAATTTTAAACGATTCCAATCTAAGTCAAGTAAAAAGCACTAAATTCTTGGGCATAACTATTGACGAGAATCTCACTTGGAAAAAAACTCATCGATGATATAGCGACAAAAATATCAAAAAAATGTCGGCATAATGAATCGTTTAAAATATTACCTCCCCAGTAGAATCTTACTAACTTTGTTTCAATTCCTTTATTTTGCCATATCTAAATTATTCAATTTTGACTTGGGGTGGTTCACCATCCCAATGCAACAAACTGCTCATGTTACAGAAGCGAGCGGTCCGATTAATATCGCATGCTGGTTATCGTGATTGTACCCTTCCTTTTTTTGCGAATTTGAGACTCTTACAATTCAATGACTTATACTACTTTAACCTGGGTTTACACACAATGCATTACCTACTTGTTTCAACCCCTTCTTTATGTTCACATCTGATATTCATTTTGTATAATACCAGAAGCACTAGTAGGAGAAATTTATATGTCCAATTCAACAGAACAACATTGTCTAAAGCGTTATTCAACGTGGGAATAGTCTAGATGACTTCTTAAAATCGTCTTTGTTAAAAACCTGAGATCACATCTACTCAATTCTTACCCGAACAACTAGTTATAATTTATGATCTAGATGATTATGCTCTCGTATCATAGTTTGTGGTTTTTTTCTACGTTTGCTCGAATAACTAGTTATAATTTATGAATCTAGATGTATGCCCTCGTCTCATACTAGTTTGTGTTTTTCTAGATTGTGTCTTCTGTGTGTCTCACTGTTGTCCATTTTGTCCTTTGTCACTGTCTCTGTTTTTCTCGGTCATGTCCAATTGTCTGTCGATAGGTTAGGGTACAAAAGCGTGACGCTTCACCTTATACCTCAATGTTGTCGTGAAATTGTTTTTTAGTATTGATCCATGTACATTATTATACACAATTACATAATTCATTGCATTTTGCTCTGTATAATATGTTTACACGGCATTGTAGCATTTTATTGTGTGGAAATGGCAACATTGAAATAAATGTTTCTACTATATACTAAAAAAATCCGGCATAGACATGAAGAACCTAATTTTGTCTACGGTAAAATCACAGCCGTTTGAGATGATTAGCGCCCTCAGTCGCTTTACAACAAGCGTGCAATGTACATAATCATTAACAAAAATCATGCTTGTTCCAGGCTGTCAGAACAGAATCATGCACTTGTTTATTTTCAAAGCCAAACTAATAATAAGAGCTTCTGCCACTTTCAACATGTGGAACTTTTCAGGGTGGTCGAAAAACTTGAGCAAGTTTCAAATCTTATTTAATTTTAGCAACTATTGCATGCAACAGCCGTCGGTTAAAATACAGGCGCAAGACCCGGTACCGTACCCATGCACAGACCAATCAACGGGCTGAGTCAGGCGTATGTTTGTTGTTTGTGTACTGTATTTCATACTTCATGTGCAGCCGGTACGTACCGTACTTGTGTGCATGCAGTATATACGTGCGGTCATCTGCAGATCGAACGGCAGTGGCACATAAATAATCCGATTTGAAAATTACCGGCAATATTCCTGACAAATTCAGCAAACATCACAACATGATCTGAGGGCTAGCTGCACTATGCATTAAGATAAGACGCTGAAAATGGCCGACTTTGGTTACGGACGAAGTGGTAGTTCGCTCAGGACTCGAGCTGAGAGACCACTTACGGACTCCAACAATGTCAGCGTGAAATACAGCTCCTCCACGCCGGCCGTCCGCGCCGCTAGCCCCGCGGGAAGAGGTCATTTCGGTTCCGCTGTTGGCGCCAGCTCTCGTGCCAGTAATGTCAGCAGCGCCGGTAGCGAGTCCATGCAGGGCCTGATGAACGAGTTTCGGGATCTTTACCAGAGTCGTCTGGAAAAACTTGAGGCTGAGGACGATGGGCATGAAGACACAACGAAGGTAAAAAAAATAACCTCAAAGAACTTTGTTAGCCTATGAACTTCAAGATATAATTTAAAAATGAAGAGGGACCAAGAATGTTGCAATGACGCCATGCAATATCTGAACACATACATGTACAAAGTCGATGGAGAGTCAAGACAATTAATTTCCTAACAAAATTGGAATTGTTTCTCGGTCCTACTTCTAGAACTACATGAACATTGTAAGTATTGATGCTCCGCTCATGCGGAGCATCATTCATAGGAGTATCTTAGCTGGAGTTACCCAGCCCTGAGTTTTATCATTGGGTTGTCTATAAAACTCAGGGCTGGGTAACTCCAGCTAGGAGTATCTCAGTCCAAAAGTCACGTCTTTTCAACATTTTTGCAATGACTGACCTTTATTGAGATATTGAGATGTAGTCCGAGTATAAACTAGGACTCTAAAAATCGCCTTTTTTAACATTTGGAGTAGTCCCACTAACTGGGGCGCTAGAACTCCTTTTTTGACTTGGGATGTTGGTCTGTTGTACTAGCTAGTACGACAGACCAACATCCCAAATGTCAAAAAAGGAGTTCTAGCGCCCCAGTTAGTGGGACTACATTTGGAGATGGTCGGGCGATAGCAAGACCATTCTAGGGGTAGAAAAAAGTGGCGTCAGGTTGCAACATTCTTTCCATGAAGAGAAAATATCATATTAAAATGTGGATATGCCCAACATAAGTTTTCATTTTAGAAGTTGTTTAGGGGTGGGGTTGGTGATTTTAACGTTTAAACGAAACCCTGATTAAAAAAAAAATCCACCACTTACAAGTTACATTGTGTAATTGTTTAAACAGAAAAAGCTTCGTATCCTACAGTCCTACATCAGTGACTTGACAGACCAGAATGATGTTCTTCTTAAAACTGTTGAGGATTTAGAAAGAGAAGCTAACGAGAGAGTAGGCCAACTGGAAGGGCAACTACAACAAACACAGATGGCAATCAAGGTTGGTAGTTGGTAGAGGTGGGAGAAATCGGAGATTTCAAAATCTGGTTATCCTAAGTTTTTTCAAACCGAATAAATGGCAGATCTGATTTCACCAGAAGCTAGAATTCAGCTCACACTCACAGTCATGTCAACAAAAAGTGACGTGTGAGGTGTTGATGAGGCAGCCTTCCACAATGATGATTGCATTAAGCTTGCGATATTCATTGACCACCTGGCCTTTAAATTAAGATAGTAGATATTTTGCCGGCGGTAATCCCGGCAAGCTAACGCTTACTTTCGCTCGTACCCCCCGCCCTGCAAACAGGACGCTGGGAAACTCTGATGAGCTTCACAGAATCTTGTGCAGGAAATTGCCTATGACCTATGTATAAAGCATTTGGCTGCAGCTGTTCGAGACCGCATTTAGACAATGTGCGCAAATGCTATCCGAAACTTCCCATAGAATTGCGCACATTCCATACCAGATGTGATTTCTGTTTCATTGCGGACCATGTGGACAAAATTTTGAGCGTCGCATAATACAATCCGACCGTTCGTGATTCGAAACGGAGCCTGGGCGAGTGACGGGAATTGTAAATTTACAACACAGATGAGTTTTACAGAATTTCCTACATTATCACGCTTTTCAAAGAGAAAAAAAACATCTCTAAACTGGAATAAAAGAGTAATGAATCAGTCTTAACGGCCGTTTCAAACCTTGCAGAGTCATGACCTTGATGACGCGTAGGTCACTGGTCACGCAAAATCCAACCAATCAGAGCGTGAATTTATCAGAGTATCCCAGCGTCCTGTTTGCAGGGCGGGGGGTACGAGCGAAACGCTTACTAAAAGTTTGCCGGCGGCAATCCCTATCAATAGAGGGCGCTGTACTCTCTTAGATAGGGCTGAATTATAAGATATATTAAATTACCAAAAATGATTGTGTAGCAACTGTGGTCTAGTGGATAAGCAACGGATCTCATGAGTGGGAAAACCCGGGTTCGATCCTGATCCCCGCTGGCTCTGGAGGAATTTTTTTAAAGGGAAATAAAGTCCGAAATTGTAAAATGGTCTGATTCCCATCTTGTGAATACGAAGTTACAACGATAATGTTGGCATGGAGCCAGACTAAAATTTGTTACCGGAAAATGTCTGAAGTACAAAAAAACAGTAACTGCGCATGTTCAGTGCATATCCGGCAAGCTAACGTTTACTAAAGGTTTGCCGTCTCCGGCTAAATATCCACTGCCCTAAATTAAACTTTGAAAAACCTCCAGAGTTGTAAATATTACCCCAAAAAATGGATATGAACTCTCTGACCAGACGAATGAGCAAGCTCTAGAGGATTGGTGGACCAAGAAGATTGCCTACACGGTAGACCCGTGAACGTGGCGTCAATAACAACGCCAGGCGTAACTGTGTTATAAAAACCTTTGGGCTGCTAAAAACCCATAAGATATTGAAATAAATAATGATAAATAAGAAATCTTTTTAAAAATTATAAATTTAGTTGTTCCTTTTATTTGTTCTGGCAATTGAATAACTGCAGGAAATCAATGTCAAGTCCCAGGACATTGACCATGAGCTGAGACTAGTTACTATACAGAAGAAGAATACTGAACAAACACTCCATGTAAGTATCATATTAATTTTTTTTGCATTTACATGGAGATGTGCCTCATAATTCAAGAGTGCATTACTTTTGCACTCAGAAAAAAAAATTCATCTGGAGGCCTTTTGTTTCTTCAGTATTTTGGTTTCATATACATGTAGGTCAGTGTTTCCCCTGCCTATCCAAACGTGAGGCGGCCCACCTCGCTACTTTCAGTGACCACCTTGCTCAATTTTTGCCAATATCACCACCTCGCTGTAAAGATTTGCAATAAGGAAATACTTATCGAAAAATTTACATTTTGTGTAATTTATGAGCGTTTTCCTTGACCTTTATGTATCAAGGACTCACAATTTGGATGTGTAGATGGAATCATCGCGCATTTTTGTGAGCACTGCATTCTTTTCAGTTTGCAGACTGCGTAAATTTTGTTTCAATCATCAATTTGAATTTTTACCACCTCGCTCAGTTCATTAGCCAGGGGAAACACTGATATAGGTACCCATGCTTTCGTTAACTTTCTAAGACAAACCTTTGCAGTCAGACATCCATCGTTTAATCACTTTGAGTAATTGCATCCTAATTGCATGCGGCAATTCAAAATATGTTTTTGCCCCAGCAATTTTACATGTTTTATGTCAAATTTCACCAACTGCATACAGTGTGCACATGTACAAAATGTACACGTAAGGCCAAAAAAAAAAAATTCTCCGGTTTCTGGTATGGAGCTTGCCCAAAAAGTGGTGCGGCGACGCGGCTTTTTTTTTTTTTACCTGATTTTTTTTGCTTCAAATGTCGGCTGATGACTGCAAATGGTGCCCGACTAAACTTAGTGCAAATATATGGGAGTCCAGAGAGGCCACATACAGCTTATTCTCGACCATAACCCAATCTAAAAACACGTTAAAATTGTGCAGCAGCAGGATTCCAGTCAAACCAGTGAGTTTGGTGGTTTTGAGACATCATCTTTCATTGAAAAAAACCTTTTTTATTTTGCCGACGCGCATGGCCACGGCGACGCGCGCGCATACCAGAAACCGGAGACTTTTTTTTTTTTGGCCTAAGTTAGCATTGAAAACCTGCAGGATTTTAAGAGAATACAGCACATCCAGGCACCATGTACAGAATCTACAACACATTTGTGAACAACGTCTTATTGTTTCCATTTAATAATAATAATAATAAAGTATTTGTAAAGCGCTTTTACAAGATACAAACGCTGTACAAGAGAGGACTAGGATGTTATAAATAAGAAACTTTTAAGACGTTTCTTGAAAATGGTGAGAGATGGGGCGTCCCCGATGTTGATGGGAATAGTGTTCCATAATTTGGGGCCTGCTATCGAAAAAGATTTGTCCCCAAGCGATTTTGAACCTGTAGGAATACAGAGAAGAAGTTTATCATTGGAAGATCTTAATCCCGGCCTGCCTGGTTGATACAAAGTGAGTAAGTCCCACAAGTAAGGAGGAGAAATACCATGCAGGCACTTGTACACCATCAACAGAACTTTGAATGATAGACGCTGCTGGATGGGCAACCAGCGAAGATTGGTGATGAGAGAAGTAGCATTTATTTTGCGTGCTGAATGGTCCCATCCAAGGGCAATTTACAACATATTGAAAATATTGCCCAAAAAATTGACCTCAACTTCCGTTCAGTCGATCACGCAGATAACAAATTTGGTAAATGCAAACATGGGAGTCTGTGACTAGACTAGTCAGTGTTTGGTACCAAAGACGTTCACAGAAAAAGTAAACTTGGACTGGCGAGACTTACAAATGTACACGCTCCATTGTAGTATTGCACTCCTGTTAAAATTTCACTTTAAATATATATCTTGTGGCTTTGATGAAGGATTTACAGCACCGCTTCGATCGTCAAAGAGAGGAAAATGAAGCGCTACGAGACGAGAACAGCGATCTGAACCACGATCTAACCATCGCAATCGGTCTGATTGGTCACGCGAGGGCGACAGGCAAGTGGGAAGTGAGTATCTACGAAATATTTTTGCATGATGCTGTGAAGACTGATGATAAGGCAAAATGCATTGACTATATTTGTTAGCTTTATCGGAGTCCAATCAGTTCAAAATTGCTGTTTTTAGAGGGAAGTGTACAAAAATAAGCTTAGAAAAAAATAAGTGTCTTTAACAAACAATAATCTTTCCAGATCCTTCATAGTCCAGGTGGTTTGGAGGATTTTGGACGAAGTTTGATACTGTTTGAAAATTTGCTATTACTCTCCTGCGTATACAGACATACATACAGTAAAGGATTTTGGATGATTCAAGAAAGTCAAACGTGTATCGGGCCTCACACTGAAACCAGCCTATAAAACCTATGAAACCTATATTTTTATTCTGCCTAATGCTAGGTTCACACATTCCCGACTTTAATAGTTGTGAATACAACCAGAATAAACCAAGAATTGAAATTGGTTCCCGAATCACCCCGACAATTTTCAACAGGTTCAAATTTGTCGGGGTGCTTCCTGATCTTTCACGATCTTTCACTGAACTAACAGAATCATCCCGAGGCAGCCAAGAACCATCCCGGATTTACTCAAGAATTGCTATTTATGGCGATTCGGCTTAAAAATCGGGAATGTGTGAACCTAGCATTACATTTTAACAATTTCCAAAGAAAAATTTTAAAAATTGATAATTAACGGCAAAATACATAAAACAACATTGTCAGTATACCTTTGAGATTTTTTTTACAAGTGTTCCAGAATTGGGCAGTTTGCATGACGTCTAGGCTTTAGGTAACTTTATCTTCATGTAGTATTGAGAACTTGAGGGAAGTAATTCGCTGTATTTCTGATACATTGTACATTTTGTACATTGTACCTCATGCAGACAAATTGCACCCTAAAAACCAACATATACATGTATCAATGTCCTTATTTTGGTACTTGGGAAATTGAAAAGTGGAATTTAGTATTATTAGCATGAGAAAAGTTATACAGCGCCAAGGTATTAAAATAACATTGTACAAACATTTGGTTTATATGCCAAATCAACATTAACCCTAACCACCCCAACTCCATCAAAATCCATCCCCCATTTTGGTGGATTTTGGGGGGCTTGGTCCTGAAGACCTGGCGTGACTAAATTTTGATGGAGTATGATGGACTTGGGCCTAATGGCCTGAAGCAGTGCTAGGGGTATCCGATTGATTTTGCCCAGCTTCCTGTACTGCTACATGTATTGTGATAAAAGCCATGTGTAGCAAGTCCATGAATGTCAACCAGTGCGTCAGTGGTGGATTCCATTATGTCATGTACAGTTTGGTATTGGACGCACAGTGATTGATGGATTTTGATGGACTTGGTCCAGTTCCTAGTAAAAGGTTAAAAGGTTTTAAAAAAACCTAAGACGTTAGGCCTATATCTGCACAGCATTGTCAAAATCCACATCACAATATTACATATCATGTGTATGCCACATGCAGAGGCAGACACAGGGTATTCAATTCCCAAACTTTAAAGGGAATATACAACATTTGCAAACATCGAAAAACAAAACTATCAAATATTTACGAAATACCTTACTAGGATGTTGATAAATGACAGTCTAAATCATCCTGTAAAATTATGGCACCTGGTGTGAAGTCATTTTCAAGAAAAGTGGTATTTTGTATAAATTTCCAACAATGGTCGGCCGACCACCGTTGGAAAAACCTAACTATTTTTCAACTACTGCTCCAAATTTACCATTTGTTCAGTCCAAATTTTGTTTGCTATTGGTTACACGTCATGAACAGGTGCAGACCAGCTAGACTAGTTCCCTTACCTTACAATTTTCCGGCAGCTATATAAATTGATCCATTTCATCTTTAGTGGAGTCAGGGAACCAAACTACTTGAACATATTTGTTTTGCTTGGTTTTTCCAGCATTTTGAACACAAAACTTCAAACATGTCAGTGAAACAATATTTGATCTATTATACTAACCCCTCAAATAGTTCATTTCTGAAAATTACAGCAAAAGCCAATGATGTACGGTACATTCCCTTTAATTTCCTTGTCAGTATACATGTACACTATTAATACAACAAAACAGCAAAAAGGTGTAGGGCCTATGTTTATTAAAAATAGCTCAACATTACTTACACAGTAGCGAAAAAAAAACTAATCATGAACTGGGCCTGTTGTTTATTAATTTTTTTTTTTACAGATTCTGAGGTGATAATCACTGCTATTTTTGTCACCTCATAAGATGGAATTTGCGTCAGGGTGATGTAAATCAATACAAAGTTTTGCCCTTCACCGATATATAAACATTATTTTTGTCTGTCGACCGTTTTGCAAATCATGGCTTGCCCTTGTTTTGTATTCCTTTTCAGTCATGATTTGCATAATTTGTTTTTCTCTGAAGCAGGCAGATGGTCCAAAACAAAATGCTAATTATCACCTGCAAAAAGATGAAATTCGGAGATAATTGATCAAAAGGGTCGTTCTGCCTGGTCTTTTCATAATCGCATCATAACTCTTCAGCGTGTGAGAGAGATATGTACATGTATTGTTACCATGGCTACAGGCTGCAGTAATTTGATCAAATCTGATATTATGCCTTTTGCAAAAATGACAGAAGTCCTTGCTTTCGGCAATTTATGCACTGGAGGTTGCACGCATTGAAATGCATCAACGATAGAAGTTGAGATACTGTTTACACAAGACGTACATGTCAAGCAGTATTGACAGTTTACTATGGGTTTCCTGAAATTGATTGAAATCTTTATATAATATAAATTCAACTAAGAATGCTGATTTTTGTTGTGGATCAATTTAGAACAGTTTTCTCTGTGATATAGACATTGCTTTTAGATTTGATGTTTTGCATTATTTGGATATTTCAAGTTAACTTTATTTGCAAGTTGCAGTTTTGAAAATTCTGATAGCCCTATTCTCTAGTTGACCCTATTTTTTTATGGGAAAATGAGAAAAAACACCCAAAACTACATGCAGACGCCTCCATATGATCGTCACAAACAAATTTGCAAAATACATGTACAAAAATTCCCCACCTACCTACCCTATTTTCGAATGCCATGTAATCGGAAGCAGAACTATTTTTTTTGGCCTAAGCATTCTAGTATATTGCAGGTACTTGAATTAGTTAATGCATGCAGTGCACAACCATAAAGATGTATACATAACCTGACATTTTAAACCTTGTAAAATATTTCTCTGAGTCCACAAGAGAAACATCAAAGAGAATTTATTGAGCCTGAAAAAAATCCCCGTAATTATCAAATTTCTTGAAAGTAGTATGGAACGATTTCTTTCACTGTGCAGTTGAAGTGATTTGTGAGAATCTAAAAAATGTAATTAGATAATTGTTTTCAGGCCAAAATTTAGTACGACAAATAACCACTGGATCACTATAAACTCAAATTATACATCAAAGTTGGCATGCTGCACTAAACAAACAAATAATAAACTCATCATTCGGTCAATCAGGAGCTTTTGTCCGCAATTACAAGGATGTGCACAGCTGTGCCTCAAAATGGCCTTTATGCAACGACCGGAATATATTATTGAATCTGTTCTGATGCTTTTGGCCTTGGTCGGCTAATGAAGTGTCCGTTGAGATGTACACGGATGGACTGTACATGTGCCAATCATTTGAAAGGTGTGAAAAAAAAAGATTCACAGGGCGTTTGCACTGTGCTGTATAAAGAGTAAGGCAGGGCTGTAATAAAGGAGTCTTAGGCCAAAAAAAAATAAATATTCGGTCTCTGGTCAGACCGAAGTTCCGGAATTGATGCGGCGACGCGGTTTTTTTGTTTTGTTTTTGGTGGCTTTTTTTTTTAAAGCTTGAATTGTACAGACAAGGTGGGTACTATTTTGTTTTTGTGTGTCCTCGTTATACATTGGTGTCCTCCATAATTTGCCTTGGTGCCCTTTATCATTTGCCTTGGTGCAATTTCCCCATTCCTTGGTGCTCCTTGGTACACAAATTTGAGGAGGTGCGGCAATAGAGGGCGCTGTTGTAGCTTCCGTGTTAATTTGAAGAAGAAAAAAAAGGTTGACGCGCATGATTAAAATCGACGCGTGCGCTGACCAGAGACCGAATTGTTTTTTTGGCCTTAAAGGAAGAGTATATCATTTGCAGCTGTCCGATATGAAACTGACAACATTATTGTTGAAAAGCTTACATGTTGTTAAGAAAGCAACGGCACTAAATTCCCTGTGAAATCATTTTTTTTCTGGTATGCTGTCATTTTGAAGAAAACAATAAAAGAAGGCCATTCCTTTAGATGCATTTTTGGAAATTTCTGTTAGTACATGTATGTAGTTCATTTTTGATTCACAGAAGCCGTGATTGGGTGCGCGCAAGTGTTGACATAATGCACACGTGTGTGCATTTGCTATAAGTGGTCTGTTCAGTGCGTGACATTGAGCAGATCGGCTGAATGAGAACGTGTCCCAGACGCTGATTTTGTGCACAATTCAAAACATGACTAGGCAACTTTTGAATTGGAATTGAGATCCAAGAAAATTGTTTTCTCGGAATATACAGCCTTCATTGAGCTAACACTTCATCAGGTTAGTTGTATTCAGCACCGTTCTTTCAATTTTGAGCACTTTTGTTGCTTCAAACGAAAAAAATGCACAAATGACAAATTTATTTATTTAGGCCTATATAGTTTTTATTTTAACTGGGTAGCCCGTTTAGTGGAATCCACTGATCTCCCATGGGTCCCAGTAAAAGAGGAGACAATGTGAAGAAATTACAGTTTTAGAATAATGTACCGGTAGGCCCTAGTCGGGAAGTACCCGATGTTCCCCAATACCTATGTTCCCCAATACCGATGTTCCCCAAAATCCTTAAGATTAGGGTAAGGATTTCGGGGAACATCGGAATTGGGGAACATCGGAATTAGGGAACATTGGTATTGGGGAACATATCGGTAGGTATGCACCCCATTAGTCACCATTTTTGTACTGCCCTAAAGCCGGCCTCAGGTCGACCCGCGATTTGTTTGCGCCACAACGGAACTGTCTGCATCAAGCAAAAAAATAATGCTCAGGTCACAAAACTGAGAAATCATGTGATTCTCTTGAACAAGTGGCATCCCGACGTAAAATAATCGCAACCATGCTCATGTCACCCTCGACGCGACGATCCACCACCATTCCACAGCATAGACAGTCATGTGACTTCTTTACTAATAAGGGAGTAAACATGTGTTTGGCCGGTTCGGCTCGAGCCATTATCAGCGCGCATTCACCTGATACAGTCTTAAATGTACTTGCAGTATTCCCATTCACAAATACCTTTTAGTCAAAAAGTCGACACAAGTCAAAAATTATGCTTTTCCAATGATTTTGTTGAACAATTTTATTTCATTTTTTAAACAACTCTCTAGCTATAGTATGGAATATATCCTCTCGCGAGTAGGTAAACAATCTCCTTATATGGTGATTGACGCGCGCGCGTGGTGCGTACTGCGTGATGTGGCGCAGAATGCGCGGAGCGCCACTGTAGTGTGCTGATTGGCTAAACAATTAAAAAGGATGATCTTGCTGCACACACGATCGCGTAGAAGTTGACATTTTTCTACTCTTGCGACTGTTAATTTTTTTGAGCCGACTAATTCCAATCGTCTTAATATCGTCGCAGTTATACTCAGGTCACAAAAAATCGGCGACTGAAATGTTCCCGACGGTCATATCTCAGGCACATCCCGAAAAGTCAGTCGCCGACTGATCTGTGTCGTTGCGAGGTCGACCTGAGGCCGGCTTAAAGCGCCCTGTTCATATTACTCCATCTGCTGACAAAAACCGCCTGAGCATCTTCATAGTTTTGTGGATGCCTCAGTTCCAGTACAATGCTAATAGGTTACATGGAACGCATGATGGTGTTCTGAAACAATGATGTTCAGTGTATTATTGAATTGCGATACGAGAATGCGGTGATAGAGCAAGAGCATCACAATATACAAATATTGAGTGGCTCAGCGTGGAATGGGAGGAATATTATCGCAAGGTAAAATCTGGACTTTTCCATTTCACGAGGCGAAGCCGAGTGAACTGGAAAAGTCCAGATTTTACCGAGCGATAATATTCCTCCCATTTCACAATTTAAAGCCACTCAATATTTGTTTTATGTAACTGACATATATAGATCCTTGTCATTTGGTATATTTGAACTTTTATTTCAACACGAAATTGGATGAAAATGTATTTCTCTCTTCCAAACCACCCCTTCACGAAAATGTTTGAACCCAATGTTGTAGCACTGGCTCTTTGGAACAATACGCGCAACGCACAATGTTGAACGCGCACACCAGCATGCATTTGCACACAAGTACCTTGTCATGATCCTAACTGTTCAATAGTATTTCCCATTCCCCATGGGCGGATAGTACTTTTTGAGCCCCGGCGTGAACGGGAGCAATAACAAGTGTCTCGTGATGTGAGTTCCATCAATCAAATGACAAGGATCTGTATGTCGGTTATATAATATCAACTATGTCTCGCATTTCTTGGTTTTGAATATTACTGTGACTACATTAACCATTTTTTTAAAAAAGAAGAAACATAAATTAAAAAGCCAAGATGAAATATTTAAAATCCACTGAGAAGGGCTGCACAGAATATCTCAAATATTTGATTATTCATGACACACATGATGAAACAGGAAACCAGATTCTCTTACACAATTGTGAGTTTAAAATGGAATTTGCAATTTCCTGAAATGCAAACCAACATTTCTGAAACGAAAAATCAGTGGCCCAAACAGAGGTAAATGTACATCAACAATAAATAAGAAACCTTTTTGTCCCCCCCCCCCCCCATAGTTTGGCAGGCTGGACGCCCTGCGAATTGTATCCAGAGACCAAATCCTGGGCCCCAAGCCCCAAGACATCCCCACAACGGACTCCATTCTGCAGAGCCACATAGAAGACTTGAAGTCACAGCTACGCCATCGGGATAACCTCATCCAGAAACTGCAGAATGACCTGAGGGGAAGCCGGGACACTCAGATGAGCTCAGAGGATGAGGTATATTTCAAGTCGAGGAATTCACAATTCGGGCGATTCACAATGCAGTGCGCCACCAAGATTTTGCCGTGGAGAGTCCATTTTTCAAGTTTACGGTGGACAGAACATGGCCCATTTGAACGAGTGTCAGTGGACAATTTGAGCTAATTTGTTAAGGATTGGGGCATAGCGTTCTGCCGCCTTTCAAAAAAACACCATATTGATAAAAAGAAAAGAAAAGGGCAGACATACTCGAATCACACGCTTACGAAACTAGTGAATAATTTCAAATGTCCCGCGCTGGGAATTCGTCAACCATCTCCCACAATGCACTGGGAAAAATGAACTCTCCGTGGCAAACTCTTGGTGGCGCACTGCATTGTGAATTGCCAGAATTCTCCTCTTATTTCTACATGTATCTCTGACATTGTTTGAAAACCTTTCATTGTATGCGTACTTTACCTATGGTATTTTAGGGCCATTTTAAATGTGTTTTTCCAGTACCATTGGTTGCCATTTTTTTTTTTGTACATAGTACGGTACTGCGTAAAGTACATGTATACAGCGCATCCCACAATACCCACAACTCTCTGTTGCGAGGCTCTAGCGTCGCCGCGGAAACACGTACCGCAATTATTTTTATACCATTTTAAAGCTTGGAATCTAATTTATCCCTAGCGAGTATTGGTGTGATATTTAAAAGAGTTTTTTTAATTATTCGTGTTCAAATAAAGGTATGTGGAAAATGAACTCAACCGATTTCAAGGAAAATGGATGATGCGGTACATCAGATGGAAACACGAGTCAACAAGCTGTTGAAATAACAAAAAGCAAACAGTTGATTTACATCTAAAACATATTGAACTTGAAACGAAGAGCAATATTGTGAATTTACAAAAGGTGTTGTTTACGTGGATCAAAAAGAAAAAAAAGAAACACGGAAAGTAAAAGGCAACGAAATTGTCACATCATAAACATAATGAAGCATTTCCACATTAGGAAAAAAGTGCATGATTGATTTTTCTTGGAAATGGTTGAGTTTGTTTTTGACATGCCTTTATTTGAACACAAATAATTTCCAAACCCTTACCAGGGACAAAGTTAAGATTCCAAGCTCTAAAATGATATATAAATAATGGTGGTATGTGTTTCCGCGACGACGTTAGAGCCTCACAAAAAAAGTTGCGTTTTTTGGGACGCGCTGCACATGCACATATTGGTGGACACCCGAACAAGTACAAGTAAACATACATACACTTTGAAGAAGACCTGTGCATTATTGCTTACTTACAAGTATTCCAGTCTTGTGTTTGGGGTACTTATTTTCACTCCCAGACATGCCAGAAAATATGAAAAATTAAAAAAACAAACAATTTTTTATCACCTGCTGACCCTAATCACACCCAAATTTTTTAGGGATGGTCAGGTTAAAGGGAATGTACAACATTTGCTTTTGACTTGCTTCACGTTTTGGGTTCGGAGATGCTGGAAAATCCAAGTAAATCAACCATATTCGTGTAGTCTGGTTCCCTGACCACACTTAAGATGAAACAGAACAATTTATAGACTTTGGGGAATGGAAAGGTCAAAGAATCAGTCTGGCAGGCTTGCACCCCTTCACAGGTGTGCAATCAGTTGCAAAGAAAATGCGGAATAACTAAATATGAAAACTTAGGAGCACTTTTTGAAAAAAGCCAGTTTTCTCCAATGCTGGTCGGCCGACCAGCGTTGGAAAAATACAAGTTTTCTTGAAAATGTCAGCACACCAGGAGCCACGATTTTACAGGATGCTTTGACTGTCATTCCCTAACAATCCAGTAAGATATTTCGTGATAATTTGATCACTTAGTTTTTTTATGTTTGCAAATGTTGTACATGTATCTTCCCTTTAACATGTTTAAGAGAAACACAATATTATGTTTGTTTCTTGGCCTAGGCAGATGATGATGGATGTGTTTCACGTACAAGATAATTCTAGACAACAATTTTTTTGTTTAAAGCTATAGTCCATCATTTGCAGCCATCCGAAAAAGTAACTGGTGTATTATTGGTGAAAAACATACTTGGTTGAATGATGTAGTAAGTGGACTAAACTCCCTGTGAAATTAATCTTTCTGGCAAGCTATCATTTTGAAGTAATCAACGAAAGAAGGCCTTTCCAACAATGCGTCTTTAGACGCACCGTAGGAAAATTTAAATTAGTAGTTCGTTTTGTTATTCGGCGCAGTGCGCGCAAGCATTGGCACGACGCACAGGCACGCGGGGTTGCTATAATTTGTCAGATCAGTGCGCGACATCGCGTATAGCTGCAATTCAAAACAATTCAAAACATGATTCAGCAACTTTTGATTTGAAATTGAGATCCGAGAATGCTGTTTTTCTCGGAATATACAGCTGAGGCTGAGCTAAAACTTCATCAGGTTAGTTGTTCAGTATCCTTCATTAGATTTTGAACACTTTTGTTGCTTCAAACGAACAAAATGCACAGTTACAAATTATGGACTATATCTTTAAAAATAGACTGCCTGGTGAGATATTAATGATGCACCCTGGGCAATGACGTACTTTCCCTGATATTTGAGCATAGTAAATGACAGCCCACATTGCCCACTCGGAGTATCTTTGTTACTCTGTATAGAATTAAAAATCAAGGCATTGTTACACACGTCATCGATAACCTTTCCTTCGGGCGGATTACTAATTACAAGCTCTAATTGCCCATTAAATTGCCTCAGACATTTCCTGTATGTCCGGTGCATTTAAAGGTAGAGTACATGTACATCATTTGCAGCTATCTAAAAAGTAACGGACAACATTATTGTTGAAAAGCTTACTTGGTATATAGAGATAGTAATGGGACTAAACTCCCTGTGAAATTATTCCTTCTGGCATGCTGTCATGTTCAAGAAAACAATAAAAAAAAAAAGGTCACTTCCAAAGATGAGTCTAAGACACATTTGTGGAAATTTCCGTTTGCAATTCATTTTTAATTCGGCAACTGGTGCGCGGAAGCGTTGACACGATGCACATGTGCGCGGTTGCTACAATTCGTTTGTTCAGTTCGGACATTGCATAGCTGCAATCGGCTGAGTGAGAACGTATTCCAGGCACTGATTTCAGGCACAATGCAAAACATGACTTTGAAATCAAATCAAGGGATCCTAGAATATTTTTTTGTTTTTGGAATATACAGCATTCACTGAGCTAAAACTTCATCAGCTTACATGTAGTTGTTTTAAGCACCCTTCTTTAGATTTTGAGCACTTTTGTTGCTTCACACAAAAAAAGACACAAAGGACAATTGACGTTCATGTACTCGACCTTTAATTATACACATATTTTCCATTAGTTTCCTCAAGTTGCCTCGACCTGCAAATACAAGTATGTACACGTACAATGCTTTCACAATCTGAAAATTAACATAATCTGAGAGTTTTTGGAGAAATGTGATGCATTTGTAACTCTGATATTTTGTTGAGGACAAATTAGTCTCTCAAAGAAACCCAAGATTGCTAACACTCTGCTTGGACAATACAACATTGTATGAACACTTTCTTCACAGCGGATGTGGTGCCTTAATTAGTGCTAAACAAATATTCTCAGTAGCCTGTACAATGTACATTGTATGTTTCATTAGTTTGCAACATATACAGCCTGTCTAAAAAAAAATGGTACAATCGAAAACAATTTTTTTTTTCAATATTAAATCTCAACATAAGTAAGTCGTTTTGAGCATCACATTAAAGAAAAAAGACCAGGCTTTCCAATACTTTTTGTTTCATCTCATTTGCTTTTGTCAATCCAGAGATAACTCCAGTTTACTGCGGAACACAAAAATTGAGTTTGTTTCTTTTGCCAAGTTGCAATCTTTTGTGAGCTTCAAGACAGCATGGCACAGTACTCGAAACAACTCTGCCCATGCATAAAAGTGGCACAAAATCGATTTTGGTGTATCGCACTAAATTGATTATATCTCTGAATTGACAAAAGCAAATAAGATCAAACAAACACTATTGGAAAGCCCAGTCTTTGTTCTTTAATATTATGCCAAGTACATGTAAGAATGACTTATTTTGAAATTTCATATTTAACCAATTTTTTTTCTGATTGTACCATTTTTTTTGGAGACAGGCTGTAGTTGTTACTGTTGGGTGTGATCAGTGAATCTTCGCTATTGGTCGATTGCACTGCTCTATCGGTTGAACGTGCTGAGCTATCGGTTGATTGCGATGCGCCATCGGTCGATCGTCCGTCTAATTCACGGCCCTTTCTAATTCATAGCTATTGGGGTTTTTTTTAATAAAGGAAGGAAAGTGTAAGTTTTCGTAAAGGAATCGACCCATCCTGTAAGTGCATTTCTGCGCGATCAAGCGACAGTGCAAATCCGTTGATTGTGCCCAACATAATGACTGAACTTTTGCATCGGTACAAATATACATGTATCGGTACTATTTCATGACCGTAATTGGGATAATGGCGTACATATGTACGAATGTACATGTAGTTGGAGCATTTACGCAGGCACAATATTTTTGTTGAACAATGGAAATGTTTGTTTTTTTAATTTCTGTAAAAAAAATATATGCATTGTCGAGCCCTGTTACGGGTATGTAGAGCCCTGTGACTAGTATGGTACGTCCATGTACGTGGCCCTATACAATCGTAACATTAAAAAAAAAGTAAAGTATAGTAAAGTAGTATACAATTGAGTGGCTCAGAGTAGAATGGGAGGAATATTATCGCAAGGTAAAATCTGGACTTTTCCATTTCACGAGGCGAAGCCGAGTGAACTGGAAAGGTCCAGATTTTACCGAGCGATAATATTCCTCCCATTTCACAATTTAAAGCCACTCAATATTTGTTTTATATAACTGACATAGATCCTTGTCATTTGTTATATTTGAACTTTTATTTCAATACAAAATTGGTGGAAATTGTATTTCTCTCATGCATGCATTTGCACACAAATACCGCGTCGTGGAACAAGAACGATCCTAACTGTTGAATAGTATTTCCCATTCCCCATGGGCGAATGGGACTTTTTGAGCCCCGGCGTGAATGGGAGCAATAACGAATGTCACGTGGTGTGAGTTCCACCAATCAAATGACAAGGATCTGTATGTCAGTTACCGGTATATAATAAAGTCTGTCTAGAGCCAATGTGTGTTTATCTCCGGTTCCAGTAGCATGAAAGGACTGAGATTATTTCTACTCCTCCTGGATGGGATGCTAGTCCATTGCATGTTACTCCCCAGCTAATGCCGGTACCCGTTTATACTCCTTGATTGAGAGTGGCAAGTGGGGGTGAAGTGGCTTGCCCAAGGACACAACATATGGCCAGCAGCTGGATTGGAACCCCTGACCTTCTGATTATGACTGAGTCATGAACCCTAACCACTAGGCTACATTCCCCACTGCAGTAACCCCCCTTCCCCCCCCCCCCAAAAAAAAACACACCCCAAAATGGCATTGGGTACATGTAGGTGTCATTGTCTGATTGTGTCATCGCATGTAGTATGGATGTCGGTTGATTCAGGAAGTTTCAGTAAAACAGAAATGCTCAGGAAGTACAAATGTACATGTTAGCGTTCTTGTTATTGTTAAAGGGAAAATACAACATTTGCAAACATCAAAAAATAAAACTACCAAATCTTTTTGAAATACCTTGCTGGACTGTTAGTGAATGACAGTGTAAAGCATCCTGTAAAATCATGGCACCTGGTATATACTGTCATTTTCAAGAAAAGTGGTATTTTTGTATCAATTTCCAACGCTGGTCGGCCGACCAGCGTTGGAAAACACTGGCTTTTTTTTCAAATACTGGCCCCAATTGACCATCGCACTTGTTTGCAATCGATTACACACCTATGAACGGGTACAAGCCAGCTAGACTGGTTCCCTGACCTTACAATTCCCCAATGTATGTAAACTGCTCTGTTTCTTCTTATATGGAGTCAGGGAAACCAGACTACAGGAAAATGATTGTTTTTCTTGGTTTTTATAGCATTTTCGAACCCAAAACCTCAAAAAAGTCAGTGTAACTATATTTGCTATATATTTCCAACCCCCCAATTCCATCCATTTCTGAAAATTACAGCAAAAGCAAATGATGTATATTCCCTTTAACGATAAAAATAACCAATTCCTATGAACAGACAAGGATGTAGAAGTTACACAAGTGGTTTTTCATGCTTGATTTCCAAACGCACCTGTGACAAGGAGAGAACTTGACCTACATGTACGTGTATAGCGTAAGTGCATTTATACCGTTAGGGGTGTGCATTTACGGGTAGTACAAGAACCGGGTACCCGATTAAAAAAACATGGGTACCCGTGTACAGGTTCGCACAATAAAACTACTGCATCGGTGTATCAAGACAGCTACATGTAGATACAAGTGTGTACAGCGAGCTTTATACATGTAGCTTTATGGTGTAAACTGCAGCTACGGCGAGCGTCATAAATGAGAAATATGTTTTGTTCTCCCCTAGTGGCCTGGTTTTTATCTTGAAAATTCCCCACAAAATGACTTCAAAACCTTTCTTTTTCATTGCCTGAGAAGTTACTTAGTAATTTGTAAAGTTGGTTACCCGATCCCGTAATCTGGAACCGGTTCCTGACATCAACGGTCGGGTACTCAGGTACCCGGTTCCGATGCACAGCCCTAATTACCGTCATGTATTTAGAAATGATAAGAAACGCCAAAGTCAGTCGACACTCAAGGCCCATTACAGTTGCGACATCATAATAGTGTATACACAATGTGTATGCCCTACAACAATGTATTACATTATGAAACATCATGGCTAAGGCCTACAAACTTAAGAAGATTGATAAGTATATAACAGAAATTGGATAAAAACAAACCATTTACCCTAGCCGCCCTGAATCCTTCAAATCCTCTTTGCCAAAGTGAAGGAATTTGGAGGATTGAGGTTACATGGCAAAAATGCGTTACTGATTTCGTAGGATGCACTTTGTAAAGGTCTTGGCCCGGACCTTTTGTTGTTTTCGCTCAGCCATGCATAAATATAGGCCTGGATTATCAGATTATGCTTGAAATCCTCCATACTGCTCCAGGTTGTCACTGGCCAAGCCTCAACATATTGACAGTCACTGCTGCAGGATTTTGCAGGATTCAGGCAGTGGTCACCCCTCCACGGACCATATTCAAGAAATAATGGAGGAATTTGCAGGATTGAGGCTACATCCTGGCAAAAAGTCCTAGGGAGTTAGGGTTAATTTATAATTTAATGTAAAAACCAACATTTTATTTCATGTTGTAGATTGCACGTAGAGGCACAGTGCTGGACTCCACAAAGACGACACTGTCCACGATTCACGACCGCGAGCAGCAGCGCATGGTCAGCGAAACCGACAAGGACATCACGATCATGAAACTGAAGTCAACGCTGCGACAGGCCGAGCAGAGTAGGCACGACGCAGTGGAAGAGGTATTCTTATCGTCAACGTTACATTCTATATTACCCTGCTAAGGCCTGGGCACTCAACACTGTTTCGACGGACTCGACTACATCCATGGGAATGGCCTTCAACACAAAACCAAAGAATAACTCACACATTTTTTTTTTTTAAATACTATGTGTTGTGTTGTAGTACTATTATCTATATAATCAAAGCACATTACATAAATCTTTTGCAAACTATGACTATTTCCAATGTTTGTAAGCAAAAGAAAGGACCATACATTATACAAATATAACATGGTTTGAGGGTGGACAGTCAATATTGGCTCCCCGAGGTATTGGAAGTTGACAAACTAGTTCCCGAGGCGAAGCCGAGGAAACTAGTTTGTCAACTTCCAATACCGAGGGGAGCTAATATCGACTGTCCACCCGAAATAAACCATGTTATATTTGTTTTACTATACCTCATACATATTCAGTTGCCGAATTTTGTTTTATTATGATGCACCTAAAACAAAATTAGGGGAAACTTGTACAGCTCACCAAAAGAATATTATTGCTCAACTTCAATTACTAGTTCGGTTCGTTTACAATATAATACAGTTACTACAGTTGTAAATACAGTTGTTTGCAGTGTGTACAACTTTCTTTTGTACAGGAGACATCTTTACACGGTCTATAAATTTTCTCCAGTACGGCATCATTGAGCTCTGGAAATTAACATTTATGCGAACTGTGCAACCATGCATCTCTCCTAGGCGATGTTCGCGCGTGCGTACTGCACCCGTGCGACAGTTCCTCGATTGCTCTGTAAAGCGCATGCGTAGTAGACTGTCGCATGGGTAACCCATGCGACAGTCTACTACGAATGCGTATTTACATGTACAATGTGCGTGAATCCTCGTGCGTGCGTTTGGTAAACAGCAAGAATAACATCTGGCACGTGATGGTGAATTGACCAGTGAAAGTTCGGCTCTCGATCATGAATATGTATGAGGTATAGTAATATCTAGTGCGACAGGCTCATATTTTTTCTCTTGTCCTTCTAGATGGCCGGCAAAGAACAGAACATTGACCAGTTCCGTTCCTTAGTCAACGAGCTGCAAAATGAGCTGGTGGTACGAGAATCGGAGGTGAGATTCAATCCCAAAGGTTCATCCAATTTTAACAATCGTGCTTATCCTGTCTGATAAAACTGATAAATTTGATGTCAGATCGAAAGGACAGGAAAATGTGGAACTTTGGACCCCTGAAATTTTAGAATGAACCATATCCTAAACATACATGTGTACAACATTTTATGATTATTCACATCAAGGTAATTTCATTTGTTTTAATTTTTATTTTAATTGCAGAATGCCAGCCATATGCAGACCATTGCACTCTTGAAGGAAAAACAACGGCAATCCTTTGATCAGGTAAAATTGCAATGAGGTTTTCAAAAAGATATGCTTTGAACATGTCGCCAACACGAATGGCCATGTCGCCAACGAACGAACAGGCAGGCTATCCAATCCTACATGTACATGTACATGTATGTCAGTAGTATCCCACTTGCAGGCATGCAACTTTTCCTCGGATCAGCTGATTTCCTCTTTTTGTACTTCCAATGTGTGCCATTGAAAATAGAAAAACACTGTACAAAGTCTGGGAAAGATTTTAATTTCCTCTTTTTTGTGACTTCCCAGTTGCATGCCTGCACTTGGACAATGTCTCAATCTGTGGGAGTGTGGCCTAGTGGTTAGAGTTTGTGACTCGTGATCAGAGGGTCAGGGGTTCGAATCCAGCAGGTTGCCATATGTTGTGTCCTTGGGCAAGCCACTTCACCCCCACTTGCCTCTCTCTTCACCCAGGTGTATAAAATGGGTACCGGCATTAGCCGGGAAGTAACCTGCATAGGACTGGCGTCACATCCAGGGGGAAAGAGAAATAATCTCAGTCATTTCATGGCAACGAAACCAACAAACACCGGCCTGATGGGCCATATTGACTCGTGACAGACTTAACTTTTTTTTTTACTCTATTCATGGAATGCGATTCAGAAGACATAAACCAATATTGCCATGTGGCCAGGGATTGCTCCCAAAGTCACTCTGCAACTTCAGAAATCTTGGAAATGGCAACGAGGCATCACTCTGAGAGGATATGGCTCTTACAATTCATTATGCAAACTGCAAAAGTCAAACATTTTCAAATGCATTATTTTTATGTTGATGTGTCTCCAGGTGTCTCATTCGGAGCAGCGAATCAAAACCCTGGAGGCAGAGCTGAGGCAGTCACATGACCAGCGGAGGAAAACCATAGATGAGGTAAAGTGAAAAATTAAGTTTGGGTTCCCCTGTATCCCATATATCAATAAAATAAACATGGTTTACTACTTTGATATTCACACTCCGAAAAGCAGACTTCAATGTTACTTGCATACCTTGCATAATCTCACTCAACAATCACCAAATAATATGCAAGAATATACACTCAACCAAAAAGAAAGTCCCCCCCCCTTCCAATACTTTTTGTCTAACTCAAAAACTACTGAGCACCTCTCGCTCAAATAACGACTAATCAGCACAGAAATTCAATAGCAATCCAGCCATACTGTTTATTTGGCCCAAAACGGTAATAATGTGTACGAATTTATAAAATTTACGACAAATGATACCGAAAACAGTTGCACTTTTGTATACGTGCATGTTGCGGCTCAAACTCACCTTGCAAGTGTACAAAAGTGCAACTTTTTTTTCGGTACCCCTTGCCATAAATTGCATCATTTAGTACACATTATCACTGTTATCGGCCCAAAAAAAAGAGTATGGCTGGATTGCTAAGGAATTTCTGTACTGATCAGTCACAATTTGAGCAAGATGTGCCCATAGTTTTTGAGTTGGACCAAAAAGTATTAAGGGGGGGACTTTCTTTTTTGGTTGAGTGTAGGTGGCACTGCACTGTGTGCATTTTTCAAGAGACCTCCAGTGTTTTCCTCAGTGGTCCAATGGTTACGGTGTTCAACTCACAAGCAATGGTACATGGGTTGGAACCTTGACAGGGAACATGCTGCTTGTGTTCTTGGGCAAGACACTTTACTATAATTGCCTCTCTCTACCCAGGAGTATAAATGGGTACCTGTGAAGGCAGAGACCAGATTGCACTGATCTGCAGAAAAGTGGTCTTGTGGCCTGCGCCGAAATTTCACAGTTAACCTTAGCACACGATTTTTTTGCTTACAGAGCCTCCATCTATTTCATGGAGACCGTAAGCATAAGCACAGCAAAAGGCCGCTTACTTCAGAGGAAAATTTTGCTTAACTTAGTTACATAACAATAGAAATCTCCATGCACGCGCGACTCCGTTGGCACGTCCACGCCATGAAATAGTGCTTAAGGTTAGCAAATTTTTCTGCTATACTAAGCACCACTTTTCCACTAACTGCTAAGCAGCGCTGATAAATTGGGCCCTGATGAACAGGGGTAATAATTGTGAAGTGCTTTGAGATCTTCAATGGTATAAATGCGCTGTATACAGTGGCGTCACCAGACTTTTCAGTCTGGGGGGGCACAGGGGGGGCACCAGCATTTGATGGGGGGGGGGGGCACTTAGGTGGATAAGGATCGCCGTCCTGGGGAGGGGTCCCTCCCCTTTGGAAAATTTTCGCATACGGAGGATGGGCTAGATGCAAAATGGTGCCACATTTGATGCTAAATTCGATCTGAAGATATCTCCAGAAATTGCTATTTTTGAGGTAATGATTTTAACAACGCGCAGAATTTTGCAGAGGATAGGGGGGCACCAGCATTTGATGGGGGGCACTTAGGTGGATACGGATCGTCGTCCTGGGGGAGGGGTCTAAGGGGAGGGGGTACCCCCCTCCCCTTTGGAAAATTTTCGCATACGGAGGATGGGCTATATGCAAAATGGTGCCACATTTGATGCTAAATTCGATCTGAAGATATCTCCAGAAATTGCTTTTTTTGAGGTTATGATTTTAACAACGCGCAGAATTTTGCAGAGGATAGGGGGGCACTAGCATTTGATGGGGGGGCACTCGGGGGGGGGGGGGGGCACTAGGTTTTCCAGGGGGGGGGCACGTGCCCCCCTGGCCCCCCCTTGGCAACGCCACTGGCTGTATACGAATTACATTATTATTAGTATTATTTTAGTGTGTGGGACACACTAGGAAAGGAACAAACTGCTTGTCTGTATTGTAAATGTCACTAAATTGAGACTGTTTAAGGAGTACTTGTGCACAGAATCAACATTGATTTTTTTTTTTTTGTGTACCCTGTTTTGTCTTTAAATTATTAGATTGGTGGTCTTCAGTCGAGACTGAGGGACAAGCAGCTCTCATCCCAGGACAGCCACCAAGTTTTGAAACAAGAGGTTTGGATTTCACATTAGTCTCTACATTTCACTTTGTGGTGTAGGCTGTGGCAACTCAACAAATTATGGAACTTAAAGGGAAGATACAACATTTGCAAACATCACAAAACAAAATGATCAAACTATCACAAAATACCTTACTGGATTGCAAGGGAATGACAGTCTAAAGCATCCTGTAAAATCGTGGCTCCTGTTGTGTTAACATTTTCAAGAAAAATTGTATTTATCCCAAAAAAATGTTTTTTTCCCTTCAAAAACTGCTTCTAAATTATCATATTTAGTTATTCCGCGTTTTTCTTTGCAATTGATTGCACAACTGTGAAGGGGTACAAGCCTGCTAGACTGATTCCCTGACTTTACAATTCCCCAAAGTCTATAAATTTTTCGTTTCATCTTAAGTGGGGTCAGGGACCCAGACTACAAGAACATGATTGGTTTTCTTGGTTTTTCCAGCATCTACAAGTCCAAAACGTGAAACAATTAGTCATTTTAACAACATTTGCTGTAGCATACTCATCCTCTAAATACATTTATTTCTGAAAATTGCAGCAAAAGCAAATGTTGTACATTCCCTTTAATTCGTCCAGGAGTCACAATTCTGTTAAGAATCTATTCCCATTATCCATGCTCCCCAAAAAGGAAAAACTACCCCATTGAATCACTAATATGAGGTCATTAACAGATGTAAAGGCTCTCACAGACAAATTTCTCACAACCCAAACTTTTCTTCAAAAGTTACAGTTTTCACAGGCGAAACAGATCAACTTGCTCTGTGACGAACCACACACTATTGAAAAGCTGTATGGAGCCCTTTGCTGTCCAATTGTTCCACTCATGTTGAAATCGCCATGTCTTCACACTTGTCAGTTGAACTTGGCATTGACGCCAAGGGAACTACTATGCTTTTTTTTCAGAGTGTCTATTCCTTCAAAAAAAAAGTAAAGCATGATTCCAATTCAGAGTTTGGAATTGATTCTATTTAATTCTGCTGCGGATTCACTCAAGGCTATATACATGTAGTGGGCAGACATGTGAAATATTTGGGGGAATCGTGCCTTTGATGATACAAACATGGCATTTGGCACACAGTCAGAGTACGCCTTAATAAAGATATTTGGCTATAGGGCCATCGCAGATTTGTCCTTTGAAAAAATAGTGGTAGAGTAATAAGCAATTTTCAAAATGGCTGCCATTGCTTGTTATTCTACCTTTATGTTTTTTTAAGGACAAATTTGCAATGGCTCTATAGCCAAATATCTTTCTCGTGACATACTCTGACTGTGTGTGCAAAATTCCATGCTTGTCTCGTCAAAGGCACAATCTCATCACCCATACTAATAGTGGTGTGTGGTCATTCATGTAAAGTGTGGATAACTTTGTATAAATGTTCTACTCGAAACCTTGTAATAAGCCATTTGCGAGTTAAATTTGAATAAAATCTGGAGCGCTGACTTAATCCAATGCTTTGCACGCTTTAACTTTGCATTCTCCCAACCAAAGATAATGTTACTATGTCACGTGATTAGGGGCAAGCCTAATGCTTAAGCCTTAGCAACCCCCAGCTCCAGCATGGTCTGGTGTCTTTGTGCCATTCACACTCATTGTAAACAATGTATTGGTGCTGAGCGTCTCTTGCGTATTTGTGCAAGAGCTTGCCCCGAATCATGTGATAAGCAACAGTGTCTTTGGTCTGGAGAATTCAAAGTTAAAATGTGCCAAGCATTCTGAGCCAATCAGTGTAACAGATGTTTTTCAAATTTAAATCTCAAAGGGTATAGGTCAATCGCACATGGCTTATTGATAACCTTTTTTTTTTATTGTAAAAGGACTTTCATCTGGACATGACCAAATATTTAGTTGTTTGGGGGTTGCTAGCATAAGGCTTGCCCCGAATCACGTGATATAGTAACAGAATCTTTGGTCGGGAGAATGCAAACAATATCAAACAACTAAAGGTCTAAAGTTTCAAAGGTCTAGGTCTCAGATAAATCTACCGGTATATAATGTCTTACATTTATGGAGAAAACCCTGTTTGTTTCATTTGGCCTGAACAGCAATTTTGCCGCGCCCATACGCATTTCCTGCAGTGAATATTAAAAGCCATAGAATTTTGAGCAAATCTGTCAACATAAGAATAGTGTGGCACGAAATGCATATCACAAATAACAAATTCACCGTTTGATATCAGGTTCCAAGCTAGTTTAAGACTTACACACATGAGGATCCAAGCGTGCACGTTTGAGGGAAAATTTTTGAACAGAACCATGTGATTTGAGAATGTCGAATAAAGACAAGCGCACCAAAGGCCTGAGTTTTGAGGACCAACAATTTGTAATTGTCAAAATTTACAGAAATTAAATACATTTTTTCTTGGCTCAGAATTTCATGTTAATGTTTTATATTAATTTTGTGAGTCAGTTTTACTTTGCTTGAAAGTTTGTTAGTAAGATAGGTAAAAGTCATCCACGTTTTTATTGTCTTGGTTTTCCCGTCAGCTTTCCAGACGAGATGAGACCATTCAGCAGCTCAGGAAGGACGTTCTGAGTCTACAGGAACGCCATGATAACACGCTGTCAGAGGTAGAAAGAAAATAATGCTTTCCGATTAAATGCACAAACACCTGCTGTTTGTGCTATTTCAGTTGCTGTTTCAGCTGGTTTACTTTTTGGCACCAACATTTTCCTGGGCTTTTGTTTTAATATTGTGGATGTGCGTAATCATCTTTGAAATTTGCAAAATGTGAAGTGTGGTGTGTTTGTCTGCTGTTGTGGTGTGTGATGCAACGTTTGCTGTTAATTTTTTTGTTGATAGCTCATTGTCTATGATTTACCACCACTTATTGAAAGTCGATACTTCTGGAAAACAAAAGTTTCAGAGCTGCAAATGAAGATCTCACATTGCTTACCCTTTGGAGTGAAAATCTTGAAAAAAAATTAACAATTTCTGTGGAATCTTGATAAAAACAAACTAATATTGGACATTCACTGTCTTATTAATGCTTAGAGCTGTCTTAACACTCAAATCTATGATTTACCACCACTTATTGAAAGTCGATACTTCTGGAAAACAAAAGTTTCAGAGCTGCAAATGAAGATCTCACATTGCTTACCCTTTGGAGTGAAAATCTTGAAAAAAAATTAACAATTTCTGTGGAATCTTGATAAAAACAAACTAATATTGGACATTCACTGTCTTATTAATGCTTAGAGCTGTCTTAACACTCAAGGGCGGATCCAGAACACAATTTTTTTGGGGGGGGCCAAAAAAATTGTTGGTCTCCCAAAAAAGTGGGCCCAAAAAAATACGGCGTGGGGTTCGGGGCCCGCTTAAGGGCCCCGAAAAATTTTTGGATTCTAGATGCTCTGTGGTGCGATCTGAGGCAATTTCTGACCACTTTAGCCAATGTTTTTTTGAGGAAAAGATGTTGGTGTACTCATTGCCAGCCTTTATTGCGATGTCACATAAAAATAAAAAAATTGGTTTCGTTTTGGGAGGGGGGGGGGATCCGCCCTTGTTAACACTTACCAATTGAACGATATGTTTCTAACACTAACTATGCACACGTTTCGGTCAGTCGGACACTCGCAAGAGAAGACTGGAAACTTTACAACAACAGGTGGAGAGGCAAACTAAAGAGGTACATTGACAAAAACAATGCTGATTTTATAAAGGGGCCTTTAATCTTCTTAAACTTTGTACGCTCACATTTCCATGGGCCTTATTCACGAGTTGGCCATTTTTGTCGAGTTCCCTGAATGTATTTCATTAATTGTTAACTGTTGAATGGGATGGCGCCAGACTATTTATGCAGACACAATGCAGCCTTATTTTACTATCATTTTTTTTAATATGGCTTTAAACATTAGGGAATGTTTAATTACAAATGTTAAATTATTCATTGAAGCAGACTGGAATTTATTACAAATGAATTTGCTTTCATTTCTCTTCACAAGTTCCAAAAATTTAGATTTTACCTAACTTTCAATTCAATATGGCCGACTCGTGAATAAGGCCCATGATAAAAGATATGGCTTCATGACTTGCTAATTTCATGTTCACTTAAGTGAACTTCCATGAACCAAACTCAACATTTTTTTTAGCAATGGTAATACTATATTTTTTGGAAGTAGAGGTCTGATTTTTTAATTTAAATTTCTTTCATCAATTCATATTTTACAATGTGTTGTGTATAGCACATATACTTGCTTCTTTTTTGCCTCATAAAAGCCAAATAGGGAGTTAATAGGTCTCTCTCATGTGACGTCATGTCCTACAGACCAGCCACGTGCATCGGCATTTTGAGCGTCAACTTGCATAACGCGCATTGGCTGCGTCGTATTTCAAACATATTTCGAGCAACCGGCGCACGTGTGTGGAACATTTTCAACACTGCGCAATGTGTGCTTGATTGCGTAAAATACGCAGTTGCAGTTCTCCTACAGAGATGCCTTAGTGACCGTCTTTTGAGGGAGACCTATCAGCAAAATCCAGTCGGAAAGCCAAGTATTTCTGAAATACAGGAGCCTGTTGCAAATCCTTTACGTACTGTCCAGAAATTCTCATACCCAAAATGAGTGCTGTTTTTTTATGTCAACTTGCATGCTAATGTGGAAAAGTCTTTTTTATTTTTTAATCATGTTTTGTTTTGCACCAAAAGACTAATCCCATGCGGTGCACTGTTTATTTCTCTGTGTCACTTTTTATAATCTCCTCTCTGCACATAACCAGTTTGAAGCACAGCAACGAAATATCAGCAGTCTGCAAGATCAGATGGAAAAGAAAGCCACACAGGTACAAGCGGCTGGAGTAGGAGACTAACTGGCAACTCTGTTAGTCAGGCTCCCTGATGGGTGCACCAAAGTATTGAAATTCCAATAGACACCAGTGCTAAATACCCATACTTCAAAATTCTTTAAAAAATACTCAGAACTCTCACAGGTATTTAGGCTGCACAGAAAAATGATGATCAACATGTCATCTTTCATTTTCTTGGTGGGTTGACCAATGACTTTTCAAGAAATTCTCAGCCAAAGAAGACGACCCCTAAAACAAGTGATGTTTCCCAAAGTGGAAAGGTAGCCATCTTGAAAATGGATCCATCCACAACATGGCTAAATAGTGCCACTTTCAGGCCCGATTGCATCCAAAATGTTCTGAGTTGGAAGCCCCATGTCCGGGCCAGAGGTGTATTGCCATATCTCTTCAATTTCCCAATTCCGTGGCTCTCAGAACTCTCTAATATAGAATATTTTGTGGGTATAACTTTTATTCATGAGCTCGGCGGACGAATATTTGGCCTATTTACTTGTGTGCACCCTCATGCCGCTAATAGAAAAATAAAGTTAATTAAAATTGGAACTTTTGCCTGTACTTTTTTTTTCAAATCAAAAACTTAAGATTGGTTTTCCAAAATGTGAGAAAAATGAAACTAACGCTGACTAACTACAAAAAAAAGTTTTGTGATAATTCTAACAGTTTATAAAATGTAATCAAATTGAAACATAGGGTCAGAAACTATTTTTAAAAAAAATACAGAATTTGTTTTTTCCCCCAACAGTTACAAAAGCTGAATTTCATCCTCATTTTCATTATTGTTTGGCATAGTGCACATTTTTTTTTGCATTTTTGTTTGTTTGTTGTGGCATGATATAATTTCATGTTGTGATGTGTGAATTTGCAGATCATACATAAATCCGCAATTGTGATTTGTTCTTTCTCGTTTTCATGGTGGTACATATCCATACATGTATTAACTAAATAAATAAGAATGGACCTCTTTATATTTTTAAATAAATATTAAATATTTTACTTTAGAGTGAAGTTTCTTATTTAGATGAAATTTATCTCATGTCAAATTGGTAAGGCCTGGGAAATCAACCACACAAAAAGAGCGATACAATCTAGACAAATTCTGAGCCACACAAGTTTCATGGGGCCGATTTCATGAAACTCTTCTTTTCTTACGCCTCCTCTTAGGATTTAAGACCTGTCTTTGCTCTGAGATGAAAATCTTGCTCAGATGCGTCCCAAGACCGATTTTAAAAAACACCATCGTAAGCAAGACAATCTACATTGCAAATTTGACGACTGTGTCATGTTTGTTTTTTCCACTTGATGAAACGGTTGTTGAAAAGAAATGCACAAAAACATACATACTGAAATTTGTATCATTGTGGAGACATTTCTTTGTTCTCGTGTAGTAAAGTTTTCGAGTTTGAAAGTGTCGTTTCAAAATGCGCTTATTTTAACCAGAATTAATTTCCTTGGCTGAAATTTGGATTAATGTCCCTTTTCTAAAACTCTTCCATTTGCGACAGAGCAACCCACCTTGGAAATTCCTAATTTTTGAGTGAAATCCATATATCTATTTCGTGAAAACCTTGTGGAGACATATTCATCTATAGAAATTGCCCTTTGGAGACGTATACAATCTCAGTTTGTTCCTTATTGTATGCATGTCTCCAGAGGGCACGGTGTATCAGATCCTAATTGCCCGCACGTGTGGTAGAGCTCGAACTTTGGCCTGAAAAATGTCTCTGCTTATAAAATTTCAAATGTACAGTACACAAGACATCTTTTTATTGTTACTCTTATGACTAAGTGATTTTCTCCCCAGCTCATAACTCTATTTTCGACAGGAATATTTTCATGTTACAAGTCGACTAGGTGTAGGCCTTTACTTATATTTTGTAAGTTATAAATACGTTTATCAAACTACCCCTGTGTCAGAAATCTTTTCAAATTGGTTTCTACAGCTGGTGTTAAAATTAGCTACAGAATCTCAAAACTGTAGCCCTAGGCCGACACTTGTCTTTAACGAGAAGACACTGCAAAAGTTTCCAGGCGATATGCAAATTAATGCACGTATTCATGAGATAAGATGGCCCTCAGACTGATCTTAAATTAAGACGAGTTCAGCCACGTTGCTAAGGAAATTAAGACATGATGAATAATAATAATAATAATAATAATATATAGCGCTTTATACCAAGGTCTCAAAGCGCTTCACAATTATTACCCCTGTTCATCAGGCCATGAGACCAGTTTCTGCAGCAGCTCAAGATCAGCGCAATCTGGTCTCTACCTTCACAGGTACCCATTTATACTCCTGGGTGGAGAGAGGCAATTGTAGAAAAGCGTCTTGCCCAAGAACACAAGCACCATGTTCCCCATCGGCAAGTGAGCCGAACACCGTAACCATTGGACCACAACGCTTAATGAATAGATCTTAATGTTGGTGAAAACGATCCAAGGGCGAGTCGCGAGTTAAGACGAGTTACCCAAGACGCGTCTAAGCGTTTCGTGAAATCGGCCCCTGTACTCGCATCATTTCTAACGATCCATAATTTGAAAAGTATCAACATGCATTCTGGGTATGTGAGATTATACGGTCAACATTTTGTAAACTGGCTGTTGCTAAGCAACTTTATGAGCTGAGCAGAAATCAGCGAGGAGCCAGTCACAAGCTGTACACTTTAAAGTGTATTCTGGCTGGTAAGCTGTTTTTTTTCGCTAACCAAATTTTGTGTCTGCTCGGTAAATTCATGTGCTAACTAATTGAATTCTTTCGAAAGATTGACACCTTTAATATCAAAAACAACCTTTGGCCTCCTTGCCCTCAGCTCCAAAAGAACGAGGACGAGATGCGCAACCTGGAGGCGGACTTGGCCGCGGTCAGCCGTCAACTCCAGGGGGCGCTAGATGAGGCATCCATGAAGGAGCGCACCATCAAGGAGTTACACCGTGACCTGAGTCAGAGCCAGGGCCAGTGCGGCGAGCTGCGGGCCCAGGTCGAGAAACTCAGTAGACAGGTGGCCATGCTGTCGGTGGCCTCCCAGGACACCCGGAATGCACTGACTGAAGAGGTGAGAAGACGGGGATCTAGACTTCTTAGGGGTTTACGAAATCTAGGCTTTGTCGCTGGCTTTGGCTTCAGGCTCCAGACTTCAGAATAGACCAAATGCCTATCATGCAAGGCCTATGGCTGGTGCCCCCCCCCCCCCCCCAGAAAAGCCCCCCCCCCCCAAAAAAAAACCAACAGAGGAAACAAGAAAGAAAAAGAGGCGCAAAGTCATATTGCTGTTAATTTTATGGTTGGGGGGGGGCGCAAATGTCTCTGCCCACCCTCGAAAGATGATAAATCGAGAATATGCTAGAAAAGTGCAGGGATTTCTGGGGAAAATGTGCTTTGCCCTCCTCTAGAAAACAATTATGCTGACGCCCATGGGCTGGTGTATTTTCATTGGACTTGAGTGTAGCAGGATTCTTATGAAACTTGGGCAGGAGTGGAAGGCGAAGCTTGGTAATGGAGCCAGGGTTTCTTAAACCTCCTTGGATCTGATTAGGGAGTTCTCCAAATCATGGTTCCATAACCAGCTTCGACTCCAGTCCCCAGCTTCCCTGATTTTATGCCATTGATTCCACATACAATGCAGCTCCATCAAAATGACCCTAGCTGTAGGCCAAGATGAAGCCACAACCACTGATGACAAAACCCAAATTTGGAAAATGGCCAGCATCATGTTTGTAGACTTTGAATCTGTACTCGACCGAGACAAGTGCATTCTTTTATGTAAATGTCCTCAAAACTTCAAAATTGTAAATTCAAGTACTAGACATGCAAGAAGTTAAACTAATTGGCTCCACAACTTTCGACTTCAAAATGATGAGAAAAGAAAGAAAAAGGTCATCTTTGTAAATGTGGTGCTGTGGTCCAATGGTTACAGTGTTCGACTCATGTGCCGTGGTACATGGGTTCGAATCCTGACCGTGGGAACATGGTGCTTGTGCTCTTGAGCAAGGCACTTTACCATTATTGTTTCGTCCTTCGGATGGGATGAAAAGCCGTAGGTCCCGTGTGTTGTGTAATGCACTTTAAAGAACCCAGTAACACTTATCGCTAAGAGAAGGCGTTTGCCCCGGTGTTTCTGGCAGTGGCTGCAATATGCGCCGCAGTACCTTGTAAACCATTATAAGGTACTACATAATGGGTCTCATATTTCTCATAAACTTCATTTACCTTTCTTGAACATGTTTAATAATAGACATAATTTCCAGCGCCTTGAGTACCTAAATGGTAGATACGTGCGCTATATAAGACTCCGATATTATTATTATAAATGTCGGCTTTAAGCCTGATATGTGTTTTATGTATCGTTTGGTCACCCTGTTTTGTTCTCTTTATGTTTCCAAATTTGGAATATTTTATTTGATATACACTGATGTTTCAGTATCATAGCTACATCACTATTACATTAATTGTGCTTTACTTATAATTTCATAAACTATGCATGATTTGTGCTTCAATATTCCATATTGTTGCCATGGTAATGACGTCAGGTTGCCGAGCGACATGACACCATCGTCCACCTGAGGACTGACCTACAGCTTCTTGAGGAGCAGCACCAGCAGTGCCTGGTGCAGGTCCAGCACCGGGGAGAGGTCATGCAACAGCTCAGACAAGACTTGAAGACGGCCACCACTGAGGTAGGGACGGGCTTATTTACCCCCCCCCCCCAATATTTTGTGAAGACTGTCCTTTTCCATTCAAATGCCCTTTTTTAACCAGCGCTTACCCCCCCCCCCCCAATATTTGTAAAAAGTGCCCTTCTTTTCTAAACAAGTGCCCTTTTTTTAAAGCAAAGTCATGCCCTTTTTTGTGCCATCGGCCGTTACGGGTACCTTTTTGGCATGTAGGGGATGTATTGCCCTAAACCCCTCCCCCCGCAACTATTTGATTTGACAGAGACCAAGTCTTCGGAGAAAAAAATGGGTCTACATTTCAGCACGGATGTGCAAGTGCCCTTTTCAAGAAATGTTTACCCCCAATAAAAATGAACTTGCTATGCCACTGTCATGGGTTCCGTGCAAAAGTATCCCCTTAATAGCGGTTCCAAAGGGAAAGCTTGGGGGAACCACCAGAGGGACATTGGAACGCATTGCTAACCGCCTGACGCTCACGCGAAGACTTCATCAGTTTGTGAGGATAAAATTAGCTGTGCGTATTTCGGGCAAACCAGTGCATTCACGCTGTGTCTCCCCTAAATACAGGGTGCGTTCGTTTAGCTCACCCGGGTCGACTCGGGTCAGCCCCGTTCCGTTCGTTTAGCTCTGACGTCATTCGGGCCCACCCGGGTTAGCCACCACAGACCCTGCTCGTGGAGCAGAGTCAGTTGTGGAAATATGTCACATGCAAGCGTTGTTTATTCCTAGAAACGGACAAATATGGCAGCCGGACAGCGGAAATCTCAAGTGGACTTACAAATTAACTTTATTTGAAGTCTAAAGGTAATCATGTATTGAGTTCATTGCGACTTTTGAGGCTATAATTCCAGCCCAACTTTTTTTGAGTTTTGCAATTGACTGAAAAGCAGTAAATCTCAAACTGAGACCCAGCATGAAATGGGCGTTTTGTCAGTGGCTACGGCTACGGCTACAGGCGTCACGTGAGGATCGTGTTAGCCCGCGGTTGAGCGTTCGAGTAGCCCAGCTGTCGTAGCTCACCCATCTGCCTTTACCCGAGTCGATCCAGGTGACCTACTGGAACGCACCCATAAAGATATGTACTAAAAGAAGTATGGAGCTATGGAGTGGAAGTTTGGCACTTCGAATCCCATTCGGACCAAAACCTGGAAAACTCTCTCTGACGACCCAACAATAAAATGTGTACCTGATTCGTTCAGCGAAGGTAAGACAGCGAGAGGAGAGGACTGGGCACCGCCACTCATATGCCGCGCTCAAGACACAGTGGACCTCTAACATCCCACTGCCCCTACGGCCAGTAATGGCTATGGGACCTTTACCATTACCTTTATCTTTACCTATGGTTACTTTTCTCCAACCTACTCCATTTGATGGATAGTTTCCCCGGAGAAAAAATATATAGAATTTGTCTTGCAAAACAGTGACAACTTTTTGAGATTTCAAGGATATATTTTCACAATCTCTTTAATGTCACAGAAAGATTCGTCGTTATTAAAACCCACTTTAACATTCCTACTTCATTTTTCATGAAAAGTTGGAACAAGTCCAAGAGCAAGCAGCAAAGACGGAGGAAGAGGCGCGGGAACGGGCCGCAAAACTCCAGGCGGAGCTGACCGTCAAAGTGGGCGCTCTTCAGGCCACCAAGACCGAGCTGACGAGCCTGCAGGAGAATGTCTCCAAGAGCCAGTCGCAGGTAAAGCATCTGGCAGGTTCCTTAGCAAATTTTCATTTGGCATTACGTGAAACTCCCATTTGCCAAAACCCCTGAACTGTACCTACCGATTTCACTGTGACTCTTATCAGCTGTTATCAGTAAAGTAATTATAAGATAAACACTTACCCTGGCACCCACTTCCCCAGGGCCAGTGACCATGAGCTGGTGGTGTCAAATAATGGAAACCTTGAAGAGCATGGCTGAAGTCGGACTGTTTCTTATTTGATATCTCGAGATATATTTGATCGATTTTTATGATTCAAAGTTGCTCATATAATAACTTTTGACACTTTTCCAAATACTTTACATTATAAACAAGAACCTAGTAGACTTTGGTAGATATTTTTTGTCAGTAAGCTCACAGGCAGAGGCACCATACACCACCTGTTCACGGCTCGTTAACTCTTGATCAGATAAGAGAGATCGCGTTGAAAGCTGCTGAATCTGAAATCGGTAGGTACGACCCGAGTTTGTCATAGGCAAACTCGGGTCTAGCTCAAATGGGAGATTCACAATGCAGTTTGTCACCAGTCACTTGCATTAGGGGAGTCGGGTTGGTGTAGCGGTACTTTCCTCGCCTTCCACCGCTGTGACCCAGGTTCGAATTCCGCAATGGTCAACATGTGGATTGGGTTTTCAGTCCCTACCTGATTCCGTGGGTTTTCCCCAGAATATTCTTCTGGGGTTTTTCTCCCACCTCTAAAACTGTAATTGCTTCTCATTGTCTTCTCTCCACAGGTTTCTTCAGGCTTGCGAGCTACAGTGCCTTGGGCGCTTTTGAGGAATCCCTGGTTTCATTACTAGAAATGATAAATTATAATAATAATAGTTAGAGTTCAGTTGCCACGTTTAAAACGTATGGTCAACTTCTTGTATGGGTTGACTTTCAGTTAATGATCGATCAGTCATTGCGGGACGAAACCACAAACAAAGCATTCAGACTTCACCATTGCTTTTTACAGATGAAAACTGAACTCGAAGTACCCTTGTCCAAAAATTTGTTTTAATCCTCTCCTTGCTAAATATTAAAGTATCATGTTAAGATAAATATTGACATTTTTCCAGGATGCAGAGCCAAAATGGCTTCCTATAAACATCTTGGAGGCCAACCCACACTGAAATTCGTATCCTTGTGGAGACATTTCTTTGTTCTCGTGTAGAAAAGTTTTCGAGTTTGAAAGTGAAGTTTCAAAATGCTCTTATTTTAACCAGAATTAATTTCCTTGGCTGAATTTCGGACTTAATATCCCTTTTCTAAAACTCTTCCATTTGCGACAGCTCAAACCCACCTTGGAAATTCCTAGTTTTTGAGTCAAATCCATATAACTATTTCGTGAAAACCTTGTGGAGACGTATTCATCTATAGAAACTGCCCTGTGGAGACGTATGCAATCTTTTGTACCCTATTGTGTGCACGTCTCCAGAGGGCACGGTGTATCAGATCAGCGTAACATGAGCCCTCCCATTTTATACTTGGGACAAACTGGAGAGATTTACAATTTTCTGCGAGTTAAATCTTTAAAAACAAGGATTACCCTTCCAGACATCAGGACAGAGCAAATCTTGTTTGTACTCTTACTAGCATGACTAGTCATATTGTTCTTTGCTTTGGGTTTTTGTATTAAATCTCTTGTTTTTTTTCCTTCAAATCTTGAAAGGTTGAGAATCGGGAGGAGACCATCCAGCGTCTTCAGCGCCAGGTCCGGTCTCTGCAGGGGGAATCGGAGAGGAGGGAGGACTCGGTACAGAAGCTGGAGGCAGAGCAGACCACGTCGATGGAGGAGAAACGAAAACTTGTAGATGAGGTAAAAAAGATATAAGGCAGAATTGTCATGGGTCTGTTTATCACTGAAATCTGCACTTCTGGTCACCTTTTTGTGTTGACAGCGCAGGCACAGAACTGTATGCTGACCTTGTAAGCACAGAATGCTTACGCCACTTTCAGCTTGAAGTATCATATTGTGGATAGATGCCACACCATGAAGTGACGTATCATGTTAACAAAGTCCGTAGATGATCCGTCTCTTTTTGGTGCACTTGACAATTTGAAGAATACATGCATTTATAGGTGATTACTTCCTTCCATCTCCCAATAAAGCTGGCAAGGAGAAAGACCTCCCTGTCCCAGATGGAGTCTGAGCTGAAGAAAACTAAGCAGCAGCTGCAGGATGTAATGGAGGAGAACGGCCGTCTGGCTGCTAGAATCCAAGCAGCACAGATCACTGCACAGAGTGAGCAGGACGTCATGTCTATCGAGGTGGGTTCTAACCTCAAACTTTGGTAAGAGAATCTCTGGTCAATCATTTACTACTCTTAAATGATTTAACTGATTAGTTCTAGCCCTGCCTCAAAACGCAACCCTTCATCTTCAGAGATTCAAAATCAACTCATTTTTTTAGGGCAATTCATGATAATGTTGTCTTCGTCGTGATAGGTTTCTCGTCGGGATGAAGCAATGCAACGGATGAAGAATGAACAGACAGCACTTAGAGAACAAGTCATCAAGTCAGAGGAGAAATTATCCAAACAGGTTTGCTGAAAAATATATTCCAATTAATATTGTTGTTCATTTCCAAAATTTCCCTAGTTTATTGGAAAGCTCTCGTGATTGGCTGTATATTTACATTTTTGAAATTTTACACCAATAGGAGATGGCGTTAGAGCAGTTGAAGCACCAGTTGAAGAAGGCCCAGAATGAGGTCAAAAGTCGTGATGAGAGCATTCAGAACTTGGAACGTGAGATACGGGATATGAAGCAGATGCACAGTGGAGCTAGAGATGAGGTAGGTGGGGTTGTGCCGACAATGGCTGGCTGGCTGGCTGGCTGGCTGGCTGGCTGGCTGGCTGGCTCCCCGGCTGGCCGGCTGGCTAGCTAGCTGGCTAGCTGGCTGGGAGGTTGGCTGGCTGGCTGGCTTTTTGGTTGGCTAGCTGGCTGGCTAAGAACAGAGATCCGGGATATGAAACAGATGCATAGTGGGGCTAGAGATGAGGTAGGTGGGGTTGTGCAGATGATGGTTGGCTTGCTGGCTGGCTGGCTGGGTGGCTAGCTGGCTGGCTGGCTGGTTGGCTGGCTGGCTGGCTGATTGGTTGGCTAGCTGGCTGGCTAAGAACAGGAGATGTGGGATATGAAGCAGATGCATAGTGGGGCTAGAGATGAGGTAGGTGGGGTTGTGCTGACGATGGCTGGCTGGCTGGCTAGCTGGCTGGGTGACTGGCTTGCTGACCGGCAGCTGGCCGGCTGGCTGGCTGGCTTGCTCCCCGGCTGGCCGGCTGGCTGACTGGCTATTTGGTTGGCTAGCTGGCTGGCTAAGAACGGGAGATGTAGGATATGACGCAGATGCACAGTGGGGTTAGAGATGAGGTAGGTTTGTGCAGATGATTGTACGTGGCTGGATGGTTGGCTGGCTGGCTGGCTGGCTGGCCATTTGGTTGCCTAGCTGGCTGGCTAAGTAGGGAGATACAGGATGGCAGATGCACAGTGGAGCTAGTGCTGAGGTTAGTGGGGTAGGGCTTGCAGGCGGGTATCAAACTTCACACAGGTTTCATGTAAAGTTTCAGAAAATTTTACAAATATTCCGTTTTTTAATATCTTTGAAGGTTAAAGCTGCTTTCCCTGTGCTACTTTTGAGTTTCATCCCAAAAAACACCTTCCCTTTTTTAAATTGCTATTAATCAATTTTGAATGAGACCTCCATAAAAGACCCTTAAAATCAGCCCATGTTTAGGTATTGCATTATTGCTTTACAATTTGGAATCATTGGCTGCCCGGCAATAATTCCGTTCTCACGGGTTAGGCTTGTTCTTGCAGGGAAGGCTTGTTAATATCAGAATGGATAATGTACGGACCAGGAGCCTGTCTGCTTGCAAAGCAGATCTGTTCGGGGCAAAAAAACCAAACCATTTTTTCACAGGGTTGCAGATGTCCCAACAAATTTAAGCTATTAAAAATGCACAATTTTACTTTGTTGGTCAACGCTGGCTTTGGTTGGTTAACTTTGGGCTTGGTTTCTCAGGGTAGGGATAAGATTTCAAGCTATAGTCCATCATTTGCAGCCATCCGAAAAGTAACTGGCGAAATTATTGTTCAAAAACATACTTGGTTAAAGATAGTAAGGGGTCTAAACTCCCTGTGAAATTAATCTTTCTGGCAAGCTGTCATTTTGAAGTAATCAACGAAAGAAGGCCTTTCCAATGGTGTGTCTTAAGACGCACTGTAGGAAAATGTAAATTAGTAGTTTGTTTTGTTATTCGGCGAAGCAAGCGCTGGCACGACGCACACGCGCGCGCGGTTGCTATAATTCGTCGGATCAGTGCGCGACATCGCGTAGCTGCAGTCGGCTCAGTGGGAACACGTCTCGGACGCTGAATTCAGGCCCAATTCAAAACATGATTCAGCAAATTTTGATTTGAAATTGAGATCCTAGAATGCTGTTTTTCTCGGAATATACAGCTGAAGCTGAGCTGAAACTTCATCAGGTTAGTTGTTCAGTATCCTTCATTAGATTTTGAACACTTTTGTTGCTTCAAACGAACAAAATGCACAAATCACAAATGATGGACTATATCTTTAACTGTTTTGGGTCAGGCTGAGCTTAGTTGAGCAGGGTTAGACTGCTGGAGTCGGCTTTGGTCGGCTTCCATTTTACAAATTGAATGCCGGTAGCATTAATTTTTGGTATCTATTGATATTAACCTGAAATTACTCACTTTCAGGTTGAGCGTCTGGAGCAAGCGTTGCAGGAACTGAACAGTGAGTTTCAATCGGCACAGATAAAGGAAGAGAATCTTCAACAAAATGTAAGTTGCATTTGTTCCTTTCATTTTCATCAAGTGTTGCGGTTTTCATAAAAAGCCTTTCTCTTCTGCAATTAAAATTCTGAATTAAAAGCAAACCATCAATATGATGTGTGTATGTCAGTTTCGAAACTTAAAACTCATCATTTTTTTTTTTTTTTAGTCGTTGCTTAATTTTTTGTTATTCTCAGAACTTTCTGTAATAACAGATTTTCTTCATTGTTTTTCTAGCCCTGTTAAGTGTAAATTGACCTACCGGTTGCTATTCTATATATTTTAATATGTATATTATACAAATATTGAGTGGCTCAGCGTGGAATGGGAGGAATATTATCGCAAGGTAAAATCTGGACTTTTCCATTTCACGAGGCGAAGCCGAGTGAAATGGAAAAGTCCAGATATTACCAAGCGATAATATTCCTCCCATTTCACAATTTAAAGCCACTCAATATTTGTTTTATATAACTGACATATAGATTCTTGTCATTTGATATATTTGAACTTTTATTTCAATACAAACCTGGAGGAAAATGTATTTGTCTCTTCCAAACCACCCCTTCACGAAAATGTTTGAACCCAACGCTGTAGCGCTGGCTCTTTGGAACAATACGCGCTACGCGCAACGCTGAACGCGCACACCAGCATGCATTTGCACACAAATACCGCGTCATGATCCTAACTGTTGAATAGCATTTCCCATTCCCCATGGGCGGATAGTACTTTTTGAGCCGTGACATGAATGGGAGCAATAACGAATGACACGTGATGTGAGTTCCACCAATCAAATGACTAGGATCTGTATGTCAGTTATATAAAAAGTAATAATTGTAATTTGTAAAAGCCGTGGTCAGTAAGGTCAGAACCAGTTTGAAAAATACACTAGGTTACTTAGATTAGAATTGGAAATTACTTGTGCAGTTTTACCACTCAGCCACTGAGCTTGCCTGGGGCAGGTAGCAAGATCAAATCTAACCTGGCAGCCAGTACTGCAATCGGTACTTGTCTAGAGTGTGGTAGTATTAAAGTTTAAGGTAAAGTGACATTAATTGTACATTGTGATTTCGTTTTATGGTTTTTGGCGAATAGGTCAAGATAAAAGAAGATGTGATTTCGGAGCTACAAGCCGACGCTGAAACTCTCCATCAACAACATAAAGAGTTTCTTACCAAGGTAAACTATCAAGGCGTTCAAATATCGTAAAGCTAGACAGTAAAAGAAGACAGCATCAATATTATTATCCCCCTGGCTTTAGCCAAAAAAAAGGGGGATATTGCCATAGTGTATTCCTTCTGTGTGTGTGTATGTATGTGTGTCCGTCCGTCTGTGTGTTCCATTTTGGTTAGGACAACTGTTCAGTGCTGTCATATGAAAAGTCAGACTTTAATCTCAACCAAACTTGGTGACAATAATCTTTGGGTAGGGGGATTTCAGATGACTTGAGACATTTGAGGTCAAAGGTCATCTAGGGGTCAAATGAGGTCATTGTTGGTTTCGGCTTGGTAAACTGAAAAGTGCTGTCATGAACGGATTTCCATGGCATTTTTACTGATTATACACAAGAGTATAATTAATATGCTCCATCAAGATGAAATACTCATGTCAATTAGTTTTTGAGAAATCAAAGGATATCTTTTGGGGGACACCCTGTACATGTACATGCCTTAAATTCAGAACACGTGCAGCTTTTGCGTTAGCGTGGCGCCACCGCAGTAGTGGCGATTGCCCCATAAGTCTTAGCCCAGGTTGGACTCCGTTGTGTACGCAACAGAGTCCAGGGTATGAATCTCTCCTGTCATAGCGAAAAAAATTATAACACATTTTTTGCATATTTTTACCTGACGGAGGAAGCTGAAATTTCGCTTACACATTCATTGTGTCCAGAATTGTGCATGTGCTGGGTTTAGAAAAGGCAAATATGTCAGCGGGCGGCGTGTTTACCGAAAATAAACTACAATCCCACGCTTTCGTTGAAAACAGTTTTCAGTACGAACTCCCCATGTGAAGATTACGCCCGCGCATGCACACCTAGCATGCTGCCGCCACGGCAGCAAGTGGCAGCAAATGGCACGCACGTGTACGTCTTCACCCGCACGCGGGGAGTTCGTACTGAAAATGTTTTCAACGAAAGCGTAGAACTTGCGGTTTATTTTCGGTAAACACACCCCCCACGGACATATTTGCCTTTTCTAAACCCAGCGCATGCACAATTCTGGACACAAGGAATATGTAAACAAAATTTCAGCTTCCTCCGTCAGGTAAAAATATGAAAAAAATGTGTTGTAATTTTTTTCGCTATGGTGGTACTATTTATACCCTGGATGTCAGTCGTAATGCAAAGAAGACGTCGTCCAACCTGGGCTATAATAAGTCTATATCTTCACTTGTTGATTGCTCTGCCAACAGATTGCTGAGAGGGATGGAGTGCTGCAGAAGCTGAACAACGAGAACGCTAAACTCAAGACTAGGAGTCAAGAAAAAACAACCGAGGTATGACACAAAATATGATTTGAAATAATATAAGTAAAGTGCTAGTATTTCCCTTACTGCTGATGTTCAGTGTGAGACGTATCCAATGACCCCAGAAAAAGTGCGATACCCACTATTTGACAACGATGCACCTCTTCTGGGACTCTTAGGGTCCATCGTGCAAGTGATACGTGCATAAATGGCTGAGTGGATTTTCTTTGCCGATGTAGATCCAGAGGCAGACCAACATGATGAAGCGATTAGAAGATTCCATCACCAAGGCTCAACTGGACATGGAGGAAATGAGACGCAAGAACCAAGAAGAGGTAGGGTTAAGTTGTACATTTTTCCATTATTTTTCTTTTCTCTTCAGGGTGAGTAAAAAAAAACGAAACCCAAATGTCGGAACCATTGTTTTACTGAACTGCAGCATTTTCGAAATCTAGGATATGAAAACCTCATTCATCAGCTTTCTTTTAGTACAAGAATTGTTCAAATCACTCATGTATGCCTAAAGTTACGGATTTTTAAACACAACCATTGTTTTAAAGTTCTGTCCACGGATCACAAAAAAACCGAAAAGAAATCACTTAGGGATGTGTGTGTTAATTGTTTTCGTTTTGCTGAAAAAACGCTCACCTTTTGTGTGATCCGTGGACAGAACCTTAAAACGGTGGTTGTGTTTAAAATTCTGTTACTTAAAAAGTACAGGAGTGATTTGAATGATTCTTGTACTAAAAGAAAGCTTATAAATTGGGCTTTCATATCCTAGATTTTGAAAGTGCTACATGCAGAACTTCAATAAAACAATAGTCCCGACATTTGGGTTTCGTTTTTATTTTACTCACCTTGTATAAACAGAAGAGGAATTGTTGCCAGTGTTTTGTGAAGGCAAGTATGGTCAGTGGGAGTGTGATGGAGTTGACTCTAACTCTTCGGTGCTGTCGATGGTCTTTTAAAGTTACCGAGTGTGCTTAGTTCCACTGTGTGGCCTTTTTTTTTATGATAATGCACAGTCATAGTTTAGTCAGGTGGCATGGTCAGAATCGTGACCGACTGGTCCAAAGCACCAAACTTAGCTTGGCAGATAGATTCTCTTTTCAGAAGGGTGCCTAATTTGCATAAATCGTTATATATTTATTCCATGTTTTGGTACATTTAAAAAAAAAAAAAATGGAGGGGGGGCATGTTTTGGAGATTCTACTTACTTATCCTCACTTAACTAGCATTTTCTAAAAGTGACGGGATAATTACGAGGACAAATGAAAGATCCAAAATGGCTACCATTGTACCCCAAAGTTTTGCGCGTTTACCTTTTCACAAGATATCAAGTAGTCTTGCCAAACCTCAGTATTGATGAGCTTCAAATTCAAAAAGTTACTTACTGGCACAGTTACCCTATTAAAACCCTACATAGAAAATCATGTGAAAAATGATAACATAATAATATTTAACCCCCCCCCCCCCAAAAAAAAGGGGGGTGTCCTTAAAGTGGGCTAAAAGTTAGGCGAGGGGTTGCCTAACGTAGGGGCTTGAACAAGTTCAAAGAAATCCCCGAAAAATAAGAGATTATGGTTGCTTATAATACATCAATGTCCAAGGTTTTCAGGTAAATTAGGGGATAGTGGAGATTCTAAATTTCTTTAGGGCTATAAGAATCTATCTGCCAAGTTTGGTGTCTTGGAACAGTGGGTCAAGATCTTGTCAAATATTGGATCTAAGCCACAGGACTAGTTCTTGCCGTGCCCCGATAGAATTAAGCATCTGTGAGACTATTTGCAAATAATTTTTCCATTCTCTTCCTGTTTTTTCCTGCCGCTTCGATTCTGGATGTGGTGCTAATTATCTGTTTTTGCCCCGATTATGGAATTCGGTTTGACTTCAATTCTCTTGCATGTTATATCAACTTTGTCGTTTTCACTCTTGTGCGTGTCATGGTGTATTTTTAACTGTTTTGGTAAATGAATTTTTCATGCATGGCGGCATTGAATTGTTAACGTTATATTTCACGGAATGCATGATGCAAATGGGCCCCACTGGTTTTTCGGTTGAAACCACAGCCGCAAGTTATAATGCGCAAGCTGCTTCTGCGTACGCTAACGGCCGTTCGCTGTCAAATCCTCCTAGCGACGGGATTCTTGAAATTACTGGAGGAAAGATATTTCACCCCGAGCGTGTTGCCCCCGGCAACACCATCTACATAGAATGCACAAAGTATTTATGCAACTGTATTAATAAACAAAAATATTCTTTTATTTCGGCCAGATTGAAGAAGATCTGGTTATGAAAATCCAAAGAATGAAACATATCTAAGACTCGGAGCTTGAAATTTTGTCAGCAATTTAAAAAAAAGAAAGTATTTCAGATGCTGGACATCTGTGAATATTTTAATTTATTTTTAAACATTGATTGTTTAAAAGAGGCTTATACTTATTAAAGGAATTCATCTTTTACAGTAGTACATTTTACCAGCCACGTAGTTTAGAAAAAATGAATAAACAAGGTGCACTTAAATTCTTTAAAAAAAAAAGTAACTTTAAATGTTATTGTAATTGAGAAAATATAAAAGATCACTCAGGAACACCTTTCTGGGGAAAAAAGGAACAGCCGTCACATGCATAAGTTTTAATATACAATGCACGTTAACTCCTTAAAATATTGCCGAACTTTATGAATATTACATGCAACTTTTAAAGAATATTCATAAATACATTTACACAATCGTATTGGTTGAGAGCCCGTCATGTTCCCGGGCTTAAACGGTTGATAAAACATCGGCTGGCTTGTCTTAAGCACTTTTCCAATGTCACATGAAATTTGGACTCCTATGAAATCCGGTGCCTTTTACCCTTTTATTGGTTGAAAGTTCACAATTCTTGGTTAGGCGTGCGCGAGACTACCAATGAATTCGTATTTCAGAGTCCTAAATTCACACTTCACTGGCACAGCTGCGTTCTGCACCACATCGCGCAGTACGTGCAATGCACGCACCAATCTCCCTATAAGGAGCTGTTTACGACTGCTCGTGAGAAACACGTAACATAGCATAGCTAGAGGGGTGTTTCAAAAAACATGAAGTAAACTTGTTTAACGAAATCATTGGAAATATATAATTTTAACTGTTTGACAGAAAAAGTATTTATGAATGGGAATAAAATATGAATATGAATGAAATATGAGTTTGGCCGGTATTAAACACAATGTTTAAGACCGGTTTGGAGTCTGAACGCTGATATATCAGATCTTAAACATAGTATTTAAAACCAGCCACGCACACATATGTTCCCTTACTAACAGAACACGAACAACTTCATCAGGAATATTACAGACAACATTTCTACATTGTAAGTGCCTGTATGCCTTAAACACTTTTAAAGCTGAAAACGACTATGCACTTTTTCGTGAACAGTATTATAAAACACGAGTTGGTAGTATGCATGTTGTTGGATTGTGATGTGTAAAGAAATATCCAGAATTCATTTTCTTCCTCCGAATTTGGGTTGTATTTTTGTAAATGCGCACGTATCCACAAATAGGTATCAAACCAAGCAAGTGTTTTGGCTAAATGAAATATCCCATTTTGGCTCCCGAATATTATGAAGTGTATAATGGGAGACCTTTGAGACGTTGGTGGCAGCAAACACACCGGTCCTTCTCAATTGTTTACGTCATGTTTAAGCTAAAGCGCGCATGCTCAATATGACGCAAACTATGGAAAAAGGACAGGTATGTTTGCTGCCATCAACGTCTCAAAAGTTTCCCATTATCCTAAGTATTGGGATAATTAGTAAAATCCATAATGAACAACTTCTATACTGAACAATCTTTTATTGGTTTTATTGTGTTTAATTATATGTTCATTATACATGTAGTCACTTTCTATTGTATGTGTACCTCATGCAAGCACATCTGAAAAATGCATTGGGGCAATTCCACAGTTACTCACGTTACATTTTTGATGTACTTTTGAGTTTCCTTGGGCTGTAATTACCTTACTGAAAAGGTTTAATAACTGTTATCCCTATGGTAGATAGAGAAGACCTAGACCTACAGTACCTAAGCACCAAAGATGACATCCAGAAAAATGTGTTATGTATGATAAACAAGACGCACAAAATCGGTTACTCACGTTACATTTTAGTAACGTGAGAAACCAATTTATCATACATAACACATTTTTCTGGATGTCATCTTTGGTGCTTAGGTAGGTCTAGGTCTACTCTATCTACCAATGTAACGTAAGTAACCATGGAATTGCCCATTGTCGTTAGACTGGTATGCAGACTTCAAAAAAAGACACAGATCCCATTGTATACTATGCACATCTACAAGTAAATGTAGTTGAAATGTTTTCACTATAAGAGTTACAAAGTATGCAAATGCATCATATATTCTTCATGATAGCTGACATCGCACAGGAATAATTAAAAAAATAGGTATAACAATCACAATTTTACTTTGCCGTCGTCGTTTTTTTCCCCCTGGAAACTGAAAACTGTTTGATTCACCACAAACACGATCGGTCAAGCCCTACCCTGTCCAGTGATGTTTACTGCCATGGCCACGCAACAAATTTTCTGACAAAAGTCCAACGTGCATGCACTGATCAGCGGTGAGATTAGTCAGGATTTTTCCTGATATCATGATTTTTTGTCATGATTTTCTCAATTTCAGGATTTTTTTGTGTGAGAGACTTTTTTTTATTGATTTCAGGATTTTTTTGATAGGGTGTTTTCCTGACACAATGTATCAGGATTTTTTTGTTGGGATTTTCATGATTTCAGGATTTTTTGGTCAAGGTTTTTCCTGACTTCAGGATTTTTTTGTGGGTTTTTCTTGATTTCAAGATTTGTTGTCAGGTTTTTCCTGATTTTAGGATTTTTTGTCAGGGTTTTTCCGGATTTCGGGATTTTTTGATTTCAGGATTTTTTTGTCAGGGTTTTCCTGATTTCAGGAGATTTTTGTCAGGGTTTTTCTTGATTTCAGGAGATTTTTGTCTGTTTTTTTCCTGATTTAAGGATTTTTTGTCAGGGGTTTTCCTGATTTCAGGATTTTTTTGTCAGGGTTTTCCTGATTTAAGGATTTTTTGTCAGGGTTTTTCCTGATTTCAGGATTTTTTGATTTCAGGATTTTTTTGTCAGGGTTTTTCCTGACAAAAAATTGTCTGTCATTGTCTGTCAAAATACTGTCATTTTATGTACATTATAATGGATGTTGCTTTTCATTTCCATGAAACCTACATGTACACTACTTGTTAACCATACTGTGAAAAGAATGGATGAATCGCTGCATGCTTTCTGAATGATTCAAGTCAATTAAAATGTGTTGTCAACTTACGTCTGTGTACTGCTTGTTTGTTAAAAGGCATATTTGCATGTTATTTTTTTATAAGAATTTATTAACGGTGAAGTTAGAACACAGAAATTACCTAACATAAGGAAGTATTAGCTGTCATACATGTATATACATGTACATGTACAATCAATAAGAACGCACTTTCAGTGCAAAATATGTGCGGCCAAACATGTGAAATGGTCGGTTTGATGCTGTTAATATCTGACTGTAATTTCACTTCTCTCCACACCAAATCCATAATTGTATTTGAGGCACTGCACTACGGTCATACCAGGATCTTCTTTGTGGTGGACAAAAGTTGCAATTGTAGCTTTTGATACAGGATGGGGAAACTTTCCTGTCAGGGTTGTGGAAACTGAAATGATTATTGTCTCCCGTAGTTCACATACCTTATCAGAGTGGCGCACAGTTTTACAGCCTAGGGAAATTCTAATTTTGTCCCGTCAGCTTGGGGGAGGGCCATGCTCGTATATGTCTGGCAAGACATCGGTAGTTAAAGTGGCTGGCCTTGCATGGCTCCGTGGTGCAAACATGTATGTGTTGTAGTTCAATGTTTTGTCTGACCTTTATGTGTGTTTGAATTAGATAACTATTTTCATGCATTCCACTTTGGGCATCATGATCACATCTTCTTTAAATATATGCTGCTTCTGAAATGTAAGGTAAGTTTTCTGCAGCATTTTAATACAATGTAGTAGAATACCAACACATACATATACAGGGTGGTTAAAAAAAAAAGGAAACCAAGCTTATTTTGTTGATTTCTCGGGTATGACTAATTATTTAGGAAAATGGTAACCACCATCTGTTACATAACCATGTCTTCCTTTTCTTGACACCACGAACTCCATTTTACCATCATGGATGACTGAGCACCAAGTGATATAACTGACATGCCAGAAATGGTCTTGTACCACATGCACCATAAGACCAATTGACAGTTTCAGCATATTGAAAATAACAAAATCCAGGACGTACTCTTTCAAAGTCATTTTTTCAATGGCTAAAACATATCAAGATTTATCACTAACCTCGTAACCTCACTGTCCTTCAACATGCCCCACATTCCTTTCAAGGCAGATCTCTGCCCTGGTTCTCATTGCTGTGAACGCATTCCTGATAACGTCTCTCTCTGATAACTGTCCATTGGTCTTATGGTGCATGTGGTACAACGCCTTTTTTCGCACGTCAGTTACATCACTTGGTGCTCAGTCATCCATGACGGTAAAGTGGAGTTCGTGGTGTCAAGAAAAAGAAGACATGGTTATGTAACAGATGGTGGTTACCATTTTCCTAAAAAATTAGTCATTCCAGAGAAATCAACAAAATAAACTCGGTTTCCTTTTTTTTAAAAACACCCTGTATAATCAATTTCAGGCATTGACTTAAGTGACATTCAGCGATAGTGTCTATGCTGCTTACAATTTGTTAAGATAAATATTAGGAACTTCATTAACATTGTTGAATGAAGATGTTCAGGTATTAATGAAAAGCTTTTAAAAAAGTGACATTACATCACATATGCTTTTATAGTTGATTTGATTTTTACCACGCCCCTAATTGCACGTTAATAATGGTAATGTAACAACATCTGTGAATATGACAAATTCGAGCAAGTTTTAATCTTTCCCTGCCCATCTTGTCTTTGTCTGGTACCAGCTTGCACGACGTGATGAAAGCCTTGCACAGATGCGGGAGGAACTGATGGAATCTCAACAGCAGTACACCACCTGCTGTGATGAGGTTAGAAATGCACCTCACTTACTACCGGTACTTTTATGTCAAGTTCATGTCCCTGATGAAGCTTTACGGACATTCCTTCCATAAAAAAAACAGCTTTGCAAATAGACCATGAATTATTTTTTTTTCCTGATGAATCCAGATAATACAGGGAGTAACAGACAGGGCAGTTTGGGGTGCTGCAGGGACTTGTGGGCAAAAATTTCAAATATATGTGAAAATACCATGACAAAAATGGTTAACATAATACCATGCAGTTTTCTGCCCATGTTGAAATGTTCAATAGCATACTGCGTCTTGTGTGATATCACGAAATGAGCTTTAAAGTTGGACTTTTTAAGAATTGAGATATTTATTTATTTGAATTCTGCAGAACAAGAGCTTTCCAATGGTATACAACATTAAGGGGTACTGAGTTCAGTAACGGAAATATAGACCACCAACTTACTTAAAACTGACTCTCAAGAAAGTGGCATTTAAAGATCCTGCAGTTGTGTTACAGTAAATGAACAGTCAACTAATAAAATGTGATGAAAATAGGTTTTGAAGATGTTTGCCAAAACAAAAACATTGCAGAAAGGTAAAAGAGGACTTACAGATGAAGGTTCACCTGAAATCAAAAATCTGACGACCCCTTCAAATTTTTGCTTTGCCCCACTGTACCGGAAAATGCCAATTTCCGACTTTAAGCTCATTTTTTGGGTGACCATGGTGACAGCTTTAATTGCCCTCCATGACTTTGCTTGCATGCCAGGCATGCAACTTTTCCTCGGATCAGCTGATTTTCTCTTTTTTTTTTACTTCCCATGTGTGCCATTGAAAATAGAAAAACAATGTACAAAGTCTTGGAAAGATTTGAATTTCCTCTCTTTTTTTGTGACTTCCCGGTTGCATGCCTGGCATGCATGTTAATCTGCCATTACAACCACCTCTTCCTAATAAAAAAAAAAAATCTGGTATCCTATCCCTCCTATCCTCTCCAAGGTGATGAAACTCGAGGACCTGCTGGACCGCGTCCGGGCCGAGAACGCCAAACTCCAGAAGCAGAGCGAGCACGACGCGACCGAGCTGCTGAGGCTGGCCGAGCGGTGCCAGCAGCAGGAGCTGGACCTGGCCGTAGTCCAGGAGAAGCACAGGACCTGCCAGCGGGAGGTGGGGGTCCGGGACCAGACCCTGCTCAGGCTGCAGGCTGAGCTGGACACGGCACAGCAGCAGTACCAGGGGTCACTTGAGGAGGTCAGTCAGCAGGGAAATAGCAATTCACAATACCATGTGCCACCTGGAGGATTAATCTGGAGGGACCATGTTTCAAAGTGCATTATTGGGGAAATGTTCAGGTTCTTGCTTAGAACAAACTTACACATTTGGGTAATTCCACGGATTTATAAATTGCAGTTTTAAAAAGGTTTTTAAAAAATCCAAATGCCACAAATGAAACATGTTTATCATTTTGAAGCTTATTATCTGTATTTTGTTGAATTTTTAAAAATTTCTACCAATGGTCAATAGTTCAGCTGTTAATTTTAACTGAAAAGTTAATTAATAAGTACACCGAAACAATCAATTTGAGTATATGTACGTCTGACACCATGGTGTTTCAAGCTGATTTTTACTACAGCAAAAAAGTTCGATGAACAATTTCTTTATTAAATCATTGTAGCAACAAACTGATACATTTTTATCAGAATAAGCCAGTTCCGTATTTCAACTGCGCATGCGCACAATGATATGGGTCACGGGTCATTCAGGATAATCGAACGCTCATCAAAGGCGAATGAACGCGCACGGACCCGGTCGCACGACGCTCGCGTGTTAATTACAAGCAGAATGGGCGTCGGCGTAACATCGCATATCATCACGTCAGCGATTTTATCTCGAATGACCTTTGACATGGACTATTTCATCAAGATACCAAACTGGCTTATTGAAATCCACTTTATGATTATAAGTTTTTTTTATGGGTCTCATATGTTCATATACTTCATTTACCTGGCTTTGGTTGCATTCTCCCCCAGCGCTTTGTATCCTCTGGCAAAAAGCGCTATATAAATACAGTTGTTATTATTATTATTATTATTTATAACTGTTGGACTGTCCAAAATGTACACCGTGCATGGAACTGCCCATTTACATTCATGTTTAATTTCATTTCTGGCTTTTTGTCAGGATAATGTGAATATCCATATTCACAAAATATGTTTGTTTAATTAGTTCATGAATTCCTGTAAGTTAAAATGGGGCAAAATTGCAGAAATGAATTTAAAAGATCATAGTTACAAGTATTTCTCTAATGTCTCATTTTCATTTTAAAAATATTTTTAAGACGTTTAAGGCGAAAAAGGTAGTGCCTTAAATTGTGATGTCGATTTTGTTAAATTGCCCAGGACATCAAAGAGATATATCCAATGAAATTTTAGTGTTCATAATGTGGCATACCTCAATCTCATTTTAGTTAGCAGCTCATGAGGAGGACCTACAGGAAGCCAGGTCAAAGGTCAAGAGTCTCCAGGGAGAAGTTCGCGACCTTAGAGATGACTTGGCTCAAAGAGAAAGAAAGGTAAGCAGTTAACATGTCTCTCTGACTATTTTAGGGTTTAGGCTGTCACCGGCAAGTGGAATGTACAAAGAGATTTGTGTCAAATATCCCTTCATGTTTTTGTGAAAACAATGGTTATTATTGATTTATTTTCAACAATTTGTTTGGAGAAGCATGTAGCATTTGGCATTGATTTAGAACCATGCAAGCCTTCAATTCTTATGTAATTTCTTATCATTTAGAAGATTTTAAAATTGGAATCGCTGGTATGTTGCAGCTTTGTGTCTAGCATGATCATACATTTTCAGAAAAAAAATCCTACATACATTACATTGAATTGGTTTTTATTGTATATATTGCAGGTGGCTTCAGACGAGAAATTTATTCAGCAACTCCAGGAGCAATGCCAAGTCTCTAGAATGGAGGTACATTAATTCCTTGGCACTTCTCCGTTCAGAATCCCATTTGAATTGGTTAAAAAAGTTAATTTGGCATCTGTCTATCTTTATAGGCTCAATGCAAGAGAGTTTTTTTTCCCCACTTTTGAGAGCACAGTGGACAGAACACACCGCACCCATGTACTGGTTCGTGCGCTTAAAGTGCAAAGTACAACTTATTTTATTCTGACCGAGCACAAAAGCATAGTGTCTCCACGTGGCGTCAGGTGGCATCAGCAATGCGTTCCAATGTCTCTTCCTAGTGGTCTTCCCCAACTCTCCCTTTCTTACCATTGAGGGGGTACTTGTGCACGGAGCCGCGAGCAGAATGAAGGTCTTGTAAAAAACATAATTTTTTAGAACTGGTCACCTGACGTATTTCAGGAGTTCATGTACAGGGTAAGTTAAAAAAAAACCCACAAAACCCAAATGTCGTGCCTATTGTTTTATTGAAGTTCTCCATGTGTAGCACTTTCAAAATCTAGGATATGAAAGCCCAATTCATAAGCTTTCGTTTAGTACAAGAATCATTCAAATCACTTATGTACTTTTCAAGTTACGGAATTTTAAACACAACCACCGTTTTAAAGTTCCGTCCACGGATCACACAAAATGTGTGCGTTCCTTTCAGCAAACCCAAAACAATTTACACATCCCTATGTGATTTGTTTTCATTTTGCTGAAGGAACACTTACCTTTTTGTGATCTGTGGACAGAACCTTAAAACGGTGGTTGTTTTTAAAAGTCCATAACTTGAAAAGTACATGAGTGATTTGAATGTACTAAAAGAAAGCTCATGAATTGAGCTTTCACATCCTAGATTTTGAAAGTGCTACATGCAAAAGTTCACTAAAACAATGGTCCCGACATTTGGGTTTCGTTTTTTTACTCACCCTGTATGATGAACTACTTTGTACACCACAGCTATAACAGAACCCGCACACAAGGTAGGTGATGTATCCCGGCGCGTGCGTGTACAAGCATTACATTCACTGTGTGGACTTCTGAACAAACAAGGTCCACATAAACCAGGTAGCAGCGACGTTGTGTGGACATGCCCACGTACACACAATGTTTCCTCCTCTCTGAAAACAGGTTTAGAGGCATTTTGGGGTTAGGTTTATCCGTGGCAAAATGAAGAGAAACACTAAAGAGTATCATAGTGTGAGTGAAATGAGTTTTTTTACACGAAAACAAAGGAATATCCACACAACGTATGTAACATAAACATGGGTGTGTCGACACAGGTCTGCATTGCTGCGCTTTTGTCAACACGGATCCGCACGTGTTTCAACGCAGACAAAAACAGAAGTTTTAGTGAAAACATAGGTTTAGTGCACATTATGTAGCCAACAACACACCATTATCAGCACCATTATTTAGGTTCTGTTGCTTGATATAAGTGGTATCTCTTAAAGCTCCTAAATTTTTACTGTTCCTTGCAAAACAGAGCCAGACCCACCTAACCGAGGTAAGCCAGCAACAGACCTCCCTCCAAGCGGCCAAACAACTCCACACGGAGGATGTACGCAGCTTCACCGCCCAGGTAAATGACCTCAAACACCAACTGGAAGAAGTCCGCGCCTCGCTGGACCAGAGCGAACTGCAAGGCCTGCAGTACAAGAGCACAATGGACGGCCTGAGGACAGATCTGGAGAAGACACAACAGCTGCATAAGAGTGCCATGGACAGGGTGAGGGAAAACAATTATCATGATGACAGCATGGGCAGACAGTCGTGTTTTACTATACTCTCGAGGACAATGCTTTGTGTTTCCCTTTGTCCTTGTAGTATAACACTCTCCCATAGACTAAGCCCATAACCCTGTGATAGAGGACCGTTTTCAACAAAGGACCCAACTCCCGAGGACTGAAAGGATCTGTTGTTCTCCCTTTGTGTGTCGGTCCTCGGGGGCTATGTAGAACACGTACACACTGACTGACAGTGTTGTATCTGATGTATTTATGATGAATCGCAGGCCATCACAAGTCCATCACATGGCCATCACATGTCATTCACATGTCCATCACATGTCAGTCACATGTCAGTCAGTCCATAGTCAACTCATAAGCTACTAATGAATCATGATAAAGACAATACTTTTTGTTCATTCCCTGTTATTTGTGACTGGACTTGCATGTAAGGACCTGAGATGTACATGGAACTGAATTTTCAATCTACATTGTATTACATTGTGTTTATTCACTGAAAAATCAATAAAACCATAGAGTGCTTGGGCGGTTTCAGGCGCTACAGTGAGTAAAGGGTTAAAACGGATTTTGTTTCTGTGGTTTCCATGAATTTAATCCAATACGTTTTAAATTGTACACATTCTATGGGCATTGTGTCGTAAAACAACACACATTGAATGCTTTACATTGTCATAATAAAACTAGCTCTTTTGGGTGATCCCTGGGGCATTAGATTTTCCTTTGGCCTTGACTCAAGAAAATAGAACCCTGAGGGAAGGTCGTTAATTTTACTATACCCCTTGAAGGCAGGCACTAACTGTCAACTATAGCACTGATTAGGATACTCAGGAGTATTAAGAATTTAACAGTTTAACTGTTTTGTTTGTTGTCAGATTGCACAAACCAACCGATCCCTGGAGCAACAGGAAGAGTTGTACTCCCGCGCCAAACAAGAAATCGCCTCGCTGCAGGACCAACAACAACGCGGTCAGTACATGACCCAGGAGGTCAGCGCCGAGCTGGCCAGCTACAAGGACCGTCACACCCAGAGCGTGGAGCAGCTACAGAGAGCCGAGGCCAGCTCCACGACGACCATCCGTGGGCTGGAGAAGCAGATCTCAGAATGCCAGAACAAGGTGTGGAATCAAGTCATACCTTTATTATTATTATTATTTTATTTCTGGTAATGAAACTAAGGAATCCTCAAGAGCGCCCTAGGCACTGTAAGCTCGCAAGCCTGAAGAAACTTGTAGATAGGATTCAGTGAGAAGAAATTGCAGTTTTAGAGGTGGGAGGAAAACCCCAGAAGAATATTCCGGGGGAAACCTACGGAATCAGGTAGGGACTGAAAACCCAATCCACATGTTGGCCCAGGCGGGATTCGAACCCGGGTCACAGCGGTGGAAGGCGAGGAAAGTACCGCTACACCAACCTGACTCCTATTTTGGAAGCTTGAAGATACCTAGTCCACATGTTGGCCCAGGCGGAATTCGAACCCAGGTCACAGCGGTGGAAGGCCACTATGGGGCAGTTGGTCCAGTGTTATGGTTTGTATTTCATGATCAGAACACTAGGCCGTGTTGTGTCCCTGGGCAATCTGGTTTACCTCTACTTGCCGCTTTTAACCCAGGAGTGTTGATGGGTACCAGCATTAGCTGTGAATAACCTGTGATACATTTGGGTATTTATTTATTTATTTTTTTTGAGTACCCCACAAGAACCCTCATGTAACCCACAGGAATCCTCATGTAAAAACACACTGGTTTGCACCATGTACCTTTGAAACCAAACATTTTTTTTACTGCCCACTTCTTTTTGCATAGATTAAGTCAACTTGGCAAGAGCAGAATTTTTGGGGGACCAAAAAAAATGATGGTCCCCCAAAAAGTGGGGAACAGAAATTAAGGCGTGGGGTTCGGGGAAACAATTGTGGATTCTAGATGCTCTGTGGTGCGATCTGAGGCAATTTCTGACCACTTTAACCACTTTTTTTTTAAGGAACAGATGGTGGTGTACGCAGTGCCTGCCTTTATTGCGACGTCACTTTAAAAAAAAAGCTTGGGGGTCGTTTCTGGATCTGCCCTTGTATATTGGCTGAAATGGTACCGCTGGAGACTGCAAGCCCATTTACACAATTTCACGTCATAGTGCATTGCTTTACTTAAAGGTAGAGTCCATCATTTGTAATTTGTGCATTTTGTTCGTTTAAGCAACAAAAGAGTTCAAAATCTAATGAAGGATACTGAGCAACTAACCTGATGAAGTTTCAGCTAAGCTTCAGCTGTACATTCCGAGAAAAACAGCATTCTAAGATCTCAATTTCAAATCAAAAGTTGCTGAATCATGTTTTGAATTGTTTTGAATTGCAACTATATGCGACGTCGCGCACTGATCCGACGAATTATAACAACCGCGCGCGTGTGCGTCGTTCGAATACTTGTGCGCGCTGCGCTGAATAACAAAACGAACTACTAATTTAAATTTTCCTACGGTGCTTCTTAAGAATCACCGTTGGAAATGCCTTCTTTCGTTGATTACTTCAAAATGACAGCTTCCCAGAAAGAATAATTCCACAGGGAGTTTAGTCTCCTTACTATCTTTCAACCAAGTTAGTTTTTCAACAATAATTACGCCAGTTACTTTTCGGATGGCTGCAAATGATGGACTCTACCTTTAACAGATTATGTATCTTCAAGCTTCCAATTTACAGTGCCGATGCAACGTTCATTACGTTCATTGCCAGAACACATCAATTCAAATGAATGAATACAGAAATGAAGACATCCTGAACACTTTTCGTTTGTTAGATCAAAGACAAAGACGATACGGCCGACAAGCTCCGTCGCTCCCTGACCAACCTGGAGCTGCAACTGAACGACAAGACGGACCACGCCGAGAAGGCAGAGAGGGTGATAGACACCCTGACGAAGGAGCTGGACAAGACCCAGGGGGAGCTGAGAGCCACCAAGGAGAAACTGGAGAACAGCCAGGATAACATTGCGAACCTGACGCAGAAGTTGCTGGAAAAACAACAGCAGGTACGCTGTTAAGCGATCAGTACAGTAGTATACTGGATTTTGAAATCTCCACTTTCTCCCAACACTTAGGTTTTTCTTGTAAAATCAGAAGCTACGTTTTGGGGCTAATTATCAATCTTCATAAACTGTCCATGAGATGATTCTTATGAAGAATACATTCTGCAACTGCTCCTCTAAAATGTAAACACAAAATTATTGGACATCCTTTTTGGTTAATTTTATTGAAAAGTGCACTTCTTTATTAAACATTATAAATTGTCCATGCTTTTCTGGACAACTGAGGGCGCTGTTGCTGTGATGTCATTTCAGGAAGACACTGTTCTGTTTGGAGGTTTTCTGTTCAAATTGTGAACCCAATCATTGAAAACATTTGTGAGAAAAGTTTGCTCATTGGCTTTACTGCCATGTACTGACAAGGAATCACCAAAGAAAAAAACATTTACAATAAAGCAAAATATCCAAAATTATGGCAACTTCATTTTTGGTACTGAAATAGCTGTAACATTTAGGTTTCTGCCTGATATGACATCACACTTTTGCTCATGCATTACCATAAAAACAAAAAAGGCACAAAAATTACTTTAAAAATGTCAAAATGAAAATTGAAATTAACCCTCCATGGGACACAAAGGTACTTTTTCAAGGATTACATTTTCTAGGATAGCTTTTTAGGATGACAAACTACCCAAAACATCTAAGAGGTCAATAGGGGTTGCACACCTAAACATTTTTCTACTTCATACCAAAAAACGGACGGCTACAAATATTCCCTACAATCATACGTACAATCCAATGGTAGAACCTTCTTCCACTCTGCACACAGTAAGCCACTACTGCTGAGACCTTCCAATCAGATCTGTTAACTTTGGATGTTAAGGACCTCATAAATCACGCCGAAGCAGAAGCAGACGTAGAAGCAGAAAAAAATTACATTGCATTGGCCCTTTACGTGCCTTTAAATCCTACATATCACCAAATACCCCACTAAGAGACAATGACAAGCTTTACGATGAATAAATATTTTAAAAAAGGGAAGGGATACGTTGGTAAGTATAAGTGAATGAATTTGTTCAAACTTTCCATTTTTTGCAATCTGCAGTCGGCCGAGTATCAGGAGCAAGCATGCAAGCTACAGGCGGATCTGAAATCCTATCGAGAGGAACACAGACACACTGCACAGGAGGTAAGTCAAGATAACTTGCTTGAATTGCCATTTTTAACTGTTTCACCATCCTTACCCCAAAGACTGCATGTACATGTACCGAGATAGTATTACCCAAAACTACTTAAGATTTATCTGGTGATCGCGATGCTGGCATGTGTTCCCCTAACCCTCCTCAATCCTCCAATACAAAACAGGTGATTTTGGAGGATTTTTGAGGAATGAGGCTGTTTGACCGTCGCATTTGGAGGATGCATTGTGTGAAGGCCTTACGCTCTACCTGGCATTGTTTATGTTCAGCCATGTGTAGTTGCCTACATAATACTGGATTTCATCTGCTCTGCTCCGTCTTAAAAATCCGTTGTAGGATTTTAGAGGATTGAGACAGTGGTCACGTTGCCACTGATTTCAGATGTGTAAGACCCCGTTCTAAATTGTTATTTTTTTTGTTTCAAATAAGCATTAGAATTAAGGGCCCCTGTAGTAGCTCCCTTTTTTGACAGGGATCAAAGAGAAACATTCCAAAGAAAAAATCATAGACTTTGCACACAATCTCGGAAGTGGCGTCAGGTTGCAACATTTTTGTCCCATTCCAATATCCTTCACTGGGTATATCAGTGCCTTGGCTGTTGTGCTAATTTGCATTTCATCTTTCCCATTTTACAACACTAGGTGAACGAGAGAGACGAGAACATCCAACAGCTCCAGCTGAACCTGCGCCAGCTGGAGAGCGCCCTCGCTGGCAAGGAGCGGGACACGGCTGACCTGCGCAGCCGGCTGGAGGAGGTGACCTTTGACCTGGAGGACGCCAAGCGACGTCTGGAGGATGCGGGGAGGGAGATCCGCGAGCTGGAGGAGGTCGTGAAGCAGCAGCGGCTGAACATGGCATCGGACAGCCAGAAACACAAGACAGAGGTAGTTGATGGTTTGAAGCTTGGCATGGCGGAGTGACGTCTTAGTGCTATGCGTTTTCAAATAATGTAGTATTCGATTATTGGAACTTGGATTTGGTCGAATATTCAAATATTCAACCCTTGACATTGAGGTAAATTTTTTTTTATGAATATCATGTATGTATCGATATATGTTTTCGAGATGGCTGAGGAGCTGATATTTGATAGATTTTTAAGGAAAAAATGTTGCAACCTGACGCCACTTCTGCGATTGTGTACAAAATATATGGAGAGTCAAGATAATTTTCTAAGTATTTCCTAACAAAATTGGAAATGTTTCTCAGTCCCAGATCCATGTCTTATAGTCATTTTTGCAATGAATGACCTTCATTGAGATGATATATGAAGAGAAAAGTGGCGTCAGGTTGCAACATTTTTCCGATTTTAAAGATGCATATTAGGTCTTTCATACCATGCAGAAGCTCTCAAGTCCTGCTTGTAAACTGACAGTCCACAAAAATGTGGCATTTGACAAAAAATACAACCTCTCGATTTATATAAACTGGATGAAGTGAAGGCTCTTACAGCGTGCGATTTTGGCCGAGGCTGCAGTTCTACGTGACCTCAGAAACTGAGATAAACCACTTAGAGTTGAACTCGCTGTACTTAAAACAGTGTCGGAACGCTCGGTGCATTTTAAACTTACATCAAGCCTCCCGCAGTGAGCGACCGTTTTAACTTTATTGTTTTAGCTAAAGCGCTGTCTGAACATAGCCTAAGAGTGGAATAATTGTCTGGTAGCCAAGTAATTTAAAATTGTAAAGTAATAATTCAGTAACTAATCACAGGGAGATTTCTTTGGTTGATGAATAATAATAATAATTAAAAACTTATATAGCGCCTTCCATTTAAAAAAAAACACAAATCGCTGAACAAAAGATAAAACCAAAGTACATAAATATCAATATCAAGATAAAACCTAGTTATTAGTAATCAAAATAAGACCTCATAATGTACATCATACAAAAAACAAAAATGAAAGCCGAAAGGAAACTTATCGAAATGACCAAACGCATTGTAAAACAGGCCAAACACTTTGTAAAACAAGTCAAATGAGATATCCAAAACCGGATCAACCGAATAAATGATAAAATGAATAACTATTGTATTGCTATTAAATAGCAATTTGGAAAAGGAATCTATTTTTCGGGATGAAACTCAAAATTTGCACAGGGAGTGAAACTTTAACCTGGATCCGCCACTGATCCTCATGCCAATTTTTTCTTTTTCTTTTCTAAGGTGCTGAAGTTTGAGGATCAGATCAAGCAGCTAGAGTCCAGCCTGTCGGAGGCCAAGAAAGCCCTCAAGACCCTCAGCCAAGAGATTGAGAGGAAGAAGGAGAGCCTGCAGAAGAAAGACAGCGAGATATCCGTCTCCAAGGATAACGTCAAGATCAAAGTAGATGAGGTGGGTTGAAGAAAGCAGGTTTGTAGGGGTTAGAGGAAGAGAATCATTTGTCATCAAAAGACCACATGATAACACTTTATTAAAACAAGTGCGAGTGCGCAATAAGCTCTGACCGTCTTGCATGAAAGTCTTGCATGAAATCTATCAAAATGGTCCCTGTCAAAGCGTAAAAATGCGACGCCCAAAAACTTGACGCCGTGCTAATTTTATCCACGCTAGCACAAATGATTTCACCATGCAATGGCTGGAAACATTGACCAGAGATTGCGCTACAAGCCCGGGCCACCGTCCCACGCGAAAATCACGCTGTGCTCGCCTCGACAATTGACCAAAAATAAACCCTCTAATTTTCCCATAACATATAGCGTGCTGTACCGCGCGGTATATAGCGCGCGATATTACCACATGACTATACCATTACTGCACATATTTTGCCTCCATTTACAAACCTGTGTTATTTATTTAATTTATTATGTTTGCTTTTTTGAAAATTAAAATTTGGTAGTTAAAGGGAATGTACAACATTTGCTTTGCTGCAATTTTCGGAAATAAATGGATTTTTTTAGGATAAGTATGTTATAGCAAATACTGTTATACTGACTTGTTTCATGTTTTGGGCTTGTAGATGCTGGAAAAACCAAGAAAACCAATCATGTTCTGGTAGTCTGGTTTACTGACCCCACTTAAGATGAACAGAGAAATGTAAAGACTTTGGGGGATTGTATGGTCAAAGAATCACTGTAGCAGGCTGGTGTGTAATCAATTGCAAAGAAAATGCGGAATAACTAAATATGAAAAATTAGGAGCAGTTTGTGAAAAAGCCAGTTTTTTTTCAACACTGGTCGGCAGACCAGCGTTGGAAAAATACAGTTTTTCTTGAAAATGTCAGCACACCAGGAGCCACAATTTTACAGGATGCTTTAGACTCATTCCCTAACAATCCAGTAAGGTATTTTGTAATAATTTGATCATTTCGTTTTTGAATGTTAGCAAATGTTGTATCTTCCCTTTAAATTTTATGGGAAACTTAGGGGGCCAAAGGGACATGTAAAGGCTCCTGCCAGAGCTTAAAAACAATCAACAAACGGGTCAAACTTATCAAACCATTAGCAACAAAGACACAAATTTCATCACCAAATAACAAGCTAACCAAAACAGACACCGCAACACCAGACAGCTCACCAGACCAACAACTAGCAGGGTTCCCACAGTCATGACAGTCATGGAAAAATCTTGGAAAATCCTGGAATTTAAAGCTATCATGGAAAGTCATGGAATCCTGCGCAACCTGTACGTGATGATGCGTAATATTTGGCTTTTGCAGTCTTCCACTTTGCATTCCAGTTTACCAAACCTCTGCTTTGTGCGTGTACATGTATATTGTCATACTTATGGCTCGTTCAATGCACCATTGTGATGCTTTTGTGGTGCTCAGTGGTCGTGCGCCACACTGGCAGGCTGAACGGGAGTGGTGTCCCTTGCCTCCAGAGCAATAAAGGCTCCTAAGATGCCAAAACTGCTTTGTGCGGGTACATGTACATGTATATTGTCTATACTTATGGCTCGTTCAATGCACCATTGTGATGCTTTTGTGGTGCTCAGTGGTGGTGTGCCACACTGGCAGGCTGAACAGGAGTGGTGTCCCTTGCCTTCAAAGCAATAAGGCTCCTAAGATGCCAAAACAGTGAGGAATTGGTCATGGAAAGCCCTAATTTTGTTCTGGAAAAGTCATGGAATTTCATTTTAAGATTTTGGCGGGAACCCTGAACTAAACTGCCAAATAAAGTAAAAGAGACAAATAGTCCCTTCTAACTGATCCAAACGACAAACTTAATTCTAATCTTTGAAAGCATTTGGTTTTGTGCAACTCACTAGTAGCAGTCTGATCTGGGTGTTCGTATGAATGGAGTCTGTTCCCCATGTGAAACAAAAAGTACACGGCAATGTTTTTATGTGGACTGAATTATATTTTACGTTTCACAGAACCAGAGGTTGGAAACCACAGTCCGCAGCCTGAACGACGAGATCCAACAGCTGCAGACCAAGGAGCGACAGACGCAGAGCGACAACGCCAAGCTCCAGGGGGAGGGCAGGCAGCTGAAGGAAGACCTGGCTGAGGCCAGGCAGCAGTACCGTGATGCTGCTCAAGAAGTACGGCATTCTCCAAGTTAATGGCTACGGCTTGGAATAATACATGCACTTATGGAAGAGGCAGCAGCCACTTCTCATAGACTTGTGTATTACCACCAGCCATAGCCGAGTTATATGGGTCATTCCACCGGGTTGGGAAGCAGTGCATGTTACATCCATATATTTGGTTATATTATTAAAAGTATCAACGCATTCTAAACAATTGCTCAACATAACATGTGTCTTAGGGTGTTTCAATACTTGAGAAAGTTTGAAATCATTTGAATGTACTTTGACAAAAATATGAGCAAAAATGTATTAATGCGGACGTAACATTGACAACGTGTCAATGTTATGTAAAATATTACCCAAACTGACATTGCATATTTTATAACTGGACACCTAATGCACCATTAGGTATTATGTTTTGGTAAAGTCAGAGTTCAAATATTGCAGAAACAATACCTCAAGTGTGGATGTAACGGTGTCAAAATCACTCAATGGAAGTGTGACATTTGGGGTTGACACTGTGTCAATGTTATGTCCACAACCAAGCTATCATTTCTGCTCCATTTAATACTGACTACCGTAACAAAAGCTTTTCTTATTGTGTTGCATGTATAGTAAGAAGTACGTAAAGTGAATTTGGGTAATGTTTCACAGAAATTTTTAAAAAAGGTACAAATGTCATATTTGGATGTAACATTGACACGTCGTCAATTGTACGTCCGAAATGACATTTTTTGCTCATATTTTTGGCAAAATACATTGAAATGATTTCAAACTTTCTGCAGTAGTGAAACACCCAACAACAAATATTATGTTGAGCAACTGCTAGCAAGGCATTCTAGCAAGGTCATATGTCACGCATTGTTCCCAACCCATTGGAATGACCCTTATGGATGCGGCTTGATCCTAATGTATTAATTGAACTGAAGGTACATATAAATTGACTTTAACTGAAGTTGGTTCACATTCTCAGTTGGGCACAGTTTGCCCACCCTGAAGAGCAGCTGAGGCCTAGTCTAAATTGACCTATCACGGTAGAATCGTATTAAAATCGCGTCAACGCAGCTTGTGAAATATTGTCCAATTACATGATATACAAATGAACGCGGAACGCGCAAAATCTGAGACAAACAAAACTTAGTGTACAAAAACTCCAAAGGGTTGTCTAAGGGGCGTGGCTAACTCGCAAACAGCGATGGGTCAATTACTTAACTTGGTTACAGCTGGAAAATACTCATGTGTTACAGCTGAAGAAACGTGGACGCAGCTTCAATATGCTGTGGCCTCGTGGTTAAGGGCACTGATTCGTAGTCTGTGGGTAAAGCTGCAGGTCGTGGGTTCGAGTCCTGGCGGGGTCATGGTGCGTGTGCCCTTGAGCAAGGTACTTTGTCACTCATTGCTTCTCTCCACCCAGTAGTAAATGGGTACCTATGAGGGCAGTGATGGTTATTGTGATAGAATTAGCTTCCTTGCACCTAACAGGCAGCATCGAGCTGTATACTCCCCAGGGAGCTGAGATGGTATATGGAATGTTTAATTGGCCCAATGATTAGGGGTAATAATAATGTAAAGCGCTTTGATCTTAGTTAAAAGCACTATATAAGAACCTGTTATTATTATTATTATAATATGATGGATCAGTTCAACTAAAAGTTGGTTTCAAATTTCTCAATTTTGGACACAGCTGGCCCACCATGAAGAGAAGCTGAACCTGATGGAGAACAGTCTCCAGTCGACGCAGGAGCAGCTCAGCAATCGGGTCACCGAGGTGGTCCGCCACGAGCAGCTGAACCGACGACTCCAGACTGAGCTACGAGCCGCGAGGGACCAACTCCAACTCCTGGAAGAAGAAGCCGAAGAACAGCAAGCCATAATGGAGGGGTTCCAGAGGGAGTTGGAAGGATCGAGGGAAGAGCTGGAACGAGCTAAGAAAGAGTTGGACAGATGGAAGGGGGAGGCGGGGAAACTAGAAGGGAAAGCAAGGGAGGGGGAGGAACGATTGGCGGCACTGCACGAACAGGTGTGAAGATTAAACCAAAATTGAAGACAGATTTCACAGACATTAAAACCTGTTTCAGACTGTGTGTTCTTTTAAAGACATACAAACACACATTTATTCATTGATCAAAGTGTGAAACAAAGTTTTGCAGGCTTCTGTAATTTGTCTTTATATGTACATTATAAATGAATGTTTCAACCACAATTAAGAAGACATTATATTGAGGAGATACCAGTAAAGGCTTCTAAATGTGTTCCCTGGAGTAGTCTTAAAGGGGCCATTCAAAATTTTCGATGTTTTTTAAATTTCGATATTTTTTTTGAAATTTTGTTGACCCACCCACCCCGATTTTCGGTCTTAAAATATTGAATTTCCATTCAATAAAAAACATAAGAAATGTCCAGTTCAGTGACGGCGGAATGCAGCTGCAGTCCATATACGGTACCTTACCAACAACACGGCCCACTCGCATTCCTGTACGTAGGGAATCCACCTGGAAACACGTAAAACTAGTCCATTCTAAACCGTGATAACAAGTATCAGCTCGCTCAAAAAAAATTCAACTTGTCTTGGTGTAAAGAGATGTAATGACTCCCATTATTCACGGAGTATATTCAGAAACTTCATTCGTTTTAGAAAAAAATTGAACTTTCAACTCACGCTTTCCAGGCGTGGGCACTGCCATGATTATTGAAACCACAGGTAAAACATTAAATGTCTTTGATAAATCGTAATATAAAAAAAAGTTCCCGAGGTGAACATGGATTTTTCATAATTTCTGACCGATCCAAAAATTATGCAGGGCTGGCGATATGATTTTGGTCATGTTAATCTCAACGCCGTGCCAATGGCCGTTACCGAATTACTTGGCTAGCGGCTGGAAGTTGCACATACGTAACACCCGCGTATGGTGCTCCGATAGACGGATACACAATACACGGTACATTGTACATGTGCGGTACTTCCGGTTGCATGTACCCTAATAGCGGGCAAAGGGTTAAAAGCAAACGAATCGGAACACAGGAGTTGAATTGGCAAGTCAAAAGAGATTTTCTTTTCTTTTTTATATCTTTTTTATTAAAAAAGTGAATTTCGATTTTCAATAATTTATCTTGACCCACCCACCCACATTTTTGAAAAGAAATCGATATTTAAAAACATCGAACATTTTGAATGGCCCCTAACTATCGCAACTTGAAGTCAAAACAAAACAAAGATTCCGTTTGCTGTCTGTCATCATTGATTGGCCATTCTATCATGCCCACCCCCTCCCTATTTTTCTCAGCTGTCAGAGCAAGGCAATGAATTACAGGAACAGAGGGAGGAGTTACAAGCGGAGAGACAGCGGTACAATGACGCCAGCCGGCAGCTTCAGGATTACAAAATCCGTCAGGGGGAGTTGGAGGATGAGATCGGAAGCTGTCGCGCCCAGATCAAAGACAAAGATGCACAGGTGTGGTTTACAAGACTCGCTTACATGTTGCCAAAACTCACCTGCGCCAACCCCCCCCCCCCCCAGTTCAATCGAATTTCAGTTTCGCTTTCTGTGGGGGCAAGTGTGGCCTAGTGGTTAGGGTTCATGACTCATGATCAGAGGGTCAGGGGTTCGAATCCAGCTGCTGGTCATATGTCACGTCCTTGGGCAAGCCACTTCACCCCCACTTGCCTCTCTCCACCCAGAAGTATAAATGGGTTCCGGCATTAGCTGGGGAGTGACCTGCGATGGACTAGCATCCCCGTCCATGGGGAACAGCAATGTTCTCAGTCGTTTCATTCTACTGAAACCGGAGATAAACGCCGGCCTGATGGGCCACAAATATAAGCATGCCAAATATTGGAGTTGTCGAGTCAGTCACAAGTCAATCATAAATCAAATCACAGACCAGTCGCAAGTTCATCACAAGTTAAATCACTAGTCAATCACAATTCAAATCACGAATCACAGTCATGAGTCAAATTCACAAGTCAAATAATAAGTCGAATCACAAGCCACGTAGGTAATTGGGGATGAACAATGTAAAAATGCCCTTGTCCCAATTGAGACTAGACTACTTTTGATGGACTTATAACTTTTGATGACTGGATTTCTGCATTGCTGCATTTTTCCAGAGCAAACCACACAAAAAAACATCCTGGAACAACTCTGAAATCAAACTTGATGCTTACATTTCCGTTTATAAAAGACATTTGTAAGAAGTAGGAAATGTTGTTGTTTCAAGGTTCAAGGTTCATTTATTTTCCACAGTATCAAATCAATAAATAAATGGCATGAAATAATTACATAACAGAAAAGAATTACAAATAATACAACAAAGTGATATTTTAGGGACACTGCAGAGGGGCCCATTGAGAAGCAGAGCTTTTAAGCATGGGCCCCAGACAGGCATGCTCATTGAGCCCAATCCAAGAGAAGGGAATTAACTTACAATGAACTCTATTGAATGGTCAGTCACACGAGGCTCAATGAGCATGCTGTATTTAAAGTAATTACATGTACGTAGAAAAGCAACATACCTAAACACAATACACATTGAGACGTAAACATCGGACAAACAAACAATACAATACAGATCATTTAAACTAGTCAGGTCAGCAAAGAGCAATACAATCATGGATATTCTACAATCTACATGTAACTACATGTACATATTATATCTACTGGCATGAATTAATGATAAGTTTGAATTAAGTTTGATTTAAATAGTCGTTTAAAAGTGGAGAGATTGGTAGAAGCTTGTAGTTGTTTAGAGAACGAATTCCAGAGCTTGGGTCCCTTGTATTTAACCGTATTTTGAGCAAGAGAGGTGCGACTAAATGGAATATAAAAATTAGAGGCTTGGCGAGTCCAATGAGAATGAATTTCACTTTTCTGGCTAAAAATACTATTAATGGAAGATGGTAAAGTATTGCGAGAAGATTGATACATTAAAGACCCAAGCTGAACGTTATACATATCATTAAGTTTTAAAGTTTTATGTTTTACAAAAAGGGGATCAGTGTGTTCATAGTAGTCGGCAAAATTAATTACACGCAAGGCTCTTTTCTGTAATAGGCGTAGTCTGTTTAAATTTGTAGCAGAACTACTACCCCAAGCAAGTAAACCATAGTTAAGATGAGAGACAATTAGGGTATTATAAAGAGATTCCAAAACATTTACAGGTAAAAAATGCTTGAGTTTGTTAATTACACCTACGTTCCTTGCAATGATTTTACATAAATGATCAACATGATTTTTCCATGTAAGCCCTGAGTCAATTAACAAACCCAAAAATTTACAACAATCAGTTTTGATAATTACAGAATCATCAATCATAATATTACAGGGTAGTTCACTGACAGAGTTACTGAACAACATGTAGCTAGTTTTGGAAATATTTAAGGATAATTTATTGAGTCTGAACCAATTCGAAACAGATTTAAGTTCGGTGTTAACAGTGTCGGTAAGGTAATTGAGGTTGTTATGGGAAAAGAATAAATTAGAGTCATCAGCAAACAGTATAAAGGAGAGCAAGTTAGAAGACTTTGTAAAATCATTAATATATATTATAAAAAGCAAAGGTCCTAAAATTGAGCCTTGGGGTACTCCGTGTGTCAGAAAACTAGAGTTTGAATTAAAGCCATTAATAGATACATATTGGGTTCGGTTTGAGAGATAACTCCTAAACCACTCTAGGGAAGTTCCTCGAATGCCATAGAAGGACAGTTTATATAATAAGATTTCGTGGTCAATGGTATCGAACGCCTTAGAGAGGTCAAGGAATATCCCTAGAGTGTGTTTGGAGTCATCAATGGCATTAGACACTTTATTTATAAATTCAAGTAAAGCATGGGTGGTTGAATGTTTTTTGCGAAATCCAAATTGTGAATGAGTTAAAATGTTAAACTTATCTAGGAATTTTATAGTGCGGACATAAGTGCATTTTTCAAAAATCTTTGAAAAGCATGACAGTAAAGAAATAGGTCTGTAGTTATTGACACAAGTAGGATCACCTTTTTTAAAAACTGGAATGACTTTGGCAATTTTTAGTTGAGAGGGAACAATACCAGTTAAAAAAGAAGAATTAATAATATGGGCAAGTGGTTTACATATTGCAGTAATACAACGTTGTTTTAATATAAATGTGCTAACAAGGTCGTGTCCCGAGCTTTTTTTATTTTGCAAATTGTTAACAATGTCAATTATTTCATATTCAGTTGTTGGTGTAAGAAATAAAGAACTGGTGTTAGAATTTGTTAAGTAATCTTTAAAATTAACAGACGATTGTGTGTCCTGTATATTACTAGCGAGATTTGAGCCAATGTTGATAAAATAATCATTAAAGCAATTGGCAATTTCAGCAGGGTCATTGAACAATTTACCATCTGACATAATGCTATTAATGGTTTTGGAAGATTTTTTGTTATTTGTTATAACTGTTTGGTCCTTTTTGAAAATTTCGGGTTTTAAGTGAAGCATTATTTGTTGTCTTTGTGCTCAAGATTTTCGAGAAGGAGAACACGATGGCCACACTAGAGCAAGAGCACACCTCCCTGCAGTCCAAGCTGCGATCGCTGAGGGAGGACCTGACAGAACGCGAGGGGCAGCTGCACGTGGTCCGCATGAACCTGGAGACGTCGGAGACGCAGAACCGCCGTCACGCTCAGTCCGTCTCGCGCTACGAGGAATCGCTGTCGCAGCTGCAGGCCGATCTGGAGCGGAGCCAGGAAGAGTACAGGAGTGCTCACGCGGAGGTGACTTCTATTTGATTATTTGCCGAGACGTAGAGAAAACGTATCCACAGACCATGGCCCTGCAACTCCATGAAATGGGGTCCAAGAATATCTTCTTTTTTTTCCCCATTTATTTTTCCTTTTTCTTTTTCTTTTTTTAACCTTAGCCCATCTTTTCCGTTTGTCCTTAACTCCTTTGATGTATTGTATTCTGTGTTATATGTTTGTATCCTTTTGTCAGAAAAAATGTAAGATTGACCCATTAGCACCTGTACAGGGTGAGTAAAAAAAACCGAAACCCAAATGTTGGGACAATTGTTTTATTGAAGTTCTGCATGTAGCACTTTCAAAATCTAGGATATAAAAGCCCAATTCATAAGCCTTCTTTTAGTACAAGAATCATTCAAATCACTCATGTACTTTTCAAGTTACGGAATTTTAAACACAACCACCGTTTTAAAGTTCTGTCCATGGATCACAAAAAAAGGTGTGCGTTCTCTCAGCAAAACAAAAACAATTCATACACATCCCTATGTGATTTGTTTTCGTTTTGCTGAAAAAACACTAACTTGTTTTGTGATCCGTGGACAGAACCTTAAAACGGTGGTTGTGTTTAAAATTATGTAACTTGAAAAGTACATGAGTGATTTGAATGATTCTTGTACTAAAAGAAAGCTTATGAATCGGGCTTTCATATCCTAGATTTTGAAAGTGCTACATGCAGAACTTCACTAAAACAATAGTCCTGACATTTGGGTTTCGGTTTTTTTTACTCACCCTGTTCTACATTGTATTACGTTGTGTTTATTCACTGAAGAATCAATAAAACCATAGAGTGCCCAGGTGGTTTCGTGTGCTACAGTGAGTAATAATAGGCAGGGCCGTTTCGGGCACTATATTGACCAAAGGGTAAATAAATATGTGCTGAAATGTTTTTATGCTTGACACCCGATACTATCCAGTTTTCTTGCACCTCATGTCTTACCCCAAAGCTGACTTTGCTGAGTTTCACTTGAACCAACAACTTCCTAGTGCAAGCGTCATCACTGTTCAACCGAGCTCGCTTTGGTTGGCTGGCCAGACGCTCATCAGCCATCTCCGCTTTTCTTGTTTGATTTTTGGAAAACCTTTCTGTGATTGATTTTCTTTAGTTGGTTGAGAGCCAGCAGCAGATCCGTGACATGAGGGTCCAGCTGAGCGAGGTCCAAGGCCAGCACAAGGAAGCCATGAGCCAGCTAGGAGAGCGAGCTACCCTGGCGGCTAAGCTGCAGAGTGAACTCTCAAGGGCTGACAAGCAGAATCAAGCACTGTCAGAAGAGGTCAGTTATTAAGAAACTCAAATTTGTTAGTGTAAATATAAACCAGTTTTTGGTTGGAACCGTTAGGTATTCCTCAAGTTTCTTTCTTTAAATTACTGCCTCACTTTAGAACTCCCCTCCAGAATATTGCATCCACTTCTTATACTTTACCTCAGATAAGACGCATTGTCAACAGATACTTTGTCTCTCTTAAGTTGCCTGTTTCCTTCTTTTTTCTTCTTGTCTCCTCGTTGCCACCTTGAGTGGCCTTTTTCCATGTGGTTGGCGTTTCTACTCACATAATTAAATAGTATTGATCTTTTTGGAGTCGCCAAGCTTGTAGACACAAATTTAGGTTGCACTGTCAACAAGATGACTTAAATCCAGTCTTGACAATATTGGCAGCTCGAACCCAGAAAATTCTAAGCATACCTCATGCAAGCGCATTAGCTTGAATACAGCATGCGTGAGGCATGCTTGAAATTTCCTGAGTAGGGTTGCCAAAGTTCCCAAGACTGGATGTGACTCAATTACATGTATTGCTGCATTAGGCCAACAAAAAAAAGTCTCCGGTTTCTGGTATGGAGCTTGCCCAAAAAGTGGTGCGGCGACGCGGCTTTTTTTTTTTTTTACCTGTTTTTTTTTTGCTTCAAATATCGGCTGATGACTGCAAATGGTGCCCGACTAAACTTAGTGCAAATATTATGGGAGACCAGAGAGTCCACAAAAAGCTTATTCTCGATCATAAGCCCATCTAAAAACACGTTAAAATTGTGCAGCAGCAGGATTCCAGTCAAACCAGTGAGTTTGGCGGTTTTGAGACATCATCTTTCATTGAAAAAAAAACTTTTTCATTTTGCCGACGCCCATGGCTACGGCGACGCACGCGCATACCAGAAACCGGAGACTTTTTTTTTTGGCTCTACTGTGCTTATCAAGGACTGGCTGTATAGGGGGAATAAAATCAAGTTGTAGTGCAAGTCCAAGAATACAACTGTTGCTGTGAAGACCAGCGGTTGTGCTCTTTTCTGTGTAAAAACTAGAAGACAATTCTTTTTCACAAAATAGGTGGGCATCTACGAAGAGAAGATGCGCAAGCTGCGCACGGAGCTGAAGAAGGTCCAGGACCTCAACCGGCAGAGCGAGGTGGAGGTGCGGAACTACGAGACCCACGTCCAGGAGCTGACAGACAAGCTGGCCCACGCTAACGAGAAGCACCGGCTGAGCGTCCAGGAGGTGGCCATGAGGGAGGAACAGATCGTGGTCTTGAAGGTGGAGGTGGCCTCTCTGCAAGAGAGGATCAGGCACCGCATGGAAGAGGTGAGAGTTGTCTGCTTGTATCCTGGGCCCAATTTCATGGCACTGCTAAGCACGTGATTGTCTGCGAACAAATCCTCTGTCTATTTCATGGACACTGTAAGCAGTAAGCACAGCAAATGGCACGCTTACTTCAGAGGATTGCTTAACTTTAATAAGTGATGTAACAATAGAAATCTCCCTTTGGCGCAACCGTTAGCACATTTACACCATGAAAAAGTGCTTAAGGTTAGCACAAATTTCTGCTATAGTTACATAGCTGCCAACTTGTACGATTTTTTCGTAATTATTACGAATTGTTTGTTAAATTACGAAAATACGTTTTGCCACTAAAACATTACGAATTTCCCATTTTCTACCTAACGAAAAAAAAAAAAACTTGTAAAGTATCGTTTTTGACCGAAAACTTCTGGCGAAATGTTGCGATAATGGATGGACTGGTGACAAGTCTAATAAGCAATGCGCCAAGCACCTGATAGACATCAATGCGGTGTGCACAGTGGAATACTTGAGGACCAGACTAAAAATATTTTTCAATGGTGTGTCATTTGTGTGCACCTCGTGGATGTGTGGTTGTGTGTGCTGTGACTACTTCTCAGTGACAATCGTGAGCACAATTGGTTGCTTATTGCCGGGATGAGACCCATCAGTGCGAGATTTTAATCATGGAATTTAATAAGAGTATGGTTGGAAGAATTGGTAATAGAGTTTGAGTTTATCACGACATCCAGAAAAGGTAAATCAGCATGCGTTTGCAAGGTATGTTGGCGGGATATTTCTATTGCATACGGTGGCCCTAAATCATCGATACGAACTCGAAACTCAACATCGACAGCATGCATCTAAAAAAATATGCGCACGTTATTATTGTTATTATATATTTGACTTCAACAAACAAATACAGACAGTAAAACAAAATTAATTTAAAAAAAATTATTAAGATTTTTATTAAAACATACACAAAATGACAAATGATGTACCCCATCTTTAAGCAGTGCACCAGTAACTGGTGAACACACAGACATACAGAAAAGCCACTTTACAATACAGGGTGAGTAAAAAAACAACGAAACCCAAATGTTAGGACTATTGTTTTATTGAAGTTCTGTATGTAGCACTTTCAAAATCTAGGATCTGAAAGCCCAATTCATAAGCTTTCCTTTAGTACAAGAATCATTCAAATCACTCGTGTACTTGTCAAGTTACGGAATTTTAAACACAACCACCGTTTTAAAGTTCTGTCCACGGATCACAACAAAGTTCAGTGTTCTTTCAGCAAAACGAAAACAAATCACATAGGGATGTGTGTGAATTGTTTTCGTTTTGGTGAAAGAACGCACACCGTTTTTGTGATCCATGGACAGAACCTTAAAATGGTGGTTGTGTTTAAAATTCTGTAACTTGAAAAGTACATGAGTGATTTGAATGATTCTTGTACTAAAAAAGCTTGTGAATTGGGCTTTCATATCCTAGATTTTGGAAATGCTACATGCAGAACTTCACTAAAGCAATAGTCCCGACAATTGGGTTTCGTTTTTTTTACTCACCCTGTATAGCAGTGATTCCATTTCTTTTGTTGATGTGAAATATTCCTTTTTTTGCAAACATGACAGAGTGACAAACTGGTGAAGGAGGTGAATGAGGCCTCGCAGAAGCACATAGACAGCTGTAAGGAGAATGATCGCCTCAGGACATCGTTGGAGGAAGCCAGAGCTAACGGAGACAGGCTGCACAGCGAGAGTGAACTGGTCGTCTCAAATGTCAACTCATGGGTCCAAAGCCAAAAGTAAGTCTTGGCTTCTGTGCCAAGTCAAAAAATAAACGGGTTTCTCATCAATGACCGCTTCATTTTTCCTGCCCGCCCCCTTTTTTTTTTATTTTTTTTTTATAAATTTCATACATTTGCAATATATTTAGCAAACACATTGTCAATATATTGTCATTTATTTGTTTCCAACAAAATTGTAGCTATGAAGAAACGGCTCATTTAGACACAATTTTGTATCATAAAAAAATTGAAAAAAAGGAAAACAACAGGGGGCCACCTCCCTCATTTTTTATAAATATGCGGACAAGAAAGTTTTTTTTACTTGGCCTTAGAAATTGAAAAAACTACAATTTGAAATTTGATGAAAATTTTACTAAGAAATAATAAAGCTGCAGGGAAATGTTGACTGGATTGAAGTGAAATCCTAAACGTTAGCGGGAATGAGAGATCTCTTTCAAGGCTAAGGAATTAAAACGTCAGGCCTTCTAAACTTTCATGCTTTGAATAGTTGACCCCAGATATTTCATTCCCCAGCAACCATATTCTATTGTTAAGTACCAGTCTAAACTTTGAAAAGTTTGATAAAAAAAAAATTTCCTAAGTGCCAAAAGGAAATACTGCTTGATTTTAATACTTGCACTGTTTGAGTTACATGTAAATTAGTTGAAAAGCTAAAACAAGGATTCCATATATATCAAGGGTTGATTTCAAGTTAAAGTTGCAGCTTATCAAATACATATCTTATCCTCTTTTGTTTACATAAATTTGAGCATCAAGTTTCGATTTGTTTATAGCAAGAAACAATTGAAAAGTTTAAAGGCAGCATTTTAAGCAAAAATTTCTCCTTGCCGTAATTAAGGCTGCAAAAACTGAAATTAAAAGGAATATGGATTTGACAAAGGTTTGGGGGAGAACGCGAAATTAAACACGTTAACTCGAGGTTTACCCCAAGATTTTATGGGTACCTCGGGGTACACCCTCGAGTTACTGCTTGTTAGATTTTACGTTCTTCTCTTTATAATTGTTTTCTCTTTTTTTTCCCCCATGGTAACAGAGAGGCCAACGAAAAACTAGGAGCCAAGATCAAAGAGCAGAGCCAGACGATCAGAACGCTGAACAAGGAAAAAGAGTAAGTTGATGTTGTCACAGTGCCAAAAGAAAATCCTGATCTTTTAACACTGATCATAATTGATATGGTTCCAGAAGAATGATGTTAAATCATGCAGCTGTGTAAAATCCTTCAAGGAAACATGCAGTGGAAATTCAGCTCATCTTGTTTTCCATGCACATTACTATGTGTTGCAACAATACATACAAGATCTTAATACTTGTTTTCATTGGAAGTGACAAGAAAGTGGTACTTTTTCAATTATTAGCAAATCCTTTCATCAATACATGTAAGAGGGCGCTATTTTGCTTTTGTCTTACAAGGTACTTCTTGTCAAAAGTGCATATGAACAGTACAAAAATTAGTCCTTCAAAATTACCCACAAAAAAAGTTTTGAAGAAATATTGGCCACTACTATTGTCCAAACAAGCTGTTTAACATGGTAAACAAGTAAAAAGTGGAACTTACTCCAAGAAAATGAAGACAAGTTTGATATATATTTGTACACAAAGCTATGGAGACGCTACTGTTCTGCCTTGAATGACATCACGCTTTGGCTCATGAATATGGAAATTTTTATTAGCATAAAAACTTAAATGTTGAAATTTCTCCCTTTTACTGTTACAAAGAAGGTGGAAAGTCCTAGTTACATGGCAAGAAAGCTGTTTTAAATGTATTTAAGTCATAAAAATCCTAGTACATGTTCCCTTTCAGGTTGTGAAAGGGACTGCGGTTGGGATTGGAATCATTTGCCTGGCTATCGGTCAGCATCGCAAGACATCAGTTTAATGCTCAAGGGCAAATGATTCCAATCCCAAACCATATCAGCCTTTTTTTCACAACATGTAGGATCTTACACAGCTTACACAAGACAGCACTGAAATGGATTAAGGCAAGGAACTTGGTCACAGGGTCCAAAACTGCTGTGATCAATTGACATTTGTGCAGTGATGCATGACTGAAATTAACTAAAACTCAATAGGGGTTTAGGCCAAAGATAAGGAGTATCTGCACAATCAGACATTTTCGAAATTGACTCCATGGTTTTGTAGTTATTTCAAATGTAGTCAGACGGACACTTTTTGGGGGCCATACTGTAAATGCATGTATTTCTGTAATTATTTTGTGTTTTGTCATTAGGTAAGAAGTTAAAGTCTTTAAAATGTTTCAACAGAAGTTTGTACAGTTTTACTAACTTTAACAAAGTCACAGCCCAAGCTGTTGCAAAGAGTAAATGTAGTCTCTTGATTTCCAACCGACAGTCAGCTCCTGGAGAGCGGGGAGGTCCTCCAACAGTCGGTCAGTCGTCTCAAGCTGGAGAACGAGGATCTGCAAGTGGCTGCCGAGCGCTTCAAGGCTCTGCAGAGCCACTCCTCACACCAACAGATGCTGCTGCAACAACTCAAGAGCAGGCTTGAAGAACACGAGTAAGTTTATTTTATACATTTTAATTATTCTTCATGAAGTACACTGGCAATGTACATGTAGCTTGAAAGTGGGGGAGAAAACTGAAAGAGAGAATACAGCGAAAAATCCATGTTGGCCTGGTTAGGACTTGAACCTGGATCACTGGCGTTAAATGTATCTACTGATTTAACAAGAAAATCCTTGTTCAAAGTGAAGATAGGACTGGTACCAACTACCCTGTGAACTTATGCCACCTGAAATGGAATGAAAACAATCATTGAAGATGGTTTAAGAAAGTGTGCCCAAAATGTGTATGATTCAATTTTGATTGTTTCATGTTGATTGTCTTTTATGCATACTGGGACCCACGGGAGACCAGTGGATTCCACTGAATGGGACATCCAGTTAAAATAAAAGACAGAAAGAAAGAAATCTAGTTACGAGGCCCCCAAAAATTGTGCATACGTTTTTTTCTCTGGTTTCTCAAGATGTATAGTATACACTGAGCTGAAACTTCAACAAGTTGCACCCTTCTTAAGATTTTGAACAATTTTGTTGTTTCGAATGGAAAAAAAAAACCCTCAAAAAGCAATTGATCACTTGTATCGTTAAGCAAGGATAGTCCCAAAAACCTGACTCATCATTTTTGCATTGAAACTCTACATCTTAAAATGCACAGGAATTTGTTCTATATACATCAACAATAGGAGTTTAGTTTGTTAAACATCCTGCAGATTCTCAAAGTGACAATGCAAACATGTATCTTAAAAAACTCTGTGTTGTAATCAATATATTGCTTTCTTGCCAACTGCTATCCTACTTGAACAAAACAAAATAATTCCCAGACAAATTGAGATATTTTCAGTTCTGCTTGACAAAACACGCCTGGAGTTAATTTTTTTTTACCGAAGTAAAGCAGAAAATTTATCCTAGCAAATTCAAATGTCAAACCAAAAAAAGTCACACTTGCTAACGTTTAGCTTCTAAGATTTATATATTTTGGCTAAGCAAATCTCTGAGCTTGGGCAAATAGCAAAACAAAACTTGTCCCCTGGTTTTTGCACTTTATATGCACGTCTGTGCTGTGAAATGCAATCACATTTGGCATAGTTTTTCTGCAACACTAAGCACAACTTTCATGCTAGCTGTTAAAAGTCCCTGTTCCACCTAAAACCACCCCAGCACTGTATGGTCTTATGACTTCATCAGGGAATAAGTACAATTTTAGTTTAGGTAAAGGTAAAGGTCCCATAGCCATTACTGGCCATAGGGGCAGTGGGATGTTAGAGGTCCACTGTGTCTTGGGCGTGGCATATGAGCGGCGGTGCCCAGTCCTCTCCTCTCGCTGTCTTACCTTCCCTGAACGAATCAGGTACCCATTTTATTGTTGGGTCGTCAGAGAGAGTTTTCCAGGTTTTGGTCCGAATGGGATTCAAACCGCCAACCTTCCACTCGGTAGCTCCACGCTCTACCCGCTTGGCTACGAGGCCCCTAATTTTAGCATAATGAAGTACAGAGGCTAACTAAGGGGTTCAGTACCATCATGATATTGAACCCTTGTTTAGCCTTCTCATTTACCCCCTTCTCCAATCGTCTCTCAGAACCGACCAGGAGCAGGAGATCTCGGAGAAGCTAGGGACCATCGAGGACCTCCACGCCCGCCTCAGGGCCAACGTGAGCACCATCCAGCAGCTCAACGAGCAGCTGCACTCCCTCAAGCAGGAGACGGTCCGCCAACGCTCAGACATTGAGAAAGAGAGAGCGGCCAGACAGAACCTGCAGATGCAGCTGGAGAGCAGGGAACAGGCTCTCAACAGCCTCAAAGCTCAAGTAAGTAGTGACTACGGCTATGGATTGTTGTTGCAGTAGCTTGTGGATAAGACTGTTTGACTTCCTTTTGTTTTAAAGCTATAGTCCATCATTTGCAGCTATCAGAAAAGTAACTGGCCTAATTATTGTTGAAAAACATACTTGGTTGAAAGATAGTAAGGGGACTAAACTCCCTGTGAAATTATTCTTCCTGGCAAGCTGTCATTTAGAAGTAATCAACGAAAGAAGGCCTTTCCAACGGTGCTTCTTAAGACGTACCGTAGCAAATTTGAATTAGTAGTTCGTTTTGTTATTCGGCGAAGCGCGCAAGCATTGGCACGACGCACACGCACGCGCGGTTGCTATAATTCGTCGGATCAGTGCGCGACATCACGTAAAGCTGCAATTCAAAACAATTCGAAACATGATTCAGCAACTTTTGATTTGAAATTGAGATCCTAGAATGTTGTTTTTCTCGGAATATACAGCTGAAGCTGAGCTGAAACTTCATCGGGTTAGTTGTTCAGTACCCTTCTTTAGATTTTGAGTGCTTTTGTTGCGTAAAACGAACAAAATGCACAAATTACAAGTGATGGACTATATCTTAAAATCTTGGCTTGGTGTCTGTATTCTGAGACGAACCCATAGCCATTAGTTTTGACTATGGCTATGAATTGCCGCAGTAGCTTGACTTCCTTTTTTCGTAACCTTGGCTTTGTAACACGTTTATAAGCTGCTCCATCACACTATTATCCCCTTATTCAGTGCTGCCCTACTATTTAATGCAACCAAACTTGTGAGTCATTAAAGATATAGTCCATCATTTGTAATTTGTGCATTTTGTTCGTTTGAAGCAACAAAAGTGTTCAAAATCTAATGAAGGATACTGAACAACTAAACTGATGAAGTTTCAGCTCAGCTTCCGCTGTATATTCTGAGAAAAACAGCATTCTAGGATCTCAATTTCAAATCAAAAGTTGCTGAATCATGTTTTGAATTGCAGCTATACGCGATGTCGCGCACTGATCCGACGAATAATAGCAACCGCGCGCGCCTGTGCGTCGTGCCAATTCTTTTGCCCAGCGCCGAATAACAAAACGAACTACTAATTTAAATTTTCCTACGGTGCGTCTTAAGACGCACCGTTGGAAAGGCCTTCTTTCGTTGATTACTTCAAAATGATAGCTTGCCAGAAAGATTAATTTCACAGGGAGTTTAGTCCACAAACTATCTTTCAACCAAGTATGTTTTTCAACAATAATATGCCAGTTACTTTTTTGGATGGCTGCAAATGATGGACTATAGCTTTAAGTCACAATGCTGGCAACATTAGCGAACCTGCTGCACACCTTGCAAACGGCGATCGGAGTCCACCTAAAAAAGATGCAGCATTTAATTTGCTCAATCTTGATAGAGACTGTTTTTTGTTTGTTTTAAACTTGTAGATGGAGTCAGAGAGATATCACCGGTCTGTGAATGGCACCACGCCTCGTCGTGGTGGGGAAAGCTACACAAACGGTTCAGCACCAGACTCGGCCTATGCCTCGTCGTTGGGGAGGGGATCGCAGCGACAAAACAAGGACAAGGTAAATTCTTAGTGATCAGAAGAGAGATTTTGCTCTCGGAGTCACTTATTTATGTGTCATCAAAATGAACGGTTTTTGTGGCGTTTTTTCCCCACAGATGCAGTCAGCCATCAACAGCGCCCTCAAGGACGCGGGTGTGAGCGACCCGAACACGCTGGACAAGTCGTACTGGATCCAACGCGTCGGGGAGCTCTCGCTACAGCTGCAGCAGAGCAGCGAGTTCTGGTCGGACAAAGTGCGGGATCTGTCGGCCCAGTTGGGGCGTTCACGAAGTCCCTCGCCTCATAAATGATGGACACGTTCTTTTATTGGCGATTGACTACTTGAGGAACAAGAAGGGCCAAACTTCAACATATTGGCCAATTTTGCGTGCAGAAAAGTGTATAAAAGAAAGGCCCAAATACACGGTCCAAAATGTTCTGTTCTTGAACGACATATTGGGGGCTGGGCATAGAACTGTATTTATTACTAGACAGCAAACGTACACAATGTAGCCATCTGAACGCATCCATGTTTGTGCATAACTTGTAGAAAGCAAAATAAAATTGTACAGCTTTACGCATATCTGTGTTTGTATTTAAGCCTATATTATAAACATATGTTCAAAACAAAACAAATAACCAGCAAATAAGCAGTCTATTTTGTTCTACACTAACAATGCACACAACTGCACGTGTGCTACCGATGAATCGTATGTTTTACCAATGAATTCTGTATTACAAATGGACAACCATGCCTGTTCAGCCCTTATGGTTTTCTGTTCTGCATTCAGAGCTCACCAGGCACACTTCCATTCCATCTAATTTCAATCTTTTCTATAAGTCCACATACATGAATTCAAAATGTCTGCGCTCCAAATGCTTAATAAAAGTATTCTGCACATGCAAAGGACGAGTCCATAATTTATTATAGCTCTAAGGAGTGGTGACACTTTAAAACAATTCCTATATCATGGAAGTTCCATGCACTGACACATTACATTCCTTAAATAGTTCAATATTAGTGTGCCTTCGTTTCTTAGACTGTACTGTAGCAGTTGTAGAAGTTGTAAATATTGGAGTTTATATTTATGAAATGTATAGAGTGTATGAATAGTGCTCTTTTTTACTTTTACATGAGGTTCTTGTTTCGATCTGTATTTTTAAACGGTACCATACAGATACATTGAATACACAGTTTAGAATTTTATATTTGGTCTTTTTAACTTCAAAAATAAAGTTCGAAAATGAACCAATGTTTACACCATCTTTCCACATTTGGAGGTAGTTTGCCATTTTCCACCCAAAGTAGTTTCTTCTAGTTGAAAAGACTTATCCCTATCCAAATGAAGTACATTTTTAAAAAGATGATATAACATGAAATGGGTTAAGCTCTTTATATAAATTTTTACAAATTTTTTTAACATTTATGCAATTGCCAAATTTTCACTTTGCCCTTTTAAGATAAAAGAAAAAGTCTGACCAACTTTTATGAAGGTATGACAGTATTATTTGTTGCAGTCATTTCTACATTGAAAATGTATTAATGAAACCTTGTATTGCTCGTTTTTGTAAAGGTCTTTTGACATTTCGATCATTCCCCTTTTTTGTATATTAACAGTACAATTTACAAAAAGTACTTTTGACTGCATTCTACTGAAATGAAACATTTTCTATTGATATAAAAATTGTAAATATGAAAATATCAATTTTATTTCAGTAATGTACTTTTTCATATACAGTATAACAGTTCTGAATTTTTACAGATATTATTTACTAAACTTTTTTTTTTAATGTGTGAAGTGAAAATATTGATCTTTCTTAGAATAGTTTCTTTGATTTTTAATTCATTAGGCTTCGACAACATTGCCAACTACTGATTTTCAATGATTCCGTCCCTATCGTTTTCTCAGAAATAGCTTTTAAGTTTTGTATAATTCCTTAACAGTACTTATCGTAGATTTGATCTGATTTGGGTTTTTTCTTGGTTGATGAAATAGCTCTTGTTGACATGTTAAGCCCAAAAAAAAAGTCTCCGGTTTCTGGTATGCGCGCGCGTCGCCGTAGCCATGCGCGTCGGCAAAATGAAAAAGTTTTCTTTTCAATGAAAGATGATGTCTCAAAACCGCCAAACTCACTGGTTTGACTGGAATCCTGCTGCTGCACAATTTTAACGTGTTTTTAGATGGGGTTATGATCGAGAATAAGCTTTATGTGGCCTCTCTGGTCTCCCATAATATTTGCACTAAGTTTAGTCGGGCACCATTAGCAGTCATCAGCCGACATTTGAAGCAAAAAAAAACAGGTAAAAAAAAAAAAAAAAAAGCCGCGTCACCGCACCACTTTTTGGGCAAGCTCCATACCAGAAACCGGAGACTTTTTTGGGGGGCCTTATCTCAGGAATTTTTCCAAACACTTGTGAAGTCTCTCAAAGGATGATTGAAATAAAAAGATCAATCTTCTGCAGTTAAAATAATTTCACAATAACTTACAAATAGGTTCCAAGGTTGAAATTTATTTGGATGTAACAACTTTAGTCAACAGTTTTTTAATCATTTTGGCCATTAAAGAAATAAAAATTTCAAAATTTCGAATTTTAAATATGATGGGTCTTTCCCAATGACATCGTCAGTGGACTTTCCCTGTCAGAAAAATCCTCAGGCTCCGAGGCTCATAATATAAAAGAGCCTTAATTTCGAAAAGCTTCAGTTCCTCAAGAGGGCGCTATACCTTATTGGAGGTTTATAAAATCCCGGCTTCGTGCAGGCTTAGTCTTCGTACTGTAGCCGAAGGTTCAACTTAAAAGAATCCTGCTGCGTTCATATTCGTGCAATTAGACCATGCAAAAGCCTTGAGTGGCAGAATCGATGTTCCGTAGCAGAAAATGGCCCAAATATTGTACTGGACCCGGTCAAGCTGAGGATTAAAATCATGCGGCTGGGCTCACTGAAGCGCAAAGCGGAGACGAAGTCAACAATTTGTGTAAACCCCCACAATATCGACTAGCGCATGTTCCGTGCATGACGCAGGGTCATGATCATGGAGCTATAAAAAGGCTTTTTATAGCTCCATCCATGGTCTGATCAACCGACCGCGTGTTTTACTCCGGTTATACGTCAAGGAAGACACGGAAATGAACAAATCCATAAATCTAACAAAGGCCTAATCACAGGAGGTACGATAGAGGAATTAACTGAAATGAGGACACGAGAAGAAAAGGATGACGTATTCCGAGGTCTGTATTAAAATGCCAGTAGCTTTATTTGTAGTCAACTCGAGTTTCGTCCTGTGTCTTGGTTTCGGGACATTTCTGTGACCTGATGTCACTCTTTATCCGCCTCCACTGTGGATAGAAAACAAAATAATGGTCTCAGTTAACTAAAAAAAAATGTGGGGAAAAATGTTGCAACCTGACGCCACTTTTTTCTTCATATATCATCTCAATGAAGGTCAGTCATAGCAAAAATGATGATAAGACATGAACTTATCTGGGACTGAGAAACTGCATTTCTAAGTTTGTGAGGAAATACTTAGAAATGTGTTTTGACTCCCCATAGACTTTGCACACAACCGCCGAAGTGGCGTCAGGTTGCAACATTTTTTCCCAAAATGTGTGTGCCAAGATTTGAGAATATAGCGCTAATTTATTGCCGATTTTTTTTTTGGGGGGGGGAGCAAATCACCCCCCTTTGCCCCCTCCCATCCCACTTTCACCACCTATTTTCTACATTATAAGCCTAACATTATATTATAGATTATAATGATATTCTTTATATACCATATAGATTTAGGTTAATTCTAGAAAATTTGAATTTTTTTTTCTCCATCGTGTAGGCCTACCTGCCAAATAATCCACCAGTTCCCTGCAAATAGCTGGTAGACTGCTACCATGCTGGTTACTCGCCGCAACTTGGACAATGTACACGTTGTCACGGAGGTTGAACTGTGAACCCTGACGTATCAGATGCCTGTAGGAAAAAAATAAATCTTCGAAAGATTAATTGATTAACAAAGTACAAGAATTTCTGAAATCGTTTTCTGCATAATCGTTCGTCAACGAATTTGATATTTTGAAACCAATAGACCTTTAGGCCTAGGTATAGGCCTATCTTCGGGTATATTGAGGTAGGCCGATGTCTAATTGGTAACGTAAACCAACCTATACTATTTGAACACACAATTCAGTGTACATGTAATTATTTATCATAATTAAGAATACAAAATTATGTGATTTGCGCAATCTCCAGGCTTCGTATGCTAATAAAGCTTGTACCTTAATTAATTACAACGAAACAAGCGCAGTGGAAAGTTAGACTATATCAAAAGGTGTTTTGGGCAAATGTTAAGAGCATTTATTATTTTCGATTAGTCAGAAACTGCATGATTCCCGACCCTGTGATTTGCGTGGGAACCTCATCTAGCACGATCCACGGCTTGTCAATGGTCATCTTGATATCTCGGATCATCACGTGGTACATGGTGGGCGCGGTGTGGTTGGACCACGTGACCGGCGACCAGCGAATCAGCACCTTGTATTCCCGCTCGATGGCGTAGTTCCCGTACTCGATCGTGACCGGCGCGGGCGGAGCCGGAAAAGCTGAAAGTTTGAAGAAAAAGATGGCAAGTATACATTCATGTAGCGTATTAAATTATGTTCCACTATGGGCTCTAACAAAATGATGGTTAATTTCTCAACAAAATTTGGCCGCCAGCTCACCACGCTCCCCGGCGAATTTTGTAAATTGGTGCCTTTTCATCAACGTATTTCTGGGCCATTACACAAATAGATGATATCGGTAGCCTTCTTTCCGAAGGATGAAATAACTACTCGTATTCTTTATTACTAAGGATACGGACGTGACATCCATTTTTGTAAAGGTTAAGGGTCTAAATAGTTATGATCATATGCTTTTTGTGCATGTTTTCGTGTGAAGCCATAACATTCCTCAAACTCTTATATGGGGTGCATCACACCTTATCGTGCTGAATCCGCTCAGTGGATACCATACGTTGAGAATACAGAGAAAAAGTATGCACAAGTTTTTTAGGTCTCGTTATACTGGATTCCGTTGCTAATAGCGCGCAAAAATAAGACTAAGTGTGCCCACGTACACTGTATCTTGAAACCACCTTTTAACTCGCGTTCATTATTTTCGATTTTCATCCCAAATTAAATTGATTCCTCTTCTTATTAATGGCCCTTATTTTGCGAGTCGGCCATATTGGATTGAGACTTTGAGAGTGAGGTAAAATCTTCATTTTTGGAACTTGTGTAGAGAAATGGAAGCAATGATGTTGCAAATTAATACCAGTCTGCTCTGATGAATAATTTAAAATTTGTGATTAGACATACTCTAATGTTTTAAGCCACATTTAAAAAAAAAATGAAACTGAGGCTATAGTGAATAAATAGCCTGACACCATCCCATTCAGCAGTTCACAAATTATGAAATACATGTACATTCAGGGAACACGACAACAATGGCCAAAATTGTACATAAGGCCCATTGATATATTTCTCAGTATTCTAGCAATACAAAATATCTAACTTTTTAATGAGACATGAACCCAAACAAATCGCCCCATGTTTAGTTATTGAATTATTACTTTACAATTTCGAATAATTGGCTGCCAGACAATAATTCCATTCTCGAGGGCTAGGCTGGTTCCCGCCCCACGATCAGTATCGAATGTGCGGATCGGACCAGTCTGCTTGCGAAGCGGGTCTGTTTGTGCCCTAACCAAAAAGTCTTTTTTAAGAGGGTTGTAGACGTCAAAAAAATGGGAGGAAATTATGTCTTTTTGTTGGAATAAAAAAATCAAGTTAGTTTCCTTATAAACGAAACCATGCATGGGGCGAAATATTTTCACAAGGTATTCGATATCAGTGTTCATCTTCATTTTGGGCAAGTTTTCTGTCATTGAATCGATAGGTACTTGGTTTTTTTTTCCATACCATGTCTGAGTGTCTTTACCACCGTGACCTGACTGTGGCCGCTAGTGGCCGCGCCGTACCCATGCTTGGCCGTCAAGCACAGCTCGTACTCGGTGGACGCTGACAGCCCGCGGACCGTCATGGCGAACGTGGAGTTGTCTTTGGTAGGTAGAGTCCGGAACGACGTCAGGTTGTAGATGGGGTAAGGGTGGACCTCCGACTTCGGGTGGATTAGTGTGTGGAGGCTTTCATTGCCGGTAAGTCTGCAAGGGAGACAAAAAAGGTTTCGAGTATAAAAACTTGAATACACTCATAAATGGCCAAACGCCATTTTTTTCTCACCTCAACGGCACAAGCGGTCTACTCGTGCATCTATGGAACAAAAGAGCAAACAGGAGAGCTGCAATGCAAACGATATTAATTAAAACCTGCTGTGAGTTCATGCTCTTTTTAAATTACTCAGAAATTTGTTGGTCAAAACAAATTCGCATTCCACTTGTTCCCTATTCGAACATTGCCAAATAATATTTTGTGGCCGGCCCTATAGCTTTTGACCACGAAAATCCTCGGTAAACTCAGTCCAGTCAAGATTGAAGTCTTTATAGATCATGAAATACCGAGTCGTGAAAATCAGAAGCCCTACACAGATTATAGGCCTACGGGATTAACGAATGGCACAATGAAAGGGCTCAGGGGTTCGAGTCACGTCCGAGTCGTGAGCACTTTGCATTAATTAACAACACAAAAGATCTGGAGACCGGTTTAAAATATGTACGTTTTTTTCTAAATGGGTTTTACATCTTCCGGAGTGAAACTCAAACTATAGCCCAAACGAATTCGCTTTTGTGGGAATAGTTATACGTTCTATAGTGGGGTTGTTTTTTTTTGGGGGGGGGGAGACGACAAGACAAGTGCTGTCATTAAGAAAAAAATGTCTCGAGATACTTGCCTGTCCCTGTAATGTACGTTGTAATAAAGCAATGGCCACTCATATTCCATGGGCACATGCCAACTGACTGTGATGTTCGTGTCACTCGGGGAAAATGCGACACCGTCCGGTGCTCCAAACACTGTTTTATGTCATTATTTGTACAGAAAATTAAAACAATTAGAGTTAGATTATTTGTACCAGATTCACAAAATGGTGTGTGCACGGGCGCCCTGATAATAAGTGACAAAATTCAGCAGGCATAACTGTTCAAACGGCAAACGTTTACGTTTCTATTTCAAACGGGCGTTGAAGACTCCTGTCCATGTTTTTGCCGTTAGACAGAGAAATCTATTCGCCACAGAAACGTCTATTTGCCCATTTGCACACATTTGCTTTCCCGGAATAATTTGTCGTTTGAGTAGGCAAAAAAATGACGACCCTGCTTAAATAGTAGATACCAGAATCAAAAAGCAAATCTCCGCGATATAGCAGCCACTTTTGTTTAGGTTTAATAGCCTCAACTCTCTAGCAAAGAAAACTGATTTAAACGGCTGAATTGGAAAAAAAAACTCGTGTAAAATTCTAATCATTGGACATAATTACGTGGGCAAGCCTTGGTGTTACACCGCCATGTCTTGACTGCGTTCCCTCGGCACTGCTCGCCGCCCCACTGCGGCGCGGGCCGGGAGCAATTCCTGGCTGAAACACGGTAGCCGCCTCCACATGTCACCGGACAGGCCGACCACGCCGACCAGCTAGACCACCAACCATGAACTGAAACAACATCAAAATGTTTTTAAAAGGTGCTCGATCGAGAGCTTGTAAGAAGAATTCACGAGCCGATACTCGCGTGGGACTCGAACCCACGACCTTCTGCATGGCGTCTATAAACCAACGGCTACCGCTGAGCGTGTCGGGGTCGGCTGGCCGGTTCATATCTGATGTATTGCAATTCTCGCAAATAAATAGTCCATTATAGGAAGAAACATTTTGCTAACAAGTTGCACATCAGGGATACAAGGTAGATTAGGAAGACATTTCAATGTCTCCATAATCATTCAAGTCCCATTTCTAGGTGCAGTTTTAATGTCGCAAATAGGCTAAATCGATTACTCGTGATGCAAAACCCAAATATACAAAGTTTGGTAAGGGTAGGTAAAGTCCATGGACATGTATCCCAGCGACCTCCTAGCCAAGATCCCGAGATGGTGTTTTCAGGAGGATACCAACGAAGTACGAAGTATACCTTTTCCCGTGATGTAAATTACTCTTCTTACTCAGGCACAGTATTCCACAGACTTACGAAGTTTTAAGCAGTAGGCATATTTGCTTTATTTGTGCTTACTTGGGCACGGTTGCTCGTTGCACCTCTGCCACTGACTGTAACTCTTCATGTTGCCGCTATCCGGGCAGTCACTCCCTCCCAAGCCGGGCCTAGGGTCCGTACAGGACCGAGACCGTGCCTGGACCCCTCCACGACAGCTATGGGAACACACGGACCACGGCGACCACTGAGACCAAGCGCCATCTTGAAAACAGGTAAGAAAAAGTATGATCATAAATACGCATGGTAATTCTGCCGTCTGTTAAAACTCAAGTTAAACTTGGCTTAAACCTTAAACTTGGTCACGTCCTTTGTGAGTGTGTTGGATTCAATTCTGACAGTTTAACATAAGTTAAAACCTAGTACTCCGGTTTTACTAATTATTCCGTAAGACATTCAATGATAAACCTTTAGGCCTTTTTTTTTTACTGAATGTATCCTCGATCCTTCAAAATCATCCACCTACTTCCATGGAGATATTTGATAATGCCTCATTCCTCCATAATCATCAGTGGAGGGCCGAGACCACTGCCTCAATCCTTCAAAATCCTCCAACACAACTCAAGACGTTATATCAATGCGGATGATTATCATTATGCGCTATGTCACGCCGGTTGTCAGCTTACTGGTCCGCGGTCGCCGGTCGAAGGGTCGTTTCTCAGTGGTCATCATGTGGATCATTCGCAACTATTTAGATTTAGATCAATGACAATTTTTTTAGAAACTCAAAATCTCAGTGGGGGGGGGGGGGGGGGGGGGGGGGGGGGACTGGGGGGGGGCGACTGGGGGGGGGGGGCAAGTTTCAGGGGGGGCGGTCGCCCCCCCCCCCCCCCCCCCCCCCCCCCCCCCCCCCCCCCCCGGTGGCTACGCCACTGTCAAGAAGCAGTGCGGATGATACCATGTTCTAAGCATTAATGTTTGCATGACTAAATCATAAACAACGCAAAGCATAGCTAGCTCAAGACCTTGACACGGTATATCCTCAAAAATTAACAGCAGGCATGCTGCCTCATTCTCCAAACTTCTCCAACCTCGCCTGGTTCATTTTGGTAGATCGAGAGCACCCGACTACGTCGTTGAACGTACCCAAGCACCGTTCGGTGTGACAGGCTTCGATCTCGCCGCCGTCTCCCTCGCAGTCCCGCCCGCCGTGTGTCGGCAGCGGGTCGGTGCAGCTCCGATTCCTGAGCGTGGTGCCGCCCCCGCACGTCTTGGTGCATGTTGTCCACTCGGACCAGTCAGTCCAACCACCGTCAACTGACGGAAAAAAAACCTCGGAAATAAACATGAAAGTTGTCACAGTGACAAATAAGCAATCTAGTAAATGGTTTCATCGGGAACCAAATAGACTCCCGATTTATCCTGAAACTTGGCAGCAATTTTTCAAATCTACAATGAAGGTATCGTTGCTCCATCAACTTGAAAACTACTCCCTTCCTTTTTTATGCTCTCTCTGAATGGAACCGACATGTTGAGGAAAGGGTTACTTTTCATTTGTAAGTCGCTTTCGTGTCGTTGGGTTTGGTTTAGCCCAGTTTGGACGACTTCTTCATTGCATTACGACTGAAGAAGTGACGAGGTACGGGAGTCCACCTGGGCTAGGCTTGGTTGCTTGAAACGATAGCCTACAGACTTGCCATGTTTAGCCTCTCTTCCAGCCGGAACGAGCAAAGGGCCAATAGCTTACCGCCACATGGTTCTGGATTACAGTCTGGAATGACGTCCGTTGCGTTTCCCTCGCAGTCACGACCGCCCCATGCCGGCACGGGATTGGTGCATTCCCGGCTTCGGACGATCTCTCCTCCACCGCACAACACAGTACAGTTACCCCAGGCTGACCACTCCGTCCAGTTACCGTCCACTAATGAATTATTACAAAATGTATGAGTGTTGCACGAAAAAAAATATTATTAAAATGGTGGCGGTATTATCGTGTTGTGCATGCCCTAAATGCCTTTTCTGATACCTTTGCTTTCTATCCAGAACCAATTATAAACGCTTAATTTTAACTTACTCCAAAAAGTGTTTATTTTGAGCACAAAATGTGAAACGCTGGTGTACGTTAGCTATTCAACAACAAAGACTCACAATGTTTAGAAATAGAAAGATTTTAAGGTGGCCTGGGTTTGTTTTAACATAGGTAGGCCTATATCTGTCAAACAAGAGATTTTTGCTGAACCTGAACGAGGAATAAGCTATTATCTGCACCCTGTTCTGTAACAACTGTTATTTTGAAAGACTGTTTTTATGAATAATTTGTTGTCTTATTATCTCTTTGCATCAGGCGCGGATCCAGGGGTGGGCCGCGGGGGCACGTGCCCCCCGTCAAATTAAGTCCACAAAAAAATAAAATGAATAAAACAGGGGGGAAAAGATGGGGAGGTGAGAGAAATGGAGGGAAGGAGGGCAACCTTCTAACAAAAATACTGGTGCCGATATTAAACATCAGCGGCCTGCAAACATTGTGTACTGGCCGTATGACTAGGGAACTCGAGAAGCTTCGAAATAAACCGCGATCCCGACCACCGTACGTACTCCATACCTAACCCTGCATAGTATCGGTTTATGAAATACGATTCATATGAGCGTGCGGACAGGTGTAGCGTGAATTTACGTTTCTATGAAATTCGGACTCATTGGTAATAACGCGCATGCGTAAGTATGGTAATTAGGAAAGTGACCGGTCACGTGAGAAGGATTAACCAATAATAGGGAAAAGGGGTCCGATTTTCATAGGAGTCGGATTTTCATGTGACACCGGTACGAAAAACATGCACGTTTAGCGCAATGAGCGCGACATACACGTTGTACGCTGCTCTTTGTACCACACTATTGGTCAATGGTACGGTTTTCGTACGAACACTTTGCCAGCATTTCTTCGGCGCTTTGAGGAGTCCAAAACATGTCCGTTTCCGTAGAAATTTTCCATTGAAAATCTTTTCTTATTGATAAACTGAAAATTCGAACTTGATACACAACATTAGAAAGCATCATGCAAAAGTTTACAAACTATACAATTCCCTTTCAAAAATAAAATGCACGAAATAATTATGCAGACGAAAATGGTTATCAAGTGAAAAACAGAAAAAACTTAAAAGGCTTGTTAAAGCAAGAGTATATATTAAACCAATGAAAAAAATCCTTATTTAACTTAAAACATTTTGCTCAAATAACTCAGGGAAAGAGGGGCCAGGAATCGCCTCAGATTGCACCACAGAGCATCTAATTATCAAAAAAATTCCCGGGGCCCTTAAGCGGGCCCTGGACCCCACCCCGAATGACATTCGTGCTCCGCATTATTAGTCCTCGGGACAGATCTCCCTAGCCCTACACACCCATAAAACATTTTACTCAGCCTATCCAATTCCTTTTCAAAATAAAATGCAAGAAGCTGATTATGCAGTCGAAAATACTTGGTTATCAAGTGAAGAACAGAAGAAACTTAACTAGGCTTGTATTAAGAAATACATGCGTACAATTTTAAAGTAATAAACAAAAAAATTAAAAAAACGCATGGTGTTACCGCAAACCGAAGCGATAATGGAAAAAAAATTATAATAATCTTCACAACATTTTGCTAAAATTGGGCAAGGAATCGCCTCAGATTGCACCACAAAGCATCTATAGAATCAAAATTTTCCCGGGGCCCTTCAGTGGACCCCGAACCCCACGCCGTAAGACACTGCTCCGCGTTCGCATTAGTCCTTGGAGCAAATGCCCCAGCGCATCGCCCATTGCAACAGTTTTCTAAGTCAATACAATTCCTTTTTTTTAATACAATGCTTGAAATTATGCAGACGAAAATACATGGTTTGCAACTTTGAAGTACACAGTAGCTTAAAATTTGTAAAAACAAGAGGTATATATTTAAAAAAAATCTTTATAAGCTTAACAACTTTTGCTTAAATAATTCAGGAGGAAAGGGGCCAGGAATCGCCTCAGCATGCACCACAGAGCATCTATGATACAAAATTTCCCGGGGCCCTTGTTCACATTGTTTTAGAATAATATATCTTATTAGGCTATTTGCAGCACATTTATCTATCTGTTCGTACCTGGGCAGTCGTAGACGTCCATGCAGTCCTCCTGCTGGAAGTGGTTGGCCGGCATCCCCACCCCGGGGCAGTCATCACCCCCACTGGAAGGGGGCGGGTCGCTGCATGTCCGCTCACGGGTCTTGTTACCGAAGCCGCACGTCTTGGAGCACGGCGACCACTCCGTCCACTGGGCCCAGTTGCCGTCTCCTGATGGTCATGAGAGGTATCAACAACTTTCACTAAGTCGCACTTTTCCATTATATCCGAGGACTAACATTGTGCTTCCTTTTGTTCCAAATAATAAATTATAACACTTCTCCCATAGAATAAGTGCACGCGTATATAGCGGCGTACGTGAGCGGGACGTTCTAAACAAAAGAAATCTCCGTTCGAGGACAAGGAATCTGATATTCTCTCTTACATTTTGCTGTTCTGTATAAGCGATCTGCACCACACTTAGTGTTTTGCTACATGTCCATGAAATTGATACGCATTTAAGGTTTTAGTTAATGAGCGAGAATCCCAGTCTATATCTAACTTGAAAGCTCATAATGTTGGAAATGAATAACTTAATTTTCGAACTTAAAAAGCACACAGTTGACTTTAATATGGCCACGGCTGTAATTACTTCTGCATGCACCATCTCCGCACGATTCGACCTCGGCGTCTTCTCCGCTGCAGTCTGCCCCTCCGTGCTGGGCCGGCGGGTCGGTGCACGTACGGACCCGGTCTCTGGTACCGCCATCGCACGTGCGACTGCATGCCAACCAGGTCGACCACTGGGCCCAGTTACCATCAACTACAAGGAGGAGAACAATATTGACTGGTTAGGAGGCCACTAGTGTGGAAATAGAGCAGCCAACACAAGATATAATACAGGTCGACCAGGTAGCAATATTTTTTTCCATACCACACATTCACTATGGGCATATATCAAAGCACCTTGAGTTGCAAGTCGGTTCTCTGACTCTATTTCCCATAAAAGATATCCTCCAAACTACAAATGGGAAAAAAAAGAAAAATGTTCCAAATGACTAAGAAAACGTTTTAAGAGAAAAAAAACAAGTAAAGAAAGAATGAAAATCAGACCCATGGCATTCCATCTCATGACCTATAACGGATGTACAGTTTAATGTAGTCAGCAAATCACGACCACGTAGACCAAGGGGACCAGTGTAACCATCAGCTACCAAGGAGGGGAATACTATTTTTAAGAGTGATTTCAGTCGTATCTTTGCTTATACAATGTACAGTGCCGTAACAGACTTTGAGCCATTTCCAATGTTCATGTATAATTTCTTATGTGTTTTCAACATGGGTGTCAAGGTGAAAAATGTAATTATACCAGTGGACTATACTGGGGTCCAATTGACAGGGGAATTTTAGGGGGCACTCAATGGATTTTTAACAGCAAAAGGCCCATGTTGTCTTTCAACAAAATTCTGAGCAGTGGGGGGGGGGGGGGGGTAATTGGCACAAGAAAGGCCTTTGGGAGGGGCGTGTCTCCATGAGCCCGCTTAGTTAGTTACATCACTATTGCCTTTGTCAATGCACAGCATATTTAAGTGTAAAAACATTATTTAAGCTATAAACTCAGCTTGGTCTTATACTTGGAGTTTAAGGTTTACAATTCTCTTGACTCGAAATGGAAAATATGCAATTTTTCGTTTACAAACTTGTTACCCACCAGGACAAGGATCCGGGCTGCAAACGTCCGACCCCACCGCCTCACCCACACAGTCGTCACCGCCCCAGGCCGGGGCTGGATCATCGCACACTCGGCTCCTGGAGACGCTCCCTCCGCCGCAGGTCACGAAGCACGCGGACCACTCGCCCCACCCGGACCAGCCTCCGTGGACCGCGCAAGGATCCACCGCGCACGGTTCGGTGGCGTTGGCGGGGCCCGCGCAGTCGGTGCCCCCGTTGGCTGGCGGCGGGTTGTCGCAGGCCCGCTCGCGGTAGCGCGTGCTGACTCCACACGTCGCGGTGCATTCGCCCCAGGATCCCCACTCGCTCCACTCGCCGTGCGTGGGTCCTGTTCAGCAATAAACAGTAATATTGTTTTCTAACCATGGTCACAACAAACTGACCGAGACGTCGAGTTTACACCTGTGGTACTTCTGAGAAGCCTCTTTGTGGTGTAGGCCTATAGGCCCGTTCCGCTCAACTTGACCCAATTTGTACTCCTAATCATGTAAAGCCTCAACGGCACGTTTTTTGTGTGTTTGCAAGTTTATTCATCCAAATCTAAATCTGACACTGTTACTTTTTCAACTGTTTACTAGAATACAGGCTATCAAACAAGTCAAACCAGTTTTTAAGTCCAGAATCTTTTCCCATGCGACCAAAAGTTTCCTAGGAAGGTACTTTCTAGAAAGGCAAAATCTAGGAAAGATGCAACCAAAACTAACAAACAATACATCGATCCAGGCCAACGCCTGCATCTTCATAATAAGTTCGTTATCAAGTTAAAAAAAACCCTTAAAATAACTTCTGAATTGTACATACCATAAATCTCAATATAGAAATATTCATATCTGGGTTTCCGCTTGTGTCCGCGACTTTCCATATCGTGATAGTAGTAGTAGCCGGTGTCCGCTTTGGTTAAATAGGCAGTCCATCTGTTTTCAGCCAGACGAAAAATGAAAAAAAAAAGACATAAAGACAATATGAAAAGGTTTCATGCATAATGAAATATATTCTTTGCTAGTCATTTTGTTTGACATTGTGGCGCACAATTACTTTTCAAACTACCGTGTGCCTATGACGACAACAGTCTCTCTGTGTACTTCTGCCTCAAATACTGATCAAGTTCGACGGTCAAAAATGGTAACAAAAATTGATTTTTATCAACGTTTCGCGATCACGAGGGACTAAAATCACATGGAGCCGGAGCCGTACAGGAAGCCCATGGTTTCATTATTTGCAAGTAAGGCCAAAAAAAAGTCTCCGGATTCTGGTATGCGCGCGCGTCACCGTAGCCATGCGCGTCGGCAAAATGAAAAAAAAAATTCGATGAAAGATGATGTCTCAAAACTGCAAAACTCACTGGTTTGACTGGAATCCTGCTGCTGGACAATTTTAACGTGTTTTGATATGGGGTTATGATCGAGAATAAGCTTTATGTGGCCTCTCTGGTCTCCCATAATATTTGCACTAAGTTTAGTCGGGCACCTTTTGCAGTCATCAGCCGACATTTGAAGCAAAAAAAACAAGTAAACAACAACAAAAAAGCCGCGTCGCCGCACCACTTTTTGGGCAAGCTCCATACCAGAAACCGGACACTTTTTTGTGGCCTAAGGCCTCGCTTTTATTTTGTTGTTATAAACGAAGAGGCATCCATAATACGTACCTTACATATCTTGAATACGGCCCTCGGTCCTGACGTAAGAAGCCAGACATGGATGCGTTCTGTACCTCATCCCCGTTCGCCTTGAACACGTAAGGTCCCTTTTTAACGTAGTCAGGACTTTTCTGGGGAAAATGCATTTTTGATAAAACGAATGTGTTGTTTTTATGTGCTATGGGGCGACTTTCGAATCGGGTTGCTTTCAGCATATGATTGGGTTTTGTCAGGTTAATAGCTTGGTTTGGGTTGGTTTGCAGATTGCCGGGTTGGTGAGGAATTAACTTTGGTTCGACTGGTTAAGCTTGGCTATACTGAACGCACTTTGTTCTTTTGCAGGGGCCGTATCATATGTCCGACGCCTCATAGGTCCGACGCCTCATAAGTCCGAAATTTCGGACTGAGGCGTCGGACTTATGAGGCATAAAATGTATTCATTCCGCCTCATAGGTTCGACGCCTCATAAGTCCGACGCCTCATAAGTCCGACAACGGAAAAACGAGGCGTTTAATTTGTCGGACTTACGAGGCGTCGGAGCTATGAGGCGTCGGAGCTATGAGGCGTCGGACTTATGAGGCGTCGGACCTATGTGGCGTCGGACTTATGAGCAGACCCCCTTTTGCAACTGAGGTATAGCCACTGTTACTCATTCCTTATGAGTTCCTTATCAAAAATTTTCAATACGCAGCCGTACGATCAAAAACGTCGATTTTTTTTTGATTACTTTGACTTATGTGCGACGCACATCTAGCGAACAAGTAACGAATTCAGCACATCCACTACGTATGAGATGCATATGAGTTGCGTATGCAGTGCGCAAGTTCGCTATCTGTGCGTTTCTCATAAGTAACGAATAAGTACAATGCGCTGCCCGCTCGCGGGACGAGCGGTACTAATTCGTGCAATACGTCGGCATTCGATATGAGTTCGTTCAGCGTGCGTTGTATCTGCGCTGCAAGTACGCTATGTATGCGTCCGATATAGGAGGTCAGCGAATTACCATGAACCAACCTCGTGCCCCGTGGGTACGATCTTGCAGCGCCATGTTGTTTCCCATCATGCCTTGCGCGATCGTAACCCCTGGAACAACCTCGTGCCCCGTGGGTACGATCCACTGATCTCTCTCTCTCTATATATATATAGTTCGTCCTTCGAAATTCGAAGATGACAGCCAACATCTCCATACTAGTTGTTGTGTGTTCGCAGATGGCTAATAAGTCCAATTCTAGCCAGGAAGCTACGGTCCAACACTGGACACACTAGGTTGGGGGTGGGGGTGGACACGTAGGGAAGCATCTAGCTGACGAGATTTTCGTTGCTGTCGTTTCAGCTCAGCCTCCCTGATGCGACGGGCTTCGAAGCTTGATGCACCTTCGTGTGATAATCTTCTCCATGCCGTTCGATCATGGGCATGTTCTTCCCAGCTACTCACATTGAAGTTGCATTGCTTCATGGTTGCTTTAAGGCAATCCTTGTATCTCTTGAATTGACCACCAGCCGATCTTTTGCCTGTTGTTAGTTCACCGTAGAAGATCTTTTTGGGGAGTCGATCATCAGGCATCCGTACTACATGACCTGACCAGCGAAGTTGAGCTCTCATGATCAAAGCACCTACACTGAGCAATTCCGCTCGCTTGAGGACTTCAGTGTCTGGGACCTTGTCTTGCCATCTGATGCGCAAGATCTTACGCATGCAGGAAAGGTGGAAGTGGTTCAGCTTTCTGATGTGGCGGCTAGGTTGTCCAAGTTTCACAGGCATACAGCAGGGAAGTCAGGACTGCAGCTTGATACACACGCAGCTTTGTTTTCAAGCTTATGCCTCTCCTATTCCACAGACGCTCACGAAATCTTCCGAAAGCTGAGCTGGCTTTGGATATCCGATTTGTGATTTCCTGGTCTATGTGGACCTCTCTTGACAGGGTGCTGCCCAAGTATGTAAACTTGTCAACAGAATGAAGGATGTGATCTCCAATGGTGATAACGGGTGGAACATATGGCTTACTTGGAGCAGGTTGAAACATCACTTCTGTCTTTTTCAGATTGATTGAAAGTCCAAAGCGGGAGCAAGCTGTTGCGAAGCAGTCCATGATGAGTTGTAAGTCTTCCTGGGTGTGGGCGACAAGAGCACAGTCATCGGCATATAGGAGTTCACGAACTAATTCATCGAATACCTTTGTTTTTGCTTGAAGTCTTCTCAGATTGAAGAGTTTACCATCAGTCCTGAATCTCATCTTCACGCCGATGTTGATGTCACGGAAAGCATCAAGGAGCATGCTAGCAAACACGACACTGAAGAGCGTTGGTGCAAGGACACAGCCTTGTTTAACTCCATTTGATACTGGGAAGGGTTTTGAAGACTCCCCATCGTCCGTTACTCGCGCCATCATACCATCATGAAACTGCTTAACCATCTCGATATACTTTTCAGGGCAGCCAATTTTGGACAGGAGTTTCCAGAGTCCTTTTCTACAGACGGTGTCGAATGCCTTTGTCAAGTCGACGAAGACACAGTAGAGGTCGGTATTCTGCTCTCTGCATTTCTCTTGTAGCTGCCGGACTGCAAAGATCATGTCGCCTGTACCTCTTCCTTTTCTGAAACCACACTGGCTGTCGGGTAGAAATGTGTTGGCAATGTGTGTTGTGAAGCGATTAAGCATGATTCTGGCGAGGATCTTACCAGCAATGACCAGCAGGGAGATTCCTCTGTGGCTGTCGCAAATGGAACGGTTGCCTTTCTTCTTATAAATGTGGACAATGGAGGCATCCTTGAACTCTTGGGGAAGCACTCCTTTGATCCACATCAGTTGGAATAGCTCTGTGAGGCGTTGCACGAACGAAGCATCTCCTGCTTTGTATATCTCGGCAGGAATTGAGTCGGAGCCAGCTGCTTTACCCATGGATAGTACATCAATGGCTTCTTCAGTCTCGGAGGTAGTGGGCACTTCAGCTAGGGCTACATTGACAGTGCTCTGAGGCAGTTGATCTAATGCCTCAGTGCTGATGTTTGAGTCTCTGTTTAACAGATTTTCGAAGTGAGAAGCCCAACGGTCCATGATATGGTTCTTTTCTGTGATTAGTGTGGTTCCATCAGAGCTCATGACGGGGGTAGAGCCACATGATTTTGGCCCATAAGTTTTCTTGAGCGTATCATAGAACTTCTTCATGTCTTTACAGTCTGAGTAGGACTGGAGCTCGTCCGCTTTTTTGCTCCACCATGAGTCGCACATAGCTCTGAGTCTGGCCTGCAGTGTCTTACGGATGCTCTGGAAGGCTGCTTTCTTCGATGCGGATTTTTCATCATTGATCATGGATAGGTGTAAGCGGTGTTTCTCTTCAAGAAGTTTCTTGATCTCCTTGTCATTTCCATCAAACCAATCTTGATGTTTCCGAACAACAGGGCCCAAAGTTTCGAAAGCTGCTGTGTGGACTGCATCTTTGAAGCATTTCCAGTCCTTTTCAATGTCGCCTGAGACCAAGTCAGCAGAGATGAATTGCTGGTACATTGCGCTGCACAGTTCACATTTTACAGCGGCGGTCTTTAATTTGGTAACGTTGAGCTTCTTTGGTGGCTTCTTGCCCTGAGGTCTCCTGAGTGGTTTGATGTTGAAGTTGAACTTCGCACGGATGAGTCGATGGTCAGTCGAGCAGTCAGCTCCTCTCATAGCCTTGGTGATTTTCACATCTGCAATGTCCCTCTTCCTGATTATAATATAATCAATCAGGTGCCAATGTTTTGAACGGGGATGCATCCATGACGTTTTGTTTTTATTTGGAAGTCGAAACAAAGTGTTGCTGATGATGAGGTTGTGTTCTGCACTTTGAAGCATATATAAAGCACTGATCTCTATATAAAGACTGGATAGCGGATATCCATACAGCATTCACACAGTAGACTTTGCATATTGACCAATTCGCCCCCGGTCTCACGAAGATGGCTGCGTATAATACGAACGTTCAGCGCGTATATACGCGCGCGTTGTATCAACAGTTGACGCGCATTTTGGTCATGTACACATATTATGATGTTCTAAAAGGGACACATTTCCGTAGTGATTATTTTTCCAAAACGCCGAAAAAAGTGAACTGCGGCATTAAAAAAGTAATTCACGTCGATCATAATTGTAAACCTTGGTCAGTGGTGGTGGTCAAAATATAAGTCAAATGAACCGCGATGTTACAAAAGTAATCATGCTGTCTATAAAGACGGCAACTTGTCCTTTGTAGATCATCACCGGTCTCACCAATATGGCGTCAAATTCATTCATTGTGCAGCTCTCTGTTCGCTATCCAGTCTTTATATAGTAGAACGATCTTGCAGCGCCATGTTGTTTCCCATCATGCCTTGCACGATCGTAACCCCTGGAATTGTGTTATTTAAATATACCAAAATACGGTATATTATAATTAGGGCTGCAGTTTATCCGTTTTACGTGCCGACGCCATCTTTAAAATGTTAAAAGTTGTGATTTTGAAGAATCAATACCTTCAAACACAACGTTTGGACGTTGTGTTAATTAGCAAAGATTTGTATTCAATGTACGTACCCCTTTCCATTTCGTGACTTTACAACCACAGATACAGGGTTTTTTTAGCAAAAAACGGGCGCTGAAATAATACATATCGTACAAGCATCGCGACTTTTGAATCATAATGTTTTTTTCGTACGTGACGTTACGTGCAAAGCTAAGCGCGCGAGCGCATTATGGGCGCGCCCGGCGTGCAATCTTCGAAATGCCCGCGCAGTACGCTGTGAATAGCCATTCAGCGTCATTTACGTCATCATCATAGCCAGGGGTTAGTGTAAGGAACGAGCACGCGCCCCTGTAGTCGGACTGCCACTGGAATTTTAATTTAAATATACTGTGGCGAAAATCGCAAGGATGCTTATTAATATCACAATTATTCCTTGCTAGCTTAGTATTTTAGTGCTTGAAACTTTGTATACAACTGACCTTTTCCCTAGCTGGAACCTTTAATTTAATCTAATAATATTTGTTGAATTTGTTCTTTGATCCTGTTGCAGTCTAGCCTTGTTCAATGCGGTCTCTCGGCTTTTTGTCGAAGGGAGATAATCGGGCCCTGCACCCGCAATCAACGCGGCTACGTGCGTGTACGACCCTTGTCCGTACGAACGGCTAACACAACCAGCAAGCAAACACACGTGAGTACGGACTGTACGCATGGTGTAATAAGGCAGTAAATGTAGGCCTACTGTGTTCTGCGTGTGGGTGTACGTACGACAGCCACAGAGGAATCTCCCTGCTGGTCATTGCTGGTAAGATCCTCGCCAGAATCATGCTTAATCGCTTCATAACACACATTGCCAACACATTTCTACCCGACAGCCAGTGTGGTTTCAGAAAAGGAAGAGGTACAGGCGACATGATCTTTGCAGTCCGGCAGCTACAAGAGAAATGCAGAGAGCAGAATACCGACCTCTACTGTGTCTTCGTCGACTTGACAAAGGCATTCGACACCGTCTGTAGAAAAGGACTCTGGAAACTCCTGTCCAAAATTGGCTGCCCTGAAAAGTATATCGAGATGGTTAAGCAGTTTCATGATGGTATGATGGCGCGAGTAACGGACGATGGGGAGTCTTCAAAACCCTTCCCAGTATCAAATGGAGTTAAACAAGGCTGTGTCCTTGCACCAACGCTCTTCAGTGTCGTGTTTGCTAGCATGCTCCTTGATGCTTTCCGTGACATCAACATCGGCGTGAAGATGAGATTCAGGACTGATGGTAAACTCTTCAATCTGAGAAGACTTCAAGCAAAAACAAAGGTATTCGATGAATTAGTTCGTGAACTCCTATATGCCGATGACTGTGCTCTTGTCGCCCACACCCAGGAAGACTTACAACTCATCATGGACTGCTTCGCAACAGCTTGCTCCCGCTTTGGACTTTCAATCAATCTGAAAAAGACAGAAGTGATGTTTCAACCTGCTCCAAGTAAGCCATATGTTCCACCCGTTATCACCATTGGAGATCACATCCTTCATTCTGTTGACAAGTTTACATACTTGGGCAGCACCCTGTCAAGAGAGGTCCACATAGACCAGGAAATCACAAATCGGATATCCAAAGCCAGCTCAGCTTTCGGAAGATTTCGTGAGCGTCTGTGGAATAGGAGAGGCATAAGCTTGAAAACAAAGCTGCGTGTGTATCAAGCTGCAGTCCTGACTTCCCTGCTGTATGCCTGTGAAACTTGGACAACCTACAGCCGCCACATCAGAAAGCTGAACCACTTCCACCTTTCCTGCATGCGTAAGATCTTGCGCATCAGATGGCAAGACAAGGTCCCAGACACTGAAGTCCTCAAGCGAGCGGAATTGCCCAGTGTAGGTGCTTTGATCATGAGAGCTCAACTTCGCTGGTCAGGTCATGTAGTACGGATGCCTGATGATCGACTCCCCAAAAAGATCTTCTACGGTGAACTAACAACAGGCAAAAGATCGGCTGGTGGTCAATTCAAGAGATACAAGGATTGCCTTAAAGCAACCATGAAGCAATGCAACTTCAATGTGAGTAGCTGGGAAGAACATGCCCATGATCGAACGGCATGGAGAAGATTATCACACGAAGGTGCATCAAGCTTCGAAGCCCGTCGCATCAGGGAGGCTGAGCTGAAACGACAGCAACGAAAATCTCGTCAGCTAGATGCTTCCCTACGTGTCCACCCCCACCCCCAACCTAGTGTGTCCAGTGTAGGACCGTAGCTTCCTGGCTAGAATTGGACTTATTAGCCATCTGCGAACACACAACACCAACTAGTATGGAGATGTTGGCTGTCATCTTCGAATTTCGAAGGACGAACTATATATATACGTACGTACGTGTGGGGGATATACGCGCCGCGTGGCCTGTCGAACGACCGCCTTGTTGGGTCTGCAACTTCCGGGTTTAATGTCTTTCTTTACTTTTTCGTCCAGTTTTGGAAAAAAATGGGCGGGCTTCAGGATATGCGGGTATGCCGTGCATGATTATGTAGGTTCGTCTTGGACCAATCACATGAAACAACCTTCCCAATAGTATGATTAATTCATTCTAGCTGACCAATCGTAAGCTTCACAAGAATCATGTGACGACGCGCGGCATGCATAATGCATTACTCATCATGGCGTCTTCCATGTCTTTTTAGCGAGAGCGAAATGTTCGTCACTTTTTCAACAATTTGACATTGATTCGAGTTTTTCGGCTCGTGTAATGAATCCATTTGAGTGGGCAACGATCGTCTTATGACAGCATTACCTGCATAATTCGTTGGAGCCTTCAATACTGCTTCGGACAGACTGGGACTGAACGACTTTCACCCAGCAACGGGCCGCCATTGCAGCGTTTCTTCGCGGATGCGACGTGTTTGTTAATTAGCCTATCGCGGGCTGACCAATGAGAATTCAGTATACGCGGGGGTGGTACCTCATTACCGTAATAGGTTTTGCTGGGTCAACTCAAAACCATCAAGGCGTTGGGTTACGCGGACTAGCTCATGCATGTACTGTGTGTGCATGGCTGTTGTACGAGTACGTGTGTGTACGTGCGTACGTGAAAGCATCGCTGTATGGTACAAGTTACTTTCTCACTAGCAGCGTACGGGCATCGATATGTGCACGCAATGCCTTGCCAAGTTGATTAGGGATTTTCTTAATATCGGCGATTTTTTTTTTTATCGGCGAATCGATAAGCCCAACGCCTTGGTCAAGGCTAGTTGCAGTCATAATTCCTCGGGGCTATGGACTCTCAGCAGTGCCTACGCTGACTTCCTGTTGTGTTGTTGCCACATGCACAGTGTTTACTGAATGAACGTACATGCTGTACGTTACCTTACGACACAACTGTGAGCCAGCGCATGCGTACTGCTGTGCTGTTACAAGCTACCGTAGATTGTTGTGTTATTTAGCCAATCACTGCAGTTGTATGAGATGCGCGCGTACGCGCGTGCAGAGCACGTCCGCACTGTGCCTATAAATTCCACAGATTTCCGAGTATTTGGGTTCTGTTCCCTCTTGGAGTAGGCCGCGCAAGACCTCAAGACAAGGCCTCAAGACCTATTTATTGCCCCACGTTTGCGTGCACTGATTAAGCAAGCAACCGTGTACAGGCACGGAGCTATAAAAAGGAGCTCCATGGTACAGGCTACTTGCGCTATTAATTGGGCTTTGTCGGCGGAAAACCACACGAGCGCTTTTGTGTGTGAAAATTCCGACACTTTAGACAAAATATAAGAAACTACTTTATGCGCTGTAATATTTTGAGATTGTATAAAACATTACAGGAAAAGCGGCCATCGAATCGATACGCTACTCACGCTACCACTGAGAAACTCATACCACAGCTTCATTATAATTTCCTTACTTCCTATAATAGAGGGCGCTGTCCCAAAGATATTCAAGTTTACTCAAGAAGATTAAATAAACTGAGTTTACCGTTTTGATCGGTTGAAAGAATTACTGCTTGTGGACATCTTTTATTGTTCATTATCTTGTGGTCGCTTGTAAATAATTCCCCCATCCCCTCCAAGAATCCCGTCTCACTCATCGACTCTTCATTCAAGATTCCGGCAGATAACTGGGACCCGATTTTATTAATATTAGGCAAGCCGGAATCGTTACAATACCAAAATACGGTACATTATAATTATGGCTGCAGTTTATCCGTTTTACGTGTCGACGCCATCTTTAAAATGTTAAAAGTTGTGATTTTGAAGAATCAATGCTTTCAAACACAACGTTTGGACGTTGTGTTAATTAGCAAAGTTTTGTATTAAATGTACGTACCGTCTTCGGCTTTCGTGCCTTTACAACCACAGATACCGGTTTTTTTTAGCGAAAAACGCGGCTGACATAATCCATATCGTACAGGCTTCGCGAATTTTGAATCATAATTTTTTTGTTCGTACGTGACGTAACGTGCAAAGCTAAGCACGCGAGCGCGAGCGCATTATGGGCGCGCCCGGTGTGCAATCTTCGAAATGCCCGCGCAGTACGCTGTGAATAGCCATTCAGTGTCATTTACGTCATCATCACAGCCAGGGGTTAGTGTAAGGAACGAGCACGCGCCCCTGGAGTCGAGGCTGCCCCTGAACACATAGCGTACTCATACCGCGCTCGACCGATGCGGGACCGATGCGCTGCGTATTTATAACTTATGACCTGCGTAATAGCGTACGCAGCGTAGTTTTGTGCATGCCCAAAACTATCCAGCGTACTGGGCCGTACCATGCGTATGCCTGTGTACATAAAACTTACACAAAACGATAAAGATGCATATGAGGTGCGTATTGTGCGTACGACTGCGTATGAAAAAAAAACGTCAATGCTAAACTCATAAGGAATTAGGATACGCAGAAGTGTGACAGGGCCCTCCCATAATACGCATGCGTAATAAAAAGTAATTGTCTACACTGAACAAGGTTTGGCGAGAGGTTGGTCAGGTTTTTGTTTTGTTTTGTTTGTGTGTGTGGCGGTAAGAATGTAAACACCGGCAATCGTGTACGTATAAGGTTAGGGCACAAACAATACGTCTGCGGTTAACCGAACGTCCACGACTGAAATTCGTGTACAAAACCAATGAGCGCTGTTGCTAAAAAGTTGGAATACAAACAAAGGAATGAGGATTAGGGACGATAGGGGGACCAAGATTGCCGGTGTTTGCAATAATGATGGGTGAGTGTACATGGGTCGCACGGAATATGACAACCGTTAAATTCAGAAAAATTGCCAATCCAGTCATTGGTTTACGTCACAGAAAGGTGTCAGTTAAAATATCGTGTATTTATAATTCTATTCTTGTATTTCATCAAATACCGTTCTTATATCGACCTTCAAGATGTAAAATTATCTGAATGTACATTTTGCAATATGGAAATAAGTGTTGAGATAAAGTGAAGTGAATTGAAATTGAAATTAATCTTTATGAATGTGTGCTACAATGTGCAGCATTTAAAATTGCAAGTAAGTGAGAATCACAAACATTTTTTGACTTATCAAATCTTACAATGAAGAAATCAATTTCCAGCGCTTCCCCCTCCCAGGCCGTTTCATTGCGGTAGTCCAGGTGATCGAGGGCTTCCAGTAGACTGTTGTATTCTGCAAAATGAAAATGACAACCAACCAACAAACCAATATACCAATTGATAAGTTGCCTCTACAAAAATATTCTGATGTGATTGTTTATTGACCCGTAACAAACTAGACATCACAGGTACAAGCATATCATTTTGAAACAGGATGCTTTTACATTGAAAATAAGTGGTGTGTGGAAACCAACTGACAAGCGAAGCCTTTCCAAAGATGATATCGCTGACTGACAGATAGTCTTGGTCCAAGTCTGGATTAGGATGTTGCTCCTCTAATACGCAGCCAGTCCCAACCGCCTGGCAATCGCGGTCCTACCGTTGTGGCGTCAGAGATCGCTATCATATCAACGAGATGAATCAAATCTAGTCTTCGGAACTGGGGTTCGCGTGCCAAAGTTCCCAGGCCTAAGACAGGATTCGATGCATCTTGTTGATAGCGCTTTTTACTGTATATAGGGTGAATTACAAAAAAAAAAGAAACCCAAATGTCGGGACCATTGTTTTAGTGAAGTTCTGCATGTAGGACTGTAATAATCTAGATTATGAAAGCCCAATTCATAAGTTTTTTTTAGCACAAGAATCATTCAAATCACTCATGAAATTTTTAGGTTACGGAATTTTAAACACAACCACCGTTTTAAAGTTCTGTCCACGGATCACAAAAGGTAAGGGTTCTTTCAGCAAAACGAAAACAAATCGCATAGGGATGTGTGTGAATTGTTTTCGTTTTGCTGAAAGAACGCACTCCTTATTTTTGTGATCCGTGGACAGAACTTTAAAACGGTGGTTATGTTTAAAATTCCGTAGCTTGAAAAGTACATGCGTGATTTGAATGACTCGTGTACTAAAAGAAATCTTATGAATTGGGCTTTCATATCCTAGATTTTGAAAGTGCCACACGCAGAACTTCACTTACTTCACTTACTCACCCTGTATATAAAAAAACACGTTGCTTTAACTTGCATTAAAGAAACAATCCAGATCAAGTTTTGGACCAAGAAGTAAATAGAAAGAAAGACGGAGTTCTTTCCCTGTACTGAAGAAAAATGGCCCAATTATTGGTTTGTGTTGGCAGTAATATACAGGGTGGTTAAAAAAAAAAGACACCCACTTTTGACAGCAATTTTCACTTACTTAATGAGCTTATTTTGAATATTTGTTCACATAGTAGTAAGGTATAGGCCTTTTACTTTGCATGGTGAAAAAAAGCTTAGTGAAAGTCGCAAAAATAGTGATATTATGCTAATTTGAATACAAGTCACCAAAATCAGTCTTGTCCACGGGTTATTTTATGTAAATTGGACGTTTTCGTAGTTCATACAAATTCAAAAACCTTCCCACCAAAATATATTTTGCCCTGGTAACTTTTTATTGAAGCTGTCCAATTATTCATGTCAGTGTTAAGATCATCTACTCAATGAGCCGTTGGCTTAAGTTCATTATTGCATAACATTACATAATACATGTATAACAATCAAATATAATGCCCTTTCAAATAAAGCTCCAATAGCTGAGCTCAGTCAAGCGAAGGGAATGTATACCTCCGTGGACAAAACAGGTTTCGCACATAAAATGTTCAAATTAGCATAGCTCAACAACAAAAAATGTGCAAATGCAACGATTTTTTTCGTCACAGTTGCTTAAAAGGCCAGTACTTTAATAGCTACTAATCGGCAGTTAAAAATACTTTGTAAAAATAGGTGAAAATTGCTGTCAAATGTGGGCGTCCCTTTTTTTTAACCACCCTGTATAGACCAATGGAATCGGAGCTTACTTGCGCCGCATACTCGTGGGCGTTCTTGCCATCTGCCATACTCGCAGTGCATGGTGTCCTGCGAGAGTAAGAAGTCCGGCTGGGTCGGGTCCTCTCCGTCGAAATGATATCCGAAGCGACAGCCATAGGTGAGCCACCGCTCGTCTCCCGTGGGTGATGTGACGTCCAACACCACAAACGTGGCAAATGTCTCCCTGAACTCGTAAGCAGTACAATCTGAGAAGAAGAAATATAATATGTTTGATCAGATTTATATAATTTATTATGCATATTCCCAAGTTACGTCTATCTTAATATGAAGATCACAAAATTCAGCTGTCCACCACTGATCATTTACCGTTCTAAGAACTGAGAAATACCCATTCGATACAACGAAACGTGGACTGTTTCCCCACCTCGATGAATGGGGGAGACCTTGCAAAGGAAAACATACCAAAATCGCCATTAATATTTCAGGGAAAAAATGGATGACTTGTTCCTCATAAGTATTCAAAACATCTGACAGTAAAAACAATGTTTTAGTCTTGATTTAAATGATTAAAATATCATTTGCATTTGAATGCTTGTGTGTAATCTGTAAGTCCTGAGCTCAATGGCTTCAAATGGCATTTCATGGACAGCTATTTATATGGGTTCCTTAGAAATATTTGCAATATATTTGTACATGTATCCTGCAAATTAAACCGTCGATTTCGTATTCATGTCCTGACGATCTTACCTTGGTACGTTTCATCCAGCTGAGCAGCAAGTACCAGTAACAATAAGAACAGTCCATCGTTTGTTTTCATTTTGAAACGACCAGAATGGGAATCATTAATTTTGTAATTACTGAAATAAGACGGGACGGGCTAAACTTTTGCGATCGCATGCCATCGTGACTGAAATTTCAAACTCAGCCTTGGTCGCGCGCGTACCGTGCACGGTACGCGCGGTATAGAGTATGGAATAAAAGACTGGCGTCGTGATTTGGCGCAGAAACAATAACATTCCTCATAAATATATGATACGGCGTGGCCTAGTATGGGCTTTATTCGCGGGTCGGCAATATTAAATTAAAATCGAGGTAAAATCTTCATTTTTGGAACTTACGAAGAGAAATGAAAGCAATTACATAAAGTATGTTACAAATTAATACCAGTCTGCTCTGATGAATAATTTAAAATTTGTGGTTAAACATGCCTTAATGTTTTAAGCCAGATTTAAAAAGAAACCAGAGTGAGGCTAGAATATTTCAATAGTCTGGCACCATACCATTCAAATGTTCACAATTTACAAAATGCATTCAGGGAACACGACAAAAATGGCTTCTTCGTGAAAAAAGGTCCATTGCAATTTGTTTTACCTAAAAAAAACCTCTTAATCCTAAGGGCAACCAGAGATCGCCAGAATTTAACTTTTATTATTATTATTAATATAAGCACAAACATAATTTTGAATGTCTGATTAACACGAAGACCATGCATAATGTTCTACATTTATAAAGAGAATGCTGAAATAAACCTCGTTTGTTTTAATTTGACGTGACAGATGTTACCTATTTCTTGCATGTAATACATGTCACCGTCAGACTGGCGTCGGATGCATGCATATATACCTAGCAAGCGACCATTTGCCGTTGGAAAAAGTCCCACAATAAGGGCATCCCTTTTTTATTCTTGGTTGTCATTTCCGACCGACCCAAATATTCCCGCCGACCCTGTCTGGACCCCCCCCCCCTCCACACACACACACACACACAACATGAATGAATAAGAATAAACCCACATTCAGGCAAAATGCAGGCTAATTCTGTGTTATTTTGAACAGGCTATCATGGAAAATAACTTGATTTTTACTCGTATGGCGTATGTAACAATGCATTCTCATAGTGTTTTTAGTTTTGTTCAATTTAAAGTGCTTGATTTCGGATTTTTTTTCGCGATTAATGCATGTACACAGTATTTTCTTTAAATCAATTAAAGTTTGATTTTCTAACGGTTCCCGACAATTTTTAA